TCAAACCCTTATATCTCCACCAACAATAATTGCACCACGTTACAATGAACAGACTTACAGCTAGCTGTCTAAGCTAAACGACGTGACCCTCATATTTCTATATTTCAACTTGCGAAACTCTTTAACATCCCTTGTTCCACTTTGAGCAATAGAATCAAAGGAATGCCATCACGACGGGACAGCATGTCCAATAATTTGAACCTTACAGTTTCCAAAGAGAATGCCATTCTTTCCTTTATTCTTGACCTGAATACGCGAGCATTTCCACCCCGGTACAGTTATGTTGAAAATATGGCGAATCAATTGTGGGCGGCACGCGGGGCTGGACGCGTTAAAAAGAACTGGACACGTAACTTCATTAAGCGCATACCAGGCCTCTGAACGCGTTTTTATCAGAGAATAGACTACTCAAGAATCTTGAACAAAGATCCAGACGTGTATCGCGCATGGTTTCGCTAATCTGCGGTGGCAATCGCGAAACATGGTACCCAAGACATGGACATTTATAACTTTGATGAGACTGGGTTTATAATGGGTATTATTGGATCTGGCATGGTTATTATAAGCACCAAAAGACATGGCAGGCCTAGACAAGCTCAATAAGGCAACAAAGAATGGTCTACAGCAATCTTTGCTATCAATGCTGATGGTTAGATGGTCCCGACATTCATCATTTTACAGGGCAAAACCCACCTCGTGTCATGGTATCGCAACACAACATTACCACATAATTAGACGGTGACTATGTCTAACAACGGATGGACTATGAATAAGATCAGTTTGAAATGGATTCAGCATTTCGACAAGTATACCAGACCGCGTATGACTGCCGGTAAACGCCTCCTCATCTTAGATGGTCACGAAAGCCACCATTCCCAGGTCTTTGAGGATTATTGTCAGAACAATGGCATTATCACCCTTTGTATGCCTGCCCACTCGTCACACAGGCTCCAGCCTCTAGATGTCGACTGTTTTAACCCGCTCAAACGAGCTTACGGTCGCATGATTGAGGATCTCATCCGGTGTCATATAACCCACGTTTCGAAAGAAGACTTCCTTGCAGCGTTTTGTGAAGCACACAACGCTGCTATGATGCCAGGAAACATTCGAGCAGGTTTCAGTGCCACTAGGCTTGTTTCTTTTGACCCAGAAAGTGTCATTTCAAAGCTGGATGCTGTCGCTGTCATATGAACACCGTCGCCAGACCCCAATCTGCCACCTATTACTTGGACTTCGAAGACGCCTACCACCATTAACGAAGCGGTAAACCAATCAGTTTATATCCGAAACCGAGTCAGAAACCACCAGGGAAGCTTACCTATATCAATAGTTGATGCGTTGAGCTCGTTTTCGAAGGTTACATACGGTCTTATGCATAAGGTCGCTTTGGTTGATTCCCGGGTCCGCGAACTAGAAGAGGCCAATCACCTACTAAATAAACGCTGGAGAACAAAAAACAAATGTCTAGTGAAAGGAGGAATACTTTCTGTTGAAGATATAGTAGATCTTTAGGCTGCAAAGGATGGTGTTGAGCTGGCAAAACAGGAAATGGGTGAAGGTAGTCGTCGTCCGAGGTGGGCGGCAGCGCGTGGGCGACGGTGTGGCGTTTGCGGCAATACTGGCCATAATGCGCGAATTTGTACAATAGAGATAGAAACCTCTGAGGAAAAGGAATCCGATTGATTGAATTGAACTGAATGCGTTGTGGTGAAGTTATTTGATATGGCAGTTGGAGAGTTCATGACGAGTGCCAACTCGCTTGTAATGTCAACTCGCTTGTCAGCTACGTTAAACTTTTATTTTTATTTACGTATTATACATTATACTATAATTCAATGTTAATAAGTACGTAACATTTAACGGAATAAACTAAAAAAAAACCTTTATTCAATAACTTAATCGGCTTCAACCTTTATAATAAACTACGATGTATTATTTATTGAAGTTAATTAATCAAATTTGAAGTATGTAGATATGTTTCGCGATTATCTTAAAAAAAATCTTTATTTTTATTCTTTCTGATTAAAACGAAATCGGCGTAGAAATCAATTTTAATATCTGTATTATGAAGGTTTATTCATATTAATCTTAAATATCAAGTAATTTATTTTTTCCTTCATATTACTATTAAAACACATGTGACTAAAAAGTCAAACATTTATATAACTATTAAATAATAAGTATTAATAATATAATAATTAACTATTCACTTCGTTAACAAACAAGATTGAATTAGAAATTGTTATTAAATATTGACTTACTCAAAGAAATAAAAGAAAACCAAACTGAATAATAAAAGTTGAAACCTAAAATCGAGTAGGTATTTTAAACCGGATTTATGTATTTATATATCATAAACAATTTTCGAACCCGCTGTTATAGAAAACTTATTCCTAATTTTTATGTAAGCTTTCCTTTTTCTTCATAACTTAAGCCCTTTATATAAACTTTTTAAATAAAACTAACGACTAAAATAAAATATAATTATACCTACTAATAATGAAGAGCAAAAGCAAGTGTTTTATTAATAATAGTTAACGTTTCGAATAAACTGTTCTTTTTATTACTTTTATCGTTAATAAATAAATAAATATGTAGCCTTTCAATAACCTATAAGTTTTATAAGGCATACTTGTATAACGTATATATCAAAACCTTTTATAACTTATATTTTTTTTTATAGGTTAAGTAGGTTTTTTGTTTATAAACGAAGCTACCTATTATTTCCCATATAAAGTTACTTATTCATGATGAAAATTATTATTATTACTCATATAAAAATGATATTATTTATATAGCCTTTTTAGGACAAATAAATAAATAAATAAAATTTTCTGTCACTGCTTATATATACCCTTAAAGCCCTTATAAAAACATATTTCAAAGCTTTACCTATCGCTTTATATAATATAAAATTCCTTCAGACGTAAGTAAACTTATAAAACAACCTTTAATACATTTATAGTTTATGATAATCGCGACTAATAACGCGGGAATAGTGAGAAATAACGGATAATTAAAAAACTTTCAAAGTCGTGCTACGTTCAAAACTTATAAACTTTAAAGCCGCTATAAGATTTATTAAAGCTATACCAAAAAAATTAAATATTAAGTTAGCTATAAATAGAACCTTTCAAATTACGGTAAACAGCTTATGAATTTTAACGACTAACCGATCGTAATAAAAACCTCGTTTAACGCGTATAAAACGGCCGTTTGTTATTATTATTTATAACTATTATTTTGACTTATTATGACTATATTCCTTATCATTATATTTTATCAAATAATTAAATAATAACTTTTTTTTTAAAAATTCACGCAAGCTTACTAGCCTGTATTTAGTCGAATCATATATAATTAATAGGTTTTAATACTCAATATATTAACGGAAATATATTACTTATCAATTTTATTCAAAATAACAAGTAGGGGAATGTTTACGAAAAAAGGTTTCTTTACGTATTCCAAAAGAATAGATTACATATATCCTATAAAAATTAAAAGAAGTATATTAATTATATAATGTAAGAGTACGAAAGGATTTAAACCGATAAGTTGTATAATAATATCGAAAACTAGATTATTAAGTTATATCAATTATAAAAAGTATTAAATACTTAAAGGTTATAATAATAAACACAACGAGCTTATAAATCCGATGATAAACGTAAAAGATAATAAATTTGCTTTATAGTTTAAATTTATAGTAACAATGTAACGTTAAACTTGAAAAGCTGAAATGAAAGATCGTTGTTAATATAAGGCGGCACATCGGATAAATCAAGCGATTCTTATTAGCATTAACATCGACGCTTCGACTAACAAGGAGTTATTTAGCCTTATATTAATCTAATTAATAATCGATTAACAACCGCTATAGACCCCTTAATATACATATAAAAACATATAATACATATTTATTATTATTATTATTATTATTATTATTATTATTATTATTATTATTATTATTATTATTATTATTATTATTATTATTATTATTATTATTATTATTATTATTATTATTATTATTATTATTATTATTATTATTATTATTATTATTATTATTATTATTATTATTATTATTATTATTATTATTATTATTATTATTATTATTATTATTATTATTATTATTATTATTATTATTATTATTATTATTATTATTATTATTATTATTATTATTATTATTATCATTATCATTATCATTATTATTATTATCATTATCATTATTATTATTATTATTATTATTATTATTATTATTATTATTATTATTATTATTATTATTCTTCTTCTTCTTCTTCTTCTTCTTCTTCTTCTTCTTCTTCTTCTTCTTCTTCTTCTTCTTCTTTTTTTTTTTTTTCTTTTTTTCTTCTTCTTTTTCTTCTTTTGTACAAGATTATATAAATTATAAAATAATTTATATTTTAATAAATAATCTACTTAAGTTAATAATACCTTATGTTTCATATTTAAATTAAAGATATAAAAACTATACCAATATATCATAGACCGTATTATAACTAATAAAATAAGTAGTATATATAGTAATAAGTTTGAAATATATTATCGCTTATTTTTACTTCAGTTTTAACTTCTTTAACTTCTTTAAACATTTAAAGTTAATATAAATTATATTTGCTTTTAAATATTCGATTGCTTAAATTTTCAATTTTTTAAAGCTTAAATATACTCGTAAGTAATATTTATTTAAATATGACGACCTATAACCAGTAATAAGCTTTATAAAACGGCAGTATTAAAGGAATATTTTAGGCCGAGCGGTAGTTTATATGCCATGCCCTTATATCAATATAAAATCAGTAATGTTAACGTAGATTTAACATCATTTGCGTGACGGCCTTTTTAACAGCTATCACATAACCGGCCGGAGGTACTCCCAAGGCGGATTAACTTGCTCTTCCTGAAACGCTTCCCCGTGCATCCGTGCCTGCACTCGGCGAAGGGCTATCTATGAATATCCGTTGGTCTCAAATCCAACCTCACCCGCATGTCGAATCACGCGGTCGACCCACTCTATCACGATAGGTGTGGGAATCTTTGGTCCTCAGTTCTGGTGGGGGGATCGGATGGACATTGTGATTCTCTGGTGGAACCTGGTTGTCTACAACCATGAAGACTGCTGGAAACAAGTGTCCCATCTTGAAGCCATGGTCCTGCCAAGATTGCGTCTCCTCGCTAGGCTCTGGTAGGAAAGCCCCAGGAGACGAAAGTCCCTTCGAAATTGTGACCATGCCGCCAAGCTGGGAGGACATTGCATCGCAAAGACTCCGGTGAAATAACACGATCTCAGGGATACAACTAGGCCCCCCCTTGTCGAAGCAAATAGCTTTGCCAAAGTAATTGTGGCGTTGCAAAGGTGGGCGCCCATCATGGAGCCGAAACCACTGTTTGTAGATGTACCAACCGAGCTTTCCATCTTTGAAGCCAGGCCGTGATGACGATCCACTGTGCTCAAAATATACGGTGATCTCTTTGTTGAAATAATTGACCAGTCTCGTCGATTCGTGAGGCGCCGCGAAATATTCGGGGTCCAACTGAGAAACGCGGAACCTGCTCATCGAGTATTCTCGCGCCCAGGAGAACCGAGAATGATGCTCCCTGCGAATCCATTCGGCTGTCTCTTCGTAGTACACCATCGCCAACTCTGCCCTCAGTAGTCGTAGCATTTCAGAAGACAAAGGCTCGATGACCGGTGTTATGGAATAACCCAACTCCCGCGAATAGTAATCCCGGCAGGGGTTCTGGTCGGGCACACCGTTGTGGTTGTCGCTGTATGGGCGACTGTCTCGTAGATACGGCGAATACTCGCTGTAGCCTTGATGGAACAGATTCTTCACTGTCGAATCAGATGCTGCGCTTGTTGGCATCTCTTCTTCGGGGGTTTGGTCGACCTTTCGACCTTGGGAGGATGGATCAGGCGTGTAGGGGTTTCCAATCTCATCATCGGCGACCTCGAGCTGTCTGGTCAGCACAGCGTCGGCAGAAGCGATATGGGCGGTCGGGGGGGGGGGGGGCGATCAGCTCGTTTGTTTGTTTGTTTTGTATTTAACGTGGGGGATTGCTCCTCAGTAGTGCAAACCACGCCTCCCAGAGCCTCTGTATCGCAGGGTTGTGGAGGTCTCAAGATAATAAGTACAGTCAGTCCCGCTCACGGGCCCATCCCCGTTGTTGCGGCGGTATGACCTTGGGATCATTCATCTGGTCCTTCAAGAAAAGCTATCTATTGGGGGCAGATTGTTGAAAAGAAGTTGCTCTTCTCCACGAATTTTGTCCATTCTGTGCTCCTCTCCCCTAAGTATTGTAAACAAACTGTCCTAAGCGAGTACTTAAGCAACAGCCGATTTTTCCGCAGACTCTTACAAAAGAAAATATATTGTGGTGTTTTTTTTCCACCATAGTTGCAGTGATTATTCGAGTCTGTATGCCCAAAGTGTTCGTGGTATATGGCAAAGTCGCCATGTCCAGATCTGGCCGCTAGAAGTCTGTGTAAAGTACTCCTCTTAAAAGATATAAGGTCTCTTTTAGTTATTATATGTGAGTATATGCCCGACTCGGGATGAAAAGAAGACGCTTTGGATATGCAGACGACCTAGCAACTCTCTGCATTGGAAAGGACCTCAAAGAAACAGCCAAAGAGGCTTCTGAAAATCTTTACCTGCTCAACCAATGGGGACACGACAACGCTATTGAATTTGATCCCGACAAAACCGAGATCATGCATTTCTCACGGAAAAAGAACTCAGACAATCCTCCGGTCCGCCACGGGACAATGAACAGAACAGCAAAGAACTCCATGCGATGGCTGGGTGTCTTCCTGGATAGAAAACTGAACTTCAAAGATCACGTTTCCTACTGGGCCAAGAAAGCTAGTAGGGTAGCAAACCACATTCGAGGACTATGCAACACAGTCAAAGGACTTCCAGTAAAGTCAACCAAGAAGGCTGTGAAAACTTGTGTTATTCCTATTCTTACACATGGCCTGGAGGCCTGGTACCCAGGAATGGAAAAAATTGGGAGCTTAGGTGGGACATCAGCATGTCGCATTAAAAGGCTTCTTGGAACAATAGATGCTGTACTACGAACGGCAATCAGAGCTATCCTGCCGGTCTGGAAAACACACCCTGGACATATCCTACACTTTGAATCACAGATTCCTCCAGCAGGAATTCTTGCAGAGTCAATAAGAAGACGTCACGGCTTCCGACTCGGAAGAGTAGACCAGAGACACCCTCTTGTTGGCAGGCTCCAAATACAAGCTCGCAAAGAACCAACAAGGCTACAAAGAAGCTTCCAACTAGTCCCTGACTTCCAGAGACCAATACTCACCAAGCCATCATGGAAAAAGGCCCCAGTCCGTAAAGACAAGGACAAAGAAATAGAGCTCTTCAAGCAATGGTTACAGGAAAGAAATACGAACACTGACCTTGTCATCTACTCAGATGGATCACAATTGGATGACCAAGGCACAACCCGCACTGGATGGGGTTATACCATCAGGAAAGGCGGCACTGCACAAGAAGTATACCGGGGAAGGGGCAGACTTCTATAAGCAGAAGTAGTGGATGCTGAAGTCCATGGTGCTCTCCAAGGTCTTGCAGCAGCCAGGGCAATTGGATACAGAAAACAGCTATATGTCTGTCTGGACAACACATCAGTGGTAGATGGGCTTAATGGGACTCCACCCGAGACATCACAGAACATTTTTCTACGGTTTCAAGAACTTGCCACAGCACACACTCCTGGAGTGACCGTCAAGTGGATTCCTGGACACAGAGATATTGATGGTAATAAGGCTACTGACACACTAGCAAAAGAGGGCGCCATGCTAGAAACAGACACAACAAACCTTCCCACAATCTCTTGGGTCAAGAGAGATCTTAAGAGAAAGGGCAAGAAAGAGTTCAATCAATGGTGGAAAGACCAACCAGAACCTAGGTATCAAGAAGTATACTCACATGCAGTAACTGAAAGAGGCCTTATATCTTTTAAGAGGAGCACTCTACACAGACTTCTAGCGGCCAGATCTGGACATGGCGACTTTGCCAGATACCACGAACGCTTTGGGCATACAGACTCGAACAACCACTGCAGCTGTGGTGAAAAGAAAACACCACAACACATTTTCTTTTGTAAGAGGCTGGGGAAAAATCGGTTATTGCCTAGGTACTCGCCTAGGACAGCCTGTTTACAATACTTGGGAGAGAGGAGCACAGAATGGGCAAAATTCGTGGAGAAGAGCAAGTTCTTTTCAACAATCTGCCCCTGATAGATAACCTTCCTTGAAGGACCAGATGGATGACCCCAAGGTCATACCGCCGCAACAACGGGGATGGGCCCGTAAGCGGGACTGACTGTACTTATTATCTTGAGACCTCCACAACCCTGCGATGCAGAGGCTCTGGGAGGCGTGGTTTGCACTACTGAGGAGCTACCCCCCACGTTAAATACAAAACAAACAAACAAACAAACATATATGTGAGTATACTTCTTGATATCTAGGCTCTGATTGGTCTTTTTACTATTAATTGAACTCTTTCTTGCCCTTTTTTTTGAGATCTCTCTTGACCCATGAGATTGTGGGAAGGTTTGTTGTGTCTGATTCTAGCATGGCACCCTCTTTTGTTAATATGTCAGCAGCTTCGTTGCCATCAATATCTCTGTGTCCAGGAATCCACTTGGCGGTTACTCCAGGAGTGTGTGCCGTGGCAAGTTCTTGGAATCGTAGAAAAATGTTCTGTGATGTCTCGGGTGGAGTCCCATTGAGCCCATCTACCACTGACGTGTTGTCCAGGTAGACATATAGCTATTTTCTGTGTCTAATTGCCCTGGTTGCTGCAAGACCTTGGAGAGCACCATGGACTTCAGCATCTACTGCTTCTGCTTGGAGAAGTCTGTCATTTTCCCGGTATACTTCTTGTGTAGTGTTGCCTTTCCTGATGGTGTAGCCCCATCCAGTACGGGTTGTGCCTTTGTCGTCCAATTATGATCCATCTGAGTAGATGACAAGGTCAGTGTTCATATTTCCCTCTTATAACCATTCCTTAAAGCGCTCTGTCTCTTTGTCTTTGTTCTTTTAGATTGGGGACTTTTTCTATGACGGCTTGGTGAGTATTGGTCTCTGGATGTCAGGGACTAGCTGAAAGTTCCTTTGTAGCCTTGTTGGTTCCTTGTGAGCTTGTACTTGGAGCCTGCCAACAAGAGGGTGTCTTTGGTCTAAACGTCCGAGTCGTAGGCCGTGACGCCGTCTTATTACTCTGCAAGAACTCCTGCTGGAGGAATCTGTGATTCAAAGTGTAGGATATGTCCAGGATGTGTTTTCCAGACCGGCAGGATAGCCGATTGAGGGATACTTACTTGACAAACCGGAGAGGCTCGTTGAACAGAATGGCGGCTGCACGCAAGAGTTGAGAATGAAGGATCAATTGCTGAGAAGAGATCAAAACCCGAACCTCGACCTGCGATTGTGTATGTGTGTCAATGGGTAGGTTGGGTGGGGGTGCAGGTGAGAAAACCCAAAAGGTTGGAGGTCGAAGGTGGCCGATCGATTGTGGACAATGGATGGTGGATGGTCAGAGGTGACAGGTGGGGGATGGTGGACTTGGCTGAGGGCTGTGTGCATGTGACGTGTGTGGCCTGTGGCCCGGACAACACCTCCTATCCACTCTCTCCTTGACATCGCGGTTCAGAGGTACACTCAGAACGCCCACTACGTATCACGACATGCCGCTCTCCCATTCGGCATCCAAGAACGAGCCAAATCTAGACTTTCAAGGCTTGGTCAAAGGACTACGGATTGGAAAGCGATGATGGGTTCCAACGCTGGGAGGGTCGAGTAGATTCGATGTAGCCCAAGGTCGACCCCTGAGCCGGCGGCAACGAAGCCAGTGCAATCATACTACCCTTACGATGTCATGAGAGGGGGGTAGGTATTCGGATGGACGCAGGCTCCGAATCTAGTTCATGGCAAGTTCGTGGTAATTGGGCTCTTTCGAGGTTCATGTTGCGGATGAAAGAAGATCTCGGAATGTTCTGCCAGTAGTTGCCATCGTATTGTCAGCAAGGCCGCGAGAGTGTAAAATTTAGCTGGACTTACCGGAGAATGTCGTGGCATCGAGATAGTGGTAGCTAACTGGAAACACGTCTGAGACTTGATCTCGATACCAAATACATTGGGCCAAGGGAATACAAATGTGAAGTGCTGTCATGGGAGGCTATAAGGAATAGAAATCATCGAAAGGGGGAAAGGGGGAAAAGGGGGAAAAGGGGAAAGGGGCGGCAGGAGATGTAGATAGAGGAGGACATGGACATGGAAGTATAATCCACCATGGGCCAGAATTCAAATAATTGTCTTGAGAAGGTTGGGGGTAATGGTAGCTGCTAGATTCCAGCATCACCACGGGAAGATAACCAGCTCCAGCAACTCGAATATCCAAGACCAATGCCCACAACGCAGGAACGTGGAGTGGCGGCTCGTATCGTACCAAAAGCAGAGGAGAATGATTCAATGGAAACCGGAGCTCACAGAACAGAGTGAAAGAGCATGTGGTAATCGATGCAAACGATAGTGGACATTGATTCGAGCTCTGTGTTCTCGTTGATAGAGCATAGCGAGCTTCAGACCGTGATGGCACAAGGCACCTATGGACGAACTTGGAAACATGTCATGAACATCACGCCATCGAAACCCAAAACCCAGATCGAGCTGCGGCGAAGAAGGCCATCATACCAAGCAGCGGAGACCTGGGCAGAACCTGTGGCCGAGAGTCGAGAGGAGTAGCCAGCTGCTGGCAGGCGTGGGATGGGAAGAGGCGAAGAAGGCCAGACATACAGGACAACAAACGGCAGGATATAACGATACTCCTGGGCCGACAATGGCTGCGGTCTAGGCGTTGCCATAGATGGATGTTCTAGTCCTGTGACGCAAGAAGTTGATGGCAACTGAGGGATGCCGCGGCCAAGGGTGATGATCGGGTATGTGGCCAGAATCGTGCGCTGTGTGCATGTTTCTGCATTCGAACAGGTGGGGTACGTGGATATGATTAAACAGCAGCGTGCAGAGAATACCGTGATCAAGATATTGCAAGACAGGCGCGGTGAGGGAACTGGAGATGTGTTTTCATGATGAAAGTGGTGAGCATTGGCGAGAAGATGGATGAGACCGGTCTAAGGGCAGATGCAAGCACCCCGCTACAGTAATAAGTGTCTAGTGGACCACTCTAGGATATCGTCGGGGCTATTCGTATAAAGGATGGGCGCTCTCCTATCCCTGTAGCGGAAATTTTCCATGGCCCGGCTCCGAGGCCGGCTTCTGCAACGAACATGAGGCTGTCGACAATATCGAATTCCACGCCCACGATCCACCATCTCACCCACTGCGGACTTGTCCAGTCCATGCCTTCAATATGGCTATATCTGTACGCCACCGTCCCAGCCGCGAAGATGACACCCGACTAACTCTGGCCTTTAGAGGAGAGCCATGGCTCTCAACGCCGTCGCTGTCGCACGGCTACCGTCTCGGATCTTCGTTGCGCGAACTCGATTGCCTCGCATAGCCGTGCCCCAGAACCGCGCATACACGTCCTCCAGCCCTCGAAGGCAACACGCCTTCCATTCACAGCTTGAGAGCACTCCTAATGCCGACGTCCTCCTCTCCTCCCAGAAGCCCGCCGCGGCGGCCAAACCCCAGACCCTCACCGAGAAGATCGTCCAACAATACTCAGTCGGCCTCGCCACCGGCAAGAAGGTCGCGGCCGGCGACTATGTCACCCTCGCACCCCACCATGTCATGACACACGACAATGTAATTCAGGAGCCGTCTCTTCCCTTCCTACCTCTGCTCGCTAGGTCGTCTGCAAAGAGTAGTAGCTGACTCCTGATTTCCACAGAGTTGGCCGGTGGCTGCAAAGTTCATGGACATCGGGGCCTCCAAGATTCACGACAACCGTCAGGTCGTCATGACTCTCGACCATGATGTGCAGAGGCATGTCTTCCCTCGTCTCTTGCACCAACCCGTACCTGCCCCGGCCTTCGACTGACTCCTGAACAGTGAGTAATCCTGCCGAGCGCGGAATCAGGAACTGCGGGCATTGACGCAAACCTCTTGTGCATCAGACAAGTCCGAGTCCAACCTGAACAAGTACCGCCAGATCGAGGAGTTTGCCGGCAAGCATGGTGTCGATTTCTATCCTGCTGGCCGTGGCATCGGCCACCAGATAATGGTCGAAGAAGGTCAGCACATCTTCGACACTCGCCATTGAAGGGCCACTGGCTAAGCTTCAGCAGGATACGCCTGGCCGGGAACAGTCACCGTTGCGAGCGACAGCCACTCGAACATGTACGGGGGTGTGTCCAGTCTTGGAACACCCGTCGTACGAACCGACGCAGCTAGTATTTGGGCCAGGCATGTATAAACCACCCCTTTTCAACCCCTGTCTTTGTCATATATTGGCCTGTGTTTGGTTGTACCTTTGCTAACATTCCTCAGTGAGTAACTCTGCCGGACCTTGCCTGCATTTTTGAGAAATGCACACAGCAGGAACTGACGCAACATGTCTTCGCGCTATAGCCGGCCGAACGTGGTGGCAAATTCCGCTCATTGCCAAGATCACATTCACTGGTCTACTCCCCCCAGGCGTCACGGGCAAGGATGTGATCGTTGCTCTTTGCGGATTGTTCAACAAGGACGAGGTTCTGAACCATGCTATCGAATTTGCTGGGACCGAACAGACCATGGGCACCATCCCCATCGACGACCGCCTGACCATCGCGAACATGACGACCGAGTGGGGTGCCTTGAGCGGTAAATGATACCCACGGATCCATTGACGTGCAAACTCTGACCCGTGGTGTAGGTCTATTCCCCGTCGATGAGATGCTCATCTCGTGGTACCGCGCCAAGGCCACCACCGCGACCATGTTTGATGCCCCTTCCAAGGATCGCATCACCCACGAGCGAATCGACGAGATGGCGGCGAACCGGCTGGTCGCCGACCCCGGTGCCAAATATGCCAAGGAGCTCTACCTCAACCTGTCCACACTGTAAGCTGCTTCGATTCCTTTCGCACATTTTCCAGACATCCTAAGAGCAAGCTTTCCCTTTTGCAGGCCATTTGTGCTCTCAGGTAGTCTGCTTCTTTCCAAAACCTCACTTTCCCCTGAACGCAATACTGATAAAACGCCCACAGTTCCCCCTTCGTGGCCGGTCCCAACTCTGTCAAGGTCGCTACGCCTCTGAAGAACCTCGAGGCACAAAATATCGCTCTCGACAAAGCCTATCTCGTCTCGTGCACCAACTCGAGAGCTTCTGATCTTGCCGCCGCCGCCCGTGTTTTCCGCGAGGCTACCAAGGATGGTGAGGCTGCCAAGATTGCTCCCGGTGTCAAATTCTACATTGCTGCGGCTTCTACACCGGAGCAGCAGATTGCTGAGGAGGCCGGTGACTGGCAGGTCTTGCTTGACTCCGGTGCCCAGGCTCTCCCTGCTGGATGGTTAGTATCTATGAATCATTCGTTCCTCTAGTAATCATGTCTCGAGCGCTACGATTCCTTCTCTGAGACTGCCTGGGGTCTGGGCCCCCCAGCGGGACATATCCGCGCCGAAAGCTCCCGAGATATGATCAAAACAAATCGAAAAAGTGGTAACTAACTCGATCTTCCTCATAGTGGTCCGTGTATTGGTCTTGGTACGGGCCTACTTGAGCCCGGTGAGGTAGGCATCAGTGCCAGTAACAGAAACTTCAAGGGCCGTATGGGTTCTACGTCCTCCAAGGCTTACCTCGCTAGCCCTGAAGTCGTTGCTGCCAGTGCACTCCAGGGCAAGATTGTTGGTCCTGGTTGGTACCAGAAACCTGAGGGCGTGGAGAAGGTCATCATCGGCGAGGGAAGCGGTAACCATGTCGCTGACAAGGCGCTGTCCATCGAGGATGCTTTCGACAAATTCATTAGTGAGACCGAGAGCTTGATTGCCGCTGCCGAGGGCCCTGGTGAGCAGTCATCCAGCCCCGCCGCCGCTGGAGACGAAGCCTTGACCGACGTTCTGCCTGGCTTCCCCGACAAGATTGAAGGCGAGATTGTCTTCTGTGATGGCGACAACATTAACACTGATGGCATCTACCCGGGTACGTGCGACAATTCTGATTACTGGGCAGGCTTCATACTAATGGCGGGATAGGCAAATACACCTACCAAGACAACGTCAGCAAAGAGAAGATGGGAGAGGTGTGTATGGAGAACTACGACACCGAGTTCGGTACAACGGCCAAGGCTGGCGATATCCTTGTCGCCGGCTTCAACTTTGGCTGTGGCTCTTCCCGTGAGCAAGGTAAATATCAATTTTCAACCCAAACCCTACTCTGAGTCCTCAGCTGACACGATTCAAGCTGCCACTGCCATCCTGGCCAAGCAGATTCCGCTCGTCGTCGCCGGTAGTTTCGGCAACATCTTCAGCCGCAACAGCATCAACAATGCTCTCCTCGGAGTCGAGTTGCCTCGTCTTGTACAGCGTCTCCGTGAGGTGTACAAGAACGACGCCGAGAAACCCCTGACCCGCCGCACCGGCTGGAAGCTCCTCTGGGATGTCCGCCGCTCCAAGGTCGTTGTGACGGAGAAAGACGGCTCCTCCTGGGAACAAAAGGTCGGCGAGCTGCCCTCGAACGTGCAAGAGGTGATAGCCCTGGGCGGTCTCGAGAAATGGGTCAAGTCAAAGATCGAGGCCTAAGGCGGGCGTGCTGTGACGTATGGTTCTATGTATATTAAGGTACCTTGTTCCCATGTCCACCCCTTGGGGTTGCTGTGATTTCATCACGGTTTGCACGGCTGGCACTACATAAAAGAGTTGCTTTTACTTCCGGATTATGCGTTTATATACTCTTCACCATGGTGGCATACATATAGACACGTCGAGAGACAGAATGATAGGGATTTGCAGCAATGCAAACAAGCAACCGCAGGGGCCATCTGTTCATGTTGTCTCGACGCGCCTATGAGGTAGGTTGTAGGTGACCCTGCCCTTCGCGACCTCGTGGGGGTCTTGGGCTCACCGTCGCCCTACCTGTTCCCCTGCGAAGACGTGCTCCAGCCTCCACATTTGCCAATGCTACCTCACCTGCCAGCCTATCTGATCCCTGTCTGCGAGTACCATACTAGACGTCCCCACAATCCCTCGGGTGTCCCGTCGCAGCCTTCGCCAAGGCACCATGGTGACGATATGGGGCGAGCCGGCTGCTTTGCCGGCGCAGCAGTCATTCGTGGACTTTTGCGGTACCAAAGTGGCTCAACATTCTCATCATGGCTCGCAGAGCACGCCATGCCATCCAAATTGGCGACAGTGGGAAGTTTCCTGTTTATCTACCGACACAAGTCTAATATCTCGGCGCATTGAGAACCGAGGAGACAGTAGGCTGAGGATGTAAAGTAGTTGTGTTGATCGGGTCTGCTGCTCCCCTGCCATCCATCCCCAGCCGTGGCTAATGGCTGGTGCTCGTATAAGAGCGACAACGGTTCATTCTTCCCTGTCGCAGCTTGGGTATCTGTTCTCATAGAAGACGCCACTCGTAGCCATGCTGCCGGTGATCATGTACGCGCACCCGGTAGCCCTGGCGACTGCCAGCCTCCTCAGCCTGCATCTCCTGACGGCGTCGGCATTGTACCAGAATGGCACGATGGACGTCGTCAATGTCAGGTGGCTTGAGGGCACTCAAACTCACAGCCTTGGCACAACTTTTGGACTGCCCTGGCCCAGCGGCCGGTATTGGTTGGGCGATACCGGTGCAGCTTCGATCACGGGCTCTACTAGCAGTGGCGAAGAGGTGCGGATTCAGTCGTGGGCTACGGCATACTGGGCAGATGGTTCGATCAAGGTATGTGTGTTCTTGAATTTTCCCTTCCCAAGGAGTGTCTCTCAGCGAACCGCTACTCTGTTGTAATATTGCCTACGAAGAGTGCCTTCTGATTTGGGTCTGCAGTGGACCGGGCACGCCTTGCCTGGCTCTGAGACAGTCCCAGATGGATTCACAGTCAGGATTTCCAATAGTAGCGAGTCGGGGGTAGGCAGCAATTCGACCTCGACGCCAACTCCAGGCCAGGCGAATATGGCCATCACCGACAATGATAATGCCATTACGGTGGATACGGGCAAGCTCACAGTTTCATTTCCAAAGTCAGGAAAGGTCATCGTCGGCACGATCAAGACGCCGAGTGGAAAGATTGTGGGACAGAATGGCAAGTTGATTCTGCAGTCACAGTCCGGGATCGTAGAAGATGCCGAGGCCCAGCAGAATGGCACCTCGATCGAGCGTTTCCACTTCGAGAGTGTGATTGAGGAGACATCCATCGGGGGAGACAGTTCGGTGCGAGCTCTGGTGACAGTCCGCGGCAAGCACCAAATCAGCGCACCTAAATCCTCAGGCGTAGCCCACGCGGCCTGGCTGCCCTTCATCGTTCGTTTCTACCTGTACGCCGAATCGGACGCGATCAGGGCTGTCCACACACTCGTATACGACGTCGACGCCAGTAAGAACTTCATCACAGGGATTGGAATCCGCTTCGAGGTGCCCCTGGCTGGCGAGGAACTGTACAACCGCCATGTCAGGATAGCTGGTGTAGACGGTGGTTTCATGAGTGAGGCGGTACAAGGAATCACAGGACTGCGCAGGGACCCCGGCGAGGAAGTCCGCACCGCCCAGTTCAACGGCGAAGAGACGCCGGACGCGGCGACCTGGGACTCGAGGGTCACGTCGCGCCTCAAGTGGATTCCCGCCTGGAACGACTACAGCCTGGCGCAACTATCACCCGACGGATTTACACTGAAGAAGCGAACCAAGGCGGGCCAGAGTTGGGTCAAGATCCCCGGCGGCACCCGGGCCGGAGGCCTGGCGTATCTGGGCGGTGCCACGACAGGTGGCCTAGCCGTCGGTCTTCGGGACTTCTGGAAGCGATACCCCACAGGTATCGACATCGGTAACGCCGCTTCGGACACCGGCCAGGTGACGCTGTGGCTCTACAGTCCGGCTGCGGAGCCGATGGATCTGCGGGCGTTCCATGATGGCATGGGCGAAGACACGTATGCCGAGCAACTGGATGCCCTGGAGATCACGTACGAGGATTACGAAGGCGCTTACAACACGCCGAAGGGAATTGCAAGAACCAACGAGATCTTTATATACGCCTTCGATAGCACGCCTCCCGCAGATGTGTTGTCTGCTCTGACTGACCATACGAACACGCCGCCCTTCTTGGTCGCTGAACCAGAACTCATCAAGAAGACGAACGCCGTGGGCACCTACTGGGATGTTCCAGATAACGCCACGGCCTCTGCACAGACCGTCGAAACGCATCTTGACTTTCTCATCAAGTACTATCAGGGCCAGGTGGAGCAGAGGCGATGGTATGGTTTCTGGGATCATGGGGACGTCATGCACACCTATGATGAAGATCGCCACACCTGGCGTTACGATGTTGGGGGATACGCGTGGGATAATTCCGAGTTGTCTCCCGACCTCTTCTTCTGGAATTACTTCCTCCGAACAGGCCGTTCGGACGTGTATCGGTTTGCCGAAGCGCATACGCGCCATACCAGAGAAGTTGACGTATACCACATAGGACCATACAAGGGGTTCGGAACGCGCCATGGCGTGCAGCACTGGGGCGACAGTTCCAAGCAGATCCGCGTGTCGACGCCTATCTACAGCCAGATATTCTACTACCTCTCCGGCGGCGACGAGCGCGTGGGCGAACTGATGCACGAGCTCATGGACGCGGACCAGGCCTTCATCACCGTCGATCCGAGGCGCAAGGTCAGACAAGACAACGGAACGTACGTGGCTGATCCGACGGCCATCGATCTCGACCTAGGCCTCGACTGGTCAGGCCTCGCGGCGACGTGGCTGCTTGAGTGGGAGCGGCGAGGACCGCGGTGGGAAGAGGCGAGGTCGAAGCTGAGTACCAGCATGCAGGGGATCGCGAACCTGACGAACGGCTTCGTCACCGGACTCGGTCTATACAATATCTACACGGGGGCCATCTCACCACCAGCAACCGACCCCCAGAACCTTGGCAATGTCACCGTATCCCACCTCTCAGCCAGCTTCGGGCTGCCGGAAATCATTGCGCAGATCAACGAATACCTGGGCGAGGACATGCTGGCGGGATTCGAGAGCGTCTGGCTTGACTATTGTTACTACTACGGGGCCGGAGCTACCGAACAGGAGGCACGGTACGGCGTCAGTTTCGGCACTCTGAACCTCAGGCAGGGACACTCCCGTTTGACAGCCTATGCTGCCAGGGTCCTTGACAACTCGACCCTCGCGGAGCGTGCCTGGAACGAGTTCTTCAACACGGATGGGTTGGCTCCAGGTGCGGCGTGGGCGAGCGAGTCGTTATCCGGCAGTCATGTGCTTGCTCCCGTCGACGAGGCTGCCTGGCTTGCTACGAACGATGCGGCTCTGTACGGCCTCGCTGGTATCGAACTTCTTGCCCAGGTTGCGTATGCATTAGGAACATCTGGTCAGACAGACTAGTGCTGTTGTAGCTGATTGGCAGTAGGCTCTAGGAGTATACAGGTCAGACCCTATATGTACTACAAGTCAGCGGTGTAGCACGCGGCCATGATGCCGTCGCCCAGCCCACGATGAAGCCGAAGATCACTGTCAAGTGGTGGAATTGATCAATTGCATAATCAGCTGATATAACACCAGCCTTGAGTTAATAGATTGGAATAATCCCTTGGAAACCTGCTTATTCCACTGCAAAACGCTGTTGTGCCCATGACCTGGCAATGAGATATTCTCCGTGGTGGAATAGGGGAAATGGACTCCTTAGTCGATGAAGTAACGAGTGGACCTTGATTGACATCCGCGCCAGTAGCGTCAAGTCACCTACTCTTACATGACCTGCCATGATTGATAGCTAGTATCCAAGCATACACGTCAAGAAGACGGGAATCTTGGTCAGTGGAGTGTCGGTAGAGACGAGTCGAGGTCGGGTATGGACACATCCCGATGAGATCTTCTGGAGAGACGGGAGCCACTGTGGCTATAGGGGGCTGAATGCCGCCACACTAGCCACGAACCAAGCCACCCCTTAACTTATTGAATACCTTATGTACCTAGCTAGCAGCTGCACGTGGTTTGAGCACTGAGATAACCCTCACTGTCTTTTGCTCAGTGAGCTCAGAAACCACATCCATCCATCTCACCTCAAGGCTGTTCGCTGCCCTCGCGTCGCTATGCTTCCCTGCGCCCCAAGCGATCGTTGCTGTCGAGAATACATGGCACTTCAACTCGCTCAGCCATGTTGACTGTTAGTCGCAAGGCCGAGACCGTGGTCGAAGCGGCTTTGAGGAGTTGAGAGCGTATTTGGATTCGCACCAGCCGTCAGTGGCTTCCCTACATGTCAGCTCAACAACAACAAACGCCAGAGAAGACTTGATGCGCCACGTGCTCGCGTGCTGGCGTGGTCGTGTACACTTGGGGGATGAAGCTATCGAAGAAAAGAAAGGAGGTATGGAGACGACCTAATGTCAAGCGCGGGGCCCTTATCCTCGACATCCTTGCACAACATTTCCCGCTCCGTTTGCGCTGCAATTTGCGACTTGATGATGCTCCTCAACACTTCGAAACGTATACGGCGGACGGAGGAGAACCTGATGAGGCCATGATTGGAGAAAATGCAGTACAATGTCAAGATGGAACCAAGCCAGCCCGTAGCCTCTCTACCGCCCAGCGATGCGTTAGGCCTGTGTAAGTTCCTTCGGAGCACCAACGACGCCCTTGTCACAGTCTCAATCTTTCCCCAAGTGGTGTACATCCATGTATAGCATTCAGTAGCAATTGGGCTGATAGGTTCCTCGATACAGCCCGGTCCGACGAAAACAACGCGGCGAGAGGCGAACGGGTGAAACAGGAACCCAGTGACGTCAACGAAAACCTACAGTACCAGCATCATGCAGCCTGCAGAGTGAAGATCAAACGAGAGAACGAGCGGCGGGTGGCCGAACGGTTGGCACAAAGGGAACAGCAGCTGCTCCGGGAACAGGGACGTCAAGAGAGCATTCAGAGAGCGAGGCTGGAGGAAGAGGAGCAGCGCCGACAAGACTACCAGCATCGTACAGCCTACAGAGAGCAAATCAAACGAGAGACCGAACAATATGCTGCCGAGAAACTCGCTCAAAAGCAACAGCAGCTGCGCTGGGAACAAGAACGTCAAGAGAGTATTCGGAGAGAGAGGCTCAGGGAAGAAGAGCGACGCCGACAAGAGCACCTCCGCCGAGCACAGTCGGGACAGAGACCCACCGCATGCTGCTTCACTTGCAGGCGACCGAGCGTAGACCGCAGCTGTGGGTCCTGTGAGAAAGCCACGTACTGCTCGCGCGCTTGCCAGAGAGACGATTGGTCGAGGCACTGGAATCAGTTCTGCTCGAAGCGCCTGGTCGACCCCGGACCAGCCATTTCTGATGCGGCTCCTGAGTCGCGCTGTCAGCCCCGTGGTTCTGGTACTCAGGGCCCCCGTATCGTGCCGTATCCGACAATTGATCGCAGTCGCCATCGCATAGAAGATGAGGCCCGCGAGGAGACTGGTGAGGCCAGCGAGGAGAGTGACAATGCCACCGATGCCGGTGCTGAAGGGACGGATTGCGAGGGGGATGGCGAGATCAATGACGAGACAGGCATGAAGACGGACGGTGTTGGGGACAAGGACGGGGACGGGGACGATACCCAAGCAGATGGACAGGCCGAAAATGAAATAGTGCAGAGGCTTTTGGCTCTTCCACCCATCGATTACCCTCCGGAACAGCGCCAGATGACACCGAAAGCGTTGTCCTGTAAGCTCATGTCGCACCAACGTGTTGGCTTGACGTGGTTGATGGACCAGGAAAAGGGCATCAATAAGGGTGGGATACTCGCGGATGCCCTGGGACTAGGCAAGACGATACAAGCACTCCCTCATACTCGCGCATCCAGCGGAGAATAGTGCGCGCAAGGCCACACTCATCGTAGGGCCCCTGTCGCTGCTTAAGCAGTGGGAGAACGAGATCCGCGAGAAGGTCAAGCCTGGCTACAAACTGAAGACCATCATATTCCACGGGGCACGGGAAAAAGGGATGACAGTAGCCAGACTTCTCTCTTAGGACGTGGTCTTGACAACGTACGGAGCAATGGGTGAGGACTACAAGTGCTTGCGGGACGGACGGGCTCGCGGCGTGGTGCTCCTGGAATCCCACGCCGGCTTCCACCGTGTCATCCTCGATGAGGCGCACGAGATCAGGAATCGGGGTACCAATGGCGCCAAGGCAGTGTTTCGCTTGCAGGCCACTCACAGGCTGTGCATGACCAGAACCCCGATGATGAACAAGGTCGCCGATATCTTTTCTCTACTGCGCTTTCTTCGCATCAAACCGTACGACGTGTGGGACAACTTCCGTCGCGTCTTCGACAGGCCGATCCGAGGGAAAAGGTCTGGAGACCGCAGCCGCGCCATACAGGCACTTCAGGTCCTGCTACATCGCGTACTCTTCCAGCGGACCGAAAACAGCAAGATTGATCACAAACAGATCTTTCATTTGCCACCACTGACTACCGAGGTCGCCGAAGCCTGCTTCGACGAGTCCCAACAAGATGTATTATGACAATTTCGAACAGCAATCCAAGTTGAAGTTCAACAAGTACGTCGAGGAGGGCACCGTGACCCGTAATTATAGCAACATCCTTGTGTTGATTATCCGACTGCGGCAGTGTTGCTGTCATCCACATCTCATCCGGGACTACGCCATCCCGCAAGGGATAAAGATAGGATCAGAACAAATGACCAAGCTCGCCCTGAAGCTTCACAGCCACGTCGTAGACAGGATCAAAGCACAGGAGCAGTTCACATGCCCGCTGTGCGACGGCTGCACATCGAACCCCGTCATCATCTACTCATGCGGCCACCATGTATGTGGAAACTGTTTCAACAGCATGATGGAGCTCACGGATCCTGACGCCAACGGCGGTGCGGCGACAGACTCTGTATGTCCTTCAGAAGCATACGACAATGTGGTGGATCCTACGGAAGTCCTGCTTCACCGAAACTTCAGGCAGGCGTACGGGCTCGATGAATCCGGGACCGAAACATCTGAAGAGGAAGACTGCTCGGAAGAGTCAGATGAAGAGCACGATGCTGATCAATGTGGGAACCTCAGGGGCTTCATAGTGCGAGACGACATTGAGAGTACTGATGAAGAAGAGGAAAAGGAACAAAGCACGATGGACGAAGAATTGCATGGATCAGCAGCGAACTCAAGAAGCCCCAAGTCCGTCGCAGGTCACGATGATGGTGGTGATGGCCCTCGGCATAATCAGCCTGTCGTCACCGCTAGTCAGAAGCGAAAAAGATCCATCGTACAGGGGCCAGCCGAGGCAGGCAAGAAATTTAAATTTGGCAACAAGGACAAGCCAAAGAGCGGCAAGGGGGAGACCGGGAAGAAGACCATGAAGTCTCTCGCCGAGCTGAAGAAGGCGGGTTCAGGCAGCGCGGCAGCGGAGAAGCAGTACCTGAAGTGACTTGAACGAGAAGGGGTGCCGAGTGCCAAAACCGACAAGGTGCTGGAGCTGTTGCAGCATGTTCGGGCTGCCAACCCTCGGGAGAAGACGCTTATCTTCAGCCAGTGGACCTCTTTCCTCGATCTGCTCGAGGTCCCCATTCATAAAGCGGGCTATGTCTACCGTCGTTACGACGGTAGCATGATCCGTGGCGACCGAGATGCGGCCATCACCGATTTCATGGAGAAGCCCGAGGTCACTGTCTTCTTGATCAGCTTAAAGGCAGGCAATGCAGGGTTGAATCTGCAACAGGCGACACGGGTCATCATACTCGATCCGTTCTGGAACCCTTCTGTAGAGGATCAGGCTGTCGGTCGTGCCCATCGGATAGGTCAGCCAAATCCGGTTACTTTGCAAAGAGTTGTCATAACTGGCACAATCGAGGATCGCATCTTGGCACTTCAAGAACAAAAAAGGCAGCTCGTCAGCGAGGTGCTCAACAATAAAGCTGCGCAGAGACTGAACCGGCTGAGTATGCGGGAGCTTGCTGGTCTTTTTGGGCTCTAGGAACGCCCTCGGGTTCATCGTGTATAGTTTTGGGTGCAGCCACGTTCGACTGGTAGAGCGACATGTTTTCTTGTTTGGTTCCATGATACCCCAATGCGAGAGCAGGTAGCTGAGGCGTCATCACATTGCTACGGCCTGTACAGTGTCTTTGAGGATATCGTGCCCAGTTCAACAGCTGACTCTGCCCACGGATTCACCGCTGGCGAGGGCAAGGTATTCTCTGATACTTCTCAGTTGTATGATAGCTTGTATCATTAGACACAGATGAATGTGAAGCACATTCCAAGGCAGCCCCTAGTGTGCTGGAGCATTCACCCTAACAGACCTATGCGGCGTGCACGTCACCCCTCATAAATCCGCCCGCGCAGCATCTCAGACTCATGGCTCATCTGCTTCCGGTGGACGGCCCCTGCTGTCCTCTAGGCAATCGGGACAAGGTGCTCATCTTGCAACACGAGGGCCGCTTAGTAGTGCTTACGCCTGTTGCACTGGAAGAAATACGTACTATGAGCCGTGGCCAATTCCAGCCTCTAACAGATCACGAATGAGCAGGTCTTCTTTCTGGCCAATATGATACTCGGTGAAGAGTCAAAGTTACACTACATACCGCTACTTGTCACAGCCTCGCTGAGAGCTGCTCAACTAACCAACTTCACTGGGCAAAGGCCTTGGCCCCCAGCCCCCAGCCCCCAGCCCCCTCTCCTATTGACCATCGATGGGTAGAGGGGGCCTTGTAGCCGTGTGGTATTGATGAGATGTAGCACATTCGCCGCTGAGTTACGCAGGCCCAATCTGCAGATGTCGTGTCGATCTTCACGGGCAGCTTTGCCGATATTTATATCGATCTCGGGTAGCTACCGTAGCACCACGGTGGCAGGGCACACACATCTTGGGGGCTTACTACTCGTTTCGAGCCTCGCCTACCCCCAAGGTCAGCTGAAAGATAAATCGAACGAGGGAGATGTGGTGAGGCTGCCATGATGCCAATGTTGAATGAGTCCGTTGGCTTTGGTAGTAAGATCTGACCTGGTTTCGCAAGGGTAGATGATTCATTCAGCTGAGCGTACCCGAGCTTTATGAGACGCGACTGACAGTGGATGGTCATATAGTCAATATGACGATGAAGACCAGTGTCATCCTGCATCACCTCTTTTGTCCCAGCGGACCAGCTTTGTGCAGAACCCCACGCGTCGGGGCAGCCTTCACGACGGACGAGATGAGAGCGCTGTACATGCCGTGTCGACCAGTCCAGCAGATCATCCTCTCCGAAGCACGAGTCTGCTGGGTATCATTGGGGAATCATCATCGCATCACGCTTCGACGCAAGGCTCAAATCTACTCCCTCTTCGCCGTTCCAGAGGCCCTCCCTGGCTTCAGCCTCTACAGAATGACACCACCCAAGAGCTCGGTAACCCACCACAGAGCCACGACAGTTCTAGGTCGTCGAAGTCCAAGACGGGGCCTCCAAACGATATGTCTTCAAAATCACTGCCTATCTCTTGGTGGTGGTGGTGGGAGATTGGAGCAATCATTCTTAGCATAGCTTGCATGACTCTCCTCGTCGTCTTGCTCGCCAAGATCGACAACCGGCCACTGGAGAGCTGGTCTCTTCCAATCCAGCCCAACTCCTTGATAGCTGTCCTCACTACTGTCGCGAAGGCAGCAATGATGGTGCCTGCAGCTTCTTGCATCAGCCAACTGAAGTGGCGTCACTTCACCATGCGGGCGCGGAGGCTGGTGGACCTCCAGCTGTTCGACGATGCGAGTCGCGGTCCCTGGGGCTCTGTGATCATCATCTGGAGCCTGCCTTTCCGTGCCCGGGCGCTCCTTGCATCCGGATTCGCTTTTGTCACCATCGTGGCTCTTGGCATTGAGCATGTATTCCTGGATTCCTGGCTACATACCTGAATCGACCCTCGAGCGGTCTATAAAGACGCATATGCTCGTTTCTGGTAGTCGTTGACCAAGTTACAGCCTGGGAGTGATTGCTAACTACTTTGGTAGTGCTTCCGCCCAGCAGGTCATAGAATTTACACTCCAATCATCACCGCTGAGTAACGCTTCGGTAGAGTTAGGCATGGCGGACATGTACTTGTCAAAGGGATTCCTTGATGATACAGTTTACGAGAGTAAGTCCGACCATGATTATCATCCCGAACATGTTCAACGTGTGCTAGTACTAAACTCGTCAAGGTAGTATATGGAAGCCGAACCCTGACCTCCTTGCTATACAATCCCCCATCATCAATGGCGCAACGGGCTCCGTCTTCCCGCCACACTTCAAATGCCCAGAGCCCGCAACTAGATGCAGCTGGGAAACAATGACGACCTTGGGGGTCTGTATAGACTTCAAGAACGTGACAGACCTCGCGACACCGAAGTGTGCGCCAATGGATAATGCGGGAACCCTTAATTGCATTTATGAGTTCCCTGGCAAGTCCGTCTCCATCGACCCAGACGATGATTTGACCATGTCTTGGAACCAAGAGAGCCTCGGTGGAGCCGGACCTACGACCATGCTCTTCCAGTCCCAGGTGCTCAATTATGTCCAGTCTAACTATAACCCCTTTGGGTATTTCCAGGCTGTCAAGGCTTCGACGGATGGTTACCCAATTGCGAGAGACGATGGAGAGGACTACGAGCCACCACCAGTGGAAGTATACTACAGCACCTTCGCATGGTGCATGCAGACCTTCCACAACGTCACGGCATCCCAAAGTGCAGTAACTGCAGAGTCAATGACATCTGAAACGCTGTCATTTGCGGAAAGTCATTTCGTTGGCGAAGAGGGGAACCCCATGGGTCAGGACTACTACACATTCGTGGCGAACTCAAGTGCGGCTACCTTCAACGTGTCCCTGATGGCAACGGGGTCCTTGCCAAACTACCTTCAGACTTTCCTTACCAGCACTGTCAAGCACAACATCTACCGACCTGATAAGGCCCAGACAATAGTCTTCTGGCTATGGGCTTTGCACTTCAGAACTCCAATCTCAGCACCGTCATCTCAAACATTGCGGGTACAATCACCAATCAGATAAGGAGCCGCGACCCGGGAGATATCCAGAACGCTTCTTCCATGGCCGGGAATGCCCTTTTCAACGAGCCTTACATCCACGTGCGGTGGCCATGGATGATCCTGCCGCTGGCTGAGACCTTATTAACGACCTTCTTACTGGTCACGTCTATCATCATCACGCACAGGCAGCCTCTGCTCAAGCAATCCCTCATGGCACTCCTCTCCAACAGACTGGAGGGGTGGGATGACGAAGAATTAGAGGTACCAGGGGCCCAGACGCAAGAGAAGCTTGATGCTTTGGCCGAATCAATGCTAGCTCAGCTTGAAGCAAACGACACCGGTCGTCTGAGGCTAACCAGGAAGAAACTCGAGTAGGAAAAGCTAGGGGGCGTGGTCGGAGTGTTGCTACGGCTTGAACTTGGCGAACTGCAGTCCACCAAGTCCTTCCTCATAGGGATCGAAAGTGAGGCGAGCAGACTGAGACTCATGAGGAGTGATTATAGCGATGTTGATTCGAAGTTCAAGAAGATGGAAAAGCAACTACTCATATGTGATCCAGATACAGCAGTGCCCACCGACAGGAAGCGAGGCTGTGGTGCGTAGAGATGATCCCTCCTTCCCGTGTGATCATTCTCCCACTACCTCGGTAACCAAGTTTCGGAATGTAGTAGCATCCGCTGTGCGCACATCCGGCACTAAACGACAACACAGCCGTAATTTCTCGGCTAGACGGCAATGTATTCATAAAACCTCGGTCTCGCTTGAGATGCCCACATGAATTTCCTAGCTGATGCAAAATCGGGTTGATAGACTCTTGGCCCGTAGGAGAAAGTTTTATTTATTTATTGCTGACACACTGGAGCCTGGATGTCGTATGACCAGGGTAGCTGACGGGAGCGCTCCATCACCTTTCACCCTTCTCGAAGTAGCCATGGGAGAGTCCTTGCCAGACCATCAACTGGTGACCAAGTCATCACAGAAGCTTCTGCTGTCAACAACGAATCCATAACCACGCTAAGTAGGAAATCAGCCAGCGTCATGCAGTAGTATAGAGAATAGAGACTTCGCGCGCTCACTGCGGTGTTGTAGACAGTAACTTCCTGCCCGCCTGGAGTTTTAGTAGCGCAGCAATTTTCCAACAAGATGCAGTCAAATCCGCGGTAGTAAGCATCCGCTAGAGTCCCGAGTATACATTGATCCGTATTGACGCCGGCAAACAGCAAGGTTCGAGAGCCGGCACCAGGGAGGGCCTTTGCCAAGGGCATCTCGCTGTTCCAGAGGCCCGAGATACGGTTTTTGTCGCAAAACAGATCCGACCCCGGGCGGCTCGCGTCTTGTAACGGGTCGTACAGCTGGGCGTTCCACGAACAAGCCACCAGTAACCGGCCTCTATCGTCTCCCATGTCAGAACCGAAGCCATATGTCGCCTGACGATCGTCGACCGGCGGGGAGACGACGGCGCTGGCGAAACTATGTTGAGCAGCAGCCGGCATCGACACGATATCCTCGTCGGTGAGGCCCCAGTTCAGCCAAATGACCTAGTTCCACAGGGCATCATGTCAGCGCAAGCAAGCACTGCTCGAAGTCCCCAACTACCTCACCTACCTTGATTCCGATCTCCCGCCACTTGTCGACATCTTGGAGGGTGCGCTCGACAGCAGCCAGTCCGGAGGGATGGTCGTTACACCGTGGATGCAGAAAGAAGTTTTGCATATCGATGACGACCAAGGCGCTCAGGGCCGGCGCCAGCGTGACTGACGTGTTCGGAGGGCCCTGCGAGGTCAGGACGGTGAAGCGTCGCGAAGGTGAGGCGCGCCTGAGATCGTACGTCTGTGTCTCCTTATTGAACGTCCACCCGTCTCCCTGAGGGTCGAATCTCAAGTCTGCCGTCATGGCCTCCTCCAAGTATAGATGAGTTAGACAGCTTATCTTGTGGAGGAGGGGAGAGAGTTACACGCTTTGGTCGGAGTTAAGCCGTGCGAGGGCACAAGGGGACAAGGGGACAAGGGGAGAGGTCGGCTATAATTACAACATCTGTGGTCAGGTGGGTAATCAGCACCTCCAATTACCAATGTACACATTGAGCTCACGCACCCAAGAGCGGGGGAAGTAGCGTTGGGGGCCTGCTTACGTTCCAACGGGCTGCCAGCCTGCTTTAGACCATGTCTTGCCAAGTGGTCGAGCAAGGTAACATACGGTATATAAGGGGGTCATACCTCTGCCTTCCTCCCTCCCCCAATGCCCCCGACTCCCAAGGCAACTCCAAGATCGACCTGGCTGAGTGATACCAGCGCCCCCCCAGAGCAAGCACACAGCCCAACAAGTCCAACACAGTCACCATGACGGGCCCTGTTGGTTCCGGCAAGGTCCTCTCACCCGCCAGCCTCGCCCACGTCGTCCTGAGAACACCCAACTTCAAGCCCATGGTGGCTTTCCACAAGGCCTTTCTGGGTGCGCATGCGTCGCATGAGACTGAAACTCTGGTGCGTCTTGGACATCTTAAATCTGAGAAGGGCATGTTAACACACAGGCAGGCATTTCTCACCTACGACGAGGAGCACCACCGTGTCGCCATCATCGCTTTCACAGGTTGCGGGGAGAAGGTGCGCAACACGGCGGGTCTCGAGCATATCGCCTTCACCTTCAAAAACCTGCTCGACCTCACAACAGCCTACTCGCAGCGGAAAGCGCGTGGCATGCTGCCCGTGTGGAACGTCAACCACGGTCCCACCACCAGTATCTACTATCAGGACCCCGATGGAAATATGCTGGAGACGCAGGTGGACAATTTTGACACAGCCGAGGGAGCGAATGATTACATGAGTGGCGGTGCCTTCGCCGAGAATCCATTCGGTGTCGACTTCGACCCGGAGGATATGATCAGGAGACTCCAGAGCGGCGAGCCCGAGGTGGAACTGAAGAAGCGCCCCAACATCGGCCCTCGTGGGATCGAGACTTTTCCGGTGCTACCAAAGCCCGATGTCAGAGACAGCTATGAGCTGATGGGCGTATCTACATGAGGGGAGAGTCTGGTCAGCGAACTCGCTGGATCAGGGTGGCTGAACGCTCGTGCGTCATGGAAACACAGCTTGTTTGAGGATGCAAAATGTCTCGTACCATATGTCTTGGGAGTCGAGACGCAATTTGAGACGGTGATAACGGCCGGCGCGTTCTGGCGTGGTGCAATTCTCGAGCGAGGAATACTTGAATCAAAATTTGGGCGACTTTCAACCTTCTCACACGTATGAACTTTCGTCTTCGCTAGTATGAATTAAAACTTCGATCCCAGGCTTCTGATGATCAAAACACCAAGTTGCTGCTGATGCCAGTGCAAATTGATCTTAAAATCGCTCGGGCGCGTTGCTGGGGACTCTCTACACACGAATCCGGAAGCCAGAGAAGGCACAGGCAATGGTTGAGTCTTTCAGGGAGCCGTTGTTGTCCAGGATGAAAACTCGCAAGAATGTATTGGACATACAGCGCACACCTTCTGATAACAGCTTGATGCTAATGGGACATGACAGACGGGGAACCTACCGTCGCCCAGTGTCACGGCACGATGGGCCCAGCCCCGATAGCGAGACGTGATGAGAGCAGCACCATATCGATCTGATCATCCTACTCGAGGATTCGAGCTGGCATATTGGGAGCATGTGGTGGGCTGATGCGCGCCAGGAGTTGCGAGGGGTTGAGATGAAGATGGGATGAAACAAAGAGCCGCAGCAGTCGGCCACATCCACTCGACCAGGTCGGTGGCCCAACGCATGATGATTTTCATCATAGACGGATCTCTATCTGAGGAGAGGAGCTGGAGCCGAGCTGTGGCAGCTTCAGCGACGATGACGTGGCACACCCGCCCTTGCTATGGAGATGGCTGACCAGTCAGCCAGTGCGGCTTTCAACGTCTGGTAGCTTGTGCAGAATATGCTTGGAGCCTACTCAAAGTCTCCAGGCTCAATCCTCCGTGCAGGGGCACAATCGGTAGTCATAATCCTCGTAACCTGGAAGCCACTGTTCATTCCACATGAACCGAGTGCTGCTGGCTGTCCATGGGCCATGGTCGGTAGCGAGTGTGTCGCGAAAGGTGGTCGGGTCATACTAGGCGAGCTCTGGAATCTGGAATCGGGGGCGCACGATGCCAGGCAGTGAGTGATGTTTCTGCCGATGAGGTCTGGTGTTGTGGCAAGGCCCGACTCGATGGTCGTCTGAAGACTCAAGAGTTGAAAAAGAGTTGAGGTCAGATCAAACTCGGCCAGTCGCGAATCCGTCTCAAAGGCCCCCCTGTCAAGTCTGTGAAGCAGTTTGATCGCTCGTTGACAGGGGTTGCGATGTCTTAAAATCTAGGCGAGTGCCGGGGTCCCTTGCCTCTATCCTACCTTTACCCCTTACCCTCCAAGTTGGCGCTTGGGCGCTCCGGTCGAATCTGAAGCTTGTTCTTGTCAACTGGGTGTCCTCATCCTGACGAGTTGCTTATTGACATTCTGATGGTAGAGGAAATAACACTCTAGATGACGGAGCCTTGAGTCTCCATAGCGGTTGATCGTGGACCCCTGGTGGGTGATTCAACCAGCCGTCGAAGATGCTACGGGAATCATCAGATCAGTGTGTTCTTTGGTGATGGTCCAGTCGACTTGGCGAGTGATAGTACCGCTGTTCTTCAGCGTGTTGATCATGGGTCTGCATGTCTATCAGGTCTCTCCAGGTTGGCAGCAGACCGAGAGCTACCAGTCCCACCATCAACATCAACCCTGGCAGCCTGTCAGCCTGGACTCTGACTATGGAGTACCTCCCGAGCCTCCCCTGTCAGTCCGATGTCTGCATGCATGTGAGGTGAGACACATGAAGAGCCTCCTCTCCAAGACTCCTTGCAACAATACTACCTCACCGTTCACTGGGATCCCTTTCCCATAGGCTCGGTTCGATCCGTGTCGAAGCGCTTGGGGATGCGTCGACTCCTCGTCCTGAATTTCCACCTATCCAACAAGATTCTCCGGGTCCCTGGCAGCTTGGACGCAGTAGCCCGACTGACCGACGACTCCTGATAACCCCTGGCCACATGTCCAGGCGGCAGATCATGGGAGATGAGCTGAACCTGTACAGTCCTGGCCGCGAACCTCGCGCCAGCGTCTGATCTCGACGTAGTATGATCGCCAGAAGGGGCTAGCCAATGCCTGCCACCGACCAAGATCCTGTCGCGACGGCCTCATGGTCATGCTCGTCCAACGGCTATATAATACGATGCGCCAGCACTGGTGGTAAGTCTCATCTCTCCTTCATCTTCATCAAGCTTCAGTCCTTTCTTTGATACCACCTTCATTCCAGTTCTGTGAACTTTCAGTTCTCGACACTCTTTCTGTCCTTCTTTTCACACTACACCGCTTGGCCGGCTTTCAGTCTCTTCTTGAACCTACTTCTTCTTCAAACCTGAACTAGTCGCTTGCCGAAAGTTCATCACCACCTCAATCATCATGTACACCAAGGCTACTCTTCTCTCGGCCATCCTGGCGGTCGCCGAGGCTCGTTTCGGCCAGGAACAGATCCCCGTTGCCGCCGTCTCGGCCCTTACCGCCTTCGGCAGCCCCGGAGACGCCGGGACTCTCTCCGGCTCGGTACCGGGCGTGCTGCTTGCCGCTGCCGACCCGTGCGAAAAGCTGTCTCTCGCAGACAAGATCGTGTCGACGCTGGGCAATGACGCCCAGGTGATCGCTGCTGCGCAGGGCGTTGTCGCCGCTGAACAGAACTTCAACCCCTTCTCCGTCAGCGTCCCCAACATCTGCGGCGACGCCACTCTGCCGGCCACCGCGGAGTTGCGAGGCATCGTGCCTCTGGTTGACCCCGCCGTGGGCGGCTCCGACACGGAGAACGCCCTATCTGCCTCGTCCCTCAAGACTCCCTTGGACGCCACAGGTCTCAGTGTCGCCGAAGTCATGGAGTCGCAGGGCTTCTCCAATTTCACCGTCGATGGGGCCGCTGCTGGGGCCGCTGCAGGTGGCGACGCAACCGGCGATGCTGCAACGAGCAGTGCCGCTTCCGCTACCACTTCTCTTGTCTGTGGAGGCGGTGCGGCCACGGCAGCCACGTCGTCCTCGCCAGCAACCGCCGCTTCGACCGCCGCCGCAGCCACCTCGACGGCTGTCTCAGGCGGTGCAGCGGCCACCGCGGGTGCCGGCGCGGTAACAAATGCTGTCACGGGAGACTTTGCCGGCTTCCAGGCGTCGTCCCTCGGCCTCGACTTCGGAACCTGCACACCCACGGTCAAGTTTGAAGAGTCCCTCGACGGGCGGAAAGCCGGCGAGTTCACGTTCCAAGCCCAGGACCCGGTGGTCAACAAGGGCCAGGAGGAGGCGCTGAACCCCAACATCATCTTCAACCGCATCTGCGACCAGCTCACCAACGTGTGCAGCGCTGCGGCGGACGCTATCACTGCGTGTAAGGCTGCCCAGGCTTCTCTCGGCGGTGGTGCCAAGGACGTGACCACGGCGAACGCGTGGAACACGGCCCTTGGTTTTGATGGTGCCAACATCAACCCTGACAACGCTCCTCAGACAGGTCTGATTGGCCACACCTAGGCCGCTCTACAGCCAGAGATTGTCCTCGCCGTCGGGTCGGGTCGGGTGAGAGGGAGTCTCTTTGAATGAATTGCACAGGGAGAGGCGTTTGGGGGGTATGTATGCCATAACGAGATGTACTATATACCAAAGCATGCATATTGTACAATGAAGGAATCAAACTCATGTCCATGTTGCTTCTAATCGTATTGTGAACTGTCCCTTGTAGCCGAGCCAGGTCGAGAATCCATGAGCTCGACCTAGTCGATGATGGAGTTTGTGATGCCAGCAGTTGAACTGATAACTTGGTTCTATGACAATCACAGGGACAAACGATTAGCCCAGGGGATTCGACTTACCTCGTAGGGTAAAACAGGGGCACGTACCGGACACGTCTATCAAGACTACCACGTTGGTGGTTGTGTTGTGAGTCAGAATCACACATATTGACAGCTCAGACTGCACATTTCAAGCTGTAAATCAGAGGGCCAGATGGGTAAAGGTAGGTAGGCAGGCAGACGGAGGAGAAAACCCCCCATAGCCACTAGCCACACCATCAGCACCTTGTTTTGTATTGTGGTGGGGATTCCACCACCTTTAGTTCAACGCTCCATAACTAAATGGAAGAAAATTAAATAAATATTAACACGTACATAATTGTAGAGAATTGAATGCTCATTCAATTGGTACTGGTATCGGTGATTTGAGGATGTTCTGCACTCAATCATCTAGATTGAAGACTATGGGGGTTTTCTCCTCCGTCTGCCTGGTTGGTAGCCTTCGACTCTTCGGTGCGGGTGTCTCAGCCAGGTCTCAGGGGTTCAGGGGTTCAGGGGTTTCGGGAACAGCCCGGGGATCTTGTCGGGAGCTACTGCACCCCGCCATTCTGTCTTACCTATATTTGGACCCTGCCCACCCTACCACCATCACAGCGTCATTCACAAAGACGACAAACACCGGGACAAGAACGACGACGGCAACTGTCTACAGTGTAGGTGTCTGCCCACCCCTCTCCGATCAGCTACCTCCCTCCCTACAACATGACGACCTCACGACCGCCCTCCATCCGCCTCGCGCAGGCCACGACCATCGCCCTCCTAACCACCACAGCCGGCCTCAGCGCCAGCCTCTCTTTATTCGTCGCCCCCCGGCTCCTCGAGTCGCCTACACCTTTACTGACCCGCCAATTCGGCGCCATGGTCTCCGTCACACAACGGATCCTCCCCGTCCCCCAGATCCTGCTGCCGGGCCTCGCACACGCGTACCTGGCATATCAGCTCCCCGACAAGATGCGCTCCTACGCCCTGGCTGCGGCCATGTCGCTCAGCACCGCCGTCTGGACGTGGACTGTCATGATGCCCATCAACCGCAAGATGGGGCGTAAGATCCAGGCTGTTGATGCGGCGGCGGCGGGTATGGCGGGTGCAAAGGAGATAGACGAGATACTGGCCGACGAGATGGCGGGTGGCGAGGAGACGGCACATGCGCTGGTTGATAAGTGGGCGACGCGGAACTTGTACCGACCTGTCGTGGCGCTGCTGGCTGGTTGTATGGGCCTGTACGCTGCGCTTTCGTGAAGGGGTATCGTGTGGCTTGGAGGACGGCAAGCTGGAGGAATGATTCCCTACCTACTAACGGTATCGCCAGTATCATTACGGTTTGAAAGGTTTGGCCTTTCCGTTGGGCTCTGACCGAGGCATGAGTTGACATGGATTCTCCTGTACACTATAGATAACGGTAGCATTCTTTCTGGCATTGGACGGCACTGGCACTCATTAATGATTTAAATGTCTCCGCAGTAGCGAATCTAAAGAGAGCACAGAACCCGCGATTCTTAGCAAACTGCTAACTACCTATAGGTACAGCAAATATACTGATGTGTGCTAGGTACCCTGCTGTATGGCTTTTCGCTGGTCAGAGTACGGGAGCAGCTGAAGGCTGCCTTCCTACTAATTTCATCATGCATAGGTAAGACCCATGCAGCTGAAATGTCCAGCCATGATCCATCTACAAAACTGGATAAGTGCGTCCTTTGATCCTGGTCGTGCCGTCTATTCCTCTCAGCTCTCGCAACATGGGGGCCAATTTGCCCATGTTGCTGTAGCGGTAGGCAGCGTGGTGAAGCTGAGCTGGCTGGTAGTGCTTACGTCTATAAGAACTCGCAGCCTGAAATGTCCAACGACTATGGGAGGTGAACGTACGTCAGTTCTTCGGGTTCTCGGCATACACCAAAGCCATCGTATTGGATTTCACTCACAGAACACCGCGACGACAACATGCGTGTCCTCGATACAACAACCTTCGAGCTACATTCCGGCGACCAGTCACAGTTCAAACGGGAGAAATATGCCATCCTCTCGCACCGTTGGGTTGGAAATGAGATCACAATCGGGCAGTTGAAGGATGTCGTCTCGGAGCTTCGTTCGCACAGAACACCAGCCAGCACTCCCCAGATCGACAAGATCCGCGGCGCATGCAAGACCGCCCGCGAGCTGGGCTACAGGTATCTGTGTATCGATTCATGTTGTATCGACAAGTCCAATGCCGTCGAACTAGACAGGTCACTCAACTCAATGTTACAATGGTATAGCGGTGCCGAGGTATGTATCACGTACCTGGGTGATGTGGATACGAGCAGGAGCACGACCTCGGTCGACGGCGGTCAGGGGCCCGACATTTTCGATAGCATCGAGAGGAAAGGGCCGTCGTTATGGTTCTCCCGGGGTTGGACGCTGCAAGAGCTGCTGGCGCCCCGCGATCTGCGATTTTACGACAGGAACTGGGACTTCATCGACACTAAACAAGAGCTGGCCGACGCCATCGCGCATGTAACGGGCATCGAGGCCGACTACCTGACGGGCAGGAAGAACTTCAGAACAGCCTGCATCGCCGCCAAGATGAGTTGGCTAGCCGGAAGGACGACGACCGAAACCGAAGACATCGCATACAGCATGCTAGGCATCTTCGGCGTTCGCATGAACACTCGTTACAGCGAGGGCACCGAGGCTTTCATGCGCCTGCAGCGAGAACTACTCACCGCGCCGAACTTGCCGAGATACGAGACATTGTTCGCGTGGAGGATGCCAGATGCAAATGCCGGTCTGCATCTACTCGGGCCAGTTCAGGACATGAACTGGCAGGCCGGCGAGTGGGGGCTGCTGGCCGCGTCTCACAAATGGTTCAAGGATTCCGGTGGCGTGACGCTTGATCAGGCGCCGCCTATCCAGAGGCCAGCGAAGGGATTCGGCATGGCAGGACAAGGCAGCGTGCTTGCCTAGCTTCCCAGTATCGGCAGGACCAAATCTGAACAGGCCCTCGAAGCGGCTGCAGTCTGGAGCTTGGTAGGGTTAGTTGGAATCCACTACGTCCAGAAGTCGTTGCCCAAGAAGCGCGGGATGAAGGACTTCGAATTCCCGCTCAGGGCTTGCGTGCGAGACTCGCGAGGCAACCTGTCGCCGTTGCGCATCCGGCTGCGTGTTGTGTCTACGGGGTTCAAGAGGGTTGGCTGTACGGCTTTTGAGCAGGGCGAGCCTGAACGTGAACCAAGGAGAGGGCGCGTCGAGGAAAGCGTCGTATTCCAGCCGATACTAAGAGATGGGACTGACGAGTAATTTGCCGATCAAGTCTTGAAATAGGACGGCGACAGGCTCAGTGGGTCATCAGGCTTGCCTGCCTCAAGTCATTTTAAGCTTGTCGAGAGGGTTGTAGATGTCAATTCCAAATAGACCACCAGATTTCACTAATGCTGTTGGATCTCGGCACTGTTGACATGTATGCATTGTGTTGCTGGAGGTACTGTTTCTTGTTCCATCATGACCAGCTCAATGTCCATTCTGCACTCCACGCACCATCGCTCGTCAGGGCATCAAGTCCCGTGAGCTGCAGGACCATCTTTGAGGCATCGAGGTTCCAGTTGTCAGGATTCACCTCTATCCCGCTCAGCTCAACCTTCGAGACAGTTCCCTGAACTCCCAGGATCGTCACGTTTCCAAGTGCGTTTGCATCCACAAAATCACCCGTAGGCTTCGCTGTTAGTGACGACGCGGAAGCCGAGAGCTGGAACCGGTCGTTAGCCCGCTGACATGCGAAGATGGACACCCAGTAATAGAAAGTAACTCACGTCAACCCAGGTAGTGGCGTCCGGGACAAGACTCTCTCCGTCGTCAAGGTAGAGCCCGCCGGCCGCCTCACCCTTTCGGTCAAGAGCAACGAGCAAGGACCACGGGCTGGCTCTGACTGTTGTGGTGGTCATTGCCGGTTCGTGCATCGGCAAAACATGGCCGCCTCGCACGTATAATGGGATATGACCCAATGGTGCATCGATGGTCACGTTCTGTGCCTGACTAACACCAGTGATGGCACTAAGGTTATACCAGTCGTACCAGACATTCCCCGAGCCCACCCCAGGGAAAACTCCATCGACAGTGGTAGCACCCTCCACCAGGCAAGGAGTAACCATGATCGCAGGGCCCAGAAGGAACTGCCTATCAGCGTTGGCGAGCCACGGTTCATTCGGAAACTCCCACATCAGAGCCCGCATAGTGGTCGAGCCTGTCGAGTGGCTCAAGTAGAAGGTCGTATAGATGTACGGGAGTAGGGCATAACGGATTCTCATGGCGACCCGACTGGCTTCTGCAACGGACGACCACAGGTACGGTTCCTGGCCTATGGCATTGATCTCGTTGTGGTTCCTGTAGAAGGGGAAGAACGCAGAGAGCTGCATCCAGCGGTTGCACAGCTCTTCATTCACGCTGTCAGCAAACCCGCACGTGTCAACACCGAACATGGGGATGCCAAAGAGAGAAAACGACAAGGCCTGAGGAATGGAGAAATATAAGTAAGCCCAATACGAATAATTGTCACCGCTGCCGCCTTTGTCAGTCCCGAGGCAGCTGGAGGAATGCATGAACAGCGCTGTGCTCGAAGCAACTTACCCCCAGTGGCCAGCTACGTTTCCGGAGCCCGCAAATTGAGACCGCCCGATGATAAAAGGTCGTTTCTTTGGGAAGATGTCGAGGAGAGCGTGATATGTCGCATTCAGCAGCTGGTGGCCCCAGACGTTGTGGAAGTCGTACTCGAGTGTCCCGCCGTGATGCGTTCCGTTTGGACTCACTGTATGATCCGCGAGGTCGCCCTTGAAGTTATTGATAGTGTAAGGAGGGTAGTTGATGTTGCGATTGTGTGTAGAGGTAGAGGGTGCTCCTGGCGTCGCGTCGACGGATCCGTAGCTTCTGTTGCTGCTCCCACAGCTGCCCACACAGAATGACGAGACTTCCGACATGTCGATCCAAATGCCGTCGAAAGCGATCTTGCTGTGGTATCGGGCCACCTCAGAGATCCACCATCTGTTGGCACCAGTGCCATTGAATAAGGCCCCGATCCAATCACCAAAGACTAGCATCGATCAGACAGGAGCAGTAAGACCGGGATTGTGTGGCATGACAAACCACTGAGACCAGGCCAGACTTCTCCAATGTACAGCGATCCATCGGGATTGAGCATAAAGGCTTCTTGCTCGACACCCCGATCGAAAGAAGGATACGCATCTGCCAGAGAACATGGGTCAGTAGTCACTCTATGTAGACAATTTGATAAGAACCGCGGTCATCTAAGTCTGTTGTCCAGTTGAAGTGTTTTGTAGGCAGGCTCGAATATGATGCTACACCCGAGGTTTGACCAAGGGCCAAAGAGACGGGTCCATGACATTACGTACCGCTGGCGTTCTTGGGGTCTGGTGCGTATATGCCCGAGTCGATGATTGGCACATAATGCTGGTTGTTTTGATGCAGTCGTTCCAAGAAGTCGACTCCCTCACTGTATGGATAATTGATCGGATCATTTTCGAAGTCCCGGTACGCTTTCATGTAGTCAATGTCATCTACTCATTCGTCAGTAAGGGCTCAGGATTTCAACATGTTAGTAGGTGTAGAGCCTCGACATTCGACATACTCCAGATGGTTTCGAGGGGGATCTCATGTTTGGCAAAGCTATCAACGACATCCTTCACCTCTGACCAGTTCTTGTAGCCCCATCGACATTGGTGGAAGCCAAAGGTCCAGTACTGCTGCATTGCCGGAAGTCCGACGGCGCTCGTCTGATACGATTTGGTGACCTCGTCCTGGCTGGGGCCCTCGTAGAAGTAGAGGTCAATACTGCCCCCTAGTGCTCTCCAGGTGATGTTAGCCTCTCGCAGAAGGACTTCCTGTGCATGGGCGTTGCGTTGAAAGACGCCGTGGGTGAAGGATTCATAGTGGGCTGACTTGTCCGTAGCGTTGGGGGCGTAAGTCAGACTACCATTTTCGTCAACCTCGAAATACCGGGTGTCGAGGTATATAGGATGGCTCCCATAGATGTTGGCGTCGATGATGTCCCCAACGTCTGCGGCGTAGAGTGTCCCTTGTGCGGTCAGGAGCATATTCGATGGGGATGGTTGCTCATTCACATACTTGTCAGATTGTTCCCGAGCCTGAAGCCATGAATGACCTCCCCGAGGCCGTACAGATTGTAGTTCTCGGGCAAAGACGAGCCAAACTCGATGAATTGGTCCTCATATACAATGCGAGAGCCGTGGGTGGTGAACAGTGTATCCCCGGTGCTCTTTCTCGTTACATTGAAGGAAAAGGTCGGCTCATTGCTCCAAGAGAAGTCGAGATCGCTCGAGGGGGCCGTCTCTGCCTCGGCCTGTGGTTTTGGGATCAGACTCTCGGGCAGAACGAACCAGGTGTAGTTCTCTTGACCAATGTACTTTGGTAGGATCTCGACGTGCAAACGGTCTGCGGCCTGGTACTCGACGACTAGATCCAGTACCTCGATGTCAGTGCCGTAGACATTGCAAGCATCATCTGCCAAGACAAGGTCTGCCGTGAAGCCAGTGCCAGTCTCCTTCACGTTGGAGGCCTTGTATCCGGGACACACCGACTGAGCATTGACGGCATTGGGATCAATGATATTGGGGATAACGGGAGCGCCGTCTCCTTCGTCGCGCGTGGCGATAGGCGCGGACTGTTGTGCCAGAATGATGCCGAAGAGGCCAAGCAGTGAAAGCACAAGCAACCGTATAGCTCGCGTCATGGTGCCTTGGTGATGTAGGCGTCCCCCGGAGCTATAGACTGTAATTGAGGATGAGGAGACGAGGCTGATGACAAGAATGAGACGAGGGATGGGTGCCAAGTGGTCATACCAGGCGCCGAATTTAGCTAAAAACAGCTGGAGAAGCGGCCATGGGACGAGCTGCGAGGAGGTGGAAGGTTCGACGATGATGGTGGACAGAGGCTGGCCGGTGGCAGGCCAGAGCCACTCGTTCATATAAGAGACTGGCTTCATGATTGCTGAAGGTGCCTTCGACTATGGGCTTCAGAGAGGCGAGGACGGGATCATGAGTGCAGCCAATCAGCCGAAGACTGCTCTATGAGAGTGAAGAGGTCGGTACGTGAGGTATGTGCCTGTATGTGTGTAATATGTAACGGTGTACGCATGAGCACGGCATGTGATAGATGGTATGATTACTTAATATACCGGTCAAGCAAGTCGGTCTAAGTCAAGGAAGCTGCTTTGCGGTGGTTGCTGCGGGGAACTTGTGACAATATACGAGAGGTAGGTCAAGCATACGGTCCTGAGTGGTTAGAGTTGGGGTCACCAGGGTCATCAATGTCTGAGCAGCCCACGCACTGTAACCTCGTATGGCATCCAGCAAGATATGTGGTGGAGGGGAATCTAACACCACCTCCATAAGTAATGTAGTATGCTGAAGTTGACTACAATTGATAATGGCGGATAAGGAGCAAGGGTGGCTGAGGGCGGTCTGTAAGATGGTAGCTGACGATGTTTGTCTTGCATGAGACAACCCTCATTGGTTTGCTGGACGGATGAATGTTTGACCACCCAAAACATGCTACAATGGATGTGAAGATGCGTCGGAGGTTTTGGTCGCAGTCCAAGAACTCTGCAGATGGCTCAAGAGAACATCCCGTGCGTACTGCTACCATATTCAATGTATGGGTGACACAAAAAACATCATGTCAAGCCAAGACACGTTGGACAGGCCCCTTATGAGCTCGTGGGTCTGCATGGTGTTACTCATCTTGTCAGACGTGAAGGTCATGAATGAACAGGTTGATCTCACATCTCGAACTCGAAGGAACGTGCCGAGAGAACTTAAGAAGCGAGAGGCGATGCTCAATACTTGCATACAACCGGCCGGCTGCATATTTCCCCAGGATTCTTGTAGCGGATGGACCGCCCCGCCAAAGCTTAGCCCAAGTTACAGTTGCGACCTTCAATCTTGAGCATTTTATACCTACCTTAGGTAGCTCCAGTTCACACGACATCGCTACGATTAAACACACGACCTCCTTCTCACCATTGCGCAACCCCCAACTTTCAGGCCCAGACACATAGCTCGCTGACCCGACCCGAAGTGACACGACACGACACGACACGACACAACAGAGATCCGCAGTCCGGCGTCGTCAGAGGCCTCGCCATCATGGCACCCGCCACGCACGCGTCGGCCTCGGAGCTGGCGCGCCAGATCCTCGAGCACAAGGCCCCCAGCTACTCCTTCAGCTTCTCGCCGTTCCTACGGTCGACATACGGCCACGGGTTCCCACCGAACCGCCCCGTCTGCAAGGCCTTCCTGGCCGGCCACTGCCCGCTGGGCGCCTCATGCCCGGACCGCCACAACACGGGCGCCGCGAGCGCCGCCGCACAGCACAGCGCCAACGCTAGTTACAACTCGCTGGTGTGCAAGCACTGGCTGCGTGCCCTGTGCAAGAAGGGCGACAGCTGCGAGTTCCTGCACGAGTACAACCTGCGCAAGATGCCCGAGTGCAACTTCTTCGTGCGGAACGGCTACTGCTCTAACGGCGACGAGTGCCTGTACCTGCACATCGACCCTCAGAGCAAGCTGCCGCCCTGCCCACACTACGACCGCGGCTTCTGCCCGCTCGGCCCCCTGTGCAGCAAGAAGCACGTCCGCCGCAAGCTGTGCCCCTACTACCTGGCCGGCTTCTGCCCCGATGGCAAGACCTGCAAGGAGGGCGCCCACCCGCGCTGGGACAAAGACCTCGAGCGCCCCATCGCCAAGAGCGAAGTCGTGCACGACGAGCCGCCCATGACGAGGAGGGACGACATGGATATGGACGACGACCACCAGAGGGGTTACGGAGGAAGGCGGGATCGCGATGACAAGGGCGGCCGGGGCGATCGCTTCGGTGGTGGGAGAGGAGGCAGATGGCGAGGTAGAGGGGACCGCAAATTCAGAGGAGGAAGAGGCCATCATCGAGATTGATCGGATGAGCCGTACATGAAAGAGAAACTCTGTTATCAAGGTGTCTCTGTAACATCCTGGGCACGCGACATGGCCCAACGGAGGGTCAGAAGGGGGCCAAGGTGCCGCCCCTTTTGACCGAACGACGTGGCATAGTGTCGACACTGCACCGCTGCACCGCCTTGCACCGATCGGCCTTCCACAGTCCTGGAAAATGATAAGGTGCATGAATATATTCTACATGCGTCCGCATGAGGGCATGCAATCCATCCACGATGGATGTAGATGGCACTGACTGCCGAGGCAGAAGTGCCAAAGAGACTGTATATACCATGGCTATGGGTATAGCAACGATATCACAACAATACCTCCCTACGTCGTCCTGCATTAGCCAGTTGTGTGTGATGTTGGTTTTGGTATTCATGCTCCAGTGGTGAGGCTTTCCAATCAATCTTCGAGGGGGGCTTCATGTGACTATGTGTACAAGATCATGGCTGGCTCCTAGCCACGTACTTCATCCGACCATCACACACGCAACAGCCAGCTCGTATCGCAAGCTAAGTCTCTTTCCAAACGTTGATGCCGCTCTCGTCCCCCTTGGCGACCTCGATGAACTCGCCGGCCTCGCCACTTTCGCTCCCGCTCGTGCTGCGGCTCCGCTCACTGCCGCTTCCATTGTACAATGAGCCGCCCTCCCAGGTGCTCAGCTCGTCTACCCTTCTAATGCCCATCATCCACGAGACGAGGCTCCGCGGCGCCCACCGCCCAACAAAGCCGTACAGGCCTGCGCCGAGGCCAACCCTGACCACGTCGCTTTTCTCCGATCCATCGACGACGTCGAATACAGCATTGTGCAGCTCACGTAGCGAACTACCGCGCAATCCGCGGATACGCCCAGCCGATATGGCCGACTCGGATTGCGACACGTAGTTGCGACCATATGTATGCCGCGCCGCTTCGGGCCACTGCAGCGTCTCGGCCGGCGGGAGCAGCCCCGGGTTATGGGGGCCGCTCCGCGTCGTGGGGGTGAAGCCTGCGAAGTCAAAGGTGCCCAGCTGCATGTGCGTGACGGGTATGGCGAGTGGGCGCAGCTCGGCCGTCAGCACCTCGGTGAAGGCCGAAAGGGCAGAGCAGACAGTGGCCTCGGGTGCATGGAATGGCGGGTTGATGGACGAGATGATGGACGGCGTGAAGACGAGGACCCGCGGTGTCGTGGGCGTCGGTGGTTGGCTTTCGCCGTGGGACGATTGCGGCGGCGTTATCCGCGATGTGAGGAGCGGGAGGAAGGACTGGATGGTGAGGATGGGATGTAGTAGGTGCGTGTTGAAGAGGCCTGCGAAGTTGGACGGCGGGATGGTGGCGATGGGCGAGGTTTGGTAGTTGAGCGACGGGATGAGGATGACGGATGTTAGGGTGAGATAGTTCGGTCTCGTTCGCGGTACGGCGGCATGTGGTGTCTGTAGATACGAAGCGAAGCGTTCAATCGAGGCACCTGCACTCGGGGGCTGTAGGATGGTCGGTTCAGGTTAGTAACACGGTCTACACGGTCATTCGAAGTTCCCAGAAGGACAACTCACGTCGGTGATGTCGATGCTGAGCGCCTTGATGTCCGACCGCGACAGGTTCTGCACTGCGAGCTCGTCTTCGATGGTGCTGCACACGATGTAGACGACGAAACCTCTCCGCTCCATGTCCAGCGACAGCGACTTTGTCAGGGGCAGGGCTGGCGATCCGGCTATGACGACGACCTCCAGTCGTCCACCGTTCCGAGCGCGCTTTGCCCGGCGAGACTTGCGCAGCAGCTTGCTCTTTCGTACGGTCCTGTACGTCACGTACCCAACGGCGCACACAATGACGCCGCTGAGCACCTTGTGCCTGACTACCCAGTCCTGTACCCGTTCGAAGGATGTCATGGGCACGATAGCCACAGGCGGCGGCTTCGACGGGGGTTTCGGTCGCACGTAGTCAGGAAGCCAGGGAGTGGAGGAGAGACTGTCCCGCACATTGTCGGCGGCCTGCTCGACGGCCTTATCGATGTAGTCGGCGACATCGCCAGAGTACCGGCGGATCTGGTTGGGGAGGGACGAGAGCTACGGCGTCGAGACTCCTGTTAGCTTGGACTCCTGTAGGCGACACGCGGAACTGGATGGCATCCGATACTGACCAGGTCCAAGAACTGTTGGTCGTCGGCCGACATGGTGACGGATGTCTACGATCGGACGTGGCTTGGGTGTAAACCGTGTAAACCGCGTGAACCGTGTGAACCGATCGAGTTGGAAGCTTCTCCCTTCCAAGGCCGCGTCAACATGGGAGATCTGGAGATGCGGAGAGCTGATCGATAAGAACCTTTGTGCTTGAACAATACCTTAATGCAAGATGATGCAACGGCCAGGCCGTGACAGTGCCAGCTATGAACAGCTGGCCGCAGCTGCTCCTAGTCCTCGAGGAATTCACCAGTGCACTTGACTCAAGTGCATTTCGCATTTCGCATTTCGCCTTGAGCATTGAGCATTGAGCTTTGAGCTTTCATTTCAGAGCTCAATGCACAAGCGTCCGTCAACCATACACAGTACCAGCTTTATGCCAATCTGTAAGGGTTATCCCAGACTATCCATTGTGCTGCGTGCTGCTTGTCTGCCCTACCTTCTGTCTCTCCGTTCTTGACACTAATCGAGGCAGAGTATACGAATAGGAGAAACCGAGGGCTCATTTCATAACTTGATACCACGACTCGGCGTGGATACGAATAGGTTACATTTGTAGGCGTGGGATGGAAGAATGCCTACTGTCGATATATACCGACGCTGCACGACGACGTAACTCCGTAGCGGGCATACCTACGGCCCACGGAGCGAGAGGGTTACAACGCTGATCGTCCACTCACGGCTTAGAAGGTATGACTGAAGATACTGTCGAAGTGGTCAACGAACCGGCTCAATGGCTGGCCGGAGATACGCCCTGCTATGCACGAGTCGTCTTCCGCCGATGTTCTCTTCGGTCCGGGCTACTCACCGTGAGCTAACTTCTGTCTACACTGCCACGGGGATAGACTCTAGCTGCAGCTTTGTTGATGTGGTCATGTCGCTTCGTGACACTCCTTACATTCTACGCGATTGGCACCCGATACTCCCTTTCCAGGGGCCACTGCTCCGCCATTCCGTCGGAGTCCGGGGGTATCTGACAGGCAACTCCAACAACTGCGTCTCAGCTCCGACACTCCGATAGCCAACAACCAACAACCGTGATACCAATGCTGCCAGCTACATGCGCGAGCAGGCTGCATGCGCCCGAGCGAATCGTAACATGACTCCATCGAGGGAGGCAGCGGCTGCTCTCATCTGCTGGCTGTCTCGGGATTCAAGCTTAGGGCTTGGATGTGTATATATACCTCCCTCTCCTTCGAGATGGGTCGACAAAAGATCATAACATCAACATTCTAGCAATAGACGCATTGATACATTGGCACATACACATATTCATCCCAATTGATATCATCCGATCACAATCAAATTAACCTCCTACACGCCATTCATATCACCATCAGCGCAACCTTGAAGATGGTTGCCAACAAGAGCCTCATTTTCAAGAAGGCCCCTCCTTCGCTACCAGTCCCCGGCGAGCATCTCGTAGTCGAAGAGCGACCATTCGACCTGCAAGCAGTCCCATCCGGAGGCCTGATCGTTGAGGTGCTGTCTGTTTCGCTGGACCCCTATCTGCGTCACAGCTTGCGCGACCCCGAAGATGACAAGACTCCATCATACATGACTCCTTTTGAGCTGAACGAGCCGTTGTACAACAGCACAATTGCACGGGTGCTCAAGTCAGACAGCAAACAGTACGCCGAGGGGGACCTGCTCTATGTCACTGCTCCCTTCGCCCAATACGCCGCTATATCCAGCGACAAGCTTCCGTCCGCCACCAAGCTCGACAACCCAGACAACCTATCACCAGACTACTTCCTCGGCCCCCTTGGCATGCCTGGCTTGACGGCGTACTCGTCGCTGTACCAGATCGGAAGGCCCAAGGAGGGCGAGACCATTTTCGTGAGCTCCGCCGCGGGTGCTGTGGGTTCCATGGTCGGTCAACTCGCCAAAGTCGAGGGCCTCACCGTCATCGGCTCCGTGGGTAGCGACGAGAAGCTTGATTACATCCTGAACGAGCTCGGATTCGATGGTGGGTTCAACTACAAGAAGGAAGCACCCGTGGATGCTCTCGCCCGACTTGCTCCTGAAGGCATCCACATCTACTACGAGAATGTGGGCGGTGCGCATCTCGAGGCGGCTATACAGCACCTCAATACCTTTGGGAGGATCGTCGTCAGCGGCATGGTAAGCCTCCACCCTGTTCCGCGCTTGTGTGTCGGTGGTGAACTTGCCATCCCACTCGGCCATCGAAATATTAGTCCTGGCATGTAGTAGCGGTTTGCTAACTGAACCGATAGATCGAGGGCTACAACAAACCACTAGAGGAGCGATACGGAGTCAGGAATCTCGTCGAGTTCTTCGGCAAACGCTTGAGCATGCACGGCTTCCTCGTAGCAGATCCAGACTTTGGGCCGAAGTACACCAAGGAACACCAGAAGAACGTGCAGAAATGGATATCCGAAGGCAGTCTCAAGGCCAAGCTTCATGTCACACATGGCCTTGATCATGCGGCGGGAGGATTCTCCCAGCTGTTCCAGGGTAAGAACTTTGGAAAGGCCGTGTTGAAGATCAAGGAGTGAGCAGATGGTGGATATTTGAGGCGTTTGTTTCGATGAAGAGTATGGGAGATGCTGCATAGACTTCTACGCACGTCACAATGGTCAAGTGTAAGAGCTGTTTTAGATTCGCTGCATCATGGCATCGTTCCCTAGACCGCTTGACTTCGATTGTGCAGTGAACACGGCATTCGTAAGTGGGCATCATGTCCATCGACAGACAGCCTACCACCAACAAGACAGCCTCCTCAATCTATACCAAGCAGCCTATACTTATCCTTGCCCAGTGCGTCCTCGACTCTCTTCATGATAGCCAGCATTTTCTCCTCCTCTAGCCGTCTGCCCACAACCTGGATTCCAACCGGGAGACCGTGCATGGCCTCCGCATCATACAGTTTGTAGGCACCCTGCGCAACTCCGTTCAACTTCTTGATGTTGAAAGTAGGCGGAAGCTTATCGAGGCCTTTGTCAACATGAGTCACAGGAATGCAACCGCACGTGTAGTCCAGCTGTTTAACTTGGCATTAGTGAAAACGTCGATCTGAAGGTAGATGGTCACTTACCACATTGAAGAGGAACGTGTAGCCACAGCTGCTCACGGCTTCCTTCATGCCGTCATGCGGCACAGCCGGCGTCGCATTCGGAGGGGTCAGCAGAAAGTCAACATCGACGCTGTTCCACCAGTCAAACCATCTGCCCCTGTATGCCTCCCGCTGAGCAACGAGCTGCCAGTTCTCATAGGCTGTCTTCTGATGCCAGTTCCGGACAAGCCCAGCCCAGATGTCGTCCCTGCGCACGTACTTCACCCACAGGTAGTACACGTACTTGAACGGCCGAGGCAGTCTCATCAGCCAGTCCATCTGGTGAGCTCCTTCGTCGTTCCACTCGCCGAACCTAAAGAACGACTTGAACATCTGGCAACCATCGGCGTTTAGTAGATGTGCGCCGAGATACAGAGCTTCATAAGGTGATGGCGGGTCAATTTCCACGATCTCGTGGCCTGCTGACCTCAAGGCCGCCTCTGTTTTCTCGAGGGCTCGGAGACACGCAGGACTTGGGTCTACGACACCGTCGGTCCTCATCACACCAACACGAAACTTGCTCTTCGTGGCGTACTCGTTCTCGACCTCAGGCCTCCAGGCCAAGGGGTGTACAGAGTGGTCATACTTCCAGGGTTGCATGCCGATCATCGAGCGCGTAAAGTAGGTCAAGTCGTTGAGGGTCCGGCTCATGGGGCTGTAGACACTGGGTATCCCTTCTTGGCCTGGCATACTCGTCGCAAAGCCGGCCTTGGGCCACCGTCCGGTCGAGCACCGCAGACTGTAGATGCCAGAGAAGTGAGCAGGAGCTCGAACACTGCCAGCCACGTCGCTGCCAATGCCGATCCTGCCACCCAGAGCCAAAAGAGCTGCCTCGCCACCGGTCGATCCACCGGGCGAGTACTTTATATTGAAGGGGTTTGTGCACCGTCCCCAGACATCGTTCGTGGACTCGAAGCTCAGTAGCGTGATGGGCATATTGGTCTTGACATAGGGCACAGCTCCAGCATCCTTGAGCAGGCGAACGACGCCACCGTCCTGTGTCTGCTTGTTACCCACGAAGCTGCTGAACCCCACGGTCGAGTCGAAGCCGCCGACGTTGATGGTGTCTTTCAAGCTCACGGGGATGCCAGCCAAGGGGCCTTTCATATTGATTGAACCATCATGGACCCAGCCCTCTGCGGCCGAGATCATAACCTCGGTGAGGCAATTTGTCTTCTCGTGGGCCTTCAACGCGACCTTGGCGTACGTGCTGAGAAGATCCGCGGGCTGAAGTTCACCCTTGTGGACATCTTGAACAAGCTCCTCAATTGGCTTGTCAACGATCTCCCTGTCTAGAGCAGTGAAGGGACCACGATATCGGGTCAGTGCTCGGAGCCTTTCTGCTCTCTCATCCTGCTTGAACTTGCTGTGTGGAATGGTGAGCCCGACGACGACTGGGCCACATGAAACTGACGGGAGTGCGAGTAGAGGGAACGTAGCGTGAACTCACCAGTCCCGTCTGTGATGGATATAGTCCAGGAAGAACACCATGGTGACGGTGTCCGTTTAGTACTCCTTGCTCGGTGGCTGTCCGACACAAGCACGTCAACATGTACCCTCGAGCACTTGTCAGTTTGTTAGTCAAGGCAGAGTCGGTGAAACTGGAGTGAGAACGAAGTTGTGGTGGCAGTAAAAGCAGTAGTATAAGCAGCTTACACAATGTGCCGCAGATAGGAGACGATAGAATAGTCCCCGTCCCCCGCTCTCCCTCGCGACCACCCTGCTGCAGCCACCGTTGCTCACCTGCATTCCCGCCGGCGATAAGCGCGTAGAACTTCCCCACAAGGAGTTGAGCACCTTGTCTACAATCTTGTCCCTTGCCAGTTGCGGTCGCCCTCCCCCACTCCCCCGACTATCGCATCTTGGAATTGGGATGACATCGGATTTGTCGGTCAGGTATGATTAACCAAAGCGGTTCGATCTTCATTCTGTTGTACGCCGCCAGACCTCTATATACAAGCCTTGCTCGTAGTCGTCCGTGTCTTCCGATTGCATATCGTTCTGGGATCGGTCATGGCATCAGCGGACCCAAAAGAAAGCAACAGGATTCTAGGCAGTGGTGCCACTTCGTGACATACAAATTATAATACACGGACATCTTCTCACCCCCTCATTGCCTACCAGAGGTACTGTAAAGTCTCGGCATTTCTGTCCATCACAAGTAAGTCTTCGCGACTTTCATACATCATCATCATCATCGTCATCATCATCATCATCATCATCATCATCACCACCGCCGCCATCACCACCCGTGGCACGGCAGTCTCGAAATGGCCACAGAGGAACCCGCATATGACCCCACGAGGACGGCATCATGGCTCGTCTGCACAGCATGCGGGACCCAGTTCCCCACGGCCAGCCGAGACGAAGTCACGACTTGCTTCATCTGCGATGACCCAAGACAGTTCACCCCGCCCGGCGGACAGGCATTCACCACTCTTGACGAGCTGCGCGCCAGCCACGAGAACACCTGGACTCCGATCCCGTGTGACGACAGGCTTATGTCAATCGTAACCGAGCCCAAGGTCGCCATCGGACAGCGGGCCATCCTGATCCGGACGCCCAAGGGCAACGTGCTGTGGGATTGCATCACGCTGCTCGACGAGGCCACCATCGAGGAGATCCAGGGTATGGGCGGCCTCAAGGCTATCGTCATCTCGCACCCGCACTACTACACGACACACGTGGAGTGGGCGCGCGCCTTTGCGTGTCCCGTGTACCTAGCGGCCGAGGATAGGCAGTGGCTGACGCAGTCGTCGTCACATCAAGTCTTCATTACCGAGACCGAGCTCGATCTGCAGATCGACGGAACATCGTCCGGCGTCAAGGTGCTCAAGCTTGGCGGCCATTTCCCGGGCTCGCTCGTGACCCTGTACGATGGCCGGCTCTTGATCGCCGACACGCTCGTGACGACGCCCGCCGGACTGGGAAGCTGGGATACAGACGCGGCAGGGAACACCCGAACCCGGCCGCAGGGGATGAACAGCTACGCATTTCTGTGGAGCATCCCGAACATGATCCCACTGGCGCCCGACGAGCTGGAGAGGATGTGGAATATCTTGAAGAAGTACGAGTTTAGAAGCTCGCATGGGGCGTTCTTGAATGTGGATATCGTGAAGAGCGAGGCGGAGATGAAGCAGAGATTGCTGGAGAGCATGCAGATACAGATCAAGTATTCGGGCTACGGTAATCATACAATGCTGAAGGAGACAACCGGTTGAACAGGTGATGGTGTAGCGCCAGGTCGACGTGCAACCTATCAAAATCATACAATGAACACTGTTGATTACTCTTACAACTTGCTCTCTGCCGTCTGAGGGATTTTGACGACAACCTTGCCCCAGGTTTCCCGACCGCCCAGCGCCAGCAGAGCGTCGGGGATCTTCTCCAGCCCTACAAACTCCTGATCCGTAAACACGGTGCCCTTGAACTTGCCCTGCTCTATCAGCTTGCCAATGCCGTTCCAGACGACGGGGATGGTCTCGGTCTCGAACCGGGCGTAGGCGCCCCAGTGTATGCCCACCAGGGAGATATTCTTCAGCAGCACCTTGTTCATGGCCACCTTTTCGATCTTGCCGGCAGCGAAGCCAACAACCAGAATGCGGCCGTTCCACGCGATACACTTGGTGGACTTGTCAACGATGCCGACGGGATCGTACACAATGTCGACGCCGCGCCCCTTGGGCGTCAGTTTCTTGACCTGGTCCGGCCACTTGTCGTCGCGGTAGTCGACGAAGTGATCAGCACCGAAAGCCTTGGCCACCTCGAGCTTCCTCGGGCTTCCTGCCGTTGCGATGACGGTGGCACCAAATGCCTTGGCGATCTGCACAGCTGCCAGCCCTACTCCCCCAGCGGCGGCGTGGACCAGCACGTAGTCGCCGGCTTTGATGCCAGCGCGTAATACTAGAGCGCCGTAGCTCGTGGGCGCCGTGACGAAGAGGCCGGCGGCATCGGCGAAGGACCACCCTTCCGGCACGGGCAGAAGCTCGTGCTCGCGCGCACACACTTTGGTGGCATAGGCGCCCTGGCTGGCGCCGAAGACGCGGCTGCCGACGGGGAAGCGGGGAGACTTGCTGTCGGCGGGCGTGGACAGCACGACGCCGGAGAACTCGGCGCCCGCGACCCAGGGGAGGGCTTCAGAAGTGATTAGATTGGGTACAGATTACATGGTTGGGCATGACAGGGACATACGCGGCTGGTTCTGATATTTGCCCGCTATTTGGAGGATATCACTATGGTGTGGTACGGTGCCACCTTAGTACTCGTAAACTCTTTTGCCGGAGATACAATCAGCACCCAGTACCTTAGTTACTTACTATTGAGACGAGGTTAGTACAAAGTCAAGACAAAGGGACAGGTTGAATCTTGAAACGGGCTCTCGGGGTACGCGAAGAGGAAGTTTCTTACGTACCAAGAAGTTGGTTGCGGCGGCGTGAACTTGGATGAGATATTGGCCGGCGCCGGGCTCCGGGTCCGCCAGCTCGTCTACCTTCAGCTCTTTAGGCCCCTACGAAGCGTGTTACTGGTGAGATGTTCAATCCTTTGTCTGAATCTGATATCCTCATATCCTTCCTTACCTTGACATATTCGACCACTTGGATACCCCGCATGATGATGCCACAGTCAGGATGAGAGTTGCGAGTCGGGCTAGGCAGGAAATGAGGTTTGTTAAAGTACCTAAAGGAATATACAAAAGACAATGCGCGGTCGTATTATTTACATTTGGAACCAAAGTAGACAGGAGAGATGAAGACTGGGCGATGGACATTCATGTAGGTACGAGAGTTGGCAGAGTTGACAGAGAGCCTCAAGCCTCGGCATGCTGCTCATTGGTGGCAGTGCTGGTTCCCTAGTGGTGCAAATCCCACAGGGGTTCTCTCGCCTGCCTTATCAACGTGGGAATTTGCATTTGCTTCACATGATTTCGCCGCATGCTTTGAGTTCTAACACGTGTACTATGGATGCTAGCTATGATGCCGAGAACACGCTTGAAGCTGTTCCAGTCAAGCTCAAAGTCGAGCACCTTCATCACGAAGGGCTGTAGATGCCAAGAGAAGACGAACGATTTCCGCGGGGGCATCTGGGACAACCTCATTAGAGTGATACCTCGTCCACCTCCTGGTCTTGTGGATCCAGTGCATGGACCCATATGGAGTATTCTGGTAACCCCACCAGATATGTTGGAGGTGGTTACCTGATGAAGGCTGCCTGGCAACCCTTTGTTGCCCCAGGTACCTCACCACTGTAATTTAGGTATTTAGATACATCTCGGATGGAATCCTTTCCATGCGACCTTTTAATCAAGCACCACCCAGACCACTGATAGATTACAACAAGACTTGTGATTTATCAGCATATGGGAAAGCTACCAAAAGGCACAGTCTGACTGCTTGTGAGTTTTAAAGATATTCATACAGAATGCAATGACGTGTGACCCTGAGAGCATGACTGACAATTATCCTGTCTCAGGGCTGGCTGAGGTGTTCACTGTTCAGGTCTCTCTGCTGGTGGTGGTCTCACTGCAGGTGCAGCTGGAGGTGCAGGTGCTCAACCATTGGAACCTTGTGTCGTGCCCCGCCAACGCCAGCGGTCGACTGTTGTTTTATACAGTGGACCCTTCGCGTAAGGTAATGTTCATAATCGACTTGGAAGGCTGGGCTGGACGGTTCCATTGAACCAACCAGGCCATCTACGCATCTACGTAATCACGTCTGCCACCTAAGGTATACCTCCCATCTCACTTCACCATCACACAGAGCAACGCAGTCGGCCGCCCGCAACATTACACCGACAGTATTCGAGCTGATCTCGCAGCTCTCCGTCTGTAGCAGCATCTCGTGTACTTTGTCTTGCCTCAGGTCCTACCTACTGTGCGTTTGGCCACTCCTCCGCACCCCGCGCTGCCATATTCCTCCAATTGCCCGGCGCAATCCTGCCTCGTATCGCCTCACCTCGCCTCGTCTTCACGCAACCGACAAACGCGCCGAGTACGTCCACATCTGGCCATGGCCGACCCTTCCGCAGAGGGTGCCGCGAGCCCCGACGTCACCTTCAAGGTTAAGACGTCGGGCGACAAGCAGCACACCATCACCATGTCCGAGGCCGCCACCGTAAACGACCTCAAGGCCAAGATTGCCGGCTCCGACTTCGAGGACATCCCCATCGAGCGCCAACGTCTCATCTACTCAGGCCGTGTTATGAAGAATGACGAGCCTCTTAGCACCTACAAGATCAAGTCGGGCAACACCGTGCACCTGGTCAAGAGCGCTGCCAGCAACCCCGCGCCCGCGCCCGCAACCACCTCGTCGTCCACGCCCCAGCCGCCCCAGGTGCCCACCAACATGGCTGCCGGCACTGCCAACAATCCCCTCGCAGGCCTCACCGGCGCGCGCTATGCTGGCTTGACCGGCCTGCCATCCGCCGACATGTTCGGTCCTGACGGTGGAGTAAGTACTTCCGTTATGCTCGGCTACATATCTATACCGAATACATACTTATCTATTATCTTGTCATGAAGATGGTTGGCTCCGGGGTCGACGATGAGCAGCTCGCCAACATGCTGGACAACCCTAACACGGCGCAGCAACTGAACGAGATGCTGAACAACGACCAGTTCATCGACATGATGATCCAGTCCAGCCCCGCGCTCCGAAACAACCCCAACGCCCGCGAGATGATACGGTCGCCCATGTTCCGCCAGATGATGTCGAACCCCGACACCCTGAGACAAGCTGCTCGCATGCAACGCATGATGAGGGGCAGCAATGGAGGCCAGAACGCCTTCCCCATGCCTGGAGTAACCGACAACACTCCTGGCGACGGAGCCGCGGCCGGTACGGGAAACAACAATCAGGCCGCAGGAGCCCAGGGCCAAGCCAGCCCCTTCAATCCCTTCGATCCTGCCGGCTGGGGTAACATCCAGGTTCCCGGAGCGGCCGGCGCAGGTGCCAATGCTGCCAACCCGTTCGGCGCTTTCTTCAACCCTTTCGGAACGCCACAAGCTGGTCAGGGTGCAGCTGGCACCACGGGCGCAACGGGCACCACGGGCACGACCCCGGCTCAGGGAACGACTGGCGCGCAAGCCGACAACGCCACCGGTCAAGGTCAAGGCACCGACGCTACAAATCCTCCGCCGAACCCCTTCGCCAGCCTGTTTGGCGGTATGAATCCCGGCGCAGGCGCAGGTGCGGGTGCAGGAGCTGGAGCAGGCGCAAACCCTTTCGGCATGCCGCCCATGTCGCCCGAAGCCCTGCAACAAATGATGCAGTCGCCCGAAGCCCTGCAACAAATGATGCAGATGCTCGGTATGGGATCTTCCTCGGGCTCTCCAGCGCCAGCGGCACCAGCAGACAATCGACCACCCGAGGAACGATATGCCGAGCAGCTGAGACAGCTCAACGACATGGGCTTCTTCGACTTTGACCGAAATGTTGCTGCCCTCCGACGCAGCGGTGGAAGCGTTCAAGGTGCTATCGAGCACCTTCTAGGCTCGTAGCATTGACAGACTACGCGCATCGGATTTGGTGGCCCCCTTTTCCGACTACCCATTACTTCTGGCACCCCTTTCATGTCGGTACTTTGCAGGTTCATCGTTGGAGTGGCTATTCGCTCGTTCTGCTCGTTGGTCACAGTGGAAATTTCCTTCCGAATGCGAAGATTTTCAGCACGGCGCTGCGGCCTCCGATGACGAGCATCCGCGAGAAGAGCCAGAGATGAAAGTTCCGAGAACCACCAGCACGTAGATCCGTGGATTCGGTGGTCGCTCTGCATGAATCACAAGAAAATACCAATAGCGGTAGATAATAGACCGCTGTATCTTTCAAACGAGTGTTCTGATCTGCCCTGACTGTACTAACCCTTGAGATATTCTCTCGTCCACCCACCCACTCAGTTCAAAACTCACCACTTGTAACCATGGTCGGCCTCCTTGCCGGTACCGCTACCCACCCCCATGTGAGCTTCCACACCGACCTTACTACTTGTGGGCGCTGAACAAACCCACCACCAGACCCTTATTGAACTTCACTATCGAATCCGTCATAGTCCCATCGGCGAGCTTGTTGAAGCAGAAGCTGGTGATGGTCTTCAGCTGTCCTGCCATCTCGGCCTGGCGCCGAACCTCGCCCTGCTCTGCCACCTGCACAATACCGGTCGCGGCCCAGAATTCGCCCCAAAACGCGTCCTCGAGCTCTGCACGACAGTCGTAGTATTTCCACGCGCCAGCAATATAGGTGTCTTCGGCATTCCCGTCCTTTCCAACCCTCTCGTCCTCGTCATCGTTGTCATTTCCCGTGCTCAGGAACAGCGCCCCGAGATCCGTGCCAAAGGGCGCAATGCGCGCAAGGGACCAGTCCACGATGCCGGTGATATCGCAAGCGGTCTCGTCGAGCAGGATGTTGCTCTTTGCAAGGTCGCCGTGGGCCAGGGCCTGCGGATAAGCTTTGGCCCCTTTGTCGGTGCTGCGGTTGAAGAGGATCGGGATCGCGGCCTCGATCTCGGCGATGGCGTCGCTGAACTTGGGCGCAAAGTCGCGGATGATGCCCATGCGGCGGATGGCATCTTGGGTCTCTTTGTCTCCGTCTTCGTCTTTGTTGGTGGTGCCGCTGGCGGGTGCGCGCTGCGGGTGCATATAGCACCGCGCAAAGTAGCGACCCAGTGCTCGTAGGTACGTGATGCGCTTCCTCTTATGCTCGCCGCTCAGCGTCATCCGTTTCGCTTTGGAGCTCTGGGCTTCATCTTCGGCCTCGCACGCCCCGGATACAGTCGAGGCGGCGGTCCCTGGCTTGCAGGGCATGCGGCAGACGTGCAGAGGGTGCTGCGGACAGGCCGTCACATCGCCGCAGTACGCCGCCGAGGCGGAAAGAGATTATTTCTTTCGTTGTGCGCGTGCCTACTACCGTGTACGAGAGCGAGCCCTGCTGCGAGACGGGGCGGATGTCGGTGTAGGATGATCCTAGGATCGACTTTGCTACCTCTTTGCACTGGTCGAGAGTGGCGACCCTGGCAGGACCTAGGAGGTGCTCAAAGAGGGTCAACCAAGGCATGGTGGTGATTTAGAGAGTGGTGATATCTTTGGTTGGCAAAGGAGTCAGCCCCTGAGGGAAACGAGTGTGTATTGTCTCTGAAACGTATGCGGCGGACGAGACGTTGGCTGCGGATGTAGAGGGTTGCGATCATACATCCAGGTTCGGTCAGTTCTTGAGCTGCAGAGTCTACGTGGATATGATCATATCAAAGGGCTGGTGAACCTCAGCAGTGCTTTCTTCGTTGCATTCTTTGTGCCCTTTCACCTGTCGCCTGGGCCTGAAAGGTTGGAGACGTCTAACGGCTCATCTGGGTTGGAGATTGCTTGGTTTCGTGATGGAGGTTGCGCATGTCGTCGAACAGTTAGATACACTGAAGCCTCATAAGTCCATGTCTCCGTACACCACCCGTCCGGCAAACGATAGGATATTTATTTTAATTGGAATAAGCACACCAGAATAAGTATTAGAAGTAGCGTATAAGACCACAGCTGCTTATTCCTTTATGCTTATTCCAGTATTTTCATTTTTGCCACGGATCTTGCAAGTCCCAACCCCTTTCTAAATGTGCATCCCCAAAGCTTGGTGGCAGAAGCATTGTTCACGATAATCCAGGAATCGTCCTTCCAAGTTGATCTCTTTGCTTATGGCCGTGTGGAATGCCAGCTGAGGCTGTCGTAGTAGAACCACAGGTCACACTCTCCCTATAGCGATCACGTTGCTCGACGCGAGCAAGACAAGCCCGAGTCGATGCCGCTGCCTTGTTTTACCTGCGCAGAAAGTGCTTGCTCTAGCACGTAGCAGTGTAATATAATATCATTCAGAACCCAGGACCAAGTCGTCATATATCAAGAAGCTAGACTTCTGGAAGAAAGAAGATAGCCGCCCCTGGACATCGGGTCATTAACCTATTCTTCCCGCACGCAAAGCCTCCCAGCAGCATCACGGCTGTTCATTTTCGCAATTGCTAGCTTTGGCGTACGTTTCTTGACCCTTAGACATATTGGACGGGCACCCATCATAGTCCTCCCCTTCTCTGTCCCGATGCTGCAATGTCCGGTCCATCATCCCACGGCGCTTAGAAGGCATGCAATATAGGGCGTCTCCCCCTGCCTCCCCAATGTCCGCTGCCGTGCTGAAGAGGCAGCTTGGTCTCAAGGTACAAAGACTGCATGATTGATAACAGTCAATAGCAAGCCTGCTATATTGTACATGTACCCAAACGGCCCGACCGGCTGCGACTGCGCGACATAACTTCTTCCCTGCCTCCCTTTACCGAGGCTTGATCCTGCGGCGCATGGAAGCTGAGCAAGGTACCTACAATACCTAGCTGGCGTTGATCTCCCCTTCGGAATGACGGAAAAAGAGGTAGCAAGGTATGAAAGGTTAGCCCTGGCTCTCTCACCTAATTCAACTTACAAATGGTCTGATGCTTGAGAATGGCTCCAAGCGAGATGGTGGTTTCTGCCACTGGGGGTCTGCGACCAAAGAAAGCACGGCGTGATGAGGCAGCTTCTGTCAAACTTTGTCAACTTGGGATGGTCCCTACTACATCCTAGCGCGGTGCTGAGACGAAGCCAAACGGTCTAACTTCTAGTCAGGGAAAGCGAAGGTTCAAGGAATGCCAGGGGAGGCCGGATATCGTCACCGAAGACCATGCATCCCGGTATCATTGAGAGTATGTAATTGGCATCAATGTCGATCTTCATTGCTCATACTTGTGAAATGCCTCGGTACCTATGTAGTACCAGTACCATCATCCATTCATGTTGTCCGACGACCTCGTTTGGGAATGGCCTCATCTCGGGTTGGCCGAAAGGGCGTCGCAAACCCCAGATGCGTCATCGCAGCTGGTCCAGCTAGCCCAAAACAGCTTGAGCTTGCGCCAACAGACACCTTCTAGAAGCATTTATTAATATGCGTCACTAGCCAGTAGCAGGTTCACGATGGAGTGTGGAAATTGCGCCAACCTAGGATTAGGCAAGTCGCAACGGTCGTCTCATGTCAGATTGTCAGTTCGTTCATCGAGAACTTTCCGAGTTGGTTGCGGCATTCGGCTCGCCCGACGTCACTTTGTGCATCTAGCTAACCTCTACTCACCTTGGCCATCTTCTCAAACGGTGGCAGCATGATAATGACATTAAACTCGCGCCAGCTCTTGCGGGATTACATCCAGAGTGGCAGGTTGATAACTAATAAAGCTAGTGCTGGGCCGTTGGGCTTGGGCTTTCAACACAAGACAGGCTTTGGAGAAGGGCTGTCAGCAACAGGCCATTTTGATCTTCCATCATCTCCCCCATCTCAAGTGTCCGATAGAGATAAAGAGAGGCGGCGAAACGGCCGGTCGCTCCCGTCGAGACAGGTAATCTAATGAAATGGGAGAGGCGTTATTATAGTCCCATACCGCCGACGGGCTATTCTTAGCTTCCCAGCTTCGTACTTCCAGCTTCCTGCTTCATGAACGCGTGAGCTGACGAAAGTCCGACCCTGTCCCCGTCCCCATTTCATCCCGCTCTGTCCTTCTACCGGACCGTGACAGCAGCTACCTGGCGAGCAACTCGGCGTGACTGGCGTGACTGGATTGCCCCGTCCGGCTGCTGGCCCGTTGAGGCCTTGTTCCCGCCTCGTTGATCTCACTGACCCCCGTCGCAAATATGTCATGCATGGTGGCCCTGGGAGCGATCTCCCTCGAGAGTCGAGGGTATCCCAAACATCTACCGTGGGTCATGATGATCCTCAGCTGGGGAGATTTGGAGATACTGTCTTTTCTCCACCTCTCCGTGCTGGCGGCTTTCAGAGTTCCCATGGAGTTTCCTAGGCTGGTCAAACCCGGGGAGGTTTGAAACCATAGTGCAAGGCCATGGGAGTTCCTTGCTCTACACAAACCGCAATTATGTTATAACCTGGTGGCAGCTCCGAAAATGAGCCTGTTCTGACACATCTCCATTTCAGTCGTACTGCTGCTGCCGTCTTTCTCGCGTTGATGACTTGCACCAGAATCTCGCCCTAAACTCCAAGTCACGGACCTCGCGTCTCCTCTTGCGCCAACATAATGACTTCGTCGTCACGGAAGCGGTTGTCCGCCAGCGTATCGAGTGTCATGTACACCAATGCCGTCTACTTTCCGAACTCCAAGATATACAGCGGCGCCACGCCCGGTATGATGAACTACAGCTGTATAAATCACGTGTATTACGCTTTTGCCAATGTCGCGGCGGACGGGTCTGTCTTTGTGAGTTGCAACGAGCCAGCGTGGAGATGCAGAGACATGTGTTCCTAGAATGCCGCAGAACGTTGAGGCTGACATGGTGACCAGCTGAGCGATGAGTGGGCAGACGCACAAGCTCCGTGTGACGGCGTCCACGGCGGGCTGGGTTCCCTGATGCACCTCAAGCAGGCCCATCCGCATCTGCGCGTGATCTTGTCCATCGGCGGCGGCTCATCCAGCGACACGTTCCCCGTAGTTGCGTCCGACACGTTACTACGAGACAACTTTGCACGGTCAGCACGAGGACTGGTGGAGGCGTCCGGTCTAGACGGCATTGACAGTACGAGCCCCCATCGCATATCACCTACGAGGCGTGAGACCTAGACACGGGCACCATGCTGACTCGAAGCGTAGTCGACTGGGAATACCCTATGGATCTCCAGCAGGGCGCCGACTTCATTGCGCTCCTTGCCAGCGTCCGAATTCATCTTCCCGAAGATGAGTTCATCGTCACAGCCGCCCTGCCATCTGTTCTGCCCGTCCTTCAGAACATCGACATCGCACAGGCCGCCCCGTACGTAGACTTTGTTAATCTGAAAGCGTACGACTTCTTTGGCCACTGGACGCAACGGAGCGGACACCACGCGCAGCTATACTCGATGCAGAAGGACGAGGCCTCGGGCTCCTCTGGCGTGTCGTACCTGGTGGCTCACGGCTGCCCACCGAAGAAGATCCTACTGGGCATTCCCGTCTATGGGCGCAGTTTCCTAGGGGTCAGCGGGCCGGGCCATCGCCACAGGGGCGCCGGAGGGGACGACGGGTCGTTCGAGTACAGCCAGCTCCCGCGGAAGAACGCGAAGGAGTTGGTGGACAAGCGGCTAGGTGCGGCCGGGTGTGTGGGCGGCGACGGGGGCTTCGTGAGCTACGACACGCCCGAGACGGTCAAGATCAAGGCGGCGTATTGCAAGGAGAAGGGCTTAGGTGTAAGTTTATGTCTCCCCGCTCCTCCTTTTCGTTTCCCTCGGTGCGTTGGACCTGAACGGGAGCTGAACTTTGCGCTTTAGGGATTGTTCTACTGGACGGGCCCTGCGGATTCTCGTGACAAGGCGCGAAGTCTAATCGCGGCAGGTTTCCGCGCGTTGCACAGTTCGTGATTTGGCGGGCTTCGAGATACCCAGGTTGCATTTTCCCGGCGTCAAAAATCCGTCCAAAGACACAGACGGCTGCGCTCTGTCTTGTAGTCTGGTTTGTATGGGGTACGTGGCGTTGGGATGTATTCCAATGTTCTTTACAAGTCCGGCGAATGGGGCGGACATTGGGTATATCGAGAGATGGCGTAAACGGATGGCAATCCAAAATCGGCGAACATGATGGTATAACAGAGACATCAAGGGCAGACCAAGGGGCACCGGCTATAAACAGTTCCCGGCCTACACATAGAGTGCAGAGCACAACACGGATGGGGACTCATACCTTGTTATAAGAGCCTCTCGAGGCACAATGGCGTACTTGAATAGAGATTTGACGAGGAATGCAATGATTATGATGGGACAACCACTTGATGTATATTCCCCGGCAGTCTCGTCGTATCGTCGTATTGTTCCGATGACTGCATATGCCGTGTTTTCCAGAACGTGAGGTGTTGACAGACATCGTGAAGAGTGAAAGGTAGAAAGGTGGGAGCCGGTGTAGGGTGGCGGGGTGGGCGGCAGATGGTCTGAGCTTTGCTGAGGTAACAATTGAGCAGCACGGGCAGCCAGCAGTTGGCTTCAGTTGGCTTCAGTCAATGGCAGCTGAACAGTGAACACCACCACTTGCCAGTACAGCTTCTACCCTCGTCGAATCGTCGTGCTTGTATTGTACTTTCAGAAAGGCCACCACTGACTCAGTTGCAGACCTGCACAAAGTTCAATGTGGACAGCTTCAACTACTACACCCTGACCAAGCCTCCATCGGATGATCATGACAATAGCAACCTTGAAGACCCGGCCGTGAACGCACAACCGTCAATGCGACGGCGCTATCCAACATGTATGCGAATGGCAGCGCAGCCGACGCGCTGTCTCTAGACGCAGGTCAGTCCAAGGTCAGCCCCAGCCCAAGCCCAAGCTATTCAGGGTGCTCACTTCCATCTTCCGTCTTCCAGCCGACTACGACCCCGTCCAACACCTCAACCTCCTCTTCGCCCACCCGTCGACCGTGTCCTCCGTCAGCCGCGTCTCGACCACCCTCGCCGCCGAGCATCATGGCCTCTCGCGCGACATCGCCGCCCTGCAGTCCGCCCAGGCCTACGGGCCCGACTCGTCGCTCGAGCGCATGCAGTCTGCCCAGGCCGACCTGCAGGCCCTGTTCCGCAAGATCGAGACCGTGCGAGAGCGCGCCATAAGGACCGAGCAGAACATCACCCAGATGACCCAAGACATCAAGCGTCTCGACGGCACCAAGCGCAACCTGACCCTGTCCATGACCGCCCTCAAGCGCCTGCAGATGCTGACCACCGCCTACGAGCAGCTGCGCGGCCTGGCCCGGACCCGCCAGTACCGCGAGTGCGCCAGCCTGCTGCAGGCCGTGCTGCAGCTCATGCGCCACTTCAACAGCTACCGCAGCATCGACCAGATCGCCACCCTCAGCCGCGGCGTTGGCGACCTGCAGCGCGAGCTGCTCGAGCAGGTGTGCGAGGACTTCGAGATCGCCTTCGCCAAGGGGGAGGTCGGCTCGCGCAAGGCCGTGCTGGTCGAGGCCTGCGGCGTTATGGACGCCCTCGGTGACAACGCAAGACTAAGACTCGTCAACTGGTACGTGAACACCGAGCTGCGCGAGTACCGCCACGTCTTCAGGGGAAACGACGAGGCCGGCAGTCTGGACAATATCGGAAGACGGTATGCCTGGTTCAAACGGATGATGAAGGGCTACGAGGAAGAGCACGCCGCCATCTTCCCGCCGCATTGGCGCGTGGGCGAAACGCTAGCCATGGCCTTCTGCGACGGAACGAGGGATGACTACAAGGGCATTCTGGAGAAGAGCATGCGGAAGGCAGACGGAGCCAAGATCGATGTCAACCTGCTGCTGAGCTGTCTGCAGGAAACCATGGATTTTGAACAGAGCATTGAGAGGAGGTTTGCGAGCGAGCCGCGGGCGAGCATTGACACGCTGAGCTCAGCAGACGAGAGGACCCAAAGCTTCAACGGCTCCATATCCGTTGCATTCGAGCCATACCTGAGTTTATGGGTAGAGTCGCAGGACAAGGCGCTCGCAGTCATGATCCCGAGGTACAAAGGGCAACCGTTGCTACCAGCCGACGAGGAGTTCTCTTCGCAAGCAGTCATCAGCTCCGCCATCGAGCTGTTCCATTTCTACAAACTCACACTATCCCAGTGCGCTAAGCTCTCTACCAGCGAACGGTTGCTGGACCTCACCAAGACGCTCGCCAAGTATCTGGACGAGTATGCACAGCAAGTTCTGCTCGCGATTCTGCAGAGGCCCGGACCATCGGCCGCCTCGGTGGAGGACATTGTCCTGGTGCTGAACACAGCAGATTTCTGGCACACCAACACGGGCCAGCTCGAAGAGAACATTAAGAAGCGGATAGATCACGAGCTTGTCGGCAAGGTCGACCTGACATCGCAAGCAGATGCATTCCTAGGCGTTGCCAGCGCTGCGGTTCTCGCACTGGTCAACAAGGTCGAGGCGGACTGTGACGGGGCGTGGCGGGAGATGAGAAACACGAACTGGAGCAAGATGGAGAGTGTCGGAGACCAGAGTTCTTATGTCGGCGAGTTGGTCTCGCACGTCAACTCCAAGGCCCAAGAGGTCCTGGGCGTCGTGGCCAAGCAGCAATATGCCCGTGCGTTTGCTGACAACCTCGTCGAGCATCTGGCCGGCACGTACATATCCAACATCGTGCAGTGCCGACCTGTCTCCGAGGTTGGCGCTGAACAGGTAACCCGCCCACATCTGATATCGCTCTGAGCCGAATACTAACAATCACAGATGCTACTGGATAAGTACGTCCTCACCAAAGCCTTCGAGAATCTCCTCTCCTACCACAACCCTTCGACGACACCACATGCTCCTCCTGCAAGCTTCGTCAAGCGCGTCAACGCCACCATGACGCGTCTCGACCCTCTACTCAAGACGCTCCAGGTCCGCCCCTCACCGCCAGAAGGTCTTGTGCAGGCCTATCTGATCCACATTGGGGACCGGTCCGACACAAACTTCAGGAAGATCCTGGAGCTCAAGGGTGTGCGGAAGCAGGACCACGCTCACCTGGTCGAGCTTTTCGGCATCCACCGCGACAGTAATACCAACAGCAAGCTTGTGGCCCAGAGCCCGCTCCTGACTCCCCTCATGAACGCCGCCGGGTTGGGAGGGATAGGAATAGGCGGCATAGGTAACCCGGCGACGACGTCTCTCCTGGCATCGGCAGCGCCGGCGCGCTTCGACCCTACTTCGCTGGGCGAGAAGCTGCTCAATGCGGCGCGTGACGGCGTTGAGCGGATGGGCACGCCGTCCTCGCAGCAGCAGCAGCAGCAGCCAGGCCAGGCGACTGGTGCCACGGCGGGGCAGAACGCCGCCAGCATCAACGAGAACTTGAAGAATTTCGGCAAGTTCTTCCGCCGAGATATCGGAGGTCTGGGCGCCAGGTTTGGGAAGAGGGAGGGGAGCGTGGACGAGACGGGGCGGTGAGCTGAAGATTGACGGGGTGCCTTTGGGAGGGTACACATGGATCGGTTGAATATAGCATAGCGTGGCTGGATATAAACCATTGCGTTCACTTTGTGTTGAAGTATGCTGTCGTGATCATGTCGTTGTGACCAGTGTGCGCCTACAACGCTGGGCAATCTTCTACGACACACACATGGTCAGGAGGTGCCTCCGAAGCCGTCCCAGCGGCCATATTCGCCTGGTGCCTTGGTTAGGGGCAGATCGGGGACCAAAGCTAAGCCTATGGCTTCATGCTGGCAAAGTCATCAGCATAGTTTCCTAGCCGTTCGCATACCCCAGTGTGTCGACCAAAGGACTGTAGTGGCGAAAGAAGACGTATTTGAAGCCTCATGAGGCATACAGGTACGCTTCAATACAGTGCCGCCTCACGATCATTAGAGGTGACAAGTCGCCATATCCTCTTCCCTGGACCGCAGCCAATGCAGTACAATGCCGGAAATTCCGATGCTATAATACGGCTACGCGAACCACCACTGCCTGATTCCGGTATGTTTGCAAGATACAAAGTTTATATACTAGGTGTACTGGATACAAGGACAAGGCCTGCGCCTAGTCCCACGAGCTCTCGACACCGAGGCCAGCTGGGAGAAAAGGAAAGCATGACATTGATCGTGCAACTTCATCGTATCGTCCCAGCCCCGACTCGTCCGCCCAGACCATCTCTCTCCAAGGTACCTTAACTTCTAGTCCCATCCCTTCTATCCCAGCCATCCTTCTATTCCAGCGACACGACAACCGTTCAGGCCTTCCACACGCGCTTGATAGCCTCGGTGACACCAACATCGTTGGTCTCGAACTCGTACAATCCAATGCCCACGAGCACGGTGACAGCGTTGAGCCCCCACATCAGGCCCTTGCGTGACTTGGGATAGCGGCTGTTGGGGACGTAATCGATGAGGATAGACTGGAAGCCCATGTGGCTGTGGACGAGCATCAGGCCGCACAGCAGGGCGTCGGTGGCCGGGTTCAGCGAGCCGGCGGCGAAGGGGGTGATGGTCAGCGGTATGAGGCCGGCGGCGATGGTGCGCTCGAAGGTCCAGTGGTAGGAGCCGTGTGTCGGCGACGGAGATGGTACCGGGGCCGGGTCGTTCACTGGTGGTGGTCTGGGTTAGCAGAGAGGATATATGCCTGGTGTCTGTGCTGTGCGATGTGCATTGCGCGATCTGCTACTGCCACGACCACAGAGCGGCACGCTGCGTGCGGATTGACGTACCAGATCCGTGGATGACCTCTGCGCCGGGACTGTTAGCAAAATGACTAAAATGGCACCCTCGGTACGTGGTGGGACATACGAGGACCCGGAGGCAACAGGCGTCTCCTGCTCGAGGCATGGAAAGCAGCAGCCTTGGCAACAGCTGATGGCATCGGCTGTTTCGACCGGAGTGTGGTGGTGATTGCTCGCCGGGTCGGGGCGGCCGGGGCTGTGTGCCGCAGCAGCGTCGGGCGCAGTGCAGAGGCCATGTTGACTGATTTATCACGAGATTCCGAAGAAGGAATCGGAGGTCGCTTGCGAGTTTGACGGACTCTCGTTGCCGACAAGAGGGAGTCCAATTAGTGCAAGACGAGACGGTCGTGATGATGATGACGGGTCTGCGTGCCATCGGGTGAGAGTCGATTGCCGAGGACAAATGCGACCTCTCCCATTGGCCAGCCGCCCGATGCAGCAAGCCGGGTGCATTATGCTGAGTAGATGCATTGCTACTTCCGCTATCGATCATATGCACATAGGCGGTCATAGGCGGCCCATCGGCGCGTTCCTTTGTCGCGACGCCGATCTCTCCTCTGGTCCAAAAAAAAAGTCGCTACCTGGAGCTCGAAGCATCCCGTCGCATCGCATCGGTCATACGAACCTCGCTGTCGCAACCACGGACCGAACCATATAGACAGACAGACAGCCCGCCAGAGAACAATCTTCACGCATGTGCGTCTCGGTGCTGATGTCCCGTATGTGGTAATATCTGCATTGACGAGCCCAAGTGCTCCCGATACACTCTCCTTTCTTCCTAGCCGACTGCAAACATGGTGGCAGCCGCTCTTCTCGCAAGCTCCCACAATGCGCGCTCCACACTCTGCCGAACATGTCTTCTACGATCCCTCGCCTCGAGGCGACAACCGAGCCGGTTCATCGGGTTAAAGGTCTTGGAAAAGCGCCGCTTGGCTCATGAGGCCTGGCAGGAAAGGGCCCGCCAGATCGAGGCCGGAGAGGTGCCGCATCTCTGGGACACCCTCAAGGAACGTGGTTTCGTCAAGGATACGGCTGGGTGAGTGCTTCTACTGATCTTCTACTCTGCTCAGAGTACCGCTGCCCTGATGCTGACCGCCGCCACAGCACCGATGACCAGATCAGCGAGCTCATGCGGGTCAAGCGCATAGGCGCCTACGTCGGAATCGATCCCACCGCCGCCTCTCTCCACCTCGGTCATCTTCTCCCCCTGATGGCCCTATACTGGATGTACATACATGGTTACAGGACTGTCAGCGTCGTCGGCGGCGCCACCGCCAAGGTCGGAGATCCCACCGGTCGTCTGCAGAGCCGCGACAGGATCGCCAAGGCCGACATGACCATGTACATCACCAAGATACATTACCAGCTGAAGCGGATGTGGGCCCACGTCGACTCCCAGGCACGGCGTCACGGCTATGAGAAGGAATGGGTCTGGGACCGCGAGCTGGCCAACAACAGCCAATGGTACAACACCGTCTCCTTTGCCGAGGTCGTCCAGCGTCTGTTCAACGGCGTCAGGGTCGGCCCCATGCTGTCGCGAGAGTCTGTCAAGCGGAGGATGGCCGAAGGCGACGGCATGTCTCTCGCCGAGTTTGTCTACCCCCTGATGCAGGCCTGGGATTGGTGGCACCTGTACTCCAGCCCGAAGGGCTGTCTCATGCAGATCGGAGGCTCAGATCAGTACGGGAACATCGTCTCGGGCGTCGACGCCGTCAAGTACCTGCGCGACACCGAACGGGACCCCGCCATCTTGCAGCGCGACGGTCTGCTTGAACCACCCGTTGGCTTCACCACCCCACTGCTGACCGACTCCTCTGGCGCCAAATTTGGTAAGAGCGCCGGGAACGCCGTCTGGCTCGATCCCTTCATGACGAGCCCCTTCGACCTCTATGGCTACTTCATGCGGCGGCCGGACGCCGACGTCGAACAGCTGTTGAAGCTATTTACCTTTCACCCTATGGACAAAATTCGCGAGATCATGACGCAGCATAGTCAGGACCCCCCGAAACGCCACGCCCAGCATGCGCTTGCGTACGAAGTTCTGGCCTTGGTCCACGGCCAGAACGAGGCCGATGCTGTACGAAAACGGCACCGTCAGATGTTCTCAAAAGGCCCGGTTGATGCCTCACAGACACAGACCAGCGAAGAATCTTCCGAGACGGAGTTCTTCCCACCCAAGGGCACTCCGGCAGACGCCAACAGGGCCGGTTCATTTCGCGTTGATATCCAGTTGCCCGAATCTCTGATCAAGGGCAAGTCTATAGGCCGCATTCTCTATGCGGCGGGCTTGGCAGATAGCGCAAGCGATGGCCACCGACTCGTGACGAACCAGGGTGCCTACATCGGGGGCTCTCCCGGGCGGAAGGCGTTCGAAGCCAAAGAAATGAGAGAGGGTGAGCTCACTTTCACGCCAGTCAAGAACTGGTTCCCGCAAGAAACATCAAACTACCTCATTGACGGCAAATTACTGCTCCTTCGCCGTGGCAAGTACTTCGTGCGTGTCGTTGAGATGGTCAGCGACGAGGAGTGGGCAGCCAGCGGGCAGTCATACCATGGTGAGCCCGGTTCGGGCAAGACGCGAATCCTGCGGGAAAAGCTCAAGGCGGCGGCCGGTGGAGAAGACCTGCACTACAGTGACGCGGAACTGGCCCAAATCGAGAAAGAGGCCGATGATATCATGCGCGATGAAGAGGAGAAAGATGAGCCCTCATCCACACCAGAGGTGAGATTCCCGCCGCAAACGGCGCGCGCGAGACAGATCTTGGAAAAGTCACCCATGGCGCGGCTAGTCACACAAGAGGGGTATAGCTCCAAGTTGAAAACGGAAGCAATCGACAAGGTGCTGGCCCAGACGAGAATAATCATACAGGCTGAGAAGCGCAGGAGCGCCAAGGCCGCCGTGATTGCCGCCGAGAGGAAGGCCCAGCAAAGCGCCATAGCGGAACGGCTGAGCAAAGACCGGGAATACAGGGACCGCAGGAGTGCTGAGCGGACTGAGCGGAAGCAGCAAAAGGCGGAGGCCAGAAGCACCCGAAACTTTTTTGATACCGGGCCCGAGGAACGCCGGTGATGAGGGTGATTGTGTATTGACCAACTGGACACGCCAGTTCGTACGTACGTACCTACCCATGTACCATATTGTACCATGTCGCCATGTCTGTACATTATGTATGTATATATTCAAGAAGCATGTAGAACATCCCACTTTGAGAGCGTCAACTGTGCGTGCATACAGGACGAAGAGTCCCAGCCTATTGTGAACTTGGACTACACCGAGGCGTGCCTTGACGCAAGCCGCCTAGCTACCGGTAGAAGATGGTCAGGTCGCCCGGCTTGAAGCTCTTGAGTTTGTTGCAGATGTCCGCGTCTGTCATGTTCTGCTCGGTGATGATCTGGTCGAAGGAGTGGCACCCATCCGTGTACCTCACCAGCCGCTGCGACTCGTCGTCGTCGCCCTCGCCCTCCTGGCTCTCGACCACACGCTTGCCCGTCGCCAGCAGCGACAGGTACTGCTTGGAGACGACGTACTTGTGCACGCGGTACAGCAGGCCCTTGATGACGCCAAACTGCACCAGGCGCCGCACGTCGATATATCGCAGCACGTCAAAGCCGGCGTCCTGGTGCAGCTTGATCCATTCCATGACGCTGCGGCCCACGCAGAATGTCGTCATCAGCTTGATGAGCTGGTACTTGGTGACGGCCGTCCCCGTTCCTCCTCCACCTGCTCCCCCTACTCTGCCTGCTGCAGCTGCTGTTGTGCTGGTCGCCTCCCGCTTGCTGTTGCTATTACCATCATCATCAGCCACGGCACTTCTACCGCGCACGTCATGACTCCCGGTTCCGTCCTGGCCTCCACCTCCACTGCCACATCCGCTGTCACCTGGCCCTCCGGGCTTGTTTCCGACTACACATACGTATCCAGCACACTCATCCACAAGCTCATCCCGGTTCGCAATGAAGTCGTGCACTCCGGGCCTGGGCGCATAGCAGCTGCCAAAGAAGAACATGTCCAGTAGCAGGACCGTGTCGTAATACAGAAGGTGCTGGAGCGCACACCGCGTCAGTGGCAGCGACACGTCGGCCAGCCAGGCGATGCGGCGCACGTCGTTGACGCCGTCGATGTGCGGGATTATCTTTTGCAGGGTAAGATCCCAGGTCGGGTCCACGATGTCGCCGAGCTTCATCTTGGGTACCGGAACGTGCCAGCCGTGGACCGGTGGAGGAGGCGGGTGGTAGGGGAATAGCTTCATATTGAGGGTGTTGGCTTCGTCTGGGAGGTGTGTGAGTACGAGCGTGTACCACGATGGGTATTTTCATCATGGTCGGGTTGAAGTGAGAACATCCCGCCATTGTGATAAAGGTGGATAGTAGCTCGGGGGGGGGGGGGGGGGGGGAGGCTAAGCCAGACAGAATTTGACTTACCGACGGGAATCATGCACTCTCCGTAGTTGTTCAAGTCCTCCTTGACAATTTCCAACAAGCTCTCGATAGGCCTCCTGCCATCCTCGTCGACACCGCCGTCTGCGCTTAGATAGCCATTCTGGCGCTCCATCTCGGCAAAGGTGACGGCGAGGCGGCGTACAAGCCTCTCGTAGGGAATCTGGTCGACGTCGGCCTCGACCACCAGGCCGAAATTGAAGATGAACTCATTGCGGTGGTACTGCTCGCTGGGGATGGACACGGGAAAGCCCAGGATGCTGTATTTCCCGTCGGGCGAGTTGACGGTCATGAACCGGTTGAAAAAGGCCTTGCGCGGGATGATGTACTCCTGGATGATGTCAAAGTCGACCAGCGGCGGCTTCAGATGCGGCGTGTATGTCGTGGCCACGATGCAGCCGGGTGGAGACTGTGCCACGATTTTGGTTCCTGGGATGAAAATCAGCAAGGGGTACTGTATCTACACGAAAAGCCATGTCTTGTGTAGAAGAGGTTGGGATGCTGAGACGGGTCTGAGATGTGAGGCACCGATGTTGGACTGATTCCCGTCGGGCATGTGACATTCGTGAACAAAACCTCGTGTAACAAGTCATGAAAGCCAAAGGGGTGCGCGACTGTGAGGGTATAAGATAATGAGTAACTCACCCTCCTGCGGGAGGAACCTCGCGTAGAAGATGCCCTGAATCATGTTGATGGTGAATTCGTCGTTTATCCTTCGAGAAACTACATTTCGACGATTCCGCGGGTCAAGCTTGGGGGCGGGACAGCTAACGACCCGGGTACATGGACTCCTTCGCAAGTCTGATGAGCGTCTGTGTGCTGTCGAGCAAAGACTCGCCTCCGTAGATTAGGTAGTCAAAGGTGTTGAAGTTGCGCTGGTGATATCCAGGAGTCGGTCAACCTCAACCCAATTCGACTGTAAAGGGCAGTGCCGGGTAAACATCGGCTGTTGACACGGAGCCGTTCTCGGGGCGCCGCCGTGAAACAGCTCCAAAGCTCCCGTCCAGCTTTGTCCGAGCTTCATCGGAGCTGGGCTTTATCTGCCTCTCGACAATTACCGATACATCCTGGCGCACTAATAATCAGGACTGGCCAGGTGCGAGTTCTGACTCAGACCTCTCCTAATACCCAACCTATCTCTTCTCTTGCCGTGGAACAACTGAGTCATCATGTCCGAAGATACACCCGCACTCAAACCCGACGAGCCCACCACTCCGCTCCAGGAGCTTTGGGCTACGGCCAAAGGCAACACCCACCCCGAAATCTGGGGTGTCACGCTGGCCGACCCAGCCACACACGTCCCATCTCAGATTGTGTTCCAAAAATACCTGAACGCCAATGAAGGAGACGTAGTCAAGGCCCGGGATCAGCTCGTCAAGACACTCGAGTGGCGGGCCAAGAGGAAGCCACTGGAACTCATCAAACAAAACTTCAACCGCACCAAATTCCAGGGTCTGGGTTATGTCACGCAGTATGTCAGCGGTACTGAGGACGAGGTCGCGGGTGACCCCGAGTCCAAGGAGATCTTCACGTGGAACATCTATGGCAACGTCAAGTCTATCGACGACACCTTTGGAGACCTTGAAGAGTAAGTCAGGCTCAAACCAGCCACAGTCTCGTACAAAATGACCATCACTCATACACACCCTGCGCCAGGTTTCTGAGTTGGCGAGCCGCCCTCATGGAGATGGCAGTGCTGGAGCTCTCGCTCTCCACCGCCACCAAGCCCATCACGGTCGACTACGACCCGTACAAGATCTTCCAGGTCCACGACTACAAATCCATCAGCTTCCTCCGACAGTCTCCGCGGGTCAAGTCTGCGAGTACCGAGACCATCAAGGTATTCGCTACAGCCTACCCGGAGCTCCTGAAGGAAAAGTTCTTCGTCAACGTCCCAGTCATCATGGGCTTCATGTATGGCTTTATGAAGCTATTTGTCGCTGCCAAGACGATCAAGAAGTTTCATCCCATGGCAAACGGTGCAAACCTGTGAGTAGCCCCTGTTTATCATGACCCCTTTGGCATGTGTTTCGGGGATTTGTCTGTGTGTCCGCAACGGACCCAAACCGGGAAGTCTACGCAGAATTCTCATATACTCAGCGAACTTGTTTTCGGGGTGACTGCTGACTCTAGACAATGCAGTGCAAAGGAGTTTGGTGAGAGCAAGGTCCCCAGCCTTAGTGAAAAGCTGCCGGTCGAGTATGGTGGAAAGGGGGCGGATTTGAAGACGCAGGGCAAGGAGCCTTCGGTGGAATGAAGTTGGGAATGCACAAAGTTGAGGCAGACTTCGCTGGCGGCTGGCTCTATGTTGCACGTAATGACACTAATGATGATGACGATTAAAGGCGAAATCAACCAAATTTGCGCATTTAGTCTTCTAGAGGACAAGCATATGCCAGCTTCAACGTGACTATCGCACACTGGTATCCAGCTCGTTCGCTTCTCCCGGCCTCTCTGTAGATGCATTCGATGTCAGGGGTGAGCGTGCCTCGCCGTCGCCGTCGCCGTCGCCATCGCCATCGTTGGCGGTTCCCGCTTTCCCCTGTTTGTCTGCCTTTGCGTCGACAGCGTGCTGTGCCTCACCCGCTGCTGGTGGAAGCTCATTGTCGCTACCGTTTTCCTCGTCCTGCGGCTTTTCCTTCGTCTTCCTTCGCCAAGTGGTCTTTCGCTCCGCAAAGGCGAAAGGCCTGCCTTCTCGCTCATGCTCCGCCGCAACGTCGTCGAAAGTCTTGTCGCTGGATTTGGCTTCGTTGCGGATTTTTCGAGTGCGGCAAAGCCATATGATGTGCGACAGGAATATCCCTATCTCAAGAAGCATGCTGAGACTGAAGTTAGAGTCTGCAGCATTGGGCAAGGAGTGCGTTATTGACGACGCATGAACTTACCAGATTATGTACATGACACCACCCAAGATATCGAAATTATTTTGTGCCGCTGGTACTGGCATTAGCGGTCGATTAATTCTGTTTAACCGGAATCAAGGTTCTCACCAAGCGACATCAGCGAGAAAAAGGCGCCCATCGAGTCCATGGAGAGAAATATCCAATTAATCCCGATGATGCGTCCTCTCCGCTTCCAGGCCTCTCCATAAGGGGGAAGCAAGCCCACGGCAAGGAGGATGGCCGCAACGATGCCTATGACGATCATGGGCGTCTCATTGCCATTCTCGTATATGGGCTGTCATCCGGTCAATATGGTATGCTGGAGGGACGCAATTGGGGTCTTTGGGGCTTACCCGCAACGACAGGATCAAGGCTGCCTCAACACCACCGAAGAGGATGCCCGTGCCCGTTCCCAGCAGCCAAACCTTCCAAAGAGCCCATTTACTACCAACGACAGTCAGCACACACCTGGGAAACTGGTGAGAGACCGGGCAGAGCCGTCACCCGAGACTCACTGTGAGTAGAGCAGGCATTGGCACCAGCTGACCAAGCACAACGCCATGAAGCATTGCGGTTGGACCTGCAACGGGATGTTGAATTGCTGACCAATGGCATAGGTGCCGAATGGTACGCCACCTGTGACTCTTGTTAGCCACCCATGCACTTTAACCCGGTTCGGAACGAGTGATGTCTTACACAATGCCCAGAGGAACATCATGCTGCTTGGCAGACCCTCTGTGCTCTTGGTGTGCCAGTTGGTATAGACCTGGGGCACGAGCTGAACACACCACAGTACTGTGCCGATGGTCTGTTTGAGTCTCCTTTTAGCCCCGAAGTTCACTCCATGTAGACTGGAGGCGAAACAACTTACACCAAGCACAGTGGCGGCCACGGGCTCCTGAGGTGCCATGTCGCCGGGCACGCTAGGCTAGCTGGCAGCCTTTCGACAGTATAAGTTGAGCCCAGGCGAGAAGCACGGGTTGTCAAACAAACGACGGGGCTGTGACTTGTTGTAGGGACAAAGAGGTGTCGTCAAGATTCTCAGAGTCGGATCAGGACCTCGGCGGTGCGCGGAAACAAAGTGGCCACCAGGCCCAGCTCCACAGAAAGTATATTACTAAGGTAGAGAAAGACTCCGAGAAAGCGTATCTTTCTTTCAGTTTGGTGGGAATGGTCAGGAAGCAGAGACCAAACGGAATGCGAACATGTCATACACCCGACGTATGGAAGACGAGAGTGCCCATAGCCGCGACTTCTCACCTCACTTTGCCGCACATGAACGGCGTTGAAACTTGAAGGGATTATTAATAAGTAGGATGACTATTTAATGATGATTTGGAGTTGACTATGACCCCAGCACCGACCTGATTGGTGGCCGCGCCATCTGATAAACGGCGAATTGGCTAATGGATTCCATGTCCTTGACGTCGACATCGGCATTCCACTTATTAGTGGCGTCTTTTCGCAGACACATGGGGACATCAGTCGGGACGAGGCCATCGTGCTGATGCGGCTTTGGAATCTCTGTCAACCTGGGTCTGTTATCTGTTATCTCATCTGAAGGCTGGAATACAGGATACACCCGGAAGCCTGCCACTCATGTATCACTCTGTCACTGTAAACTCTCACGATGCGCCTGACTTTGGTGATGGATGTGACGAGATGAGTCGAGTCATTGAAGCCGACCTCCAGTTAGAAGAATACCATTTACCTAAATAGGTAAATGGTAACACCCCTGGGGTTATGTCGATACCCAATATGCTGAGTAAATGCGGGGTCGCCGACATGCTGCGGTAAGTCCCGATGGCCGGTCGGTTCAATGTTTGGTGGTGCGGCCGCATTGCTTCCAATTATTAATGGACCCTGATAGTGAGGTGGCCAGCGAAAAGACCTCTTTGGAATCAAACCGCATCAACAATCGTCCACCTGTTTCGCACCAGAATCTTCGCTTTTCTTTGCAGCGTGTGACTCGTGTGTCTGCAACTCATAACCCGCGTACCATTTCCTGTCTTCCAGCCCACCCGTCTCGACAGATCGACCTCAACCGTCACGCTGTTTTCCTCGGCCTTCAGACGCACACTCCGCGCAGGCGCATCCGGCATCTCGGTCGCCCCACTCGCTACCGCAAGCCTCCAGAAGAACACTGCGCAAAGCACGCAAGTTCCACGGATAGCCGCCAGAGGGATGCATAGCAACGTTGTCATCATCGGCTCGGGGCCCGCTGCCCACACGGCCGCCGTCTATCTGGCCCGCGCCGAGCTGAACCCGATTCTGTACGAGGGTTTCATGGCCAATGGAATCGCTGCCGGCGGCCAGTTGACCACCACCACCGATGTCGAGAACTTCCCCGGTTTCCCCGACGGCATTATGGGCGGCGAGCTGATGGTATGGTCCCTCGAAAGAAAACATGCGGCACCTGTGGCTGACTGCTGGCGCGCGAGGGTAGGACGCAATGAGAAGGCAATCTGAGCGCTTCGGTACCAAGATCATCTCCGAGACCGTCGCCAAGCTGGACCTGTCCTCGAGACCCTTCAAGTACGAAATGGAATGGTCGCCGGGCGAGGAGCACACCGCAGACTCGGTGATTATCGCCACGGGCGCTTCGGCCAAGCGACTGGGTCTTGCCGGGGAGGAGAAATACTGGCAGAGTGGTGTCAGTGCTTGCGCTGTGTGCGACGGTGCCGTGCCCATCTTCCGCAACAAGCCTCTGGTCGTCATTGGTGGTGGCGACAGCGCTGCCGAGGAGGCGACTTTCCTCACCAAGTATGGTAGCCACGTTACGGTGCTGGTGCGCAGAGATTCGCTGCGGGCGAGCAATATCATGGCCAAGCGCCTGTTGGACCACCCCAAGGTCACCGTCCGGTATCACAGCAAGGGCGCTGAGATCAAGGGCGACGGCAGGGTCATGACCCATCTGGTGGTGGAGGACACAGTCACCGGCAAGCAGGAGACGATAGAAGCAAACGGCCTGTTCTACGCCATTGGACATGACCCGGCCACGTCTCTGGTCAAGGGCCAGCTAGACACGGACGACATGGGCTACATCATCACAAAGCCTGGCACCCCGCTGACCAGCATTGAGGGTGTGTTCGCTGCGGGTGACGTGCAGGACAAGACATACAGACAGGCCATCACAAGCGCAGGTATGTCAATTGACCTATCTGAGCCATTCGGGCCCGGAATTGTACTAACACGAATGTCAACTCTAGGTTCCGGCTGCATGGCGGCCATGGATGCCGAGAAGTTCCTTGCCGACAAAGAGGTGGAAGAGCGAGAGGGTACCGTTCCCAAGATCTAAACATGTGTCGGCGCACGACGTACCGTTTGAGAGTTTCCTGCATAGTATAGAGTCATAGCCATGCGTCAGCTGTCTACTTACATATTAGATCAGATACAAACAATAGACAGAACCAATGAATAGACGGGGTACACTCCCGGTCCAGCCATGTCCACGTCCACATTGCGAACGAAACAAAGCATGTTGCGAATATCATGCAGATTCAAAAGTGACTCTATCACAGCGAGCAAACCAAGGTGATCCATCCATCCATCTGCCCGCCTGCCCACCTGTTGCAATTCTTTGTTAGAGAGGGGCCGGGCTGCAGCACCAGGAACATGGGCATGGCCCAAGGTTTGGGCCGCGGTTGTTCACGACGGACTTCACCAATAGCCTCGTCACCCTGTTCATGTGCAAACGAAGTCAACGCAACGCGTTTGACCGCGGCTACCATGGATAGGTATTAGCTCGTTATTACTCACCGCCGTCTCGTTCTACCCCGCGCTCCTGAAGCTACTACCTTTCACTTTCTACTATTAAAGGCAGCACGCCCATCCGATGTACTTGACTCCAAACTGCTCCCTCATCTCAACTAAGCCGACCCTGCGATATTGCGGCATCCTCAACCCTCAACCAAAAGCAGACAGACAGAACACACCCAGTCCTCACATTGAGCCATCCTAGCCAAGATGTCCGGCAACCAGGGTTACTCGTACAAGAGCTCCGGCACCAACAGCGAGGTGAGAGTGACTACTCCATATCAGCAACACGCTGGCTGACTATCATCGGTAGGGCAACCACTACTTACTGTGCTCGCGACTACGGCAGCAGTGCGTCCAACTCCAACTCGTACCACTACTCCAACAAGTAAGCCTACCCGTTTCGCTTCCATACCGCTGTCTCTCGGGCATGGCGTTTAGTGACCTGGTGTTGATGGTATATGAACAATTGACAGTGATGGATCGTACTACTACTCCAACCCCAGTGGTAGCACCTACTACAACAACGGCCAGGGAGGCTCGACATACACGTCGTCTTCGGGCGACAGAAGCTCCTCTGGCTACGGTGGCAGCAGCAGCAGTGGCAGCAGCAGCAGTGGCAGCAAGAAGTAGACTTTGCCTACCTGTCCTTGAACGGCCTGTGTCTTTGCTGTGATGGAGGAGGGATCGCCTTCGCGGTGGACTTGAAGGCTACGGTTCGCTCCAGGAGTGGCTGCTAGTTGACGATGTCTGCGGCGCTTGGTAATGGTCAGTCACACATGTAGCTGGTACTCTCGGTATGAATGTGACTGGCTCTGTGGCTCTGCCGTGACCAACTCTTTGCTACAACCGCATCTTGGATCGGAGCGTGAAGCGGTGTAGCTGTCATCGAGGTCAGCTCTCTCGCTCATGTTGAAAGGCCGGGAACATGGGTTCCAAGTTGTCTTCGCTGCTACTCGATGAGCCACCACTGTAGATCTCTCATGTGCCATGTCAGTGACACAATAGAGGTTCACATCAGGTTTCTAGAGAATGGATTGCATGCGACGCAGCTATTACTGGTTTCATTGTCGGCACACCTTGACCAGAAGCTGACGATGCCGCAGAGAAGGGAGATAAGGGCAATTCCTCGCAGCTGGGTACTACTAATATAACGCTTCTCTACACGGCGTCTGACTCGTTGGTAACAAGGATAAGTCGGCGGGGTATATGTACCAAGACAAGACCAGACATGGTAACATCAATTACACATTGGTACACTCAGACGTTATCAAAGTCGAGGTTGATAATGACACTAATACAGGTACCGTGCCTAGCACTCACCCAGGCACGAACAATATGCGTATGCTTCACCCACATCGGCCAGCCGTCATAAAGACCAGCGAGATAAGGTCCCGATCAGCCGTTGTTGACCCGGGCTTCTTCGGCTCAATGTGGTAGTACCGCTCCGAATTCGGTGTCGGGGCGGACCCGATGCCACGACTACAAAGCGAGAAGCACCATATGAGATGGACAAATGCTGTAATACATGCTCGCAGCAATAAAAGATTACACAAGACACACAAGACACATAAACACAGGATGACAGACCTCAAGCTCCCCGAGCCGTTCGCCAGCATCCCCCGGGAATCGTTCCTGTTTGGACCCTCGCCCATCCAGCATCTACCGCGGATATCCTCGGCGCTGGGCGGCAAGGTCCAAGTCTACGCCAAGCGTGAGGACTGCAACTCGGGACTCGCGTACGGAGGCAACAAGACGCGGAAGCTCGAGTAGGTGGTGCACCTCGCCCACCAAATGTCATGACCAATTTCCTAACTCTTGGACAGATACCTAGGCTGGGAAGCCCTGTCACAAGATTGCGACACCCTCGTCTCGATCGGGGGCGTGCAGTCGAACCACACGCGGCAGGTCGCGGCCGTAGCCACCAAGCTCGGGCTCCGCAGCGCCTTGGTGCAGGAGAAATGGGTGGACTGGACCGACGCCCACTATGAGAGCGTGGGCAACATCCAGCTGTCGCGGCTGATGGGCGCCGACTCGCGCCTCGATGCCAGCGGCTTCGGTATCGAGCACAAGACGACGCTGGCAAAGCTGGAGAAGGAACTGCGCGATGCCGGCCACAAGCCCTACTACATCCCCGCCGGCGCGTCCGATCACCCGCTCGGAGGGCTGGGATTCGCGCGCTGGGCCTTCGAGGTCGAGCAGCAGGAGCGCGAGACGGGCGTTTTCTTCGACACGGTCATCGTGTGTGCCGTGACGGGGTCGACCATGGCGGGCATGGTGGCGGGCTTCAAGCTCGCGCAGAAGAAGCTGGGGTCGAGGCCGCGCAAGATCGTGGGCATCGATGCTTCGGCCAAGGTAAAGCAGACCTTTGATCAGGTGCTACGGATCGCCAAGGCGACGGGTGTTAAGATTGGGCTCGATGAGGGGGACATTACCGAGGCGGACATTGTGCTGGACGATCGTTACCACGCTGGTACGTACGGCATCCCGGATGCGCAGACGCTCGATGCGATCCGGTTCGGTGCGCGGACAGAGGCCTTCATCACGGATCCTGTCTACGAAGGTAAAAGTCTGGCCGGCATGATGGACATGATTCGGAAGGGAGAGATAGCCGAGGGCAGCAACGTGCTGTACACGCACCTCGGAGGGCAGTTGGCCTTGAATGCGTATTCCGCCATTCAATAGTCACGCGTAGTGGGAAACAAGGTCTGAGAACAATCGATATGGACTGTCTAATAGATTATTCAGCTGTTGCCGACAGAGATTTCGAGATTTGAGGTGTGAAAGAGGTTGTCTGCATGTCGAATGCAAGCCTCTTAGAAGCTCAGGATGGAAGACTGGAGCATTATGGATGTGACAAGTAAAAGTATTATTTCCGCTGCTATATAAAGACAGATAAACAAGTGAACCCTTAAAGGTAAACAAGAAATGGAAATACCAACATTTATTTCACATTGGCGGTGTCTGGATCGGGAAGACCTTCACCGCGTCATTAGCATGGATGATGGCGTCTCTGGCGCCGGGCCATGTCTTCCTCTTCCCGGTCTCGAAGTAGCGGAAAGCATGAGCGGTCTCGACCCCGTGGTTCATCAGGTTCGACATCTGGCGATCGCGGAGCCAGAACTTCCACCCTTTCCATCCCCAGCCGAGATTCTCCATGCCGGTACCCGCAGCCTCATGGAGAAAGCCCTGGAATACCCACCCTCGCACGCTGGAGGGGTCCACCGCGTTGTCCAGGCGCCAGCGGGAAGCCACCCACTCCTGATGCTCGTCTATCTGCTTCTCCATCTCCTCTGGGGGTGGTAGCGGGTGCACGCCGCGGAAGACGTTGCTCACGGCCATGGAAGAGACGTCAGAAAACGAGAATCCATTGTTCTTGCCATATGTGGAGTGGCACAGCAAGACCATCGAGTCGGCATACTTTGGCGGGAACAGGTTCATCCATAGCCGGACAAGGTCTGGTCCGCCGTAATCAGTTGGCCGGCTCGTCTCTACGAAGGGTACGGCAGAGAAGTCGGCCCCGTAGCCAGTTGCGGAGATGACGGCATCGACATCATCGAGGATCGTCCCGTCGCTAAACTCGATCGAACGAGGCCCGGTAAAGCGCTTGATGCCGTGCAGCGTTTCCAACGAGCCATCCTTCAGAAAACCCAGAATCGAGTCGGGGGTTCCGCGGACGGACAGAGTGATGGATGGGAATGGTTCCAAGCGCCACGCCGGATCGAATTTTCCGTACATCCGGTGCTGCATGGTTTTCAGGGCGAAATCGCCCAACCATCTGGTCAGGCGAGGAAAACTGCGCTGCATGAACAAGCCCATCTGCCGCCTCCGCCAGTTCATCTGCAGGTCAGCTGGGGTACCGTTGCTGAATAGGGGAAACATGAACGCCCCGCGCCTGTGGGAGGTATACACCTTGGACGCCACGGGGATCACGTCCGATATAACGTCGGCAGCGGTGGGCCCCAAGCCGACCACCACTACTTTCTTGTCCTGGTAATCCTCTGCTCTGTCGATATCAAACGTCTTAGCGGGTTGGGACTGTCACGGAGGGGAGAGGTCACGAACGATCGATATTCTTGACTGTGAATCATAGTGCCTTGAAACTTCTCCGAGCCTTCCCACTCTGGCATGTTAGGGGCTGTCTGGTAGCCGTGGCAAAGAGCGACCTTGTCGAACTCCTCAACGCGAGGTTGTCCGTCAATGTCGAGCTCCAATCTCCATTTTGTGTCCGTGTCGTTCCGCGTCGCTCGTTTCAGAGTCGCACCGAATACGATATCTCTGAATAAGTCGAAATGCTTTGCATAACTTTCCATGTACTCTTGGAACTCCCATTGAGCCAAGTGATGGGGATATTCTTTAGGTAATCATTGAATCAGCCTGGATGAAAGCGACATCCCCGTGGACTGACGGGTGCGGTTCATGACCTACTGTCAGGCATTGGAAAGTCTGACATGCCGCACGTGTACTTGCTAATGGAGGCCGTTGTGACTTTCGCAAGATTAGATATGATGCCAATTCTCCCCTTGTTCAAAGGAGGGGGTGCTTACTTTCCAGCGCCGTGGTCATCGACTTATCTTCTGTGTACGCCCACAGGCCGCCCACCTGAGAGCGCCTCTCGAAACAGGTTACCTTGAAGCCATCTTCACGAAGGGTCTTGAGCATAGACAACCCGGATGAGCCTGCCGCAGACAGTGGTATTAGAAGTCTTCCTTAACCTGAGATCAACGAACCTGTACTGACCTGCGCCTATGACAGCCACTGTCGGCTTGATCTTCTCCATAGCTTCCAAGTTTGCCGAGTTGCAGTTTTTTGTTAGTGAGACGTTCCTTTCCATTCGCGATTTGTAGGAAAGGAAGGTACGAGTTTACGAGTGATGATTACGAATGATGACTACGAGTTACGGATGGCATAGGAACGTTATGCCTGCCGCCTGAGCTCAGCACTAGACCAGGGTGACTGACGGATCCGAGAACGTGAAGGCTGATACGGAGATTGTGCTATTTTCGAGTCGCTCTCGCTTTCAAGATGATCCCCTGCTAGTCTTATAAGCACATACAAGGAACTGGGCGGTTTAGAGCTAAAATCTGACGAGCAGGCAAGTAGGGCATTCGAGCTCGGCCGTTCGGTGCCACGCCGACTACGGTTCCGTAGATGTCGTGTAGGGCAGCAACCGGCCTGTGTTCGACACCCTTCCAGGAAACAATGAACATACAGGTAGCAAGGATGGTAATGGTTAGCGGTTCCAGGGTATGGGTCTGAATCCAATATGGTACCCGTAACTCCGATGCTAATACATACCCGTTCTTATGAAAAAGTTCCATGAGAAAGTTCCAATCGCGTAAAATTCTACCTATTACCATTGCAGATACACGTGGAACCGCTAACCACTACCATCCTGGACACCTGTACCAGAGAGCTAACGAGTGTACATCGAGCGACCAGCGGTCTGGGGACCTGTCTCAGGGGGTCAGTGTAGACCCTGATGAATACCGCGAGCAGCGAGAGGGCAAAGACGGCGATACTCATTTGCTACATGCTAAAGAGTCCCCCCTGGACTGCAAGAAGACTAGGAGCCATGCGAGCACAAACAACCAGAGATTACAGCGGCTTGAGGAGATATCATGGGCATAGAAACGAAGTTGAGACGCCATGGCGCGAACCACCTCTGAACAATATGATTTACGACACACTCGCAGGAATACGCACGTAGCATGCTCATGCGGTGCACATTGACCGGCACGTGGTGACGGGCATGTCGCCGGCCTTCGCCGCAGGCTCCGCACAGACTCGATGAGACGATTGGGTATGCCGGAGATACCAGATCGAGCTGACGCTTGGCTTCCCGCCCCGAATGGTTGGTGGCCCTCGCTGTCCGTGGAACTGTTCGTAGGTGCTTGCCCGTGTCTGCTTAGTCACACGCGACTATCACCCGTGGGTGCCATACATGTAGGTACATCGTTATATAAGGCAGCGAACGCCGCTCCAAATCTGTAGGTACATGAATGCGTCATAACAAGCACGTACACAACGAATGTAACCCGCAGTTGACACTTGCTGTCACCAACGATCTACACCTGCAAGGCCTTCCGTGTTTTGTCTGGGTGCCTCGCGTCTCGTCATTCATACTCGTCGTCGACCTGGTCGTAGCGAGGCCGAGGGGCTTTGAGTTGCAACAGGTGCCCCTAGAGCCTCTCGCCGTTCTGCCTCCTCATCTCGTCTCGGAAGAGGTTTCCGTCCCCGCCCTCCCTCGTGGATGGACGCTGGAAGTCCATACGCCTGTCATCGGTCGGCGTCCCAGCCAAGCTACCCAGCGCATCGCTATCGCGTCTGGGACGCGCAGGGGCATCACGATACAGCTCGCCGCCGTCGGCCTCGACCTCGCGCTCCATCAACTCAACACGTTCGCTTGCCTTGTTCTTCTTGCCCAGACCCATCCGAGACCGCGAGCTCTTTCCCACGCCGTAACCGCGTCGTCCGCGGCCCATGATGCTTCCAAGCTCAATCTTGCGGGTTTTGCGGTTCCAGAGGTAGGTCCCGAAGAGACACAGCAGGATGAAGCCCAGGACTGTCGGTAGGGCGATGTACAATGCAGCGGCGTTCGCCTTGGACCCCGAGTTTGGCGTTGGGCCAGGGCGGGTGGTGACCTCGACCTTGGGGCCCTGCTTTATAGTGGCCTTATTGCCGGCTGACGGCAGACTCGCGAGCGTCATTGTGATATTATAGGCGGATTGGTGCCTCAACAGCGAAGAGTCGATTTTCAGGCTCCAGAAGCCCCAGGACGCGGCGGTGTTGGGGGATGTGAAAGCCTGCTCGATAGTCTCGCCCGTGGTCATGTTGACAAAGTTGCCGACGACTTGGACGGTGGTATTCGGTTCGGTAAAGTAGTCGGCATCCCAGAGGACTGACGACGTGGTGAGCATGCAGCGAGAGAGGAAAGGAGGCTTGTTTGGGAGCATACAGTAGTAGGTAGTGCCTACGAAGAGCTGTTGGGCGTCAGTCGGCTGGCACCACGGAGCATCGTCGCCATCCAGGTTGTGGCAGATGGGGAACGAGCCCGCCTCTCCACCAGTCGCGGTGGCGAGGGGGGCGGTGCCGGTGCTCGTCTCGACCTTGCCGTAGCTCGTGGTGGTGAAGACGGTGGCTGTGAGGTCGTGCGGAGCGCCGGATACGATGGTGGTGGTGCCGTCAACGGTGCTCAGGACCGGGGTGACGGTGCTCGGCTTGCCATCGTCGCCGACCGTCACCCATGGCGCAAGAGCGGAATCAGTTTCCCTTGGGCTCAGAGGACCGTTCGGCACGGCAGAGGCGGAGGCGGAGGACAACAGCAAGGTAGCTGCCGCAACGGACGCGAGCGCATACATGGTGGTGACGGGCGACGGGCGAGGGGATCCTCGACTGGGCTTGTCGGAGTATTGACGGTTTTGGTCTGAATTCCCAGTCAAGGTTGTTATTGCTTCCAAGTTCCAAGGAGAATTCGAGTCTTGAGTGTCGAGGTGGGAGGAAAATAGCGCGTCTCCCTGGCAGCGAATCCACTGGACTGTGCCAATTTACGGGCTGGGCAGTGGGGACGCTGCTGCCAGCTGGCCCTGTAAGCTAGGCGAGGCGGCGAGGGTACGAGGTTCCGAGGTATCCGATCCGCTGGAGAAAGAGAGGTGGAGATCCGGTTCTCGTAGTTGTGCAATTCCCGATCATTCCCGCTTGCCCCTTAATGCCTCTTATTACCCACTTATAAGTTATTGCCGACAGGCTGGCAGGATTCCAATTCCACCATCTTCATCATCGTCGCCGCCGCCACACACCCACCTCCTTCACATATTCACCACTTACGCGAGGCCATCAGGGTTTTGCCCGCGCATCAATCGGTCGTTCCCCGTCGCCCGTCGCCAGCTTGTTGGAGCTGCCCCGTCGTCTCTGGAACAGCCCAAGTGGTCTCTCGAACAATACTTGGGCTATCTCGGTGTCGTCCTCGCTTGGAAAGGGTGTCTTGCCCGACTTTGAAAGAGCCATCTTATACTCGGCCGGTCGGGAACAGGTCCGGGCTTCATAAACGGCTTTGGACCCCGGGTTCTCTGCCCCATTTCCCGCATCATCTCCAGTATCTGCTTCTGCTGCCGCGACTCGATGTCTTGTTGAGCCAGTATTCGAGCCAGCGTTGCCTCGCCCACAGAATCATGGTCGCTACAGCCTTCGTGCACCGTATCAACCTGCCCGCTGTCGGCCTCTTCTCGACGAGCCTGAGCCGTAGCTAGAGCCTGAGCCAGCAGACTTGGAGCCTGCATTTGAGCCTGCGCGTCCACCTCTCTCGAAGTGTTGGCACAGGTCCTCTAATGAAGCTGAGGACTCTGCTCCGCCTTGGTGGCCTCCTCTGCGGCCTGTTCACCAGGTCTGCAAAAATTCCACGACTCCCTGTCCTCAATCCAGCCGTTCTTCGCTCGTGTGGTGGTATTGCTGCTCCGCTGGTACAGGGTCCCATCGCGATGGCACCACCATCATCTACAGTCATCGCTGTCGCTTTCTGTTTGCGCTTGTCCATCTTGTCTCCTGATATTGGCTGCTTGGTGTTCTCGACCTTTTCATCTACAGACTCTGGTGTCGTTGGGTTCGCCTCTAGACTGCATAAACACCTATCGCTCCGAACCGTGATTGAGTGGCCATACTGGAGTCTTCGTCTTGTGACCTAAACCTTGTGTGAGTCGAAGGCATCGGCGTTTCGGTTGAGACATATTGCAACAGCAATGTAGAAATTAGGTATTTAATATGTTTGTGTATGATTGCAAAGCTTCGTGTTTTCTTTAACTTTCACATCGGTGTGTTGCGCATATAGTTGCGGCTTCTATTCTGCTCATGCGAACCTTATTCTCAAACCTAAGGTAACTTCTAGACATGAAATGACTCGATTTGCTTATTACTGAAGTGGGACAGCAAGCAGGATGCCTCTTCCACATATGTGTAAAGCATTGTGTGGGTATATGTAGCTTCTTACATTTGACTGTTATGGTACGTGAGAAGGCATTCGATCGATTACGTTGTCATCTACGATTCTACCGTTCCCAAGTACGAGATGGCATGAGGCTGGAGAAGATCCAAGCCGTTCACCCCAAACAACCTAACAACGCTTGTCCTTGGCTTAAAGAGGAAACTAGGCTACATGATGTACGGCAGCCCCGACATGGGTGACTGAAGCCATCTCACTGCCAACACGCACGTTGTGTTCATGCTCATCAGCACTGATCAACGTCGACCTGGCTCGCTCTCGAGTCCGAACACCACCTGCATAGAGCCCTCTAGCCCAATCCAACTTTCGAAGTGTCTGTTTGACGTAGTGCCTTTCATTGGCATGTCGACAGATTTACTAACACCCGCATGCTATGTTCTAGGCACGCTGGCGAAGCCCGGGACAGCTCGTAGGTTTACTTTGCTTCTAGGCCTAGCGGTCTTGGGATCTATACACACAGTGGTGGGTACAGGTGAAGGTACACAAATGATGTGGTAATGTGAAGGCAGAGAGAATACAGGGGAAATAAGTGCTGACAAGAGGAAATCAAGGAACTAACAAACGCCATGATTTTATTACCTAATAAAAATGGTTCTGTTGTCCCCGTCCCGGACGAACCACGAGGGGCGATGAAATAACCACAAGGGCGACGAGCTATGTAGAAAACCACAAAGGGCGACGAAGAGGTTGCCTCAACAAGGCTCGAACGCGGGACTTAGAGGAGGGGAGAACCATAACCACTGTACCACATCTTCAAAACGTGGGTGACCTTGCAAAATCTGGCTGTTATTTGTTACTATAAGGCCTCCCCAAGAGGGCTGCAACTGGCTGCCAGGTAACCGGGTGGTCAAAGCACCTTAATGCCTCAGGGGCTTCAGGGGGGAACTACACAAGACCCGAGTAGCTGAACTTGTCGTGACCCAAGACCAGACTGTTGTCGTAAGTCCTCTATGTAGCAGGTGATATCACCCACCCAAATTTCCGCATCCTCTCCATGACAGAAGGGCAGATTGACCCGTGGTAGGACCTGACGATGACTCTGTTCAGCGATAGAATGGTATTAATCTGCTCATTGATCTGCGATAAGGCGTCTTGGACGAGCTGCACCCCGTCATCGCCGCTTGTATTGGTTATACCTCTGGAATTTCCCCTGTGTATGAAGAATTCCAGAGTCGCGAGGCTGATGCAGTCCTCGCCAAGATCGCGCAAGTCGTTTAAGCCGTCTTCTCTGAGAATGGCCTTGCCCTGTCCTCCTGCCGCACCATTCACAGCTGGAAAGTTGATGCACAGATGAGATACTGCGGCTGCGTTGGCAGCTCCGATGCAGTCTAGGAAAGACCGTACGAGACCACCTTGGCCCCTGGTTATACCGACGAGGTTGAACTTGTTCATTCGGTACAGCGCTGCGCTGGCTTCGCTGTGTATCAATCGGTTGGTGGACAGCAGAGCAGGCCATCGAGCTGGTCGGCCGGGCGTGAAGGATTCGACACAAGAACCTGCTTCTCGAAAAAGGTAAAGTGGCTGAGCTACAACCAGTACGTATCTGTAGATTTCATTGCGAAGTTCGATGGGCAAGCTCAAAAAGCCAACCGCTGGTGAGCATGCCGACATTGTTGTTCCTCGTCTCGGAGCCGACCCGGACTTGATGCGATCGCCTAGTTGGGGACAAGTTGCTTTGGAGGCCATGATAGAGGAATGTGACAGGGTGTTGTGACGAATGTGAGTGACGACTCCACGCCCAAGTGAGAAGGGTGGGAAAGTTGGTTCGGATCCAACCACAAGCAGAGGGCGGCGGGAAACGATCGCGGAAGCGTCAAATGGAGAGGAAAATGAAAAGCCGAAGGGTCTTCTGAGATGTCGACATGAGCGAGACAAAGACAGGGGCCCGCGTCGACTGTTGGTAAGATCATGTTGGTGCTTGTGCAGCCAACAGACCGCTCACTTCCCAATCCGGCTCTTGAACCATTCACTCGGGGCCAACACTCATCGGTGGTACCAACCGACATGTTTAGTATAACTTGCGGTGACGGACCCAGCCCTGCATCCATCATGTGGACTGTCTGACGCAGTCATTCGTCCGATAGTACAAACATCTCGCGGTTTTCGGACTTATAGAGCGAGCGGCATACAAGAGACTGGGAAAGCCTTTCCAGTGTACTCTTGAAGCTCTCAACCCTCAGCTGCTCATCGTCGTCACTCATCTCAAGGTGCACATATATCGCAACAATCTTGATCAGTCGACAAGGACACCATCACGAAAGGTCTCGAGGCTTATGGCTATGATGTTTTTGCGCCCCGAGAAAGACATCTTGCAACGGCTAGACGACATTCCGAGGGTCGAACCCGAACCTGACGAAAGACGAGACCGGATCATCGTTGGGAAGGCCGTCGAGGAGAAACTGTCCGGTCTAGGAGAGGATGTCAAGGACCTTGTCACAGAGGAACTGTCCCGGTCAGCACAAGGGAGCGCTATATGGATAAAAATGGTAGTCGAACTCCTCGAGATGCGCCAGGTTCGAGCGCTCACTCCTATGAGAGCTTTTCTGGACCGATTGCCACAACCTGACCAGCTTTCACAGCTTTATAGTAGCCTTCTCTCTTGCCACACCTCAGACGACCTGCAGAATCAGGGGCTCGCCATCTCAGCCTTGGAGACTTTCGCCATCAGTCGAAGACCTCTTACCATACTGGAGGTCGCTTGGGCAGCCACCCTGAGCTGCGCCAAGGAGGACGTTACCTCTGTGGCTGCTCTTGCTGGGTTGGTGGATCACCAGAGGGTTATGGCATTGATACGACCGTTCGTGGCTTTGGTTGACTTTGACGATACCAAGAGATGTCAAGTCCGGCTTGTCCACCAGTCAGTGGAGGAGTTCGTCCTGGAGGGATGGACCTCGACGCGACACGGCCTGCAACACTCGGACACCTCGCCGACCACAGACGACGCGCAAGTTAAGCACACTGCCCGGCGCTTGGAGGCGAGCATCTTGAATAATTGCATCAGGTATCTCTTGCTAGTTGAGATCGGCCTCAACTACCTGTTCTCCGAAGGACAAGAGGCAATTGAAGCTATGCCTCAAGAATACGACTTGTTCGGCGACCATGATGAGCCTGCCAACTACGATCCGACCGTGACGTGGGAGACGTGGGAGGAAAACATGGTTCGGTACGATCCGTCAGAACGTGGCCTCGGTGAGCTTTTCGTCTATGCATCTTGTCATTGGGTTGAGCATTTTGGTGCCGTCGAAGTCGATTCGCCACCAGGTCTGGCGAGCATAGAAACGCTGTGTCAAGCAGGCTCACTTCGACTCAAAAATTGGACTGAACAATTCACGCGCCCGCAATGTACAATCCAACGGCGATTCGTCTTCGACAGCCGCCTCTATGATCCTCTTAGTATCACCTCTCTGTACGGCTCGGAAGCCATGCTTCAAATGATGCTCGAGGGCTCCGACTTTAGCACGGTCAAATTCCTTCCCAACTCGCCTATGGTGGTCGTCGACCAGATACTCCGGTGGGGTGACAAGTCCAGAATCAAGCTGCTCTTTGTAAGTGAGGCTATTGGTCAACAGCTTCGGAATTTGATTTCTTTCAGCTCATCATGAGAGCCTGGTCCTTTTCAGGCATGAGCGACCGAGGATGGGACACCCTTTTTGACCTCGTTGACGGTGTGTTAGAGACAATGATTCGCGAGTCGTGGGGAAGCGAACTCTTGCGTACGGCGGCACAGACGGGCTGTATGCCCATGGTCTTGCGGCTGATGAACAGAGCCCGGCACAATCCAGAGCTCAGGGCTGAACTCTTGCACGGCTGCCAACGAACAGCAGGCTCTGCGATCTACATAAAGCCGGTGCACCAACGTATTGGAGAAGCAGTCCCGGGAAAACACGTTGATATCGTGCATTTCTATTGGAGCTGCCCGCCATCGAAGCGCATCCATACCACTGAAATCCGCGTGGTGAGAATATGTTGCAGTTGCACCCAGCGGCCATCATCTGCAGTCCAGCCATGCTCGAATTTCTAGTGCCCCGGTTCCGAGATGGCACGGCCTAGACGAACGTAAGGGAGGCCACTGTCTTGGTCCATGTCGTCGAGAGCTCTTCAGCAGACCGGCCCGAATTCGCAAGCATACTGGACACAACTTCGCTGTCAAGTAATGCAGGGGCGGTTAGATCTGCTCAGAATGTCGAGATCTTGGGTATTTCAGACCAGTCGTCGCATTCGCCGTCATAGTCGAAGCTCATGTATGGAAGAGTTTCTGGACGGCCATCCACATCTATACACCGGTCCGGTCTCAAGGGGCGGCGAAGGTCCTTCCGACTAACCCGCTGCACTTCATTCTGTCAAACAGTGCGTATTATGGTTGATCTTGTTGATAACGTGTATTCTGGTGATTCTGATGAGAGTGTGTGTATCTGAAGGATCTGCTGGTGTAAGCTACAGGGCCCGAAATTGCCCTAGAGCCCCTGTCGGTGCACTGCTACCTCCCTGACTCCACTGTGGCTTGCGTGCCATTTGACACATTCCCTGCATCATCCTCGCTAATTCCCCAATTTGGAATTGTTTCCTCTCTTACTTTTGTGTCGTTCATGATCAGGTAGAAGCGTGCAAGATTCTCACAGCTTGGGATAGACGAGGGGCTGCCACTTGGTTAGATAGGTTCAACAATGGCTTCATATGCGCTTTAGAGTACTCACATTGTTGGCGAAGCTACCTCGATGGTCTCAACAGCGCTCGCTGGTCGAGATTTGGGAGTGCTTGGAACATCGCAGGACGTATCTGCTTGATCTTCTACTATCATGCCCCGAAAGAAGAGGTGAAATCACCGGTTGATGAATATGTTGGTGTTGAAAGCTCTGACCTGTTCGTAACACTCGACCTCTCGCCGCCACCTTCGCTGTTGGTTCGTTGAGAGCATGCTAGTGACCTGCTGGAAATCGATGCGGTTGGCGATGCAGTAAGCTCGTTGAGAATCCTTTCCTACAAGACTTCTCTTCTTGGGCTCGGCGGCGACGCTTTCCAGAAGCTATGAAGCCGGTTATACATACGGCCGAGAAACCCAGGATGACTGATCGAGTCCGCTGCATGGGCAGCATCTGAAAGCCGACCAGTGGCCATCTTCCCCAAGTCTTTTGTACTGGTTGTCTGGGTGGGTTTAGGTGACGCCGTCGAGGTTGGGTCCTTACCCTTCCCGGATGTTGTTGCTTGCCCGCCCCTTGGTCTTCCGCTCTCCTCTGAACTCATCGGGAGGTGTTCTTTGATGGAACCAAAGAGAGCCGACCTGACAGGAAAGATAACCTTGTCCGGACCGCTTGCTCTGCGCCCTTGTTGGCGCTCCGTTGGCGCTGGGACCAAAGATAGTCGCGAAGGGTACGAGATCGAGATGACCATCAATAATGGTCGAGGACAGAAATCCCTGGCCTGGTGGTATGACGAGATCGAGCTGATGGCATATATAGATATGCCGGTGTTTATCGGAACAATGATCTCCGTCTACTATGTGCCATTGTGAGTGTGGACAACGTGAAAATCGGGTCGAGCAGTATGGAAACACGTGTCTGCAGAAATGTCATTGCACTTCGTGGAAGATATCTTGACGACCCTAGCCCTAGCCCTAACCCTAAGCTCACGTGGCAATAATGCTATATTCAACTAGGTCGATTTTTTCGAGGTGACGAATTTGTTTTCTAGATGTAGTGTGATGTAGTCTGACATTGCCTGTGTGCCAGTGGCACCTCATAGGTGTATTCATAGATACGTTAGCCATGATTGTAGAAACCAGGCAGCTGTCACGTAAGCTGATTGAACTTCGTGGAAGATATCTTGACGTGTGAGCTGCTCCATCATTACTGGATTGGACCTCCCTCTGGTTCTCTCTGTTCCATTTGAACGGCCATTTCGTAATGGAAGACTGGTAGTACTAGTGACAGACCCTGGGAACTCGAGCGCTTGACGGCCTCGGCTAGTGGCCATCATGACCATCCAATCACGGTTCGTTTGGGAGTATACGCCTCCATGTGCTGCGATGGCCCCCATTAATTCGCTGGGTTTCCCAGCAGTCATACTCAATAGATCCAATTTTGGTATGACCAGGTCTCTATGGAGTAGACAAAGAGCTTTACTGTTCAAGAAAGTCTCGAAGCCTGCATTGTCCGGGAGCTCAGATCTCGACCGTCGTCGCTTTGTGCGCGGTGTGGCAAGATGACAAAGGTACGATATGATCATTCGTACGCCTTCGGCAAAGGCATCACTAAAAGGTACCTGCTCGGGTGTCATCATATTCTCATTTCACCGTCAACCTGGGACTCTACAGCACAGATACTGCGTTGCTATACGTATGTCGCCCAAAATGACATGGAAATTTCCCCCTCTCTCCCTCGTATGCCTGAACATAGCACTACGGGTGGGTGCACAGCGCTTCGATGGTCAATATTGGCGTAAGTCGGCCTCCCTTGGTCTGTAGGCACGACGCTGACATTACATCAAGCATGTAACCCGATGAAAAACTGTGAGTTGCCTTGACCATACGCACCGTCCGCAGCAGCGTTCCTGACCCGACTGCTTTAGTGACATGTCCGCCTAATCCTGGACTCAACCAATAATCTTACTACATTGACTTCACGGACCCCTCGACCGATGTCGACAAAGACTGGAGCACCTCCAACTACGCGAACATCAACTACAACAAGCTCGCAAAGAATGGTGCCGAATTCACTGTTGCGAAGCGACACGACGCCCCGCAACTCTTTTCCGACTTCTATATCTTCTTTGGTCGCGTAGATGTTGTGATGCAGGTTGCTCCCGGAACTGGCATCATCTCGTCCAGTGTCCTGATGTCGGATGACTTCGACGAGATAGACTGGGAGATGTCTGGCAACAAGTTCAACCTCACCGCGCAATATCCCTCCGGCGTGGTCCAGAATAACTACTTCTCCAAAGGGATCACCGGCCTCTATGATCGCGGCATGTGGGTGCCATGTAGCCAACCTCAGACAACTTTCCACACCTACTCTGTCGATTGGACTCCCACGAAGCTGGACTGGCTCCTTGATGGCAAGGTAATAAGGACGTTCCTAGCCGCCAACGCTGACAGCACTACACACCAATTTCCACAAACACCGTCTAAGATCCAGATGGGTATGTGGGATGGTGGAGATCCGGAGGAGAACTCGGGCACCATGAGCTGGGCAGGCGGTATGACCGACCTGACCAAAGCTCCGTTCACGATGTTCGTCAAGAGCGTCCGTATCACCAACTACAACCCGGCCAAATACTACAACTGGACAGACCAGTCAGGTAGCTGGAAGAGCATCAAAGCCTTGAATATCTCGCTACCGAGCTCGACTACTACCGCTGAGAAGAGCACCACAACCGCCATCCAACCGCTCAGGACCGACCTGCCCGTCTCACCAAATGGACATTGTGGGATTTCTGTAAACACCGTCTGCAAGGGCAGCTTATTCGGTGATTGCTGCTCAGCCTTTGGATACTATGGAAACACCACCGAGTACTGCGGCCTGCCTGGCTGTCAATCTGCTTACAGTCTTTGCGGATCTCAAAATCCTGCTGCGACCACAGGAGTATCCTCAGCCGTCGTGCTATCTACGAGTCGGTCATCGGTGGCGTCTGTGCCGTCATCAGTGTCCAGCTCAGCGGCGCAGGTGTCGACCGTGAAATCCATGTCCGCGCAGCCTTCCACGACACGGACATTGGTCTCGTCGGTGGCACCACCACTGTCCAGCTCAGCGGCGCATTCTTTGACCTCAACATCTATGTCTATCAAGCCATCCACGACCCTGGAGACGACGAAGAGCTCTGCGGTCAGTCTACAGTCAAGTTCAAAAGCTCCAGCAGCTTCCATTGTCACGTCGTCTTCAATACTGAGTCCCAATCTGGTGAAGCCGACCAGCTCTGTGGCTAGTCCACAGTCGAGCCCAATTGTCACATCAACCTCGAGATTCAACCCCAATATTTCACCTATGATGAAACCGACCAGTTCATCCAGCTTGCCAACTACTCTGTCCCCTGTTGCCAATGTCAAGCTAGTGGCTTCACCAAGTACTACCCCGATTGTCTCGACGAGTTCGGTGATCCCAGCTAGGCCCTCGACTTCATCGAACAAAGCCTCACAGAACTCCACGACAGTCGTAAAGGCCGCGCCATCATCGCCCAGTATCCAGTCAACCAGCCCAAATGCAGTCCAGGTCCAGCCGGTCCAGCCGGTCTCGACGCCGTCCTCAACGCGGGCTCCAACGAATGTGCCTGTATATGTGAATGAACAAGGTCGACAACTCTGCGTCTGGTGGGGGAAGTGGTACTGTTGGGGCTACAAGCGGGCGTATCCCGTTGACCTGCCAGCCCAGTGACGTTGACGAGTCAAGGTTGAATCTTGGACTCACAGGCCGAGCCAAAGTCCAAAGCATATCGTAACTTTATCCACCAGACACCTGCTTGATACAAAGCACTCGCTGATGGTTACCTGTAGCATATTCAACGTCCTGATTTCGGAGGGATAGCACATATTTCAGATGCTGATGAAGTACTCAAGCAAAATAGTTCCTAAATTTATTCGTTTCTATGGCATGCCCAGGATACCTCTGTATTGAGTGCTGTGAGTGTTGGCGCCAGGGAGGTGGCAGTGCACTGAACAAGGGCCATTTGGGCATTTTGGGCACCAAGGTCACATCACAGACCTTCAGAACAAGACAATCAGCACATGATACACGAATACACACCATATGAACCATATAATCACTGTTTGACAGAAAGCAGTGGTGGTACGGAAGCTAGGATCCGAACTTTTCGGGGAGTAGGCATACGAGATTGGTGGAAAAGATGACGGGTAGGATCCAATGCCATATCCTCCCAGTCAGCGAAAATTTAATTCGCTTTTACCTCTGAAAGCCTTTCAGTCTCATGATGGCCCTATTATCCCGGTGGTAAATCTGGAGTGATCAGCCCCCGGCAGAGTGACGGCTCACACCCGGCCTGTGCCCGTAATAGGAACTCTTAAGTCACGTATAGGGTGTTCCCTTAAGCATGGGAAAGTACTTCAAGGCAGATGCCCCTCGTAGAAAAATCACGTTCTGGTCCGTGGCGCAGCTAAGATTGTCAAGTGCTCTGCTTTTCAGCACCGACAATGTTCGCTCACATCACAGTATCAACTCTCTTGCTGGCTGGGGCCGCAGTAGCTCAGCAACCCGCCTATGCGCAATGTGAGCACCCCAGTATTCGCTAGGAGAAACCTTGCTGAAATGATCAAAGGCGGTGGTGCTTGATGGTCGGGCGGGACGGCGTGTGTGTCAGGATACAGCTGTACGACTCTGAAGTGAGAAAACTGCAGGATATGGTACCGGTTGGACATGAAGCTGAAGCCCGAACCTAGTGCATACTTTAGCCAGTGTGTTCCCGGTACAGCTACAGGTAAGTAACCGCACCTGGTATTGTTTCCTGGAGTAAAAGAGTCGCAAGCTAGGAGTTCAAGATTTCAACATAGGCTCTCACGAGCTTCTTGTCACATGTTGGGGACATTACTGACGAGCTCATGTCACAAAGGCTACGGTAACTACTACGGTCGTTGAACCGACGGCGGCGGCGACGTCGGGATCATCGCAAACGACAACCCAGGCGTCGAATACTTTATCGACAGTGATTACGACAGCCACAGGCACATATCCAACGACGTTACAGTCAGGTTATGTATGCGTGATTCCCAGTCCTTATCCCCTATGATTCCTGACCAAGGGCGAGAAAGAGCTGAGAAAGCCCACGTGTGATACCCGATGTGCCGCTCGCCCCCGACGACCACCAGCCCAGTCAGCGAAAGAGCAACTACTGATTGATACCAGCTTCTATAGTACTGGATCCGAGCAGTCGCATTGCCAAACTACCAGTCCTACATACAAGCAGCCCCAACAGCCACCCCGTCTCCAGGCCCCGGCGATGCCTATCTCCTCTCATCCGCGAACGCAGGCCAGTTCAACGTAATCGAGGGCCAGCTCGTCTACGACAACGGCAACGACGATCCTCTGTACATGGGCGTCGAAGACCCCGCCAACAAGACGCAGCGCACGCTCGAGACGTGGTTCGATGCGGCCGAAAACACTTACGGCACGTTCGCGTTCCAGGGCGATACGCTGACCTGGGAGGTGGATGATATTGCGAGACCGAACACGGCGGCGTGGCTTGTCTGCGGTGGTGAGGGGAGGCTCTACGTCAACACGGGTGCTTACGCTTATGAACGCCCGACGGCTGCGCGGATCAGACGGTGAGTTGCCGAACCGCATGTTCAGGCCAATGCTGACTCGGAACAGACACATTACTATGCCGGTTCGACAGCAAATGTTTGATGGATCGTCGATATCAGTACTCCTTTCTTTCACCGTCTGAGATGAGGTCAGCCTGCGGAGAGAGAACCATCCCAACCTTTACTCTGGTAGATAGTCGATATCACGCGTATGGAGGTCACGGACAAGAGAAGCTTGCACCTGGTATCCCGACGAAGGTGTATCGTTCATGCGAGAAAAGTATTGACCGAGATGGTGATTGGTGTATTTCGCCCTCACATGAACAATGTCTGTCTGGTATATATGCAAGTATGACCAGCACGGACAGCTGTATACCGTGGCGCAGTTGCTGCATATTATATGAATGATATGTGTAGGCTGCGCTTCCCATGCCCTACTTCGCCCTGCCCGCATCACGCTTCTCCTGCCGCTGGCTTGCGCCCAATTAGCACCTTCTGGGGGTAGTAGGCGTGGAACTCGGTTGAGCGCAACTCGCGGCGCAAGTGGGCGGCGTAGACCGAGATCTCTTCCTTGGACCATCCGACGACGGTGGTCCACATGTAGACAATGAACCCTGCCACTGTGTCAATCCTCCTTCACTCACTCACTCACGACGACCTGCGGGAGAAGACAGGATAGCCCACTTACCTTCGATGTCCTGTTCCAGTGCGAGCGCATTGAACTGGCCAATCTCCTTCATCTTGGGATCGGCCGGCCAGCTGCCCAGCGGCGTCTGTCACAAGGGTTAGCCGCATGTACCGAGTCCCCCTCGTCCCCCATGTCCGAGCCCGGGAGCCGCGTACCTTGAAGTTGTGCTCCTTTATATCGACAAAGCCCGCAGCCTCCATGGCTTTCCTCTGGAGACCCTCCTCGAGTACCTTGAAACTGCGACCGAATGTCTTGCCGGCTTCCCAGAACACGCGACCCCATTGATCAAGGGCGCATCCGTGGGGGACGGTGTTGTCGTCGCTGGTGATCATCGGGGAGGCCTCGACGGACTCAAAGTAGCCTCCTGGCTTTATAGACTTGAAGGCCTCCTTGAACAAGGTATCCCAGTCTGGGATGGCGCCGACCAGCCATCTCATGTGGATGTAGTCAAAGTTGTTGGGCGCATACGTCCAAGGCATGGTGATGTCGTCGATCTCGAACTTACAGTTGGAGGGGACCCATTGGGGCTGCTGCGGTGAGATGTCGACTCCGATGACCTCGGCCCCTGGATACTGATCGGCGAAGTCGCTGGCCATTGTTAGTTCTGTCAGTTCAACAACAGGCAGCGGTGAGAGGGTTTACATTGCCCATATTCCTGTGAGAACGACACACATCAGCATCAGACCGGCTGGCGACCTACCCACGGACTGGAGGGTGTGAGCGATTGACTTACCAGTTCCACAGCCAAGGTCCAGTACTTTCTGCATCGTGTCAGTGGTCGTAGACGGCCTTCAAAGCAATCAAGGGCTACGTACTTGAACACCATCGTCTATCGGGGCCAAGAAGATGTTTCCGCCCTGGAGCAGAGTCGAGACGTGATGCAGAAGGTCCATAGACTCATCATGCTGCGCATCGTTGGGGTTCCTAGGGCTAAGCGTGAGCGTCGCTCCAGACTGTCACACGTGTGACACATGTGATAGTGACACGGGTGGTAGGGGTTGGAGTCGTACCAGGACTGAGCATTGCCGCGTTCGCTATGGAACGTGCGGCCGTGGACTGTCCGGTACTCGAGAATACTGGCCGACAGTGAAGCGGTTGAGCTGGCGTTGTCGTCGCCGTAGGCCGAATCAACATCGGACTGGCCATCATCTACCTGCTAGATGGGCCGTCAGCAACACCTTTGGACAGCTATTAGGGCTGCTCACCGGCGCTGGTGCTTGAGCCCAATGCGACGCGGGCAAGATGCTCGATGACGGCGCGTTATCGCCGTCGCCTGGTGCCGCGGTGGTCGCCGTGGTCGCCGTGGTCGCGGTTTCAGGCGCTGGCGGGCTCGCGGGAGCAGGACTGGCAGCCTCGGCTACACCGCCAGTGGGCGTAGGCGTACTAGCGGTGTCTGCCTTTGGCGCCGTCGCGGGCGCTTTGCTAGCCGACGGTTCGGACATTTTTGCCTACTAAAATAACTGTGAGAGGTCCACGGGTAGGTACCTCGTCATGTATCAAGGGTAGGTACACAGTTCACGCGGGTAGATACACTCGCACCTCAGTCCTAAAACAAACGGCAACAGGGACGATATGATATGATCAGCGGAGAGGGTTCGTGGAACACGGAGCGGACTGCCAGGAGTCAGAACAGACTGGAGTCCTGGACAAATATTGGATAAACATTGGCAGGTTTCCAGAATCCAACTGCATCTCGTGGGGCATCGGGCATCCGTGACACCCCGGCCCAGTTGGCTGCTCAGTTGGCTGCTGGTCGCTATCCTGGTCTAGGCTGGGCCCTGGCGAGACTGGCCACTCATACGATCACTCAGCACTGATGAAGACTTGAAAGTTGAGAGGTGATGGATGCCTCATTACTTTGCCGACATGCGCTACACATGCATATCCCCATGTCCGGCCCCCGCACACACAGCCTGAAGTTTGAACAGCCGACCCCGTCGGATTGCCCGTAGTTTTGTAAGGTATGTAGGAGGTATGAGGTAGTATGCGAGGAGGTGAAGGACTTCCTGGTCAACCAACCGCTACGACGTCGCTGTTCGGTCAGAAAACAGGCAGTCAGGATGCATACTGCGTACACCATCGTCCATCAGCCGACACCTGCAAGTACGACCTGGGCTGCTGGGACGTATCAGTGCACCAGCAGAGCAGCCAACGCATCCGTCGCATCGCAGTTGTTGGTTGTTGGTCTCGCGTTGCCCGTCTTGCAGACCCCCATGTAACTTGTTGGTGTCTCGTCGTATTCGCACACATGGTGCGCAACCAACACAATCCAGCAGTGAGCATCTCCGCTCCGGGTATATTGAATCGCGTCGAGTTCCTGCACGCTTTCGACCGCGCACACAGCCACGAGGACGCCATTGCTATTTACAGTAGGATACTCCGATGTGTAACCTTCAGCGTTGGACAGTGGAAGCAAAGGGGGACCGCCATTTCCAGTTCCACATGCCACATGGCACTGGGGCCTCCTCCTACACGAGTGGACCGACTGAGGCTGATTCGCGTCCTGATCTGACGCTAGCCCCGGCCTAGATTGAAGGAGCCAGGAGTAGAAATTGTTATCGTCATGGATGGATGCTCTTATGGACCTCGGTAAAATTATACAGAGATGAAATCGACGAGACCATGTGTTCTAATGTGATGACGTGGCCTATAAAGAGGCGTGTTTGACTGAACAAGGCACAGCTAGAAGCCATGAGAGCTGCAAGCTGAGAGTGGTGTTCCGAGTCCGTTCACTCCAAATTATCACGGGTCTCACCTGGGCATCAAATTAAAATCGCTCCGCGTATGTCCGGCTCGACCGAGGAACAAGAGGTATCTCGCCAGGGATAGGGAAGAAGGCGTCAAAAGCAAGCAAAATGTCGTTGCGAGTGTAACTTGTATGCGCTGGGAGCTGTCTAACCAGCTCGAACCTCTTCGGCCAGAGCTGCGTACTCAAGAAGGCCATTTCAGCATTCCTGCTCAAGGCGGAACTGAGCGCGGGATGAGGGCCTATATGGACATTCGTGGCTGAGATGCCTACCAGAAACTCATTCCGCTTGACCTGTGCCTATGAACGCGCGAGGCAATACGAGGAGTCAAGAAGCAGAAATGAGCAGAAGACGAAGCATGGCAGAAAGTGCTCATTGGGGCTATGTAGTAGTGATCTATCAAAACGGAAATATCCAAGTGGCTGAGAATTAGTTGCCTCTGTAATTTGAGCGAGTGCAGATTTGAGCACAATGATCGATTGCCCTTCGTCAGAAGCCCTCTCGAGCGGTCGCGGGGCATGGCCAGAGTCAGGTTGGCGACAGACTTCACCAGTACATGAGACCAGGTATCTTGAAGCCACCTGAGTCAACCAAAAGGGCAACCTCCCCAGCTACTAGCCATCATCCTTGTAACATCGACCTCCATCTCCTCTTCGCCCAGCCCCATCCGGTTCTTCGGTCCAAAGTCCGTGAACGTGTAACCCTGCGGCATGTACTCGTCCGGGTTGTCACCGGGCAGCTTGCCGCCATAGAGCCAGACCGCCCAGGCCTTCGGTCCCCAGCGGTTCCAGATTGTCGGCTTGATGTAGTAAGGATAGTTTCCGTAGGGGAACCGTGTGTGCATTCGTCCCGAGGTCGGGTCCGGGTCGCCCAGGCGCTTAACCTCGAAGAAGCGCGGCAGCGTCAGGTACCGCAGCACGAATCGCCGGATCGCGAGGGCCGTGTACACGGTCGCGGCCGCGGCAATGCCGGGTTCGGGTAGCCTATGCCCAGCGCGTCAGCAAGCTGGATATGACACCCCACCACACGAAGAGACCCGGCCGAACCAGACATGCGCCCAGCGTTCTTAGTAGTCAAACCCAGAGGGAGCACCCGGAATACTACAGAAACACCCACATAAATGCCTCTCTCGCTCTGTCGCCCATCAGAACGCATACCATCTCAGTCACGAATGGCTCTGCGAACCACGGCGCCCAGTACGTGATGATGGGGATGAGCGCCCGAGCCGGTTTGTTGTTGATGGCGCTCGGCTTCATTGCGACGACCTCGTAAGCCTTTGCCCATGCGGTGATGTCTTCTGCAAACTCGATGCCGTTTCTCCACGACTCCCGAGCCAGGAAGCCCTTGTACTCGATCCCCATGGCGTCGCCGACCGACTTCCAGAAGACACCGTAGGCGCAGTACTCCATCTCGTTCAGCGTCCGCCATTCGTACAGGCGAATGAAGCGCGGCGGCTCAATCACGAAAACAGACAGCGTGTACAGAAGATCTGCATTGGAGATACTGCCGTCTTTGATGTACTTGCTGTGCAGGAAGTTCATGCGCGCTATGCTCTTGATGGCGCGCTCCGAGGTAGGTGGGTTGATCATGAATTCGCCAATGATGGCCGCCGTGTCTTCATATCTGTTGGTGTCCATGTGTATGTCAGTCACCCCAGACCATCTGATCTCACCTCTGCACTAGGAGGCCTTAGACACCCAACAGCGACGCGGGCAACTCACCTCTTCAGACTCTTGACGGGATCCGTCAAGTTCCTCGTGCCAAGCAACAACCGACTGATTGTCTCTACGCCGTATGTCTGCGAGAAACTTCTCATCAGCAAATTCCCAAGGGCACCTCCCCTAGACTGCCATAGGATGACCCGATCGTATGTCCAATGAGACTGACGACTCACCTTGAATAACCCAAAATTCAGCGCCGTGACGTGGAACTCGGGAAATTCGGCCGAGGCGATATAACTGATGATTTGTTGCGCCTCGTCGTTGGTCATGCGTGCCAGCCCTGCACGGTCCGACTCTGGGTATCCGAACTTCCGGCGCATGTCCTTCTCGCGGCGAAACCGCAGCGCCTGACACAGTATGATGTATCCCAGCGCGGCAGGGAGGATGTATTGTTTCCATGACGAGGAGGCGGCGGCGGTCGACGTTGTTGCGAAGAGGTCTGACAGCGGGCGGGAACCCATAATGCTGATGAAGTTGGACGTCGAGACGTTCATCGTGGCGACTAGTGAAATGTCCAGACCCTCGACCAATAACTCACAAAAAAGACGAGAATACGGCGAGCAAGGCCGGAAGAGGAAGATTCAGGACAAGGGATCGAGCTGTAATCAACTAAGAACTGAGAAGGCGGTCAAATGAAATAATAAAAGATAGAGTCCATGCCGCATGCGCCGCAGCGGTGCGCTGCCAGAAGGACGGGAGGACTGGAGGTCTGGTGTCAGGCTCATGTTATGATTGTGTGTTCCGTTGTTGTTCTAGCTAAGTCTAGGATGGATCCGTCAGATCCTCCGGACACTGTGTGTACTTCCAAGCTACATAAGTGGGACCCGCGGGGTCCTTGTCATGTGACATCTGGTGTCTCGACATCCCATAATCCAATGAGGGAGGGGCTGCCATATGAGCTACCAACAACGGCCGATGTTTGGCACCATGTGGGCAACTCGAGGTCGTCACACGTTCAATCAATGGTCCTTGTACGCGAAGAACGTCCGACCGTCCCGATCGTGGTTTTGCGCGCCTTGATTACTGATTATTCATAGTTGCATATCAAAACGTACGTATGAGTACCGTATGGAAGCAGCTGGTTCTTATCCAACCACCTTGTTAGCCAGTGCTGGTCCGTCAGTCTGGCCGTGCAATGTGGTAGCTAAACACCAACCAAGTACCGACGTAGTACGGTAGTGAGATCTGAAGACTGGATGGATGAAGTCTTGCTTGAGCATGATTTCGAGACTCATCAAGAGCTATCATATTACTACCATGATAGGCACATGCCTGTTTACTAAGACAGCTTTGCCTTTTGTTGTCTCCTCTGCCTCCAGGCTTTTAGTTCACTGAGTAGACCCATGACCAGGGGAACTCCCACGGGTCCCAGCAGGGGCAGGTAGACGGTCACTTTGTGCTCGTCCGGGAAATACAGCTGGCCGACCATACTTTTCTCAAAGAATGCACGCTCTGCCTCTGCCTCGGCTATGCGCGCGTGCTCGAGGCTCTCGGTGCTGCCCAGGTTGGCGCAGGCCAGCTCAAGATGGTGCATCGACTTGGCTACACCGTCAGCGACACTGGACGGAATCGAGATGCTGGGCAGAGCCAGCGAGAGACGCGCTAGTGACCCCAGCGAGGAGGAGGCACGTAGCAGCAAGTCTGCCGACCTAATGCGCGTGAGCGTCGACAGCCGCATGGGCAACGACCCCGACTGCGGGGTACCGAGGAGAGACAGGAGATGGGATGTGAAGGTCAGGATCGGCTGCTTCAGCAAGTCGGAGGGGACATGGGTCGCAGGCGGTGGCGACAGAAGATACACAGAACCCCATTGTGGAATCAGCCACGACTGCGACGTCTCCGTCTCCGAGTCCATGCCAATGGTCTGGTTGCCAGTGAACACGACGAAGTTGACCGTCGGCGCGCCACCTATGCCCGGGGACAGTGGCCACTCAGCTGCGTTGATGAACGAGGAGAGATCTTCCTTGCTGAGCACCTGTGAGTGCACCCCCGGGGCTGCATAGAGCTGTACCTGGGTGTCGATTGTGAAGTTGTGGATGGGCTTCAACATATCCAGCACGGGTTTCATGTATTGGTCGATAGCCGCCTCGATGTCCCAGCTGCTGGGAGCAGGACCGCTCGTGAATAGCGAGAACGTCAAGTGATATGTTCCCGAGTATTTCAGCGACCGTGTCATTCGCTTCGACAAGGACTCGGTGGTATCTAGAGAGGACCCCTGTGGTTGTTGGTCGGAGGGTATAGATGATGTCGCAAGGAGGTAGGACATGATGGCCTGTTCTTCGGCGAAGGTCGAGCGAAGCTGCGTGGCAAGATATGTCGCAAAGCCGTTGGAGGAAGACTCAGGAGAAGGGATCGAGCTGGGCGGGTACGTGACCTCGAGGACAGGCAGATGTGGATGGAGAGTAGACGCAGCAACGTCGCCCGGTTGCAGTCGTATGGTAAGAGCGGTATTCGATTCACGACTCGGGTCGGTCGTCTGGTCTGCGGTGGTAGTCTGTGGCATCTCGAGTTGTAGCCGGTAGCCAGGGAAGTCGGTCATAGTCTCGAGGGCGTATTGGGTTATTCGCATCAGGTTCTGGGCCTCGCCGTCTTGCAAAGCAGGGGCTTCCACGGAAACCTGTAGAGGGAACACCGGGCTGCATGTCTAGGGGGAGAGGAGTATCAGCAACGGCATAGAGAGAAAGTGCATCAACGGGGTAGGTTGCGACGAACCTTGCCGTCAGCCCAGTCGGTCATCTGGCTCAGGGGCAGATTCGCCCGGTATATGGTGGTTGTCTTCCACCATATCGGCAGCCCGAGACACAGCACGATGAACCAGAAAGATGCGACGACGAGAGACCGTCTTCGCGTGTCTGCCGAGCTCTCGGGCGGCGGCAGCTTGCGCACAGCTGGTGGTTGACTGGAGCGGTTGGACACCTGGTTGTCGTCGGCTTCAGCAGCTGGAGCGCTCGCAGAGGCATCGATCCCCGACGCAACACCATGGTCCAGACGGTCGGCAAGCGGAGAAGACATGGCTATGCTATCTCGAGCTGCGCTGGTGTTCTGGCAGCATTGTTCGCAGCTGGAGGCGTGGTAGACCGGGTCTGCACTGCCCAATTCCGAAATGTCTTAGATACGGTGTCTGTGGCGCATTTGCAGTGGATGCGAGAGGTACGAGATGCACGAGATGGTACCGCGATGACAGCTCCGTCGTACATGAGGTTGCAGTGCATTGCAGCAGTAGGGGTTCTCTTCGGTAAATGCATCTTAGTGCATCACCCACCACAGAAAGCCATATAAGAGGACTATCTAGTTAAGGGGGTTTGTAATGCGGGTGGTCCCGTCTTCTTCTTCAGCTGTGGGCCTCGGCTGCCATAGACTGATCGACCTATGTCGCACTTGATGATGATTGCCCTTTTGAATTTTGGCTTGATTTTTGACCTTGAATATGACACACTATTGCGGCACAGAGGTGCGTATCGCTTGCAGCTTGATGGATTACCTTCCTACCCACATAGGTACCTACATAGAGGTATGACTGATGACTCTCGGAGGTTGTGTTTGTAGCAACGAAATTCCAATCCCACCCGTCCTACATAGACAGCACCTCAGACTCAGCGAGAGTCATCACAGCCACGCAAGCAGGAAACAGGCAAGCAAATGCCCCAAGGTCGGGTATAAATTGGGAGGATGGGAGGAGTGACCTCTGGGAGGATGGGATAATTATCTAGGACTGAACTGTCCGTATCCCCTGGCTGGCGCTGCTCGATTGGGCCACTATTTCCAGGATGCCGAGGCACATCCGCAGCATTCTACTTTATATAGAACCAAAGTCCGACACCCCAATCGTCCATTGCTTTCTGCTGGACCTACCTGCCCCGGCATAACTCCATAATCACTTGGATTATTACCATGATGGATGCGCCGGTGCCACTGGTTTTCGTATGAATCCGTCCTCGCAGCACGCCGCTTCCGACCTCACTCGCTTACGGGCCCGCCGCAGCCGTGCAGGAACAGCAGGAAGGCCGCGAGTTTAGAGTGGCGCATGAGCTGGATGCCTGGGGTTTAAGATATTTATGCTTGAAGAATTGGCATTCACATAAAGGTAAATCTTATCAGCTGTCATTCACTTGCTTGTAATTGCCAACTCAGCTTTACAGATTTCTCCCGGCCTCGTGGTGATCAACCGGGCCCCCCTCATACTCTCACCAAGCCTATGACTGGCTGTTAAGCCTCATAGCCCTACCTCTTATTTACCATTTGGGTGACTTAAAAGAGGGCATATTTCTCCCTTCCTTCTTCACCTTTTCCCTTTACTCTACATTTGGGCAGAGGGCTGGGTCACAGCAGACACACTTGCGCCCGCGTCTCGCAAGAAAATGCCCGGTAAGCGACACCTCCCGAAACGTAGCAGGATTATACCTACATCGACAAATTCAAATATGTCTGTTATTATAGCTAACATCCACTGTGATCGGGACAGTGCCGTTAGCTCTTTCGGTGCCAGCGGCGGCCGCCGGGCTGTCGTATATCAATGCGAAGACGGGACTCTCGTATGACTGGACCATACTCCGCGGTATGCTTCCGGCTATCTTGAAAAACCGTATGCGAGAATGGAAGGATCGTTGCAGCGCATTCTACAGGCTAGAGCAAATAGCAACAAGCAAGTCTTCGGCAAACCGGACTTTCATCCTCTACCAGGACAGGTCGTGGACTTACGCCCAGTTCTACGAGGCAGCGCTCAAGTACGGCAACTACCTAAAGTCAAAGTTCAACTTGAAACCCAAAGATATCGTTGCCTTGGACCTCCCTAACTCGGATCACTTCGCTCTGCTTTGCTTCGGTTTGTGGTCCATCGGGGTGAAACCAGCCTTCATCAACTACAACCTGACGGGAGAGGCGCTGTGCCACTGTGTCAGTACCGCCAACGCTGTCCTCATGTTGGTTGACCCAGACGTCGCGCCCAACGTGGATGACGGCGTCCGGCAGAAGCTAGGTGGTTTGAAGATCGAGTTTCTAACACCTGAGTTGGTCACGGACGTTTTCGCCACAGAGCCAGTGCGGCCGTCCGATGAGCTCCGGGAGGGCGACTTGGCTCGGGACATGGCCATTCTAATTTACACCTCCGGAACGACAGGCCTCCCAAAAGCTGCAATCGTCTCTTGGTCGAAGATAGCCTTGGCTTCCGTGTTCGTGGGTCACTGGATAAAGTCGCAACCTTCGGACATATTCTACACGGTACTACATCTCACATATCCACCTTTGGCTGCATCCATCAACACATTCGGCTTGCAGTTGAGCTAACCAGGTGATAGTCCATGCCGCTGTACCATAGCTCTGCCGCGATTATGGGTCTTATGCAGTGTATGGAAAGCGAGTGTACTTTCGCCATTGGCAGGAAGTTCTCCACAAAGACGTTCTGGAAAGAAGTACGCCAGCACAATGCCACCATCATCCAATATGTCGGGGAGACCTGTCGCTATCTCTTGGCAGCGGCACCTGAGATTGACCCGACCACTGGGGAAGCAATGGACAAGAGCCACAATGTGCGTCTGGCGTTTGGCAACGGCCTGCGACCAGACGTCTGGGAGAAGTTCCGCGAGCGGTTCGGCATCCAGGACATCGCCGAGTTCTACGCAGCTACCGAGGGCTTCAGCGGGACGTGGAACTACACGCGCAACGACTTCTCGAGTGGTGCCATTGGGCGCAACGGATGGCTTACGGGTCTGTCCACGCAGCAGAAGATCGCCATAGTAGCACGAAATCCCGAGACGGACGAACCGGTACGCGATACCGAGACAGGCCTGTGCCACCAAGTCAAGCGAGGCGACATAGGCGAGTTGCTGTTCCGGCTGCCCGACGACATGCAGAAAGACTTCCAGGGCTACTACAACAACCCCAAGGCGACGAACAGCAAGATAATCCGCAACGTGCTCAAGAAAGGCGACGGGTATTTTAGGTCGGGGGACTTGATCAGCTGGGATCTAGAGGGTCGTACATACTTTCACGACAGGATTGGAGACACTTTCCGTTGGAAGGGCGAAAACGTGGCTACGACCGAGGTTAGCGAGATGATGGGCAAATATCCCGCCGTGGACGAGGCAAATGTATACGGGGTACAGCTCCCGAACCACGACGGACGGGCAGGCTGTGCTGCCGTTGTTCTGAAACGGAAAGCCGACGACTCTCTTCTGCGATCGTTAGCCGAGCACGCGAGGAAGAAGCTGCCCAAGTACGCAGTGCCCATCTTCTTGCGAGTGGGCAAGGGACTGGACCTGGCTCGTACGGGCACGAACAAGCAGCAGAAGCACGAACTGAGAATACAGGGCGTGGACCCGGTCAAGGTTGGCGATGACGAGCTCTTTTGGCTCAAGAACGGGACCTATGTCAGGTTCGCCAAGGGTGACTGGGATCAACTGAACGCAGGCCAGGTCAAGCTCTAAGTGCCTCTGATTTTACGCATACCGAGTTGGGTCAAAGGCTGTCCACCCATTCCCAGAGAGGCAACATGTAGAGAAGATAGACACATATACAGGTATAGACACAGACCGGCGCAAGCGTTCCGTTATGAACAAGTTGTTGTGCTCAAAGCGCTCATGAGTCAAGTAATCTAACCTGTCTTGGTAGTTCAGCTCCTCGGATACGTTCAGGTACATACATGCCTCAGACCTTGATTTATAGAAGAGGTGCCGTAGGATGTTCAGTCGTCACAGATCCATGGATGAACGTCGGGGTGGCCACCTGTGTGGATCCAGTGCATGGACCCATATGGAGTATTCTGGTAACCCCACCAGATATGTTGGAGGTGGTTACCTGATGAAGGCTGCCTGGCAACCCTTTGTTGCCCCAGGTACCTCACCACTGTAATTTAGGTATTTAGATACATCTCGGATGGAATCCTTTCCATCCGACCTTTTAATCAAGCACCACCCAGACCACTGATAGATTACAACAAGACTTGTGATTTGTCAGCATCTGGGAAAGCTACCAAAAGCCACACCTGTAGAAAGGGGCTTCATTCCGACCTGTTTAGCCGCATATGCGGCATATGAAAATAATGTGAACGACCCCGCCCCCACCATTGTCGCAAGAAAAAGCTGCCCTCCACAAAGTCCAAGTTGTACTGCCGGTTGACAACCGCTGGTCTTCCTTCTCTTCGCCATGTCCTCCGAATCCAGTGCTCCTCCAGTTCTCTCGACGCCCGCCGAACATACCTTCTTCGAAGACCCGACTCCAAAATCCGTGATCGAGGCGGCGGGACGAATCCAGAGACCCGACGATGAGCTCTTCGAAGTCTACGAGATCGCGCGGACCGCGACCGAGGTTCAGCAGCGGGCATGGAAACGCATTGCCCTACAGTTTCCCGACGCCATGCTTCCGGACGCGCCGTGGGTCGTCGGTGCCCTGAGTAGAGAACTTGACAAGCTGGCAGAATCAGCACAGGAGACCGAGCACAAGCCGTCGCGCGAGGATAACACCAAAGGCCAAGTGGATGACAAGAACAAAGTGCGCGATCGGGGGCAGAACCAGAGGCAAAGGCTTTATATCCTCGCAGATACATCATACAGCGCGTGCTGCGTCGATGAGATAGCGGCAGAACACGCAGATGCTGACGCGGTTGTACACTATGGACGCGCGTGCCTGAGCCCTACCTCGCGGATACCGGTCCTACACGTTTTTACGAGGCAGAAACTAGACTACGAGGCAGTTCTCGCATCGTTCGAGACCGAGTTCCCAAACAAGGCACAGAAGGTTATCCTGATGGCCGATGTCATGTTTCAAGAGCATGTTGCACCCGTGTGTGAACTACTCCGAGGGAAGGGGTATACCCGTGTTGTCGCAACCGAGATCGTGCACGATCCGTCAGGAACCATCCCAAATCGCCAGCTTCTCCCGCACGAGTCGAGGACGATGGCAGAAGCTGATGATGACCTACACGACTACGACCTCTTCCACATATCGACGCCTCCTAGCTCGCTGCTCCTGACCCTTTCATCCCGCCTCGCCTCGCTACGCATCTACCCGACCCCGACCTCCCCATATACCACCACATCCAGTCCTCCAGACCCGAGCGCGACACCCTCTATTCTCCGCCGGCGCTACGCACTCGTCATCCGACTCGCCACCGCCTCCATCATCGGCATACTGGTGAATACGTTGTCGGTCAAGAACTACATGTCCACCATCTCGACGCTGAAGAGCCAGATCGCGGCCGCGGGCAAGAAGAGCTACACCATTGTCGTAGGCAAGTTGAATGCGGCCAAGCTGGCCAACTTTGCCGAGGTCGACGGCTGGGTCGTGGTCGGCTGCTGGGAGAGTGGACTGGTGGAGCAGGAGGGTCTGTGGAAGCCCGTCATCACGCCCTTTGAGATGGGCCTGGCGCTGCAGCGCGAGGAGGATAGGATATGGACAGGTGAATGGTGGGGTGGCATTGAGGGGGTGAAGAACCAAGTCAGCGAGTCTACGAAGACCGAGGGTGACTCGGCGCAGGAGCTACGAGAAGGACCATACACCAGACCTGAACATGTCGAGGGCGGAGTAAGCGACGAAGAATCGGAACCTCCCGTGTTTGACCTGCGAACCGGCAAGCTCGTCAGCAATAGTCGGCCAATGAGAGTGGCGATGCGTGGTTCTGCTGCGGCTGATGCCCAACCCAATGGCGACGGTGGCAATGGCCAGGGGCTTGGCTCGTTTTCTCTCACGAGGCGGGCTATAGGCGAGGTGGCCCTAGTGAAGGGTGAAGCCAGTCCTGGCGCCGAGTTCCTCAGGTCACAGAGGACATGGCAAGGTCTAGGCAGCGACTTCAACCAAGACGAAGAAGAGGGAGCCAGTACTGTTGTTGAAGAGGGTCGCAGCGGTGTTGCGAGAGGGTATACTGTTGGCGAGGACCAGCAAAGAGCCTGAAGCCGGGACTATACCCCGGAACTGGGACTTGCGCAGCACGAAGCTATACAGAGACAAGAAGAAAGCAGGGCGCGCTCTTGGTTCGACCAGAACGGAGACCTTCAGGCTTGTAGGCACTCGACAGGTTAGGTCACAACGAAGCTTCAATGAGCTCTACGGGTTACCCCTAGACAGCCATGGACTCGGGAAGTGCTACGGCCAGGTATATGGCTTTTCACTATACCATCCCAAAGGTCGTGCCGATGCCTGAGATGCACTCCAATCATCCGTTCAATTGCCCGTGATTGCTCGCGCGTCCCATGAAGCAAGTTCATGATCGAGCTACAGCTTTGCGCGATGTAGAACGGGCAATTGGCTGGGGGGAAGAGTCTTGGTCTTATGAGAACAAGACTACAGTGCCACCGCTATGAATACGTCTGGATGATACAAGTCACAGGTCCTGGTTATTGTGGGCTCTGATGGTACATCAGCAGATATCAAATACGCCGAACCGCCCATCAGGAGTCACGCAATGAGGAAGCGGAGATGTGGTCAGCTACTTGATAGCAGCATCAATCAATTAGCACTATCTACAGTTTCTATATATTGAGAGAGAACCAGTGACCCACCGATCCGTACAGAGTCGCAACAAGGCATGAAGTGTTCGTCCACGAGGCGAAGACAGGTAGATACAGGACATAGCCCAGTCGCATGTACCTATGTGAAGATTCCGGTCGTCTAACTCGCCAACACGGAACCTGTACAGGGATCGCAACAACACCAACGCATCAATCCAGATCAGGCTGCGCTCGAGTAATATCAGGCCGTGAAACGATAAGCTAGCTGCCTGGGCGGCAACTGTCGGGTAATGTAATATAGCGTCATAGTCGTAAAGGTCGTGATCGAGGCGAATTGAAGTCTCGAGGTTATTCGCATTCCGTCCTATCCACCCACTGCCCTCAGAGGCCCTTCGAATCCAGTCTTGTAGTCGCTGACCCCATGCGCCATTCAATGCGCACCCCGGGCCTTGGTATCCCAGTGGCCAATTCCTTCCGTCTTCGATCCAAGTCCATACACGCGAGAAATACAAAAGACGGCGGCGCCTACACGTAGGTGCGGCGATGCGAGTGCGAGTGCGACCTGCTCCGGCGGCTGTGGGGGCTCCGGCTGCTTCGGTGACCGTGGCGGTGGACATGGGTCTCGCGATAATACGTCTTTTGGTCGCGGTCGCTCATGCGGTCGCCGTGGAAGCAGGCGAGGATGGAGGTGATGAAGAAGAAGACGGCGTTCATGATCCCAAAGGCGAAGCAGGCCTTGAGCATGGCGCACGTCTTGTCGACGTTGATATCCCAGTCAGCGACGGAGGCGTAGCCGTAGGGACCGAAGCTGATGTCGGTGTTCGAGCCGCGCGTGACGTTGCTGCAGTTGGCATTGGCGATGAAGCGTAGGGCGTAGACGGCGCCGATGAAGGCGCCGACGAACAGCAGGTCGAAGATGGCGACGAAGGTGGCGTTGGTGGAGGAGCGGTGGTAGCTGAAGAGGGTGTAGATGGACCAGGCGAGGGCCAGCACCGACACGATGAACAGCACCAGCACGTAGTCGGGCGTCAGCTGGTTAAGCTCTACCCAGCCATGCACGAAGTAGGCGAGCATGCCCATGGTCGGGATCTGCGCAAGACCATGTCAGTTATTGATGGACGTCGGTCTGGACGGGTATGACACCTCCGGCGCAAGGCGCGCTTCGCGCTTTCGCGGCTGGCGCGGGCTGCGTTAAGAGGGGAGACAACTTACCAGAGTGACGATCTGCAGGAAACGCCAAAAGGCGAAGAAGACGGCGAACAGCATGTTGGGCTGTTTGTCGGTCGAATCGCTGTCGGGGTCGCGAAGAAGGTCGTGGTGATCTGGTGAGCGAGATCTTCTACGGTGGGTTAGGACTTTTGGAGGTGGAAAGGCGGGGATCGTCGATGGCCGGGAGTGATGAGATGCGACTGGACGAGGATGACTTGCGCGCCAAGAGCTGCAGCGGTACAGTATGTGGTCTGGTCCTGTGCGCCCGTGAAGATATCTGAAGATATAGACAGGGCCGTACGTATATGACAGAAACGTGAGCGAAATCAACAAGAGACGAAGATTCGAGGACCCTTTGCGCGTTCAGGACCAGGTCGATGGCTGGTATAAGAGCGCTACAGTATTAACTAATAAGGTATCAAACAAGAGACATAGGACCAGGCAGTGGAGCCAAAATAGAACGGGAGCGGCCTGAAGGAAGAGGAACAGGAACAGAAGCAGGGGGCAGGGGTATTTCCCAGTTTTTGGTACTTCGTTGCGCCGCCGTTGCCAGACTGCTGGCGTCGCTTACCGTATTTTATATTAAAAAGAAGGTCGTTCTGGTCGTGAAGGACCTATGTTTTAGCGACCTGCTTGTAATATGTTGTCACAGGGTTTGGGCTGGCAAGAGTTGCAGCTTGCGAGCGCCGACGCTGCAAGAAATTGGACGGGTTCAAGCTTATGACGTCCCAACTCCCAGGCCTGGGGATTATACCAGAATACCCCCCGCACGCGGTTCGAGGATCGAGAAGTGGGTGGGTCGATGTCGTTGAAGGCCCAAAGGCCAAGGCCGCGTTGGCGTGGCACCGTAGTACATGACAGGGGAGCTAGCTGGGGCTACTGAGGCTACTGGGGCCTTGGATCCCTGTAAATCTGATAATCGCAGTGGCTGGTAGGCCTCGACCTTCGAACGAACGTTTGAAACTGCGTGGCTGGGTCACGATCCCTCGCCCAAGTTTGATCAATCAATCTACACGATGCCGTCATGTTCATATCCTCGTTTGATCCAAGTTGCAGTAGTCTTTTTCTTCACTTTCTTCCTTAACCAAGGGGCTGGACACTTCTAACACTCCCAATATCAGTGCGAGAAGCGCCCAACAGGCCAGCCCCACTGTAACTTTCGTGAACTTCCGGGGTCAAGTCCGGTGTTGGACACAAAGGCCGTCAATATCTGGCATACGCGTCTTGCCTTGTACGAGGAATTTATCCGAGAGGTGGAACGAAAACCTGATATTATTGAGACTTGGAGCATTGCTACCATGGTTCATGATAGATGTAGAACCCAGACGTGTCTATCCAATGAACTTCCTGCTTCGCTTCTGGAAGAGCCATTGTACGACCGAGTGATGAGAGCATGACTCTAGGTCTCTAAGTTGCCAACAGGATAACTTCCAGACCGTCTTCCCCTATCAATATCCGAATCCGCCGAGTTATTAGCACGAGCTCGTCTGCCTGGCCATCGGGAGAATTCATCCAGAAGGACTCCTCACAAGCAGGACTGTTCTCCATAGATGCCGGCACCGTCAAGAGCCACGGACACTGACACTTTCAACAGCCTGCGGCAACACCACATAGCTCTGTGAAGTTGAAGCTGCTCCTAGATCAAGTCTTCTGGCAGTGTTATCACAAGGCACGCGGTAGGAAGAGATTCCTGGTTTATACGTAGTCAAGGTGTTTGTGCAGTACCTGTCAGCCTTTACTTCTCCGTAAGGCCACCTCCGTAAATGTGCTGCAGTTTCCACTCAAGACCCCTTCATCATCCACGCCGAGCAAGAACTTGTGGTAGAACGCATCCAGGTAGGTTCTCGTAATCTCGACCGTCCTCGCCCCAGGAACCGTCCCAGCCTCGGGGCCTTGAGCTCCCAGGATGTCGGCCAACACGGAATAATCAGAGTAGCTCTCGTGCACCGTGCCGTCCACCGTAAAGTCCCTCTTCCACCCACGCAGACTCGGCCACCCAGGCGCAGCGTCCGGATCGTCGGTGGCGAAATGTTCCGGAAACCCCAGCACCAGCACCGGCTTGTCCGTCCCCGACTGCACGACGGGACCGTAGAGAAAGCCGTCCAGGTCCGCGGCTGCGACGACTGCCGGTGCGTCCATCAACGCCTGTACTGCCGTCGCGCCTCCGAAGGAATGCCCGAGCACGGCCACGCTTGGGACGTTGAATGCTGTCGTTCTTAGCCCACGTGCCCGACATTGCAGTCTCAACACCCCCTCGCCATCTGCCAATCCTGGCCTCATGCTGGGAATCTGGGCCATCACCTCGGCGTCGCCCATCTGGCCGAGCACGAACAGCAGATCCTCCACCCGGGCCTCCAGCGCGGCCTCCCGCACGCGTGGGTCAAGCGGCCAGCTCCAGTTGCGTGCGAGGGCCACCCTGCCATCCGGGTACTCCACGAGAGCGGCATCGTGGGGGTGATCAACGGCGGCGACGACCCAGCCCCAGGACGCGAGATCGGAAAGCAGGGACGAGTACAGCCCGCGCACGAAGCCGAAACCGTGGCTGAAGAGAATGACTGGAGCGGTATAGGGGTCGGCGATGGGGGCGTCCAGCTGGGCGCGCGTGGTGAGTGCGGCGGCCGTGCCGGGGGAAAGCGACAGTGACTTGTCGATGTATGCCGCTGTTGCGGGTGAGAATTGAGGGCCGAGCGGCCTGGACGACGTGTTTGGTGTTGGGTAGAAGAAGGTGACCATGAGATCACGCGCGTCCGGACGGTTGTAGTCGATTAATTCCAGATGCGTGAGGCCGATGTGGTGAGGGCCGGTGAGTTCCGGGAGAAGGATTTGGGCGCAAGAGCACACGCTTGCGAGAGTGAGGAGCTGGACCAGCAGCATCGTACTCGTGGTGGTGGTGAATCTCGGCCTCCCTTTTGGCTTGAACGTCATCAAAGTGCGATGGTGGTAAGTTAGGTATGGAGGTACCGCGGATGACAAGATTGTGGTGGTGTCACCCAGCCTGCCTAGTCCCGCTTGTAGACAAGATCTACGATCATCACAATACACGTCACACCTTCTGTCTTCGATTTGCCAAACTCATCAAGCGACAGCACCAATGGATGGATGGATGCTCACCGCCGATGCCAGTTTGAGGAAATTTGGCGGTGATGCTGACACCAGCCCACTTTGCCCAGGCTGCCATGGTTGGTTTGCCCAACTTGTCTTCTCACTTGCCGTCCTTCCCGAGTACACTTGAAGATGACTGTTTCGCCAATGTACAAAGACTGGTCCCACTGCTACTCCAATGAATTTCGCATGGTGGTTTGACGAGATCAGTTGAATTGATGGCTGGCCTGATGACCACCTCTTGCCGGTGACAAACGTTACTTGTACCGGTCTGTGTCCAACGGCTACCACGCAGACAACGCCTGCATACTAACTAGAGACGTGACGGGCTTACGTATATATGGAGATGGTATGTCCCTGCCATCCCTCACATTCTCACAAAGGGCGTATATCCCCTCACGTGTGGAAGACCGTTCGACAGAGACTGTCCCTCTGTTATGAAATTGTATATCCAAGCGTGGACACGCGGTGGCATGTGATAGTTGCCTCGGATCAGAGCAGGCTTCGCCATGTAATCAGACATGCCCCTAGTCAATGTACATGGCCATCTCGCTTCGACAGATATGTTGAAGATACAGACTGAACACGCAGAGAAGGAGAGGGACGATGCAGCGCACTGCGGTCTGCTTTCAGTCTACTTCTGCTTGCTTGCTTGCTAAATTGCTTGCACGTGCTTCATGTCGTTTTCACATCAAGACCTGACCTTTCAGTCTTTACAAACTGCAGATCCTGAGTCAAAGAAAGTTGAGTCTTCATCCAAACATACCTAAGGTACATACACGCACCTACCTTTGATAACCTCAAGTCCAGCTTCCCTTGTGGCCAGTTCCACCTACCTACCCAAGTACTTGCACTTACGCCTACCTAGGTGCCTAGTTGCCTGAGGTGCTCTTGCTCAGGTACCCTTGGAATACCTTCTAGAACTATCCGGCATTACGCCTTTCACTTCTGGGTTACCTGTATGCCTGAGGCAGGTACCTTCCTCGAGCTCCCTTATACACGACACCCCCTCAACAATTCCTCTCCAGGAACGACCTCACGTACCGACGTAAACATCCACCTCCAGCTGTTGTTTACGGCGCCAACACCGCTGCTAAGGCCACTTACCAAATACAACTACACCGGCTCGTCCCCCGGTTGCATCTTCATTCCTCTCTCGCATCTTCGAACTCGATCCCGAACAGCCTCATACATTATGGCGACCAATATCAACGGTGTCGCTGACGACCGTGTCGTTGACGACCGTATCGCTGACTTGCTGACGACCTTGTCGCTAACGACCAAGTCGCTGACGACCGTGTCGCGTGTCGCTGACGACCGTGTTGCTAAGGAGAATGACACTGATTCTAGTTATTCTAGTGATTTCCTTCCCGACGAAATGGTAGCAACCCCTGTTGAGGACCCTCGCGACGGAATCATCGATCATGAAGCACTGTTATCATGTGTCGTGTGCGATGGCGACGCCAACCTCCGCTGTCCGCGGTGCGGCGCGAGGTACTGCGCCCAAGCGTGCTACAAGGTCGACTGGCCGACGCATAAGCACCTGTGCGAGAGCGCGACCACAGAATACAGCGAGGAAAAGGCGGAGACTGACCACATCCGAGCCATCATCTTCAGATGCGACAAACCGCACGCCGAGTTCATTTGGCTTGACAAGGATCAACCCGAGGTGACTATTGCTGAGGTTCTAGGCTATGGCACCAACCTGGACAGCATGAACCGCGAGGTCCAACCACGGAACATGATAAACTACGGGCCACGTAAACGTCTTCGAGGGGTTGGCCGCGGAATCCGCTGGTACCCAAGTCCGTTTCGAACCGGACGACAAGGGGGAAACCACATCAACAAGTCCCTCATGGCCTTGTCCAAGCCGGCGCATATGATGGTCTATCATGGGGACCAACTGTTTGTCCCCTTTAGCACCAAAGAGTACCACCACGCGAGCCTCCGGGACTACCGATTCATCTGCGACTTTCTTCGCACTCGCTGGGCGAACCCCTGCTTCGACAATGCCCTGACGAGCCACATGCCCCTGCTCCCGACTGCCCAGATCTGGTCCGCGGTCAAGCTCAACTGCGAGGGCGACATGGCGCGTCTCTCGCCATTCTGCGGCGAAGGTAACTCGCTGCCCATGATCGAAGACGTCAGCATATTCAACATCGACCTTGGCAATGAACATAAGAGGGGGGCCTGTATCCTGCCAAAGATGGCCGGACTCTCTTGGGTCGCACAGCCCTGCACCACCAACCAAACCGTGGAACCAACGGCAGGGCTTGACAACTACGGCGGTCGCATCTTTTGCACCACCGACACCCCGGATGCCGACTGTCTCATGGAGTCTGGTTGCGGCTCCGTCATCGTCAGCCGCCCGGACGGCAGGCCGATCAAGGCGACGCACGTTCTGTGCTTCTACGATTTCGCCGAGGTCCAGCTTCGAAAGGCCGGTGGTGTCACAGGGTTCCAGCACGACACCGACACGGAAAGACACTACACGAGCGACGCCGAGCTGCGCAAATTGGTGACGAAAGAGATATTCAAGGAGTATTGGGGACAATGGATGTGCGACAGAATGAAGGATGGTCACAAAGTGGGCATCGACGAGCTGATGTCGCCTTACCAACCCGAAGAGGCGACAACTGAGGAAGCAGAGAAGCTGAAGGACGATGATAAGTCGGCTGCAAAGTTGATGATGACGCCGGGAAGATTGTTGCAGCCGGTGACACCGGAAGAGCACGAAAAAATCCTGGAAGATGCGATGAAGGTGCTCGGGTTCTAGCAACGCGTGGGCGAAGATAAAGAGGCGTAAGGGGTGCTTGCTGTTACCACACATTAGGATAGGCGCCGGTGGATTAATCAGACAGGTGGGAGGTGGTCAGACTCGTAGAATGAATCGAGCTGGGGAACCTCCGGGGAATCTTAGACTGATGAGCATTCTTACTTCATCACACGTACTACAGACATTCGGCTTGCGTACCCCTATTTTCAATGGACTGTCCTCCCTTGACACCAGTGCCGTCCACAAGTCCCCGAGCAGCATCCAACCAGTCTTGACCCATGAAACCCATACTCGAACTCGCATTGATTAAGGCGTCACAGGCGCCTCGCTGATATCGCTGTCCGCTCTGTACGATCGAGTCCGTTATTGATATGATAGACCGAAATTACCATAGAGGCTGGCTTGTCACTAGGAAGAGGGGATGCAACGCCGGCTTCTGGTATGTGAGCGTATAATGTAAGTACCTGTTGATAGTTTACGCGGTGGCGAGGTTGGCCTGGGGCGCGTGGGCGATCGTAATGTACTGCTTGGTAGGCATAAGGTTGTGAACCAGGTATGAATACTGTATTGGATGGTACAGCATACCTAATGTAATGGTGCTTTTTGCCTTGACTCCTTATGAATTAGCTGGTTCCAGAAGCAGGATAGAATCAGAGACAATATCCAGAGAACACGAGCAGACATGGGCGAGCAGGCTGGTGCAGAGGCAGCAGTGTTTTCGCTCATTCATGTAAAATGGCCACCCGATGGCAACAAACTGAATGGGGTATATACGCTTTATAGCATTCGAAATTTTGACACAAACGGGGTAGACGTCCCCTTCCATCTCCCTCCCACCTCTACACCCAGGGGCATGTACGACAAAGGAACTGCAACGAAGGACACGATCACCCATAGGAATCCATGATTCCGGCCAGGGTCACTTGCAAGGTCTAGATCTTGTCAAAGCTGTGCTACTCAGCGACAGGATCCAACTCGTCGAAATCTCGTATCAGTGGTCCCGTCCCGTCCGAGCTGCCCGAGTTGCCGAGCATCGTGGCTTCGCCCTTGACATCGGGACTCGAGGGACTGTGGCTAACATCCAGGAAATCATCGACGCCGGTCATGCCTTGCGCGAGGTCCAGGGGTCCCGGAGGCTTCGCGCGGTGTATGCTTTGCGAGCGTGGTGGCCATGGACCTTCGTCGGCCCGCCCGTCGTTGGCCCCAAACGTGGCGAAACTACGCTCGCTTTTCGCGCCGCCATCGCCGCCTCCGCCACGGCTTCGCGTGCTCTTGTAGCTCATCTGACTCGGGTACGTCTGACTCGGGTACTGTGCCGAGGTCGGTGTCCGTACGCTGGATGCCGTGTCCTCCGAGTACGTGCTGACGCTCACGGTCGACGAGCCTCCCCACGTGGTGGGCGTGGGCGGCGCTGCGATACCACTGGACTGGATACCGAGCGCATACCAGCCTGCGTTGCTTGACTGGCTGCCAAAGGGTTGGGGCGCGCGTTGAAAGCCCTGCACATGGGAACGCATCATCCGAGATAAGGGATCACGAGTGCTCGAGCTGACCGAGGTATCAGACTCGGCGCTCCCGGAGCCGCTATGCCAGCTGTGAGGGGCGGTCCAGCAGTGCGAAAGCTCATGACATGCTTCCTGGGCAGGCATCGACACCCCTTTCCATGGAGGCGTCTTGGTGCCCTTCAGCCGGGGTGAGAGGTGGTAAGAAACGTTGTCCTTGTAGCGAACGTTGGGAGAATCGACCGAGACGATGGCGAGGGTCTGCAGGATGCCGTAGATAAGGACCCAGCGACCACGGCGCGCACAGAATGGATCAAGGGCGCCGATCTGGTCGGCTTTCTCGAACTTGACAAAGTTCTCGACGAGCGCTGACTGCGCAAAGTCGGAGCCCAAGGCGTATATATTGGTGGCCTCGGTGTACGCCAGGTGAACCCGCCGCTCGAGGGTACGACCGTCGCCTCCCTGTTTTGCACTCCTGTCCTTCCGCAGCCTCTCTCGGCCACTGCCCGACCCGGGGGTGTTGGTTGGGGGTATCGACTCGGGCACGAGGGGATAGGGGTGCGGGATGTGGGGGAATCGCATCCGGTTGTCGAACTCGATCAGCATATCTGTGAGTGGCAGATCGGGCTTGTCAGCGCTGAAGGACTTGTTGCCGCTCTCGGAAACCATCATCCACTTTCGACTGCTGCGTGTCTCCGACTCGTCCCAGACAACATCTCGGTTGACCAGGTAGTCATATAACGCACCAAAGTCCCTCTGCATCTTCCTGGCCATGGTCCTCGTCAGCCACATCTCTTCTCCTTCTGTGGTCCTCGCATCGGTTTCGGGCGGGGGCCAGCTTCCGTGAATCCTGGCATAATGGCTACGGAAGAACTGTTGCAAGCGGTCGGCGGCAGCTCGGGAAGCGCTGTGTGCAATCGGCCCCGTGACCGGCCAGATGTCCCCGTAGGCGAACTCGGCGAGACGCTCCTCGGCCGCCTGGACACGAAGTTGTGTCTCGAGACATGCACGTTCGAGAAGCGCTCGTGTGATTGGCGTGACGTGGCGGAAGTCTGCGCATGACTCCAGGAGAGAGTACATGCCGGCGCAGTGCAGGAATGCTTCTCGCCAGCCTTCCTCCCACCGTACCTCGGGCGTCTCCGACCACGCCAGCATGGATACTGCCGTCTCGGCATCGTTGCGTGCGTCGTCGATCCTCCGCGCAGACAGGTAGTTGAGGATGGTTCCGACGTTGTCTGCCTCGGACGGCATGTAGCCGTCGAGGCGGGCGAGCAGGTCCGACAGGGCCTGAAATAGCGACAGCCCCACGAGCGACGCATGGTATAGCAGAGCAAAGACGTTGCGCGTGGTGATGGCGTGGCGGTGGGCTTCGAGCTTGGTCAGGTTGGGAGGCGTGGGTAAGTAGATCTCATACGAGATCTGGCCATCGGTGTCCGTGAGGCTGGCATCCTCGGAGACCGGTGGCGTGGGCTGCCCGGCTCGACCGAGGTTGTAGCCAAGTTGCGAATGCTGTACCATTGGCGGCGCCCCAACCGGGGACGGCGGCATGTCCGCTTGCGTGTCATAATCATCGTCGGTAGAGCCTTCACGGAGTAGGGTGACGAGGAAGCGAGATTCGGTCGCCTCGATAATATGGGATGAGAGACGGAAGGACGGGTGCGGTCGTTGCAGCTGGCCCTTGCGGCCGAAGTAGACCAGGACGTCGCCGTTGGGATCCCAGAGCTCGGGATCCTTCCGGAGCTTGTTCCACCTCTGCACTGGTCTGCCGGCCCCGATCCACCGCTTGGTCGGTGGCGTGATGGCCGGAGGCGGGAGCGGTGGTAGTTTGGCCGATGGCGGTGGTGATACCATCTGCTGGTACTCTGGATCCCACGTTCCGGACTGCGGGTTCGGCACGGGCATTGGGAACAGCTCGTTCGCGTCCATGTTTTCCACGTCGCTGTACGGTCTGATAGTGGCCGACGACGGAGATCGAAAGGCCACATCCCCTCCTTTCTTCTTCTTGCCCCCAAACGTGAAGGCTTTGGTAAGCCCTTTGCGGAACCCGTCGCTCTTTTTGTCGACGGCGCTGCGGAAGCCGGACCGCTCGATTCCCGACACATCTTCGGTCTTCAGCACCGGCTTCCTGGCCCTCGCATATGCAAAGTCAGGCATCGGCCCTCGAGGAGTCCCTGGGGTACCAGCATCTCTTCTCCCCGCGTCACTGCCACCGCTCTGGCTCCCACTGCTGTTGTTGCTGCTGAAATTCGTGTTCTCGGTGCGATAGATCGCCGAGTCGGTCTCTCGGTTATCCCTCGCCGGCTCGGAGAACTTGAGGAAGCGTGCATTCGTCGTTCCGTATCCGGTGCCCTGTGGCAAAGGATATTCGTTGACCGAGACATCATCGCGCTCGGGGAACCGAGAGCTTCCTGCTGATTTTGCGCGCCCTCGTACGGCAGACGAACCTCTGTCGCCCGGCTTCGGCTCGGTGATCTTCTTTCTGACGTACGCGCTACGACCCGACATGATGACCTCAATGTGCAAGTCGTTCCTCAGCCTAATAGCTTGCACGTAGATCAGAGCCGTCTTGTCCGAGCTGGATTTGGGGCTGGAGATGGCGAGCACTTCGTCCTGGTCTCTTGCAGTACGGTATAACCAAGCTACTTAGCGAAAGGTCCAGATCCCGTGTCAGCGATACCATATGGGCTTGGCGAGCTCTTTTAGCTACCGTAGAGTCGAGCATGTAGCTTGCCGCTAATCAACATGGGGAGTACGACGTCTCGCAAAGCACGCCGCCAATGAGCTAACCGTCGCACCAGTGAACGTGGTCATGGATATTGGGAGATCTGAGCGTACAAAGCGACGAACAGCAACCTATAGGCTGGCTCTCGCCATCAGAGAGCCTGTTTGTGGTAGTCAATCGCCTAAGGATGGGTGCCGTATTGGGGTCCTAAACCGTCCCCGAGCCTGGCCGACAAGTCAAAGTGTTTGGCGGATTACTGATGATTGCGGATGGAAAGGAAAATGTTGATACTTCGGTAACAAAGTGTCTCAGAGAAGGTGGGACGATGTGTTATATGTATGTCGTTTGGAGTTCTGGACGACCTCATCGCGGCGGACGGGCTTTGCTTTTTCCACCGCGAGTTTCGGTGTTGAGAGAATTTATGTCTGGCTCGGTGAATCAAATATGCAAGGCGTTCGTGGCTCACATCATTCGAAGGCGACCAGACAGCCAGACCCGACTATGTTATGCCGCGAGGGAGTCTGATAACCTCTGGTCGGCCAGCATCCACTGCTCCGACGTTGTCGGCAAGGCAAAGAGGTTGGGGAATCTGAGGAATATGTACCATGTAGGACTGGGTGACTGGTACCTATATGTCGGCGTGGGAGGCATTTTCGCGCCGTACATGCACAGTAGCCCGTGAGCCTCCCACTGACCAGCCTGCTATCCCTGCGCAGTAGGGGTTCAGCGGACAGACAAGCTAACAGGGGCGAGAGTGTCGGTAGTGTCTGGTGGGATTATCGTTCTGGAAGCAGGCCCAAGTGGTGTGACCGGTATGGAACTCGATTGGGTGAGACTTGCGATGCATCTGTTGTGGTCATCTGGGAGTCGTGGGGTTTTCTCATCCCAGCAGCCCAGTCGGGGTTGAGTTATTACAGGGCTCGAGCCAGCCTATCCGCCTATCCGCCTATCCAGTCTTCCAGTCTTCCAGATGCCTTTTCAGGATGGAGCATTCGGTCATCTTGGTATTATTGTTACCTACCTTCTATTCTCTTCTGTCCTCGCCAGGGAACAATGGTAAGCGGGCGAACGGGCGGACGGGACGGACGGGGCAACGGAACCACGGCGAATTTGATGGAGAAATATGCCGTTGAGGACCATCCATATGATAGGTAATAGCTATTAGCGCCAAGCTTCGTGTTATTATCTCTGGGGACCATGAGCCAAAAGCCAAGAACTGACAGCCTGTGGGGTTGCGGCGCGTGATCCTAGTGAAGCTGGGCTTGTTACTACCTACCAGGGGGACCCCCCTTTTAGAAAAGAGCGCCAGCTGTTGAATACACAGATGTTGATGGATTCTATTGATTGTGTTGCTCTGCGTGCAGAGATTGATCATTTGTCTTCTTGGTGGGCCAGATGCCCTGTGCGTCTCTGCCCCACTGGAGATCTTCCGGTGTCTATCTCCGGCTCCCATTCAACACATTCGTGCTAGTATCTAACACCAGCAGCCTTCCAAGTGCTCAACAATGGTATCAGGTCGAAACATGCTGCTGCATAGCTTGCTAGTCCGATTTGGTGATAATTCCAGTGCGAATATCGCTTTAGTTAGAAAATTAGACTATTCATTATTATCGGGACCTTTAACCGTGGCTAGTATAAAATAACGATTTCGTACAACCGTTCTTTTAATTATTTATAATAGTAGTATTATATAATAATAATCAAGCGTACGGTCGTATATAATCGTCGCTTTATTATAATTATTAGCTTTATTAAAGCTAGTAATCTTATTAACGGCTTGTTACTCTATTATAACCTATTACTTTATTAGTTATAACATTTTAATAATACTGCTACTTTATTAACCTCTTTTTACCTTATTAAGCTAAATATCGTAATAGTATTATTAAAAGATATATAAATGCTTGAAAAAATAAAATAAATCGTAATGCTTCGTAGTTTAGTTAATACAAGTAAATAATAATATAATCTCGTAATTTAAAAGGTTTTACTTAAACTGTAACCTTGTCTTTTTTAAAAAGTAAAGTGAGAAAAACTAAGTCATAAATTTATAAGTTAAAATTAAAAACTTTTATATATAATTCTTACAAGCTTAACTTTAGCTTTATATTATTATTTTTAAAAATTAATACAATTATAAATAATAATAATAATAATAAAAATGAAATTTATGCCTAGTCAAAGTGGCTTAGGCTTAACAGAGAAGCAGGCTGCTAATAAAGTGGCAGCATTAATAAAGTTCTAACCTTAACAGGATTGTTCGTGCGTTTTATAGTTTCGGCGGTAATAGCATATTTAACTTAACATAACTACTAGATTAACATTGGCAGGAGCGCCAGCCATAATGTTTTCTATACATTATGTTTATTTGTTATGGGGCTTATAAAAGCGGCCCGCATCTATCGTTTTCACGCCTGAGCAGGGTGCTGCAAGACTTGCACCAGACTGTTTAAAAACGGGGGTCCCTCGCGTAGGTAGGTACCGCAGCTTTTCTAGAATGAACCAAGAGCACCCATTAGCGCTCTGACGGGCTGTTGATGGGTTTCAGGAACTTGCTATCCCAGCTCTCACAACTGCATGCAGTCGAACGGGCAACCTGTGGGATACCAGAGGGCGAAGGCGAACGCACTGAAGAGAATCCGACCGGTTTCATAGCTCTCTACGCACCCCCCACGAGCCCTTGCGAGTCGCCGACTCGGTTGAGCTTCGAACTTCGAAGTGAGGGTGAGCCGGTCAGGTTACCTCAGTGCCACCGTGCCTCTGAGCATCTCATCATCGAGGATTCTCCGGCGAAGTGGAGTAAGCCCTAGGAACCGTCTCCGACGATCCCTGCGGTACTCTGCAGCTAATTGATCAATCAATGAGTGCATCGCCATTATCATCCTTTCACAACGTGACACCCTGATCGCGAGGTGATCGTGGCGTGCGCGTCAAGGGGTCTCTGCTACTGTAGATGCGGGTCAGCCTATCAGCTACCAGAAGCGGTGACAGCGTACGATATGCATGTTGGTCTTGAATGCGTCGTTTGGGTCTGATGAAGCGGTCAAAGCTGAAGGCTCGGCAGTTGTTTATTTCCCCTCCTTCGCCTCTAATCAGAAAAAGGGGCTGTCGGATTCACCAAGTCTTTGTCAGACGAATGATAGAGTGAATACTAGCATGGACTTGATATTCTGCCTGCCATAGCTGCCCATCAGGCTAAGTGGTTACGATGCATTTCGCAGACTCCTGAGGGCACCTGTGTTGCTGCTTGGGTGACATGTTACGTCTATTACAACGTACCGTTATCCTACTACTCCATGACAATGCGGTGAAGATGCAGATATGTACTGAAGGATGTTTGACTTCCCTCTTGGATACTACCTCGGTAGCTACTTGTACTCCCTCCTGGTCTCAAGCCGAGACAAAATGGAGGTGCTCGTACTCGAATCCAAGCGGCCAGTTCTCACCGTAGCAAGAAAAGCAATGGCCTGGATGACAAACGTTTGCTGATGGCAGTCCAGCCACTTGACAGTCTAGACTCGTGCGCACGTGGCCACTGCTAGCAAGAGATAGATGTCAAGATCTTGGGCACGAGCATCTCTAGCATAATTATAACTAGGCACCACGTTGATGCCGCCCAGCTATTCTAACACGAAACACGAAATTCATATACACGCAACTTGAATCGGCCTGTCATCAGCACTCTTCCACCGATATCCACGTCAAAGCGGTCAACATTAAAACGTTAGCTGAGGACGGCTGGCTGCAGATGTACGTGGGAGCAGTCCGCTATTGGTTAAGCTGACTATTTAGGCAGATGGATTTCTGTTTCACGATAAATAATACTTGCTATATGGTGATATCCATCAACACCGGTCATGAACGACACCTCCCTTTCAAGACGTACCTTACATAGACGCATCACCATTTCAATGATGTCCTGTCTGTCCAGTCAAGTAACCGAGAGCACACCTCCGCTCGTAAAATCGGGTATGACTAGCCCAATGGTGACAGGCAGCAACAAGGCCAACGATCTTGTAGTCCTCCAATGCCAAACTTCCGGCCGTCCAAATCATCACGCCGCAGTCTTCTTGTCCTCGACTTCAGCGACAGGGGCAGCCTTGGAGGATTCAGCAAGAGACGCCATGTCGAGAGCCTTTTCCACATCATTGCTGATATTACCACCTGCAGGGGCATGCTCAAAGGACCGACCACGCTTCTCTGGGCCGAGAGCAGTGGTGACCGCGATACCCAGCGCGATGATCGCTGTGGCGATGCCCATTGTCGGGCCATACGCTTCGACGATATTGCCCTTATGGTTACGCAGGAAGTGGCTCTCGGAGATGGCGTTGACGATCTGAGCACTAGGAGAGCTGATCATGTTGCCCAATTGATAGGTGAGTCCGGGAAAGCTGGATCGGTAAGCCGGCGGCGAGAGCTCGTTCAGGTGAACTATACACGCTGTGTCAGTGTTGATACCTCCCAGTAGCTTCAGGCGGGTAGCATAAAATATACAGTCGTGTGTGGGGGTTTGTAGAGTGAGGAACGCAGATACTGACTTGGAATGACACCCCAAGCTCCTTGCACGAAAAACTGCATGAAGAAGCCAGTAGCTGAGAGACTACGCTCGGTCACCGGCAGAATCCATGCTGGGATGAGGCAGCAACTGATCATGGCGGCTACGACAATTGCCCGTCGACGACCGACAAACTGGGAGAGGTAGCCAATGATGGTACCGCCCACGCAGGCTCCCGTCTTCATGAGGATGCTAGCACGATTCGCTCCGGCGTTGTCCAGCTGTTTCCTGTAGAAATCTGGGTGTCAGTCATCTCTTTCCACGCGATCCAGCGAGGAGCGGGAAGGCTAGGTGCATGCCTTGGGAGCAAACAGCTCCTGAGGCAAGTCCATACAGGGAGAGGGCGACATACGAAGAAATCATGAATGTTGTATAGCTGTCTTGGCTGGTCTTTAGAGGTCCCAAAGTCAGTAAGCACTTCCTATAGTTGTTTGAACACGCGGTATCGCGTCCGGGGACATGTCTTGGGAGCAAAGGCCGCGAAACAGCCTTTGAGAGGGCTATCAAGATATGACCACAAGAGGAGCTGAATAAGTGATGATTTCACTTACGTGAGAGTAGTAATTGAACCAGGTCATCAGGATGACACAGTAGATGCTGTGCTGAGTCAGTGACCACGTATCTCGGCTTGGCTTGGTACATGTCCCGAGAGCTCTTCCCTTTGGAACCTTCGAACTATGTGCTCTGGATCCTGTACTGTCGCAGAAAGGGAACTGCGGCTTCCTGGACATGACAGATCAGGATTGAAGGACTGGTACTAACCACAACCGCCACTCCTTGGCCAGCATCGATCTCGTCTCCTTCCAGAAGTCACTCGCAGAAATGTGATGACCTGTAGCCTTGGCTTCCATGAACTGCTTCGACTCGGGAAAGCAGCAGCGGATGAGACCAGCAGCAATGGAAAGACCGGTCGCGATCCAGAACACCGTCTTCCAGGTATCGGCCTCTTCACCGACACCGAGGCTGGCGCATGCTGCTAAGACATAGCCGAAGGAGTAGCCTTGCTGCATTATACCGCTCATCAAGCCGCGGGCTTCAGTTCTACCATCCATGTTCAGTGTCTCCTCGGAGTATGAAGATTGTCAGAGCCAGAAGACTCACGGGCAATTCTCCAGCGCCATAGCGACAGCGTTGCCGTAGACGCCTCCCATGAAGAGACCAAACAACGACCTAACAGCCAGGAACTGTTGGAATGTCGCACTGTAGATGGTTGCAACCTGAAGTAGTCCTGCAGAGAGATTAGAGCTGGAATGTTAGCGAGTGGGCAAGCCTTACCCAGAACGAGCATATTGGCTACCATGGGCCATTTTCGACCGAATCGGTCACCAAGTAGACCAAATATGGCAGCGCCGACAGACCGCAGGAGCAGGGTCAAGGTTATGGCTGTGCTGATGTTGGTCTTTGATGTATCGTAGTAACGGGACAACTTCGTGGTCTGAATCGACAGGGCGTGGAAATCGAAGGCGTCGGCTGTCCAGGCAAAGAAGCCGACGAAGAAGAAAAGCCACTCCTTCGCACTCAGTTGCCTGAACAAGGAAATGGGGTTCCTCAGCCTCTCGGGAGCCTGCCATTCCGTATGCGATTCCCCGAGATCATTGGTGACGACGACCCTCTGCTTCCATACGAAGAGATCGCTGAGAGACTGCTTAGCAGTTGCGATGGTGCCCTTGGCCAGGGGGTCCGCAGGCTATACAGCGAGAAACATGTCAAACAAGCGAGCAAGTACAAAGAGCAGGGCGGATAGTCAAGGTATGAGTGAGTGAAGAGACATGTCTTTGTACTTCTCTAGCAAGCACCCGAAGAACAGGGAATTGGAAACAAAACTCACCTCGTTGGCAGTCACCATCTTTCCAGCAGGCTTCAAGTAGCGGCTTGAGATTTCTCACACTTCTTGCTGACAAGGTATGGAGGAGCTTCGAGAGAATTTGCAATGGTACTCAGAATGCCCAGCGAACTCAGATGGACGGGCGTCCTGGTTCCCGTACCTCATTCGAGCATGGTGTAAGCGGAGCCGGCAGATATAAAGGCAGACCCAGCAACCTCCCAGGCCATGACAAAGCTCTAGAGCCCAAGAAGTCCAGAACAGAGCAGGGCTCCAGAGCACATGGCACGTTGCGCATGGCCTCCACGACTACTCTCCGCATACTGCAACATAGAGATGCTGTGCCAAGCAGACCGAAGAAGGCTTCATTGGAAAGCCAAGGTCAGCCAAGGTCAGCCAAGATGAGCCAAGCGTACCACCACGTAAACTCCCCAACCTTTCACCAGAGACCCGAGCATCCCCAGTCTGGGGACAAGGTGACAGTTGCGGGGTCTGGGGAAGTTGACCCGACCAGAATGTTGTCACTTGTATTGTCAAGCTGGCTGTCCAAAGACGATCGGCCTCGTCGTTGCCGCTCAATTCTGAAGTTGTCGCAGGTTGCTCGGGTAGAAAATGTAAATAGGACCTGTACAGATCTACATGGGGAGCAGCAGCGAGAGTCACTTGCCGGATTCTAGGAAACGGGGAACGCATCCTACTCCAATACTTCATATACTATTGATATGCAAGTAGGATCACACGCACTCGCACTCGTACCCACACTGCCAAACTGACATGCTGTATCACCGCCAGAGTCGAAGGTCTCGGGCATGCCAAGGCAAGGAACTGCAGTACTGACTCAGCACGAATCCTTGATGGCCGGGACAGGAAGATTTAGATAGGTGACCATCTAATCTCTCTCGATGATATGAAGGAGCCGGAGCCATCCACCTGTCATTGCCATCCTCGCACTACCGATGTCTTTGACATGGTCCGAGCAACTGAAGATGGACGCAGGAACCAAGACATTGGATTGAGAAAGCACCGAACCAGTAGAGTGCCCCATGGAAATCACAACTTCTCGGCATCATGAAGAGCATGGCTTCATGGGGCTCCCGAAGACGCACGACGAAGCGGGGAAACCGTTTGACGTTTCTTAACTTTGCAACGAGCAAGGCAGAGAAGAGTATGATACCAATACTGGTGTGGTCTCGAATGAGTTCGAACTTCGAAGAGGGTCCGACGATTGCCGTGAGCCGCATGCCGTTCAGCCGCCTTGAGAAGTATGATCCATGTCTGGAGTCGCGGAAGCGGAAGCGGAAGCGAAATGGCCACACAGTCGTGCGGCCCGGTCCCGTCTGTGGTTTTTGGCTATGAATTACTCATCTCGCAGACACCGTACGCTCTTTGATAAAATAAGATCATTGATGTTAGACTCTGGCAGTTCTGGGTGTAGCCGTGTAGCAGTACCGGTGGCGACCGGTTTGTAACGGTCGTGCGGGGCCGGACCCCTTTTTCACCTACCCCTTACGAACTTCAAATGTTGGTCGCCGTACTTGAGAACTTCTATGTTCAACCGGTGTCGTCCCGTTGCTTTTCACATCCATCTCATGGTCAGTTGTATATCAAAAAGATACGGTTCTTCAATTGGCTGCTTCCATGTCTCAATCAGGGGTGCTCCTAGTCGAAGACACGTCACCCCAACGCCCTACCGTAGTGTGACACCGACGGCAACAACGCGCCAACCTCGATTTTTCTGCAATGCCATCCAGAAACGCCTTGTTGCACGTGGCTGAGTGGATCTGTCTAGATACGTCTTCTCTCCGAACCACCACGAATGCCGAGACCCAGACTGCCAGAGACTACCTAGATAGCCTGGCAGCCTGGCAGCTGGAGCCGATGCCCACCGGTAGCCGCAGTGTAGGTAGGGACTAACATTAGTAGGTTTTACCGTTTTAGAGACTGATAAACGACATCATCGACTATTCATGCTCTCGACGGTCTCGACCAATCAGCCCGGGCCGTTTGGCAGGTTTCTTGTCATCCCATGCGGACATGAGGCTCTAGAGTCCGCACTTGGAAGTCAGAAAGAAGGTTGTCCAATCAATACCATGCCAATTCCCATCGTCACCACCCACCACTCGTCATTGACGGTTGACCTGCAGTGACTGGTCAAGTAGGTATGGAACCAATCACTTGCCACGCCTTACCTGGCAGTCCTGGGCCTATTGGATTCATATATGAACCTCCCGCTCCCTAGTTGAAGCCAATCGATCTTTGGTCTTTGATAGCTACGTCTTTCATAGCTACCCTAGGTATAACACTCTATTCCAACGCTGCCCCAAATCGACAATACTAGACGCAATCAACCACTAAATCTGTTTTCACCATGGCGCCATCAGCAGATACCTCGTTTGCGAGCCATGTAGCTAACCAGTTCACTTCGTACGAGAAGGATCGTCAGACCTCGTCCAAGGATGCTCTCTATGCTACATCCAATGGCGTGCCGATGCCTCACCCATACGAGTCTCAGCGCGTTGGTGACAACGGTCCGCTCCTGCTCCAGGACTTCCACCTCGTCGACCTCCTGTCCCACTTCGACAGAGAACGCATCCCTGAGCGTGTAGTGCATGCCAAGGGTAGCGGAGCTCACGGCTTCTTCGAATGTACAAACCCAATCCCCGACCTCTGCATTGCCGATATCTTCTCGATCAAGGGAAAGAAATGCCCCATTACTACCCGCTTCTCGACTGTGGGCGGTGAGTCCGGCTCCCATGATCTGGCCCGTGACCCCCGAGGGTTCTCTGTCAAGTTCAGAACTGAAGAGGGCAACTGGGACATGGTGGCCAACAACACACCCGTCTTCTTTCTTCGGGATCCTGCCAAGTTCCCTCACTTCATCCACACGCAGAAGCGCGACCCGTCGACCCATCTCACACATGCCGATGACTCGACCATGTTCTGGGACTACCTGTGCAACAATCCCGAGTCAATCCACCAGGTCATGATTCTCATGGGTGACAGAGGCATTCCCGACGGCTACCGGTTCATGCACGGCTACTCTGGACACACCCTGAAGCTGGTGAACAAGAATGGAGACTGGGTGTACTGCCAGATGCACTTCAAGAGCCAGCAGGGTACCAAGTTTATTACTCAGGAAGATTCAGCAAACTACTCAGCAGACTACTCGCAGAAGGACCTGTACGAGGCCATCCAGCGTGGTGAATTTCCCAAATGGACCGTCGAGATCCAAACGATGACCCCCAAACAGGCCGAGGAGGTATGGGAGAAGCAGAAGATCAATGTTTTCGATCTCACCCATGTCTGGCCCCAAGACCAATTCCCCCGCAGGAAGGTTGGCGAGTTCACGCTCAACGAGAATGCCATCAACTACTTCGCCGAGATCGAACAGGTTGCGTTCAACCCAGCTCACATGCTTCCTGGTATTGAGCCATCCTCCGACCCAGTCCTTCAGTCGCGCCTCTTTTCGTACCCCGACACACACCGCCACCGTATTGGAGCCAACTACCAGCAGCTGCCGGCCAACGCGTCTAGAACAGGCTACAAGTTTGGCAACTTCCAGCGCGACGGTCAAATGGCATTCTACAATCAGGGGGCCCGTCCCAACTACCTCAGCTCCATCGACCCAATTCAGTTCAGACCTCGTTCAGTCGATTTGGACAAGACACACGGCCACTTCGTCGGAAAAGCCGTTTCTTTCTTGTCCGAGATCCGCCCTGAGGACTTCAACGCCCCACGAGCGCTGTGGCAGAAGGTGTTTGACGAGCCGGCGCGGGAGCGATTCATCGTTAACGTTGCGGGCAAGATGGCGGCTTGCAAGGAGCCGGAGCTGCTCAAGCGCCAGATTGCCATCTTCCGCGAGGTCGACAACGACATTGCGACGCGTCTGGAGAAAGCCACGGGTGTGAAGGGTTATGACGGAATCTCGAACATGCGCTTCAATGGTACCCACAACGGCATGACCAAGGACTCCAAGCTTCGGTATGCCAACGGTGTGAGTGCTACCAAGGGTAAGAGTGCCACGGACAACAACGGGGCACCTTGCGCCGGCACACACGGGGATTTGGCCAAGAACACTGTCGATGGTGCGAACGGCTCGAATGGGACCAACGGGTCTAAGTAACGGATTTAAAGTCCAGGTTCGATAGATTCGCTCCCGAGCTGAGCTTCTCATCAACTGTATATAGTTAAGCCAATGATCAATATCTCAACGCCATCTCATTCCAATTGTAGTTGAAGTGGATTAAGATGAAGTGATGCGACAACTGTCTTGAACACCGCTGGTGTCAATACAACTATGCCGCTCATCATTGATGAAGGAGGCGATATTGAAACATATTATTCATCCGGATTGAACTGCCATGGTACTGTACTTCACTTCATCAACTCGGACTATATGCGTGATGCGTGAAGTCTACATGTCATGATCTTTAGATATTTATTTGAATGGATTCGACTACGTTGCCGAATCTAGCGAGCTTCCTGACCAAAATGTACATTCTCGTCCTTAGACTCTCCCAACGCATTCTGGAGATCATCATCCGCAGCCTCCCGCTGCTTCTCAGCGTGCGGTTCTGGTACATCATCAACCCCGACGGTGCGCGACGACGCAGAGCTAGACCCGCCTGCAGCTGGCCCTTCGGAGCTTCGTCGCTGCTGCTCCTCGTCATCGGCTCGGTGGTCCTGCGTAGGAGCGAACTTGGATCGCTTGCGGATTCCCTCCCCGTACGTATAGAACGTGAAGGGGATTATGGCGAGGACGGCGGCGACACCTCCGATCAAGGAGCCTTCTCCCCCAATGCCGAGTGCTTGGAACATGTAGTTCGTGAATAACGGAGCAGCCGCTCCACATGCTGAGCGAGTCACCGTGTTGACCGCTATCGCCGAGGCAGCATACATCAGAAAGGTGTCGACCAGATAATTGAGGAAGCCAACGAAGATGAGCATCAGGGACATGGCGAGGAACACGCCAGCCACCGTCGGTACCGCCCAGTGCATCCAGCTATTAAAGACCTGTCAGCAGCTGCTACTCAGACTCGGAGCAAACCAGTTGACTTACTTATACTCGGCGGTCCACGCGAACTAGAACACTTTGCCGGATGTCAGCGAGGTACAACTTCCAAAAAAGCAGACAGACTGTGAGGGGCTCCCAGGGGAAAACAAAGGCGAAAGAGCAGAGACCATACGTACTGGTAATAGCAAACCCGACGCCGCCAACCATAGCTAGGGTCAGTCTGTCCTCAGGCTTCAACGGATGACCTGACTCAATCTTCTTGGCCTTTCTCTTCGAGTCCACAACCACGACTAGGCACCAAGGAAAGCGCCGACAGCCGTTCCAATCAAGGGAAGCTCGCCAACGCCGGGGCCCCAGCCCCGTCTTTCCTGAAAGACGATGGGGTAGATGGAAAACAGCATGTAGAGCAGGCAGTAAACGACCGACATGTAGACGGCGCAGAGGAAGGAGATGAGGTCAAAGAGCAAAATCCCAGGCCTTGTCAAAGCCACCTTGTTGCGTGTATGTTAGCATCCAGTCTTTAAACTAGTACGGCCATTTTCTAGATGAAGAAGGAAAGGGAACAACAAAGCTTGTTCTCGAATACAAAACCCAGGGTCTCGAGGTGGGATGTTGTAATACGTACCTTATAGACACCCCATATTGAGCGGCCGCTGTCCTCGACTGGCGCCTTCACATTCTCGTAGCCTGGGATCTTGGCCTTGCGGATCCGACGAGCTCTCGTCGCGAGGATCATGGGGCCGAAAGTCTCGGGAATGGTGAACATGATGATGGCCGTGCCTCCGCCGAGCCAGAGCAGGACGTAGAAGCTCCACCGCCAATTTTCCGTCATCTCGAGGAAGCCGGCCACAACGGGACCCAGAGCAGGCCCAACCCAGACCTTGCAGGAAAAGACCGCCATGGCATTTCCACGCTCGACCGGACCCCAGAGATCGGCGAGCACGCCAGGAGCGTTACTAAGGGGGGCGCTGATGAAGGTGCCCGTCAGGAAACGGCCGACCAGCAGGCTTCCGAAGTTGGGGGCGAACGTGCAGAGGAAGTTGAACGCGAGATAGAGCAGGAACGTGATGTAGAAGATCCATCGTCTGCCCCAAAACTTGACGTACAAACTTGTCAGCATGTCCACAATCCCAGCATACTTCGAAAGGGGTCAGGTTTCGTACCTCGGACAATGGGGCAAAAACCAGGGGTCCGGCGCAGTAGCCCAGGAGGAAGAGGGTGATGGTCAGGCCAGCAGCTTCCTGAGACACTCCAAACTCTTCGGATATACTCTGCGGTCCAAGTTCGCATTGCAGGTGGATCGAATGCGTAACCGTGACGCGAATGCTGAGTGGTTCATTTTATCCGGATTTTTACCTGGATTTTTAGAAGATAAACCTATTGCTATAACCATCATACCTAATTGTGACATTGTTGAATAAGCTATAACTTTTTTAATGTCTTGTTGAAATAATCCAATAAGAGAACGTCTGTTAACAAAGGGCCACGACTTACACCAAAGCAGCCAGACGGTGACGATGATGCGAACGTCGCGTTGACCACCAGCAAGACCGAAACGACGGTCACGTACCAGCGTCGTGCTGTCGACCAATTGTGCGGGTTCTCGATGTCCCCGGGACTGAAATCGACATGGCCATTCTCGTTGAGGTATGGGTGCTCTTCGTGCTTCAGGTCAGCGGTCCTGTACGGCTTCACTGTTGGCCGCGATAGAATCCGTCCGATGGCGACCATGATGCTGTGTCTCTGCCGGGTTGTTGGTTTCCTACCCCCACGATGTCAGAGCAGATGAAAAATATGTCTCTTCCGGCTTGGTTCGCCCAGCTGTAATGAATGACACTGCCATATCTCATCATATCGCATTGGAGGTCGCGCCGAACGGCAAAAAAGAGGCTAGGGCTTGTGACGTCAATGAAATCGAGGTTTGTCAACGGTCCCGAGTCTCGTGGAGACGATCCCGCTATCCACGCTGACCAGTTTGAAATCATGATGCACGCGATTGACAAGCTCGGATCCATCACCACTCGGGCGTGTCGGGGTTGCAACCGGGAATACGCTCAGGGGTGGCCGGGGCCAAGAATCACTCGGGGGCGGCTCTTATCGCCGACCCCAAGGGTCCAGCAGAATTACAATCCATCACGATGGAGAAGCCTTCGCACTGACTTAGGTATTGTCACCACATAGCGAGCATCTTGTCCGCTTGTCTGGCATCTACGGTAAGGATGTGACAGCCATACCATCCCTCGGTGCCGGGTTTTCAATAGTGAAAGATGCCACAGCGTGACTCCAAGTCTGACAGCATCAACTCACTTTTATTATTAATAATGATAGGTGTGCCTGTCATTGTTGCGTTTCCTTCTCCGCCCACACCGTCTTGACCTACCGGTAATGACATCACGAACCCCGTAGCTCCGGCTTACCATACAACCAGTGCTAGAGTAGCTAGATCTGCGTGCTGTCGGCACTCATTATCATAACACGGCGGCTCATGTGATTTCTCAATATTCGAGCTTAACTGAAGTGAAGAGTCTGTCGACATGGCTATGTGTAGTAGGTGTGTATGCTCGACAGGTCTTGGGTCTTGGAGATTGAACGTCGTCACTGATTGGTGGTGTAGCACGCGCGATGAGCAGGACATGCTGCAAGATACATGTCACTACTACTTCGCATGCGAAATTGCCGAGCGCATTATATAATATAAAGAACGCATGAAGGCAGATAGCTAGGTCCCTGCTTTTGGTGCCGTGGCTATTACAGCTCTTGTTTCGTGTCAATATTGCGTCGTGCTGTGCTGGCAACCTGCACCATGCCTCTGGAAGTCATTACAGTGAGGTCACACCCATATCGTGCAAGTCCATCCCCAAACATGAACTGACATACCTCAGGTCGGCGGCTCTTTGGCCGGGTTGATGACGTCTATTGCCCTGCGACGTCTCGGACACAACGTGCGCATACTCGAAAGGGCACCAACACCACTCCTCCACGACCAGGGCGCAGGCATTGTTGCCGGAGGAGAGATACCCGTCTTCATGCAGAAATACGACCGAACCAAGACGCTGATTGCTGTCACAAGCCACCAACGACTATACCTGGACAAAACTGGTCGTAGCAAGGAGCGCGAGAACAGGGCGCAGCGAATGACTAGCTGGGATCTCATTTACCACATCTGTCGGGCCAACTTTGATGGGCTTGCGAGTCCGTATGTCGAGGGTCATGACATGCCTGGTGAGCTTGACGGCGAGGGTGTTGGGAGGTACGAGCACGGCTGCGCTGTGACGAAGCTCGTCGAGGACGGCCACCGAGTTAGAGTAACATACAAGGACACGAAACCTGGTGGTGAAAGCCATGAACTTCAGCATGCCACGGCTGACTTTGTCATCATCGCCGACGGCTCGTCCTCAACAGTCCGAAAATCGCTGTGTCCATCTTCGCCCGAGCGAACATACGCGGGCTACGTGGCCTTCCGAGGCACTGTCCCCGAAACGGAGCTCTCCCCTGAGGCAGCAGAGGTGTTTGTCGAGAAATTCCCATTCTACCACGGCGGCCACGTGCAGATCCTGGGGTACACCATCCCGGGCCGCGAAGGTACTCTTGCACCTGGATCTCGCCTCGTCAACTGGGTCTGGTACGTCAACATGGAGGGCGAGTCAGACGAGTATCGCCAGACCATGACCGACAAGGACGGCAATACCCACCGTTGGACCCTGCCGACGGGCGGCCACATGCAAGACAGCGTCTGGGAGGCGAGGAAGCACGCCGCAGACGCAATCCTCCCGCCACGGTTTGCAGAGCTCTTGAAGAAGACGCGCGAACCCTTCGTCCAAGCCATCACGGATTTGAAGCCCCCGGCAGACAAGAAGTGCTGGCTTTTGGGGGGAAAGGCGGTTCTTGCTGGCGATGCGCTGGCTGGGTTCCGTCCGCACACCGCGGCATCGACGGCGCAGGCGGCTTTGCATGCCCTGTTGCTCGGTCGTATGTTTGACAATGAAATGGACTGGAGTGACTACGAGTCGACCGTGATGCGCTTTGCGACTGATACGCAGGACCAGGGTGTCTTCCTGGGCAACCGCAGTCAGTTCGGATCACATCCTTTCAGTGAATGAAACTAGAACATCGGCAACCTTTGCGATAGCTGGCGAGTCAGCTCACAGCTCTTAAGCAACATCTCGTGTGAGACCATGTCGTTATCGCCACTGTGGCAATCGGAACTCATCCAGCCTCTGAAGTTGCTGCAACCAGCGCCAGTCGCAGTCGTTACAAGGTGCTCAGCAAGACGACGCGTATGTTTCGAGAAATTGTCAAATAGGAATAAACGTCAGGCGACTTGGCTATACCAATTCTACTCTATCAGCTTGTGTACCACTAATGCAATTTGACAATGTCAAATCATCAATCTTTGACTAATCAGAAACATGTCACTCAGGTTTTTCTAAGCCTCCCTCTTCTTGTACATGTCTTCCTCTGCCGGAGCGAGCCCGTCGCTGTCTCTTCCGTAGATGTTCATGGGAGCTCCCTGGGTCATCACAGGACTGGTGGCGGCCACCTGATCCTCTTCGATCTCGTCGATTTCTTCAGGGAGCGTGAGATTCAAAAACATGCTCACAAACGCCGTGACGGCGAAGCCCGTCTCCATGACGAGTACAATGGCATCCAGGAACCCTTGAAGGCTCTTGTTGTCGCCACTATAGCTGAACACGTTGGAAAAGTAGGTCGGTACCAGCGTGGCCCCGTAGCCGATGGCGAGCCCAGCAGTCAGAACAAAGCGATTCCTGCGGTTGAAGGGAAACCCCCGGGATATAATGCTAATCCCCGACACGGCCACCGAGCAGAACAGGAATGTGGTCATGCCACCAAGGACCGCCGAAGGAATGGCAACGAGTGCCGCAGCAAACTTGGCGAAGATGCCCATGACGATGAGAAAGAAGCTGTGGGCTGTCAGCATATGCGGTATATAACAGAGACAAAGGTGGACAGCGAGAATCATACCAACAGCAGTATCCAGCAGTCCGATTCGCACAGCGCGTCAGGGCGATGACACCGTTGTTCTGGGCGAATGTCGACATGGGGCTTATGGTCATGAGCGCCGCGAGAATGCCGTTCACGCCATCAGCCAGCACGCCCCCTTGGATACGAGACTCGTATATACTGCCTTCCACTTCGAGACGAGACACGTCACAGGTAGCCGTGATGTCGCCAATGGCCTCACAGGCGGAGATGATGAAGACAGCTATCATGGGTAGCACGAGAGGGCCGTATACTGTCAGTTTGAAGGTGTGAACCCAGATGAAGGACACCGCCGGTGCCGCGTCGATTCCACTCTTGTTGAAGTATCCCGTGGCCGCGGCAATGATGCAGCCCGTCAAAAGACCAATGATGACACCCATCGACTTCATCATGGGGGAACCGAAACGCTCGCATAGGATGATGGCGAGAAAGACTGAAAACCCGAGGCCTAGGTACTCGGGCGAGCCCCACGGCAAGGCGTGAGGGGCGCCAACATTCGGGCACACGTTGTAGTACGCCGTGTGATCAGCATCGGCGCAAGATCCGCTGCCACCAGCCCAGTCCTTGAAGCCATTCTCGATCAAGCTGATACCGATGAGCTGCAAAAGGTCAGCCGTGCACCAGATCTCGGGTGGTCACATCACTCACCATGAGAGTCGGGCCAGTGACGATAGGGGGGAAGATCTTCAGCATGATTTTCGGTGGTATGAAGGCGATCAAGATCTCGACAAGAGCACACACGGCCGCGGTCCCCAGAAGGGCCCCGTAGCCATCCGGACAAGGCAGTTTGGTGACCCCATCCTCAGCCACGGGACAGTACCCGTTGGCGTACATCTGAGCAAAGGCACCTGTCGCGACTGGTACAATGGAGAACGAGATACCAACGACCGAGATCAATCCAGTGCCGATATAGTACCTGGTGGCGCTGGTGAGTGGCTACGGCATGAAAGCGGACGGCATGAAAGCGGATCAGCAAACATAGAATTTACTAACGGTGTTTTCGTGATGTGAAACCTCGTGATCTGGATCATGGAGAGGATGCCCGACACGATGAGTGCGGTCGAGACCAAGTATTGTTGTGAGTCAGCATCGAGGTTCGCCCCCCCTGCTCCCGCCATGATGATGGGAGGTGTGATGATACCAGCCAGCATCGCCAGGGAGTGCTGGAGGCCTAGCAGGAGAGCCAGCACGACGGGCATCTTGTCGTTGAGCCCGAAGAAAGGGGATGCCCGGCGCGACTTTTTCATGAACGGCAGGTTGGGCCGGAAGAGGAAGCCATAGTCGTAAGACCCAAGAATGCCATCCTTGGTGAGGAAGGTCTTCTTGACGCCATTTAGGCGATCGGCCAGAGTTCTCTTGGGTGTCGTCCGCGGCACAATCTGCGAGGGACCCTGATCCTCATCCATCGCTGCGAAACCTGCTAGAGACGAAAGCGATCCGAAGCGCGCGAGACTCTTCCAAAGGCCGTAGGCGAAGTGTGGTTGACTTTGGCCGAGCCGCGAGTCAGGAGACGAGTCGGCGCCGGTGATGATCGTTTATGGGAGGGTTTCCTTTGGAGGGCACGAGGTTATTAGGCTTCAGGATAGACTGAAGCACCGTGGAACACTTTTTTAAATATATAGAACTGGAGTGGATGTGATTCTGGAATTGAGTCAGGCCATGGCCGATCTGGTCACCGTCTCGATCCAAAAATGTGCAAAATCGCAGCTTTTCCCTCCCTTCTGTCTCTCTACTGACCTCCCTGACAGACCCATGGATGGCACCCAGCTATAATCGCGGGGCCCGCCGAGCCACCGCCGCCCGGGGCCGCCTATCTCTGATGAGCTCTCGAATCTCATCAAGCTGACAAACTCGCCTCTGTGTGTACAACTGATATCTATCCAGAATACCATGACCATACGGCACATTTGTCAGAACTCGTTGTCAATACAGATGGTGATGCTATAGGACGATGGGGAACACCGGAACGGTTCTCCTCCGTGGACGTCGACATTGGTTTGCAAGCTACCCCAAGTACAACAGGTGTCGCATGGAGGAGCATGGTTAACGTTGCACTGGTTCTTGTGGTTGCAACGTAATTCGAATATATAGCAAGGTACCTTGATCAGCGAAACATGACTCTCAAAAGACATGGTCGTCATGAAAGTATTTCCCCGGCTGGCCATGGACATTGGAAAGCGAGAACATGCAACCCAGCGGGTCAAATCCTGGGTAGAGATAAGGAAAAGGGCGGCCGTGGGGAAGACGGGGGGCACTATCTACCAACTACTGTGTACGGCAGGGCGTGTTACTAAGGTATGTACTTAGTTAGTCTTCCTGTGAGCCCTGTCCGTCTGTGATAAGCGTCTACTAGAGGATGTGAATCACCAATCGTTCGTCGCAGTGGCATCGGGGCAGTTGTTAGCTAGCTGCCAGTCAGATACTGGATATAGCTAACCTACTGTAGATGGCAACCGTGGTTTTGCTAGAACGACCTCTTTGCCACTTTACCTTGACTTCGGCCTGGTGGCGCGCCTAGCAGCCACCCGACGACAGTGTACGGGCGGTCGCCGCCGCTGCGAACATTGAAGCTGTGAATTGTTGTACTATTTCTGTACATGCTTTGACACCTGTGGCGGATTCTGTCGGACGACTCCCCGCTTCCCAATACTCTGGGCCACCAGCTATCAAGCGTGAGCTTCTCAGAACGATATACCTTAACGACGCATCACACGCAAGCCTCAAGGGGCTGGCTGGACGTCCATGCGGTTATGGAGTGAGAGGGGGCCAACGGCAATGGTGTACTGCAGCGCTTGAATGCCTTCATTAATTTCATCACTCTGTGAGCTACGCTATGGCTCATGCTCAGTAATGTTTTCTAGGCGCGGTTGGAGCTGCGTTGGGATTGTCTGCGCGCCGGCAGGGTACGACCTAAAGACCTCCCCACGCATCAACCGCCGCGGCGCCCGTCTGCCCGTGAACAGCTCGAACTGGGCAAACCCTTGCTCTGGTAGTAAGTCCAGTCCGTCCATCGCTACCCATCCGCGATGTGCTTCCGCCTTCGTTTGCACCATCAACGGCGTGTCGATATCCTTGTACGAAAAGTCCACGACGACACCTCCCGTCGGACTCATCATCCAGTGCTTGGGAAGAGTGAAGTTCGGCGCTGGACTCTCTCCGATGCAGTGCGCTGGAATGCAGGACACTATCATGGTCGGAAGTCGGAACGTCTCGGGCCATGCATCGTCTCGCGAGCTCAATACGTAGAATCTAGTTTTCTCTTCGTCACTCCTGCTTAGCAGTGGTATGTCATGACGCGCCAATAGTGTGGTGAAGTGGGACACCAGCTTTTCCGCGTTGGATGGCGTCCGGTTGTAGATGACAACGTTCTTGACGCCTAGCTGGAGCATGGCATACACGGCTGCCCGGCCCATGCCTCCAGCACCTAGGACGAGGCCGGTTGTACTAGAACGCACCCCGTTTGCCGGACTGAGGCCTCTACGTATGCATGCTCGTATTCCGATCCAGTCCGTGTTCTCCCCATACAGGGCGAGGACCGGCCCGGCTCGATTCCGGGTATTGAACAGCAGCGCGTTGTCAGGTATGCTCCCGTCGGGATTCAAGTGCCGCAGAGGGATGAGTGTGTTGACAGCTCCGATCGCCTTGGCGTGGCTGGAGAGAGAATGCGTCAGAGATATGACTTCCACTTTGAAGGGCAGACCAATCGAGGCACCGGCGAAGAAGGGGTCGTGGATCAAGTCGCGAATGCTGCCCAGCGAGTTGGTCGAGTGTGGCGTGTAGAAATGGTCCAGCCCGAGCGAACGGATCGCCGTATTATGCATGGCAGGCGACATGCTGTGACCGACGTTTGCGCCAAACACATACAGCTTCAACGCATCTGTGATGAACGAGGCTTGCAAGGCCGACGTAGCCTGGAGAGCAGTGATAGACGGCGCCACATAAGATGATACTGCATCTTCTTCGGGAAAAGCTCCAATAAAGGACTCTGGCAGTACCGATGTCAATACTTTGTTGAAGCAAGCAGAATTCCTGCCTCGAAATCCCGTATTGAAGGCGATTAGGGGCATAGTTTGTTGTTGCTGGCACAGTTTGTCGACCGAGGCCCGGAGTGTGTTGATCTCAAAGTTATCTTCCACTGATGTTGCTGGACGAGTCAGCCTGACAAGGTCGCACGAGAGTGACTGGGCCTTGCGACAGTAGGACATCCATATGGGGTCAGACCACCGTGGCGGCGGTGGTGAGGGTCCCAGATGCACCGTGCCTATAACCTTGGTCGTTCTTTTGAAGTCTATGACATGGGAGAGGATTCGGTCCTCCAGTCGCAGATCCACCGTTATATACTCTGGACAAAGGCTCAAGCCGTGCTGGACGTACTCGAGATATTCAGAGCGCCGATCTGGTTCCGTGTCACGAGGAGAAGGCCACGGCACATGATAGACTATGGGAATCACGACATTTCTTCTGATAAATCCGACAGCCCAACTTATCGAACTCATTCGAGCACTCCTCGACGTTGTCGTATGGGTGCTGCTGAAGGCATCATCGATGACAATCTCAATGGCGTCGGCGCCGGTCTCCAGATCCTCGATGTTCCACTTGTCCTCCAGCAGTCGCGAAAGCGGTACCGATACGGCATATGTGAAGTCGCGACTTTCTGTCGGAATTGACGCAAGCGGGAATGCCGACTCGATGAATGGGATTGTACCTTTCGGCATGACGAGCGAGAGGAACTTGAGAAAGTGCCTCTCGGCCCGCTTCAAGGTCAGGTATGGTCCGGAAGATTTCTGCTCGCTGGCATGGTCCAAAGCGCCCGACGAGCTTTCGACCGGACTGTCCAGCTTCGCGGGCTTCTCTGAGACATTGAAGAACTCAAAGTTGGTGACCGCGCGAAATGCTGTGGCTGTGTACCCCAACAGCTCTCGAATCTTGGTTTCGTCGGCGACCTTGAGGTATTCCTGGATAGCCTCCAAGTCCCTGGTGATGTGTATGACCGGGTGGGAGGCGGCAAAGTTCTCCAGCAGGGCATGTGCGCCACGCTCTATCCACGACGAGACAATAACGCAGTCCCTCTGGTGACTTGTCAAGACGGCCTCCAGGACACCATACTGGCGCCGCTGATACTCGAATGCACCATGTGTCTTCTTGTATGCCACGGTAGCGAGACCTGTGGCCTCCTGGAAACTCTTTTCCAGATCGACGATCCGTCTCTTCATGGCAGTCGATGCGATGATGGCCAGGGTCGACTTTCCAGAGCCCCGTATCCCGACCAGTACGATCGAGGCATCGGGATCGAACGCGTTGCCGTGCGAGGGTCTCGATGGGGGCGTACCGCTCGTGGAGCTCGATGTGCTGAGTGGTCGCAGGCTCTCTCGCGATGGGGGCGTATTGCTCGTGGACCTCGATGCGCTGGGTTGTCGCAGGCTCTCTCGCAATGGTGGTTCCGTCTGGAAAGGGCGTTTCGGCGGGGTGAAAGCGATATGTCGAGCGAGTTGCTGTCTGTCGTCTGTGTCCGTCATGGCCGTGAACGACCGCTTGACGCCTGCTATTATAGGTGACGCCATGATTCGTGTCCGCCTCTTTTCAGATCTTGTCGGCCGTCCGTCTCAAAGCTACTACAGAGACGTTTGCACGCGATGCCGACAGCAGCAACGCATCATGGTCGAAATGGTGGGACGATAGAAAGCGGTAGGGCAGTAGAGTAGCAGTCAGTCAGTTAGTCAGTTAGTCAGACTGTCGTCATTGGAAAGACGGAGTAGAGGTGTAGTCTGTGAGCTTGTAAGGTACAGCTCTCTGGAAGGGTCGCAGTCAAGTATCAAGACCATACTCTGTATCTCCCTGCTCCCCACCCGCGATTTGAGGGTGGTACGATGGCATAATCACTGATCAGGAATGCCTGCTCCGTCTCTTGGCTCTTGGCGGGCCGGAGGGTGTTCCAGGCGAGGTACATGGCAACTTAGCAAGCAAGCATGCCTGCCGGGGAGCCAGGATAGTGGACGATCAGGGGGGGCTAAGTATGTCATATGTCGGTGGTCAACTTGGTGGAAGGACAGGGGAGGGATAAGTTCTTACCCGGCGGTGGTGGGAATGTGGAGGGAATGTGGTGATGGCACCACCAAAGTCCCCCAAAGTTCACACCAAGACCGATGGGCTCGACCGGTAATGAACCCAGATGCCCCGACGTCCCCACCTGGAGCTACCTTAGTTCTACGTCAATCCTGACCTGGAGAACTGGGGGTAGGTTGGAGAAGCATGGAACCATTGCACAAGTTTCTCAACCCGCGTGATATCGTCGTGGCTCGACCCGACGTGCCATATTCGAACCAGTGGGAGTGGTGTTCTGGTGCGATACTGTCCGATCCGTCACTGTCCGACACTGAAAGATGCTTGCAAGAGCTGGGCCGGGAGCACGGAGCAGACCACGAAACCAAGGGCTTCAGAAGACAGAAGACTAGTATCGAAACGGGGGAATGAGGTGTGAGGTGTGATCATGGGAGCGAAGCGGCGGCCCGGCAATGAGGGCGAGGGAGGCGTCGACAAGAGTCCCGACAACGTCGACAACGTCGACAACGTCGATCACGAGCGTACGGCACCCGCCCCGAAGAGACAACGAGTCTCCAGAGCTTGCGACCAATGCAGGTCTGCGCGCGAAAAGTGCGACGGCATACAGCCTCTCTGTTTCCCATGCGCATCTCAGAACCGACGGTGTACCTGGGAAGAGCCCAAGAAGAAACGAGGTGTGCAGACGGGTTATATCAGGACCCTGGAGATGGCCCTCGGCTGGATCTTTGACAAGATCCCCCGCTCCGAAGAAGCCCTGCACAGCCTGCTCACCCACGAGGGTGGCCAGGGGCGCTCGTTGCTGGTCGAGAAGGACAACACCGGTGACCGCCTGCACCGGCGCTGGCGCAAGAGCACCGTACATAGGGAAATCGACCGCGTGCTATCAGGCGGAGATGTTGCCGTTGCGAAGTCGACCAACGAGTCTCCTCCAGGCGACGAGTCGGACGAAGAAACAGAAAAGAACGTCCTCTCGACACACCAGCCATTGTCGTCGCCCGCCGCCGACGCCAGCATCGCTTCCAAGGCAGGAGATGAACGACTGGGATTGCCTGATACCGAACCTCTGAAGGACGACCATGACACCCCGTCGACAGCTCGCAATGCCGAAGACGCCAGTCACAACCCGATGGATCTACAGCGCCGCCACCAAGAGCCGGAACCGCTCAAGCTTCCGCCGAATTATTGGCGGCTACTGGACATCTATTTTTCATATACGCATTCCTGGTTCCCTGTCCTTGAGAGGCATGATGCGCTGAAGACGGCATACACCTACCCCGACGAAGGCTTACAGATGTCGGTGTTGCAAAGGGGTACAAGCACTGCTGGCCACGCAGAACTCTGGGCCGCCTTAGCTCTGGCTTCGTATCAGGAGGAGGCGAGCAAGACGGCTGGACCTCTCCACGAGGCCTTGGTTGATCGCACGACGCCGTTGCAGATATACCAGGCGGCCCGCAATCTGCTACCCTCCGAGGACGGCCCCTTTGAGGTGCATCACGTAAACGCGCTGCTTCTTCTCACCCTCGTGAATTTAGCACGCGCAAATCTCACAGCCGCCTGGCTCCTGGTCGGTTCCGCTAGTCGTCTAGCTTTGAGGCTCGAGCTGGACAAGAGCACGACGTCAGAGAGGAGCAGGCGCTCACATCATACGTATATGGGTTGCTTCATCCTCGACACTCTCCTATCTGCACGACTTGGCCTACAACCACACCTCAAGTCGGACGTGAGCCAAGTGGCTGCCGACTCTCTAGCCAATGATCTCGACGAGTGGCAGCCCTGGGTACCTTGCTCCGGCTTTGGGCCTCAGCAGGGGGAAAGGCTTCACTCTCGGGTCCCGTCCCACTCGGTCAGCTCATTCGGTATGCTCTATAGTATGCATAGGATAATGTCGTACAGGCTGTTTGCGAAGGCCGGTGCCCCGTCGCAACAGGAAGATATGTACTTGGCTCAGTTACAAGGCGCCATCACCAGCTGCGACGCTCACCGACCATCCGTCGGTTTCATACTCGGTGGCGAGCCGTCGACAGGCCAGCTGCCATCAGTACATCTCCTTCGTCTCGCTTTCTTAGCCGCAGCTAGTTATTCGCAAGCATTTCCATATCTGCTCATGCCTTTCTTGGGTTGCCTCGAGAGTTATGTAGCAAACTTTGGAGTCTGCGGAATGCCTCCCCTGGTCTCGACCTATATGGAGCTTGTCAGCCAACAAGGCATGCTTGGGGCGGGCGAGAGGGAACGATGGAAGCAGATCGAGGCGGCGATAGCCTCAGTCTGGAAACCCTCTACTTACAACCACGACGAAATCACGAGTAATCATAGCCATTCCCGGCCTAACCCTCCACCTCCACCACTACCACTACAGGCGTCAAACGACCTTTTACTAGCGAACACGCCACAGATGACGCCCCAGCGACTTCTCACCACTGCTCTATATAACACCAACAGCGCCATGGAACACACTCCGCCAGCCCTTGTGAATTCGTACTCGCAGGGCCAGACCACGAACGTGTTGGACTTTTCTGATCACGCGCCTACACCTTCAGAAAGCGATGTCGTAGGGCTGAACAGGCCTTCGGGAATCCCTTCAGGCGAGGTCGCCTTTGACCACATGGATATGCCGGGGCTGCATGCGTCGATGCACTTCCCAGCACACGCACGGCCCAGCTTCAGCAGCAACAGCCTGGATTATGATTCGATCCTCGATGATATAGCATCCATGGACCGCACTGACATGATGGAGTCCGATCCCCAATTCATGGCGAATCTGGGTCTCAGGCCTGGAACCAACCTCGCCGAGGTCTTCTCCCACGAGTTTATGGGGTTCTCCTAGCTAGACCTACAGGACTGAAGGTTTGTCCTTGTTGAAGCGGATGAATTGCCGAACGTCCAGGCAGGCAAGAGGCGATTCTGTATGTTCGCAGCCGAGGTGTGGCAAGTCCTTAGCAGCGTGCTTTGTACGTACGTGTACTGCATAAGTTATGTATCACATATCAAATTTCTCTGATGAAGGAGACGAGTGGCTGACGTAAAAAATTGCACGGTGACTTGGACCGGGCGGTTATTCCACTGACACTCGATTTGACCCAAACAGTCAGACATAGGCCTCGCTGCTTGTTTCGCTGCAAATTAGGTATGCATCTGGTCAATGGCCTTATAGTGTCCCCACGTGCACACCGCAATGTCGTCGACGGTGTAACATAAACAAATGAGGCTGAGTGCGACGGGCGGAAACGGACGGCTCCGGCGAGGTCTAACAGTGGACGACGGAAGCAAGCAGGCTCTCTGCATACACCACTCGGCTGCTCATCTTGGGGGGGTTGTGACTGTTCAAGAGGCACCGGCCCTCAAGAGGTCCCTCAAGAGGAAATCAGGGTGAAAACCAAGCTTTATGTAGTCAAATCTAATCTCACTACAATCGCTACAGGGTGCGAAGCAGCTGGGGGCTGGGCTTACGCAAATCAGCCTGAGATGTATTTTTCCAGTCTCACCATCTCGTACAAAGGCACGTTGGGTATGTGCCGTAATCTTCTGATAAGTAGCACAAAAGCGGTTTCATTATTATCCACGTGGGTTCTGTGTACCTACAACACGCGAATCGCGATTGAGTCACCTCGAGGAGCGACGGGAGACGAATACGGAGACGGCACGGCACGGCCGGAAACTGAAGCCGGGTCAACACTTATCCAACATGACTGGTCCAAACATGCCCATTGGCGACGGATGAACGTTACCCATGACCTCAGTCCGCTGCCGTCACTTGCGCTTATCCACGGCCTGCCGTTTCCACTGTGTTTGTTTGATGCTTGGTGCCTGAACGCAGCTGTTGTCGAGTATCAATGGTCCTCGACAACCTCTAGTAACCAAAAAGCTCTTCTGATGCGGCTCTTTCCGGGTTATGCGTATATGTGGAAGTCCAAGGGCGTGGTATGATCTCTTTCACCTTGATAGAACTAGAGGAAAGGCACGGCTGAAGACTGTACGGGATGGGTCGAAACCACTTGCACAAGACGGGATCACGGTACTGATCCGGGCCCACACACACCTCCTTGCTCATGTCGTTCCGGGGCGGCGGGTCGGTGTTGACTACACGGGTGACGCTTGGAGCATGGGGAATACTTGATAGGCTCTCGGGGGGATACCTCTACGCAGGGGCCCGATGGGTATTCATATCGTTTGCTTGACGGCAATAGCGATTGCGTTTGTAACTTCACACATGTCCCTTTTCGAACTAGACCTCCTCATACATAAGGCTTGGACGTGCACACTGCAGCCTGCTCGACTTGTTCCATCGCACCCAAGCTCGCCTACCTACTCTACACTCGTATCATCCTTCCACGGCTTCAACACAATCACTACAACTATTACAGCCTCGCTGCCAGTCGCCAACATGCCGTGTAGGTTAGCAATAACATCCATGTCGCTCGGGCGTTGCTTCGCGGGTCATTCGTTCACCCACAAGCTCGACATGGCTCGGCTATACGGCTATCAGGGCATAGAGCTGTTCCATGAGGACCTGCTCGACATCGCACAGCAGCTACCCGGCGGTGCCACGGCAGAGAATGAACTCGAAGCAGCCCACATCATCCGTCAGCTCTGCCACGCAAGGCGCATCGCTATACTATGTCTGCAGCCATTCGCCCACTACGAGGGACTCCTCGACCGGCAACAACACAGCAGACGTCTGGACAAGCTGTCATTCTGGTTCCAACTGGCCCGCGTCCTCCGCACAGACATTGTCCAAATCCCATCTAGTTTCCTTCCCGCCTCGGAACTCTCAGAAGATCGAAGTCTCGCCGTGGCGGATCTTCGGAAGGTCGCTGATATGGGACTTCAAGAGCAGCCCCCGATCCGGTTCGTGTACGAAGCCTTATGTTGGGGCACCCGTTGCGATCTGTGGGAGCAGAGCTGGGAAATCGTCCAGGCGGTTGACCGACCCAACTTCGGTCTCTGTCTCGACACGTTCAATATTGCCGGACGCATCTACGCGGACCCGGCCGCGTCCACTGGACGCACCTCGAATTGCGACGAGGCAGTCCGCGAGTCGATAGCCCGTCTCGTGGCAGATGTGGACGTCCGCAAAGTCTTCTATGTCCAAGTAGTCGATGCCGAGCGCCTCGCCCAGCCTTTGATCAAAGGCCACGCATATTACAACGAAGAGCAGCCCACGCGCATGAGCTGGTCTCGAAACTGCAGGTTGTTCTACGGGGAGAAGGATCGTGGGGCCTACCTGCCGATTACCGGGATATCGAAGGCGATTTTCCATGGCCTCGGGTTCGAGGGTTGGGTCAGCATGGAGCTGTTCAACAGGAGGATGTCGGATGAAGATGCGGTTGTGCCCGAGGAGTTGGCCAGCAGGGGTGCTGTTGCTTGGGAGAAGCTGGTCAAGGACATGAAACTGAGGGTAGACAGCCCAGCTCAAGAGAGAGTCACGGCTTCGTTGTGATGGATACCTAGACATGGAGTGAGTCCATGGTGACCGGCATTTTGTAGGCGTTGGCGGATACCACATTGTAACATTGGGGGATTTCACTAGAGTACGGTAGTCTACTAATCATGCAGTCTTCTTCTAGAAATCAGGCGTAATACACGAAGACTATGTACCGAAGGTTTTATGAATTCCCGAATATTGGCAGAACACACTTTTCTGGGTTTGATCTTGTATGGTCACTTCAGCCTCCCTAGGTTTTCGATCAGATGATCAACATACGACCTACCTTCCTTATACAATTGTATTATCGCTGGGGTAAATCTTGCTAAATAGCATCATGTAATGGTGGAGCTGGCTGATGGACCGAGCCGCATGTGGTTCTGTCAGGATTCGGGTATACACAAAACCTTCAATATCGCTCACTATACTTGCATGTCCTGATATACTCTGGATAAGTCAACCTCGCCAATCTTCTGCTTGGCAATGAGGACCATAGGTATGCGTTTCCAGCCTTTCCTGCCGTGTCGCAAGCCGACTACATTCACAGCATTTCGCGTCTCGGCAATGGTAGAATCATTCATACATTAAGTCTGCTCAGCTTGCCTATTACCTATCTACCTCGTGGCGGTATGACAATAATGGATCCAGACACTCTCGCGTTGCTCAAACTGCATCTTTATGCTCAAACTGCATCTTTTCCTCGGAGAGGTTGACCCCCTCCGCATTCCTCCGGAACTCGGCGTCTTGCGCATGTAGCTCATCCATGATTTGCGCGCGCGCCATGCGCACTGGCTTCACCGCAAAGAGCCTGTCCATAGCCTCCAGTGGAATCCCCTTGGTCTCGGGCACTAGGAAGAAGACGAAAACGACGGACAGAAGCATGAGCGAGGCGAAGAAGAAATACACGCCGTAGCCCATCGTCAGGAACATCTGCGGTGTGAAGCGAGAGATGATGAAGTTCCAGAACCAATTGCTTGCAGCAGCCGAGGCCTGACCCAGAGATCTGTCGATGATGTTAGCAATCAGGTGTGCCGTAGATTTCTTCATAGGGGCTCTTGAGGAAGAATGCTCACCTTGTATTCTGGTCGAACATCTCCGAGTTCAGAACCCATGGCGTTCCGTTCCAGCTCGGCGTGTAGAAGACTGTCCACAGGTAGAAGAAGAAGATGGCAGCGATACCGCCAGAGGACAGCTCCTTAGTCGGGTTCTTCGCGGGATCGGCAACCTTGATGTATGCGCCGATGATCCACATGCAAACAGAGCCACCAAATGCTCCAAAAAGCAGGAGATTTCGGCGGCCCAGGTGATCGATCAGGTACAGGAGCCAAATTATAGTGACGACAGTCTTGACGACACCAAAGATTCCAGTCGTCAAGAAGCCCGTGTTGGTTCCCGTGATTCCCAAGCTCGAGAACACTGTAGGGCTGTAATAGTTGATGGCGTTGATGCCGGAACCATTCTGCCAGAGAAAGAACACTATTCACAAAATCAGGCGTTAGTCACAGTCTTCGAGATCGTCTCCGGAGTCAGGAGCTACAGTCTCCGACTCCCGAAACCAGGGTCAGAGGCAAGGGACATGGGAGTACGCACTGCTTCCCAGGAAGAAACGCCACTGGACCGTCTTCGATTTCAGAGAGGCAAAGGGCTTCCAGAAGCCGGCGCCGACCTCTCGCCTGTACCGCTCCAATTCTTCGTCGATGTAATTGACTTCTTCGATGATGTACAGGTCGTTCACGTCGAGCTTGCGGATCCAGCACAGGTTTGCCATGGCCTCTTCTCGCTTGTTATTCAAAAACAGCCACCTTGGAGACTCCCTAATCCACAGGGCGCCGAGGAATAAAAGGCCGGCGGGGATCAACTGCACCGCAAAGGGGATGAGCCACTGGCTGTGACTCGGGGCCAGTGTCGTGTTGACGCCACTGCAACGTTTCGAGTTAGTAAATTGCTCGTCATTGCTCGATTCGTCCACTCTGGATATTGCTCTAGACTTCTGAGCCCCCCAGGTCCGGGTATAGCACCCCTGACGTAGGGCGAAGGTCTTCAGACATAGCAGAAAGACGGGTGAACAAACGACTGCAGGGGTACTCACTAGTTGATCCAGAAACCGACCAGGCCTCCGATCTGCCATCCAAGCTCATAGATCCCCACCAGCTGTCCCCGGGCAGCAGGCGGAGACAGCTCGGAGATGTAGATAGGCACGATCATCGAACAGGCGCCTACACCGATACCAGCTAGCACGCGGCCGCCATAGATGAGTCCGAGCCCCCGTTCGCCGGTGGCACCAAGCATCAAACCCGCGCCGAGGATGAAGACGGCGGCGAAGACGAAGAGCGACTTGCGCCGGCCGAGGTAATGGGTCGAGACATAGGCGAAGAAGCTGCCAAAGAAGGCGCCGGCCTGGTACAGCGACACGATGTTGGCGGACAGGGAGGCCTTTTCGCCGGCGGTGAGCTTTTCAAACCCGAACTCGTCCTGGAACGACGGGAGATGGATGGTGGTGCCTATGAAGGCCGAATCGTACCCGATCATACACGAGGCGAAGGATGCGATGGATGCGCAGGCGTAGACGCGCCAGTTGTAGACGCACTTGGGCGTCGGCCTGTCTTCTTTCAGGGTGAGCAGCCCCATGATGCAGACCGGAACGGATGGATACTGCGATGGGCAGTGGTACAGAAGATGACGAAGATGACAGTTCAGTTCAGGGCAGTGAGGCCACGAGGTGAGTTGATGAGAGTGGTGTCGATCAGGCCCTTGTCGTGTCTGGGATGTCGATAGTTATACTCCGAAGAATCCGGGGCCCCGAGTGTGGAGGTGGAGAGGCTGGAGTTGCGAGTCTGGGGTCGACGTGATTCGAGATGAGAGTTCTTACCCTGTTCAGGTTAGTCTGCCGACCCAGAACCTTGGGTATACCCGCAGTGCGTACATATTCAGAGTCCAGACGGGCCTGAATCGGCCCCGGCGTGTTGGCAGAACGAACATCCCTTCTATTTCTGACGGGCGAGTGACTATGGATAGGGGGATGCTTACAGGCTTTCGACGGGCAGGATCCTAAGTGGAAAGAAAGCCGGCTGCCAAGTCGATCAGGTGTGTATAGTTGACTACTAGAGACTTCTGCTAGTATTTTCCAGTCCTGCTGACCAGCGAGTGGTTGTGTCCATCCGAGACGATGCCATGACTCGTCCCAGGCGGCCGGGGCAGTGACTGAGACTCGACGAGGGATTAGAAGTAGGGGCTCTGGGGAAGGCGATCTGGGGTAATGGAGACAGGGGCCCCCTTGAAGACAGCCAGCCATGGAAGAAGACTTATCCAGATACCCAGGCGTTCCGGCGTTCGATGGTGGTAGTGGTGGTGGGGTGGGCCACCCTGGTTCTTCAGTTTGGCCAAAACTGCCACTGTGACTGTGGGATGAAGAAACATCCGCTGGTCGTCATGTCAGTTGTGGCTAGACAGCCAACATACCTACAGTAGGTCCCTACATTCGCATCAATGTTCAACCGGCCAACCAAAAACAACGAACTGAACCCGATACACGACGGCATGTCTAGCTCCAGAGGTTGTGGGTTGTGGGTTGTGGGCAAGCGAGGGGACCCGAGATATGCTGCGGATGCGGTGGTCCCGCCCCGGCACCACTAGTACTACTGTTGAAAAGAGGTGCCGCGGACTGGACGGAAGATCAGTAGATTTCCATAGTACGCTTGCCTCTGGTTGAACTGCCTTCCAGCGTGTATCCTTTCAGCCAGCATCAAGAGCCCTCATTCAAGAGCGCAGAATACACACCCGCGGCACCATAAATCCACACCGTCCACCGTTACTCGCCTGCTTGGATCTGATACCTGTGACGATGGGGGCTGTTCCGGTCGAGATGGGAGCCAAGGTCGCCGAGCTCGACCGAGTGGGATATCTCTTTGGCGTCAAGATCGCGGCCTCTATGTCGCCAGTTTTCCACGGTACGGTATTCCGAGAGTTGGGCTTGAACTGGGAACAGTTCCGTCTGGACTCGGCAGACATTCCGCAGTTCCTGCAACTGATCAAAGACACCAAATGCTTCGGTATGACCCCTTCTTCCGGGATGTAAGCAACGCCGATGATGTTGACGTGATCTGTCTGTCTAGGAGCATCTGTCACGATGCCGAACAAGATGACCATCATGGAGCACCTGGACGAGATGACGGAAGAGTGCAGAGAGGTGGGCGCCTGCAACACCATCTACTTCCGCGAGAGAGACGGGAAGCGCATCATCTGTGGTACCAACACGGACGTCGTCGGCGTCCGCGAATCTTTCTACCAGAACGTGGCCGATCCGGACGGCGTCTTCCACGACCGGCCGGGCATGGTGGTCGGGGGAGGGGGTGCAGCACGCAGCGCCGTCTACGCCCTGTGGAAGTGGATGCGCGCCACCAAGATCTACCTGGTGAACCGCGACAAGAGCGAGGTCGACGCCGTCATCCGGGACTGCAAGGCTCGGGGCTATGGCGACACCCTGGTGCACGTCTCGACGGCGGAACAGGCCGAGCAGCTCGAGGCCCCGGGTGCCATAGTGGCATGCGTACCTGATTTCCCTCCCAACTCGCCCGAAGAGAAGACGGCGCGTGCAGTCATCGAGACATTCCTGAACAAGGAAAAGAAAGGAAGCATGCTCGAGATGTGTTACAACCCCACGCCGTTCACCGAGCTGGGCGGCATCGCAGAACGTGCTGGGTGGCAGGTGATATTGGGCACGGAAGCCATGATATGGCAAGGTTTCGAGCAGGTAAGCCGCAGCCATCACTCCCAAGGGCCCTTGGTCGAGCTGACCGTGATACCAGGAGAAGTTTTGGACCGGAATAGAGGTACGGGATTTGCCTGTGAGCAAAGGTAAGGAGGTGATCGCTGCGAGACTAGAGCAGAGCAAGTTATGACCGCTGCGTCTTCCAACTTGTGTTTCACGGACAACCAGCATAGTACAGGCGTTTCTGTGGAAGGATGATGATCATGAAAGACGGGTCATGTATTATTAGGGCAGTCTCTCTGAATATAAGTTCCCGCCCACTCCATCACTAATCCATCAAGCACCTGGTCTATTGTAGTCGAGTTCCCTCACTCGTTTCCACACTTCACGAACAACCCTCTCTTGCGTCTGTCGTCCCGTCTCGGTCTCTGAAGGTCCTGCTGGTCTTGGACAAAGTTAGTCACGGATCATGCCAACTCGGAGAGAAAGGACCGGGTATCATCAGAAGCAGTGACAAACCTGATGGCAAGATACAACCGGCTGCCTAACCGAACATCCGCGATATCTGCTGTTTGGTGATCTTCGGGCGGATTAGCAGTCGTGACAAGCCCGCCGGCTTCTTGTAGGATGGCTATGCCGGCGGCAACGTCCCTTTGTCTCGTCAGAACGTTTTCCCGGGATTTCACGCATCAACACACTCACCATTCCCAGCAACCACCTTCCCACCAGATGTCGAGGGAGCCCATCGCGACATAGGCCAGATCCAGCGTCGCGCTCCCAAGGCTTCTGACGCCGTGGACCATGCCGCCCCTGCCGTCCCGCCCGCCGACCTCAGCGGCCATGTTCATGAAACTCTCAACCTTTCGGTGCATGTTCCCATCTGGGATGTCCCGCCTGTCCTTACCCCACTCGCATGAGAGGATGCACCCTCCAGGTGCGCGGGCGGGAATAGGGGGCACAGGGTTCCGCATCAGGGGCAGTGGCTGGGTCTCGTTGAGCCATGCCCCTTTGCCTTTGCACGCCGAGAAGAAGTGGTTCATGAACGGGGCATTGATGACGCCTATCGTGGCCTTGCCATTCAGGATGAAGCCGATCGAGACACAGAACATGGGAAACAGGTGCGTGTAGTTGACTGTGCCGTCCAGGGGGTCAACACACCATGTCGGCTCACTGCCGATTAGGTACTCGCGTGACCCCCCTTTGGCATAGGTCTCTTCGCCGAGGAACCTGTGACGGTGTCAGTTCCATGTGGTACTGGCTTACTGATGCATCCATTGACGTACTTGTGCGAGGGATATCTCTTCTCGATGGAGTTCTTGATGAAAGCCTCCACATCTACGTCGGACAGGGAATCAGCAAGCCGGACTATACGAGTACACCTCACCCTCGGGCCTCAACTTCCTAGGACCAAAGAGGACTGACTACCCGGATTGGAGGCTATAGACCAACACCCCACACCCATGTCTTGAACCTACCTTCGTCAGCCTTGGTGACTATGTCGACCGCGTTGTCCTTCTCGGAAAAGGATTGTTCCCCGACGCCCTTGTCTCCCCATCTTGCCCGGGCAAAGTCCATGAGCATATTGCCGGCGTCTTTGCCCAGTTGGACGGCAAAGGCGTAGACATCGCCGAGCTCCTGTTCGGTGAGGTCGACCATGTCGTCGGATATATTTGAGCAAGTCTGACAGTTGGGCAGGAATTTATGTGGAACCAAACAGTCAATGATCGGACACCTCGGGGCAGGGAAGAGTCACCAGATAGAGATATGATAGGCACCTTGACAGCTTGAGCACCCAAACACCCAAAGTCAATGACTACTTGCCTACCTATGGTGATAGATAAGGCCAGCAGGTGGCTTATCAGTGCAAGTGAGATTTGTCAGAACTGTCACAATTCCCTGGCCTGACCATCTGTCGGTACAATACAGGTGTCTGGCAGTTGACTTCGAGGGGCGTTCAACCGCTACAAGCCGAATGATTGCTTGTCCGCGATGCGCGGTCGCCATTCCGTCTACTGTACTGTACACCTTGGAAAGTGAAATGCGGGCGGGCGCTTTAGGGGCTGGGTCGGCCTCCACCGGAATTACTTCATAGCGCATATCTACCGCCGAACCGGCTTCTGCTTCGGACGGAGATGCTGCATCGTGTGGGGTGCAAGGGAGAAGGCTTATCCCCTCATATCCGTCTTGACTCTTACCGTACTTCTTACAGCGCAAACGTGGACATCCATCGGGGTACCTACCCGTAATGGTAGAGGGGAATGTGGGGTTATGCGGAGGTAATACGATCTGGAGATTGTCGATACGTGTAAGGTATGAAGATGCACATGTGTCTCGACTGTAGGACTACATCACAGACGACAGACGACAAGACGATAGAGAAGCTCTCAAGAGACGTTCCCACCACTTCCGCCCACAGTTACTTACAAGCGCTATCACCTCTCGACTCGGATAATACGACTCGGCTCGATCCAACATACCCATTTGCACCACTGAACAGCCATCCACGATGCCTCGCTCCATCCTCCTCATCAACGGGCCGAACCTCAACCTGCTCGGCACGCGGGAGCCCGACATCTACGGCAGCGCGACGCTGGCCGATGTCGAGGCAGCGGCGCAGCAGCAGGCGTCAACACTATCAGTCACGCTCGAGGCCTTCCAGTCGAACCACGAGGGCGCCATCATCGACCGCATCCAGGCGGCAGCACGAAACGGCGTCGACGCCATCGTCATCAACCCGGGCGGCTTCACGCACACGAGCGTGGCGATCCGCGACGCGCTGCTGGGCGTCGGCATCCCATTCGTCGAGCTGCACGTGTCCAACGTGCACGCGCGCGAGCCCTTCCGCCACCACAGCTACTTCACCGACAAGGCCATCGCCATGATCTGCGGCCTGGGCGTCTACGGTTATACTGCCGCCATCGAGTTTGCCGCCAAGCACATGAAGATCAAGGAGAAGCTGTGAGTGGCAGTTCGGGGGACGTGTACCATGTGGTAGATATATTACCACAAGCAACCGAAGGAGTGCCGTCCGACATCTCCTTGATGCTGTCTCTCCATGTTGTTCAGACAGTTAACATTTATCGTGGCCTACGGTCTGGTGTGCGCGACGAGGTACACATGAATGGGAGCAAAGGGGGGGTCTCTCGCTACCCCGCGGTGGGGGTTCGGAGCTCAAGAGCTACCCCGCATCCCCCAAAATACCAGGGACAGGGACCATCAGGTCCAGAGTACGAAACCTACCTCCTGTACTATAGACATAGCGTATCTGTTCATCATTTCAAATCCCTACCTTACGACGTACTTTTTCTCTCTTGAGTGTGCTAAGACTGCTCATTACTCTTTCGTAGCTAGCTGGGTATCGTCATGTGGATGGGAGAGGAAACAGGATCATGAAAGCATGGCTGGTCGTACATGTGCGAGGTCTAATCCAAGCCTTTGAATTTCAGTATCCCATGAGCTCCATGGGGACCAAGTTCGACTTTCGCCTTGCCCTTCTTCCTCTTCTTGCCACGTTTGCGGCCTTCGTCTGAGCTGTCCGAGCTGTCCGAGTCGTCCGAGTCCGAGTCCGAGTCCTTGCTTGCCTGCCGCTTGCCCGTGCTTTGCATCGGTTCGGTACCGTCATCACCAGCGTCCGAATTGTCTGATTCGTCCTCGTCACTACTGTCGAAATCCTCGTCTTCGTCGTCATCATTGCTGGTCTTCTTGAACATTGCCGATTCCTGCCAGATCTTGATCGTCTGTCCTCCTCCGCTGATCATCCGTCCCTGTCCGTCGAATCCGAGCCCGACCACGGCATCGACTTCGTCGTGTCGAAAGAGCCCGGCCACTTCTCTCTTCGTTAGGTCCACGATGCGCATGCTGCCATCGCCCAAGCCGACCACGACCTTCTTGCCTCTTCCGATGTCCTCGGGGACCTGCACGACACAGTCGAGACTCTCGCCGCCCCCTTTGAACGAGTCGATGATGACCCGATCCTGCTGATCGTCCCACGCTCCCTTGTCCCACAAGGTCAAAACTCCCGAGCCCGTTCCCACAGCTACCACGCCATTGTCTCTGTTCTTCTTGGGCCCCATGCCCGGGACGAACGTCGAGCACATGAGCTCATCCTCCTGGTCGTCGCTGCGCACTAGCACGCCGCGCCGCAGATCCGTCACCGCCAATGTCGTGCCACCCGTGGATATCCACTGCTTGCTGTAGCCACTCGTGCTCTCGGCCGAGGGGGCGAGGGGCGTGATGCTAGACACAAAGTCGTCGTGGGGGAAATGGCTTTGTTGCGGCTTGGACGCGGCAAGGGCACCGTCTCGGAGGTCCAGAAGGTGGAGGACGCCAGAATCGCAGGCCAGCAGTAAAGTTTGCGGTGATAGGACATGGAGCAACGTCGGTGCGTCAGGGACCGTCTTGGTCGTGGGTATGGCGATCTTGGACACGACCTGACCGGTGACGGGAGAGAAATGTTTGAGGAGGGAGTCGGTCCCTGCCGAGTACAGAGCTGAAGGGTCCCCGGGTCAGCTTTATTGATACCGGCATTGCCACCGCCACTGTAAGACTGCCGCTGGGGCACAGGTGGCAATTGGATCATGGTCACTAAGGTATGCACTGGGTGCAACTTACCCGAGCCATCGTTGCTAAAGGCCAAACTGCGGCAACTACCCTTGTGTCTGCGAGTGCGCCAGGCCGTATCGATCGTTCCTTTGCCGTCCGAAAGCACGCTCAAGTCGGCGTCATCTTCTGACGATCGATCGGCAGCGGGGAGTCGGAAGCATTGTACGTGACCGGTGGAAAGGCCGACTCCGAGGAGAGGTTCGGTCGGGTGGATAGCTTGGGTGAAGAGCTCGGCGCTCAACGGCAGTGTACAGAGGTTTTCGAACATGCTCATGATGGCAATTGACCACGCAGAATATTACGTATCAAATGTCATCTCACAAATATTCCAATTGATCAGAAGTGTTGAGGAAGACTGCCTGTTCCCTCTGATCATCAGATGGGCGACAGGTCGAGCACCTTGAAGGTCAAAGCAATAAAAGGCTGAAGGAAAAGAATAAATGGGTCCACATAGTATACGCTTTTGTTGGCACCCGCCGGCCGTCTGCCAGCTGCCCCGCGTCTTCCACTCCCAACCCGGCCGGTTGAGGTCGAACGGTTCATGTGCTCGTCCATCCTCTGTATTACGCGCTCCGTTTCGGAAACTCCAGTCTCCTCTCAGTTCTGCTGCGAGTTCGCCTCTTCCCTGACAGTGTATATCTGGCCGTGTTGCCTGCACCGGTGACACTGGAGAGGATCAAGGTCTAAGCATGAACTCGGCTTGACCTCCACCTATCGACATGGCCGCCTCCTGGCAACGAATCGTCTCCTTTTGGATGCTTGTCATGGCGGTATCTTCAGCCATAGCATCTCCGATGCGTAACATTATGTATCTCACTGGGTGCGTTTCACATTATCTGCTCCCAAGTTTTAGAGGCCAAGATGCTGACATGACAGAACAGCCAACACCCTGTGATCCCCGATGCCTCTCTCAGCGCGTCCATCACGCATGTCGCAATGGCGTTCATGGGTTCAGACCTCTTCAACCGAGAGGAAGGAAGCTCCAGCTGGCCGCTGTTCATGTCGGTAGAGGACGCTCGATCACAGTTCCATCCCGGGACCAAGATCATGGTGGCTATTGGTGGTTGGGGCGATACGGCAGGCTTCGACACTGCTGCGCGTTCCGACGAGAGTCGCTCCAAATTCGCACGCAACGTCGCTGCCATGGTCGACCACACCGGTGCTGATGGTCAGTCCCTGAGTCCAAAGTTTCAGCTATGAAGGCAGGGTTGCGGACTAAACCTTGCGTGTCAGGTGTTGACATTGACTGGGAATATCCGGGGTGAGCTCTTGCTCCTTTACCACTCCACATGCAGGAATACGTGCTGACTATCAATCCCAGGGGAAATGGCGAGGATTACAAGCAAGTTCCGAATGAACACAAGACTTGGGAAATCACCGCGTATCCCCTGCTTCTCACTGAGATCCGAAATGTGCTCGGCCCCAACAAGCTCATCTCTGCTGCCGTTCCCGGTATCCCACGCGACATGTTTGCCTTCACTCCCGAGACGGTTCCCAAAATCATGGAGTCGCTGGATTTCTTCAACGTCATGACATATGATCTGATGAACCGGCGGGACAATGTGACCAAGCATCATACAGGGGTTCAGCTAAGCCTGGAGACGGTGGAGGCGTACCTGGCGAGAGGGGTGCCGTCAACCAAGATCAACCTGGGCTTCGCATTCTATACCAAGTACTTCCGCACTGAGGGCAAGTCATGCGCCGAGCACGCTGTCGGATGCCCGACCGGTCTCATGGAGGATCCAGAGACGGGTGCTGATCTGGGGAAGACCGGCGTCTTCTCGTGGCATGATGCGGTGCCTGACGATGTCAAGCTGTCGTTTGGGAAGGCAATAAAGGATGGGCAATACGATGAGGTTGGTGGAGGCTACTGGTACTGGGACGAGGTCGAGGGTCTGTGGTGGACGTTTGATACGCCTGAAGCCATCCTGAGAAAGTTTCCCCTGATTGTCACGGAAAAGAAACTAGGGGGCGTGTTCGCATGGGGTCTGGGTGAGGATGCGCCCGACTGGGCTCACCTGAAAGCTCTCAATGTCGGCGTGAAGGGTCTCGATACCAAAGATGAGCTGTAATACCCATGTCGTATCTATAGACCATCCCGAGAGCATGGAGGTTGGACTCATTCCCTACCCACAAGCAATTCTTTGGCGTATCTTGTAGTGCTCGTCCGGTGTGAAATCAGGCAGCATTGATGCCGTGACATGGGTTCATGGTTTTATTATTTGCACGGCTCTTTAGCTGCATTGCCATCTAGCATGCGCCGATGCCGTTGCCTGGACCTCGTTTCATGCGTACCTCTTTGATGGTGGTCTGACTAATTTCTGCTGTTGGTGAGTGCAAGGAGAAGGAGACAATGTGTTCCAGCCATGTGAACACTGAACAGACACATTGGATGACAGCTGCCCTAGCTAGAGCTAGGTACCCACCCCGCTTCCCGAAGCAGTAAAGAGCTTGGGGCCTTGGGCTGCCAGGGCCTGAGACCTGGGGCGTGATGACGTCACTGGTGCCGACTTGCCGGCCTTGCCACCCTCGCTGCCTCGCCGCCCTCGCTGGACGCCACAGGGGCCTGGGAAGTTAGAAGTTGGAAGATGACGACGCCTTTTGAGGCTTGTGTGAGGATATCACCTCCAGCTCCAAATGGAAGTTCCAGGCCTTCGCATCACGAGGCTGTTTCTTCATATCCATTTGGATGGTTCCCTGCTCTGGGAATCCATGCACGCCCTGGTTTCGACCGGATGTGTGCATCCCATCCCGACGCATACAAGCCAAGATTCCGTCCGGGTTACCCCATGGTGCCTTGCCTTGTTCCAACGCCATCTGAATCATGACCAGGCACGTCACGTCATGGCTTTGAAGCCGGAGCTTCGCCAATCTTCGTCAAGCCGCAGGTCCAGTAGCGGCCACCCAGACTGCCAGATCTGCACCGTCCAGACGAATCACCAGTCGCTCCTGGTACCCGACCTACCTGAGGTTAGGTAGTGACGCTGCCGTCGTGGTGTCAAGCGCGCCACTACTTATACACTGGAACACTCCTCCCCAGCCCAGGCCGGCTATTTTTCTCTTGCCTTTCTTGAACTCTCCCATCTGCGTTCACCGCTTGCACTGCTTCCCAACCTACATCTTGACAGCATCTGCAAGCTCCCGAGTAGCATAGCACCAAGCTGACCGTACAGGTGGTATATTGTCTGCCAAACACCCAATCGACACCTACACCCCCCTACACTACACCCAGCTAGAGAGGTCACCATGGTCGCGAGGTTTGTGCCCATCGTCCACATCGTGGCGGCCGTGTTCGCCATCATCGAACTGGGCCTGACAGCCTATGGTAAGAAAGAACCCCCGATCCCTTTGCGTATCTGTCCGCGCTGACAGCTATGTGCCTACAGTCTCGAGTGGCTATAGCAGCGTCTTCGGTTTCGGCGGGTACTCTCCGTCAAGGGTCAACTTCATGATATTCAACTCCGTCTGGTCCTTGCTCGTCCTGGCCTACGTCGGCCTCACCCCACTCTACCTGACCAGTATCTTCCACAAGTTGGCCGCCCTGGCTCTGAACATCCTGACCACCATCTTCTGGTTCGCCGGATCTATCGCCTTGGCCGTCTGGATCGGTGGTCCTCGCCACTGCTATGGCAATTCCTACTGCGGCTCGACCGAGGCCGCTGTCGTCTTTGGCTTCTTCCTCTGGTAAGTTGATCATCCGCTCGACCCGTACTTGGTTAAAGAAGGCACAGCCGGCTAATCTGTACCGCAGGCTCCTCTTCATGTTCTTGACCGTTCTCGATGCCATCGAGGCTATGCGCAGCCGCGGACACGGCGCCACCCCCAAGAACACGAACGCCTACGCTGGTGCGTAGGCCAAAATGACACCGAACAAACGGGGCGACACAGAATATGGAACTGGACATGGGTTAGAGCGACCATGGCGATGATATCGGTTTGGACAAGTGCGCCAAGGTTTAAATTGCGCCGGTATGAATTGCCCTACTCTTGTCTTGGGGTCGTTGGAGTTGGCAAATAGGGCGCATACTTCTATAAGCATGACGGCTATGTTCTCGGTTTTGGTTTATTAGTTCATCGGGAAGGGATTGCTGGCGTTGGTGATGGTTGGACAACAATACCCCTTCCTAGATTGACGACTTATGTTTTACGTTTGAGTACGAATTCTGGTTCGTGGTACGTAACTATACGCAACTTCCTAATATAAAATATCGTAATCTTCAGTGTTTCACTTGGTATAGTTGATGATTGATCTGTCCATGTCATGATACCTCGCCTGCAATTCACATAGCTGTGATACAGTGAATTTGTTACCAGCACAAAACCACGACCACGGCCCGGCTCAAAATGTTCTGGGCACCACGATCGCATTCCAAGACCCCGGAACAGTCGTCAGTGCCTAATTCCAATACGATGCTGAAGATTGGCCAGTCCAATCTGGCCACCATAAACTGACAGCTGTACGAAGAGTACCCGTGGTATAAGAGCAGTCTACCTATTGCCGGACCGTCCAAAAGGATAAATATACCAACTCAACAGCAGCCATGGCTGACACTCCAAACGCCGCAGCTCCCTCAAGCCATGCTGATGTACAGATTAATATCAGAAGCGCCGCCTTGCCTCGGCCGACAAACACGCACGTGTCACCCTTCCAGATAGAGTGCCCGTATTACTTCTGGCCGTCCGCGGGTCCACAGTCGCCAGGACTCGAGGCACAGTCGAAATCGACGCGGTGCCATGCTGTCGCCAGGTTGCCTCTCAGGTTGTAGATGCTCTTGTGGGTCTCGGGCTGCGTGTTGTACGCGTCGTCCGTGGCTTTGACCACAAACGTCGTCTTGGCCTCGCCCTTGTCGTCATCCGGAACCGTGGGCAAGGTGCCCTCGTATCGCCATCTCTTCCAGCACCACGCCTTGCTGCCCTGTTCGAGTTTCTCGTCGTCCACCAGTCGGGCTTGGTCCCAGGTTCCTCCGCCATCCAGGCTGATGTCGACGCGCTGGATCTCTCGTCCGCCACCCGAGTAGGCATATCCCTCGAGCTGCACAACCCGGCCGCTGGCTGTGTCTTTGGGTACATCTCCGGCAGCCCTGACGCCCAGTTGATCCTTTGCGATGGGTTTCAGCTTCGACCGTGTAATCGCGCTGGTGATGGGCATCACCTGGATCGACTTGTACTTGTCCCAGTCCTGCGATGTCTCGTTGGGGCCAAAGCATTTGTAGTCTTTGCGCTGCCAGCTCGTGTTGCTCTCCTCATCGCTGACCACAATCTTGTTCACCCATTTGACACATCTAGCGGCCACATGGCCCGGAACGATGACCCTTACAGGAAAGCCATGGTCGCGCGGCAGGAGCTCGTCATTCATCTTGAAGGCGAGCAGCGCGTCGCCCTTGGGGTCGATAGCAGACTCGATGGGTATGCTTGCGCCATAGGCCTCGAGGCCCGAGAATTGCACGTGCTGCGCATCCTCTCCTGGATCGCTGAGCGACAGACCAGCATCAGCGAGCACGTCCCGAAGACGTACGCCTTCCCACTTTGCACAACTAATAGCGCCCACGGTCCATTGAAGACCATTCGTCTGCTTCGCGAGACGCGTCATATCGTTGCGACGGTTGCCGGAGCACTGGAGAACGGCCGTTACGGTGTGCTGCTTGAAGCGGGCCTTCAACTCCCCAATGCTGTAAGTCCTCACATCACCATCCGGAAGCTCGATGTTGATGCCGTGCTTGTCCGCCTCGACTTCCTCCACGACCGGCACCCACATGTGGTTGCGTACGTAAAAGACCTCGTTCGGCGTGAGGAAGGATTCGGCAAGCTCGTCGGCGGGTGTCTCTGCATTGCACGGCTTCTCCGTCATCTTGCGCAGTCTCGCATCCCTCACTGGATCAGAGACAAAGGGATCTTCGATGCTGTCCAGCAGCGGCCGTCCATTGGCGAGATCGTCGGGATGAAGCTTGCCCACGACGTACTGCTCAAGGATGTCCCGGACATACTGCGACTTGTGAATGGCGAAGATGTCCCAGTACGGTTCGATGCTGCCACCGGCTGCGCGGAGGATAACTTCCCCCCCTGGATGAGCAGGCGCCCAGTCGGTGATGTCGTAGACCTTGTCCTCATGTATCACCCAGGGCCTCTCCGACTTCGGCCCATGCTCCTTCACTTGCGATAGTCGGTAGCGGGGCAGACCGTCGCCACCGTCGTCGTCCGGGGCTTGTTCGGCCGGTGGTATCGTCGTTTCGGCGGGTACCTGGAGCGGCTCATGCGAGACGGGTCGCAGGACTGTGAACAGAACAGTGAGCAGCCCAGTGCCAGCGGCTAGTATCGGGAGAGGCCGCATGCGACCCCTTGGGCTAGGGTGTGTCTTGGAGGCGGGCTTCGAAGCGGGCTTCGAAGCGGCCTCTCGGAATGCGGTTCGCAAGTTGACGGGTCTGGCAGAGGAGCTACTCAGCTGTCGTGTCTGGGGGCGATGTATGCATTGGAAGGTCGTCGGTGGCCGTCTCGCAGCCTTCAACAGCTCACGACCGAGGTGTCTCGAAAGCGGTATTGACATGGCTCGGCGCGTAGGAAGCAGCGTAAGAGGTTTGCCCTTGAATCAGCTACAAGGTCTCAATGGTATGCCCATAGCCGCGGGCCAACCCAAGTCACAAATTCGCAGACTGAGGCGACGAGTGGCGGGCGTTGGAAAGATCTGGGGGTCGCAGAGCCGTTGGTGTGTTTGGCAGTAGGGTTCGGGTGGTGGAAGGACGGCTCGGCGAACAAGCAGGTCGGACCAGTCCTAGGGGACGTGAGTAGTACTCGGTCGGCGTGTCGGATGTCTGGTGAGGATACACAACCGAAGCTGGAGGCAAGCAAAGGAAAGAGATATCGAGCATCGAGCTAACGACAGTCGATCGCCTTGTCACGGAAGAGATTTGGGAGACACGAGTAGTACAGCGAGAGGTGGGTACCTACCTACCTATCTACCTCGGTGTACCTATATATATCTCTACTGTAGGCGTGAGTACGTGTATGTGTACGTGTACGTGGCACACGTATCAAAGTCGGGAACGAGGGCGAAACGGAGACGGAGAAAGTAGCAGAAGTAGAGGCGGCCCAGTCGCCGTCTTTCGTCAGGTAATAGCGTCGACTTCGACGAGACCTCCTTGCAAGAGACGGGATTGATGATACCTAGCAGTACCAGGAAGGAAGAGAGAGAGAAACCGATCACCCCGACTACTACACGTAGGTAACTACCCCCGGCAACCAGGCAGCTTACCTGCCGATATACGGCATGCTGTTAGTTACCGTATTTGAAGGTAGTCTAGGCGTGTGTGGCTGGCCACGATGATAGATGGGAGATGTCGAACTCGAGTGTGATGAGGACAGACAATAGGGTGGAAAGTAGTAAGCAATGCTGCAATGGGAACCCTCGTCCGGTGCCCTGCGGCTGGCAGCTGCAGGGCTAACTTTCAGGGGTCGCAACACCTGTGAACTGATAGCACATGCCGTCGGGTCGGCGCCGATGCCGCTGCCGCTGCCCGACCTTTCGCTAATCGCTTTGCTCCGACGGGTCCGCGGGCTTGTCGGCGTCCCTTTATTATGTCGTTCTACTTCACCATCTCTACTTCAACACAAAATCAGATTGGTACAAACCCGTATCCAATCGACGTCTCACCGGGCATCCGCCGCTTCGAGTCGGTGTTTATGCGGCGTATACCCAAGCCATAGTGCCGTTAGCAATAAGTACCGTCGTGGCTTCACCTTATAAACATCACATCTCGACGGTGTACTCATAAGATAAACACCGCCATCCCGATTCCCGACTCTCCAGATGAACGACCGATTTGTGACGGGATCCTCGGACTCCCGTTGCAATGTGATATGTTTTTTATGGGTATAGGCGGGCTTTGGTACCGTAACACGAACCAATCACTGTATGTTTGAGGTGTGTTGAGATATGAACTTGAAGATGCCGCTTCTGAGAAACTCCAGATGTGACGCTCTAATCGATGTCGCCATCGTTATTCGCGATGACGACTGAGCAACCCAACACTTGTGAACCCACTAGACACGTACGCTTACGGGGGTATCAGCAGAGATAGGGGGCTGAGGGGGTCCTAGACTTGGACATTTCTCACTTTATAGGCTCTTGCACGCAGACCACACAACTATCATGGATGAGCGCCGTGGACATGCCTGTGGACTCATGCGAGTACATGCATACTTGGCGCTGCGCGGTGATCCTGTCCATATGGTACTGCCAGACGACGTGTGCTCCGCAGGCCAAGTACCCGGCCGACCGTTAGCATCTTATTGAAGGCCAGTTACATGTCCAAGGCGGCATGTGATCCAAGAGAACGTTATGGGAAGAATTCTTATGATACGGGAGCTTAAAGAGATGGACGGGGAAGCTTGGAATATGCTGCCATTATGTACTCAGTCCCGTGTTTGATGCATACAACACTACAGCCAAGCGTCACAGGCACGTTTGCGCGGCGATGGTCTGTTGAACTTCATCATACTGGCTCCTGAGAGAACATAAGGTTGCTTGGTTACATGGCAGTGGTGCCCGTGAGAGGTACCTTAGGTGGTCACACCTGACACCAGAGTTCCCTGGGACTCGAGGTGCACTGTTTAAGCAAAGGGGCACGAAATGAAAAGGGGGTACAAGACACACCTGCTGGCCCATGGTGACGCATATGAAGCTAGGTCATGCTCGGAGCCATGGCAGCACCAGTCCATCTCTCCCGGTGAGAGGCTCCGCCTACACCATGAGAATCAACTCGCGAGCCTTGCACAGAGCAAGCTCGAGAGAACCCAGTCTGTAGAACATGCTCAATGGAAGATTGAACGCGCGGTACAAATCCCATGCGCTGTAGGTAAGCTGTTCGGATCCCGTCGTCTGTTTAGTCTGCCGAAGATACTGGCCGCTGAGAGGCCCCCTTTCTCGCTTCAGCAGCGCGTCTCACGGCCATGTAGAAGGGATGGGTATATCAGTCGCCTACCTAGAGCTCACCTCTTGCCGTGGATGCGATCTCGGCCTGTTCAAACACACCTTACGGTCAGTTGGTGCTCAGCATAGACTTGCAAATCGTTGCCCACCACTCGTCAATGGACCTCCGTGTGCAGCTTCATTGTTTCGAGAAATCGTCGCGCTCACAGGGACTTGCTGTCATGCTGTCCTGATACATATGTACTAGGTATGATGACCAGCATTGAGCGTCCCCTCACGGCATGTTCATGCTCAAAACAGAAAGGGTATAAAACGTAGGCGCCTTGCGGCAGTGATTATTCCACGTTTTGAAGTGACTATTGCACAGCTAAAATTACAGTGTACAAGGTGGCCAACTGCCAAGCCGACTTTCTAGCATCTATTCCTCACCCTCAGTCTCGGTGAAATAGTCGAAATCGCGCGGGGGCTGGGCCTCCTCATCTCCCTCTGCGTCCTCGTCCACAGCCGTGAGCACACCAGCCGCCGCAGCCGCGCCGCTCTCATTTATGCCCCGAGTAGCCAGCATTCGGCTTAGCAAGGCGTCCGCCTCCGACCGAGAAGTCCTGCCCTGACCGTTACCTCCGGCAACCGGGGCCTTCTCGGTAGCCACCTTCTTCAGCTTCTCTTCGATGAGGGCTTTCTCCTTCTCGGGCTGCATGTCATGTAGGAGAATGGGGCCACGAGTAGGCTGAGTCACAATTAGCAATCGGGCTTGGATGGCGGCAACAAGAGTAGTGCCAGTTCAAACTTACCAATGGACCAGCCCTGAGCAGCTTGACCGGCCAGTATCGTCCCTTGGGGAGACTGATGTACTTGAGCTGCCCAGGCAAGACTCGGCTCATGTTATCGAGTTCATAGCCCGGCTTCTCCTTTTCTGACCTCTTCTTAAGGTCGGTCGGAGGCGCCGAGCCCTCCTTCTCGCCCGGCGCTGGCGTATCCTCTTTCTTGTCTTTATTCTCCTCCCCAGACTTAGCCTTGTCATCGACGTCCATCTTGTCACTGCCTTCAGCCGGCTTAGAGATGGTGGGCGTGGTGGTGGTGTCAATGTCCATGCTCTCCCGACGCTGCGCCTTCTCTTTCTTCTGGGCGCGGCGTTTGGCCTGGGCAGTGGTCGACAAGATGGCCGTCGCAATCAACGCAGGCCCCTCCTCGGTCTTCACTTCCTGCTCGGGAGGATAGTCGAAGAGGCTGGGCTTCGTTGCGCATTGGAACTTGACGTCAAGGATATCCAAGTCGTGGTCGAGTGCGATGATGGACGTCGGGCTGAATGCTAGAGATAGGAAGTGAGTGAAGGGGAACCAGTACCAATACTGGGTGAAGACAGCCATGCCCACGATGCCAGCCATGTTGAGATTGCCGGTCTGGGTCTGCAGGCCGATGGTGCAGTTACGTCCTCCAGCGTCGATGATACCCAAAGCAAGGGCGGCACCGAATTTGGTCATGGCGTCCTCGTGCCGGTCGCCAACAACCTTCTTGAGCGTCTTGCGGATCGCTGCTACCTTGGGGTTCATCACCTCGTTCTGCTGGATCATGATCATGGCGAGCGCGATCAGTGCTCCCTGTCGGACAAAGTCGGTCGGGTCCTTCATCATCGGCTCGAGCAGGTCGATGGCCTCGTCCAGCCCAGTTCCCGCGCACGAAATGCCCAGCGCCATCGCAGAGCCGTACCGGACGTGAGGGTTGTAGGACTCGGAGAGAAGCTCGACCATGCGGGGGACGCTGCCGGGCTTTCGGAACAGGATGAACCCCAAGCTCATGACGGCAATCCGGCGCACGTCGTCGTTGACATCGCTGACGGCGATATGCAGTAGCTTTCTGATAGCCTTGTTGCTGCCAGTGCCGCAGTAGGCCATGGCGACGGTCATGATTCCGCCGTATCGCAGGGTTGGGTCCGGATCGTTGAGCAGTCCTTCTATCATGACGTCGGCGCCTTCTTGCCGGCCGTACATGATCAGGGCCATGCCTAGGGCCAGACCTCGGACGCTCTTCTCGTGCGACGTCTCGTGCGCGTAGGCCACCATGTCTTCCAGTGCCTTCACGTTGCCGGTGCCGAGCATGATCAAGCCCATAGACAGACCCACAGCCTCACCGTTCAGAGCCGAGTCGGCATAGAGAACAGCCTTGAGGTTGTCAAATATCTCCTCGTTGCCACTCGCCATGCCAGCCAGGCCGAGACCCAGAGCACCACCATGCTGAATAACCTCCTCCTCAGCCGCAGAGAACTGTGTCTTGAGGTAGTCTAGAGCGTCGGCGCCGTGGTTGGCGTGGATCAGACCATACGCGTACAGCGCACCGCCCTGGGAGTATGGCGAGCCGCTGTTAATTCCGCCAGCGCCTCGGGGCAGGTAGGGCTCGAGGAGCTTCCTGGACTGAGAGAGGTTTCCGCGGTGGATGACGCCCAGTGCCGCAGTAGCGGTAAACTTGGACCAGTTGACGGCCTTGCCGAGCCATTCCAGGTTGTCGCGGAAGAACTTATCGTTGGTGGTGCCCTGATTCATGAAGGCATTGCAGAAGGTCACCGCGGTGTGGAAGATGGAGTTCCGGCCTTCCAGGCTATCTCGCACCTTGTTCAGGATGCTCAGGTCTGTGTGGTTATTGCGGTAGAGGAACTCGAGATTGAGCTTGATGGTCGTGGTGCCGTCGAGAATGGACCGGATGTTCTTGTAGATGGCGGCCTTCTTCTCATCGACCTCGACGTCCTCCGAGCCGCCAGTGTTCTCGTTGCTGCCAAGTAGGGGCTCGCTCTCGGACTCGCCAGTGCCTTGCGCCTCCTTTTGCTGCGCCGGAGCATCGCCCTTTGGAAGGGCCGAAATGACCTTGCCAAGGAATTCCTGCGTACCGTTGTCATACAGATCGAAAGCGAACTGGTAGGCAATCGCTGTGGCCTCGACAGTACTAGAATTGACAAGATGCTGGATGACGGTGCGTGCCTGCTCATCCTTGTTCAGGTAGACAATGCACTTGGCGATGGAGAAGTAGTCGGGATCTTTCGCTCTGCCACTGGTCAGGATGCCGAGCACCAGCTGCAGTATGTCGTCTCGGAAGGCCCTCTCTTGCACGACGTCCATGCATATGCCCAGGCAGTAATCCATCAGCTCCTCGGCGGGACCCATGACATCGTCTTGGGCAGTCTTGCCCTTCGTCCGCTTATGGTCGTCATCAGCGCGCTGGATGACCTTGTTGACCACGTCGAGTCGCTTGGCCTCAACCGCGATGCCCACGACCTGCTGGTAGCGGCCCTCCCTCAAACAGCTCTCAAAGAGGCGCTCAATGACACTGTCAATGGCGCGTCGGGTGTCCAGCTCGTTGTTGGTCAGGGCGATGGAAGACGACCGGTGCTGCTTCTTCTGAGGTTCGAACGAGGGGTCAAGGATGGTGTTTTCGGTGGATGCTCGAGAAAGGAGGGACTTTGACGGCAGGGTCGACTGGGAGAAGGGCGTGGTGGGTGAGATCAGAGCGGAGGCGTTGCCGTCGGCGGTGCCGCTCGAGAACGCGGTGGCCAGGGCGGGCATCGAGGTGTCGTTGTCTTTATCCTTCTTGGTGGGGACGACGTGGTTCTCGTTCTTGGTGGCAATGTAGTGGTCGACACATTTGGAGATGATGGTCTCCTCGAACTCGCCCGGGGTGTCAAGCTTGAAGAGGTCGCCGGCGGCGAGGGCGAAGAACATGCTCTCATCGTAGGCCTGCAGATGATAGTAGACCTTGGACAGAACTAGCGCAGCCAGTTTCCGCTCGGGGAAGGAATCGTCTTCGTAGAGAGCCTCGCTGGAAAGGAGATTGGTCAGTAGCTATCCTCAAGGTAGACAGAGGTCCAACACACATCTGTCCAAGAGCGCCTGCGACCTCGAACCAAACGGTGTCGATATCATCGTTCAGAGTCTGGAGGGCGAAGATCTTGAGCTCGGGCTCCTCGTCGGCTAGGAAGGCCAGCACACCAGTGGCAGTGACCAGACCGGGCATGTTGAACAGAGTCGCAGGGCGCGTGTCTAGACGAAAGGGCAGCTTGCCAACAACGGGATGCACAGGAGGGCGTATCAGGCCAGGAAAGAAAAACTGGAAAGGAATGAGTGACACCGCAAATTCGGAATGACTTTAAGGTCTTGATGATGGGTGATGGGATGAGGTCTGAAGATAGCTCCAGGATGAATGTTTGGGTTTCTACGAAGGAGCTGTTCGTTTTGCGACCCGGGTTTGGTCGGAGGTCAGAGTCCAAGCACGGAGTCCACGTCAGGCACAGCTCTGCCTGGGTAGCAAGCGGCCACAGCGTCCGGGTACGCCACAGCGGAAGCCACAGCGAATGTATCCACTGCCGTCTCGCTTCGGCGATAATTATTAGCAAGGTCTCTTGGAACTTGTCATCTTTGCATCACCATCACCATCACCACCTGCACCACCGTCTCTGTCTTTACAAGCTCTGGATTCCAGGTAATCATAGCGCAATCTGTGTTTCTACGATATCACAACGACACTCCTCCTTCCGCCAGACCTATTAACCTATCTACATCTCAGCCATGTAAAACAAGCTAGATGAAACCGTTCGTTGCCTTGGTTGGTTGTGCGCAAGGCCTGCCTCACTGTTTTCAAGCGGAAAATGAAAGGCGTGGATCAGGTCGGGATCACTGTGATTGACTTCTTGTCCTGTTTTGAAGGACTCTGAGTCTACACAAGGACACTTTTACTGCAGTGCGGTAGTCATGATGAGCTCCGGTTGACAAGACTGAGGCGCTCCAGACCATGCGGCAACGCCGTCTTGGACTCTCCACACGGTGGTTATATACCTATGCTATGGTGGGTGTTTCCAGTCGACATGATCCCAACACGATGTCAGTCAGCAGTCTCGTCGACATGACATCGAGAAAGCACTGAATCAAGACCCATATCATAGCGGTTGACAAAGGATTGTGTCTGCTGTTTCCGTTGAGTTGGTGGTTTCAGCCTGTATGGTCCTTTGAAGGACCATGGCACATATCGTAGGCCGGAAGCGGTGCTTTCAAGATATCGCTTTTCCGTCTCCAAGCCGAGGACCACGTCCATGTCTGGCAGTCTGAGATGCGATTAAGGGTCAACGGGTATTCTATCACCACGATGTTCCTAGCGAGGCTCTCGACTCAAGTCTTGACATAGCTAAGCTGCTAAGGTACTTGATGTATGTGCAGTCAGTTCCATCTGGCACGACCACATCCAACGCTTCAAGTAATACCTACCTCATACGTACCTTGGGATACAATCGTCGCTTGGTGAAGCCTTCAGATGATTGATGTTGTTGAAGAGCACCTGCAGTCTAGTGGACGACTACGCGCATACATCTTGGCGAAACAAGTACATGCCATGCGCTCAGCCTGTGGTGTATCACACTAACAGCAACGAACCACCGTTGGGCCAGAACCTGATAGGTAAGCACAAGAGCCGGAACACACAGCAGCACCTGCATGTAACACCAATGATGAACGGATGCAAAGCAATCGGAGAAAAAGACATAAAATCGAAATCACACAAATCTGAGATAGAGATATCACATACGAACCGACGCTTTGGAGTTGAGTGTTGAGTTCTGGAGTCTGTAGACGCCGTTCACGCTTCAGCCTTTCGCGCCCCGTCACCCATCCCTGAAATTTTATGGGCTCTTATTATTTCCTAGCCCAGACAGCCAGAGCACCACGAGCCACCCACTGGCTCTCTCACACACGTGTACCATCATAACGGCACAATCACCCATTGCCGTTACCCAGTCCTCAAAGACACAGCCGACACAGACTGCCCTTTGCCATCAGCCATCAGCCATCAGCCGCGACGGGCGGCCGAGAGCAAGCGAGGTCAGAGGTAGAGACAGAGTTGGGGAGAGAAAGAGAGACGAGAGACGAGAGAGGCAGTAGCAGCTTGATTGGATCGGAACACGAACCCAACCACCACGACCAACCGCCGCCGACTCCATTCCACCCGTTTGCAAGGCCTCCATCTCCGCTGCTTGTCAGCCTGGGGACACCGTTGAATGCCATCTGTACCTATCTGTCCGCTCCCGCGACCACCGTATTCGAAATAGCCACTGTTGCAAGTAGAAGGAATTGCTTGGATGCCCCGATGACGGTTGGATCCGCCGCTTGAGACGACGAGCGAGGAGATCGAGATCGAGATCGAGAGCGCCAGCGACACACAGCGAGAGAGAGAGGTGAGCGAGTATGTGCGCGTCTCTACATGTGTCATTGCGCGCGTAGGAAGCCCGCACCCGACAGCCCAGGAGATCAGGTCGGAATCTAAGAGACATTGCGACACCGCGACATTGCGACATCGCGATCCGGTGACGGCATCCTCGCGACGTCTTTGCCGTGATGGATCTACGCTCTATCTTGACCACCGAAGGGGGAGCGGCGGCGGCAGCAGCAGCAGAGCCAGGAGGAAGAGCTGGCGCATCGGCATCGTCTTTATCCAAACCTCCTCCGCCGCCGCCGCCGTCCCTGTCGATGCCGACGTCTGCCACTGGCACTGCGAACCCAGCCGCGCCCGCGACCCCCGTCCAGGCTGGTCCGCCGTCTCACGCCTTCAGAGACTACAGCCATTCGACCCACGCCTCCCCCATCGCCCAGCACGCTCACGTCCACGACTACTCGGGCCACAACCCGTCTCCTGCTGGCCCCGGCCCTGGCCACGGCCCCTATGCGTCACCGACCAGCTATCATCCGCCCGCCAATGTCTTTGTCGGCAGGCCGCCCGTCCCTCCACTTCAGCCTCCGGGCTCGCACGACCCGCGATCGCCCGGCAGCGCCACACTGTCTGGCCCTTCGCCGTACCGACAGACACCCACGTCCTCGGTGAGCGCCAGCAGCGGCGGCTACCCTTTCCCATCGGCACAGCAGCCGCCTGCGAGCCCCGGGCAGCGACACCTCTACGGACCTGCTACCGCCTACTCGCGAGACAGCTACCCTCCGCCTCCGCCTCAGGCGTCTGCGCTGCCGCCTGTCGGCGTACCGTCGAACCATGCGTCCATCTCGTACATGCAGGGCCAACAGCCGCAACAGCCAATGCCGCAGACACCGCCGGTCGGGACACCTGGCGGCAGTCACCAATATCTACATCAGCGATCGCTCTCGATGCGCTCGACGCCCACCCCGTCGTCGGCCCATAGCCAACACGCAGCGTACGGACCGCCCTATGCGCAGGGCAGCCCCATCACATCCACACACCATCCTCCCTCGCACCTCGAGCAGCACCACCCACAACACCCACACCAGCTATCGCAGCCTCCAACTCCTCTCGGGCCCCCCATGCCAGGTCCTCCACGGCAGTCTCCCGCCACAGCCTACCAGCAACCCCCGAGTCCATATCAGCAGCGCATGCCCTCCACGACAGCCTCATATCCTCCTAACCTAGCGCACTCGCACACGTCTCCTCCACCGCCTGCACCCGCCTCAATTTCGCGCATGTCGAGTGCAGGCCACAACACGTACGACGCCGTTGCCGAATCGCACAGAAGATCACAGTCCCAACAATCACGCAGCGAGCGTGAAAGGAGTGTGAGTGTCTCACCAAAGACACGTGTACCCAGTATTCCGAGCAGCACGGGTCAACACGTCCCCTCCATCGGTGGCGAGCCCGAACCGTACCATTCTCAACCTCCCCCACAACCACCAACCAACTCCGTTGCCATCATGGATGCGCAGCGCGACGCTACCCCGGCCAAGAGAAAGCTCGACGACCGAGACCTGCGGCCCGACGAGCTGGAGAACCATCGGCAGCCACCACCTGCCCCCAGGCTGAACGGCAATCATGGTCTCCAGTCGCAGGCCATTCCGCAATCCTCCACCTCGCCCATGATGCCGCGACGCAAGCGTGTGACACATAGCAGCCCTCCCGTCTGGGCCCAGTGTGGCAGAGGTCGCGCGCTCAATGCGAGCCGCAACTTCTCCATCAAGCAGAACGGCGCCGCTTCCATCGGGGCCTCCACCAGCGACGCTATCGTCAACGGAAATCACCAAGATGCCGGCGGCAGTGTCAAGTCGGAGCAGCTTTCCCGCCACAATTCACCCGAGGCAACACGGTCCGTGACCACAGTCAAAGCAGAAGAACCCACCATGCCGGCACCCATCAAGGACGCCGCGACTTTCGAAGGCAGGCCCTTCCCGTGGGAGCCCAGCATCGAAAACGTCAAGCCCTTCGAAGTCGTGTCTCGCTCTGTCGCCGACTTCATCTACCTCAAGGTCATGAACAATCCAAATCACGACGAGATGCAAACTCGGGGCGTGCAATACGAGATCGAGGCCAAGCTGGGGACTATCATTGACAAGGCGACAAACGAACGCATCGACTTGCGTATCCATGCGGGCGAGTGCATCATAGGCGAAGATGCTAGGATAGCCTTCCGCAGCTCCATGACCGAGGTGTGTTCAACTTTTTCATATCCCCCGTGCTGCTCTGCTCTGCTATGTTCTGCTCCTTTACTAACCCCGCCGTCGACATAGAACCAACACCGCGGCATGAATGAATACTTGAACGAACAAGTCAAAGCCTCCTTCCCCCGCCATCCCAACGCCGCCTCTCGGGTGCCAGTCCACTACGTTCACCGCCGCGAGGTCGATCGGTTCTACGAGCTCCCGGCCCAGATGCGCCAGAGACTGCCCGCTTGCGTCGCGAATCTGCTGCAGCCAAACTCGGCGTTGAAGGCCCGCGTGTCGTACGACCAGAAGACGGGAGACGTCATAGCCAAGATCGTCAAGGCGCGTGTCGGTGACATTCACATACACCTCCCACACATGCTCCTGGATTGCCGCATCAGCATCAACATGGAGTGGGACTGGGAGGGTACGGCCGACGAGATCGAACATAACCAGGTTCCAAACAAGGAGCGCTTCCCCGACCGCAACAAGGATCGACTCAGCTATAAGCACGGCTTCTATTCGATCGACCTGACTCAGGTCACACAAGGCACTCAGGGATCGCAGCCGCAGATGGGTGCCAACAAGGAGCACGAACTGGAGGTCGAGTTAGACTCTACCGCGATACTGGAACACGGCCGGCGCATTGGAAACGGTGAGCCGAGCCGATATACGGACCTGGTCGACGGTTTGGTCGACAATGTACGCGTGCTCGCCAGACGCTGCCCACAACCAGCTTGAGCGGGCCATCCCGAGGCGCTGCTGTAAGCGTCACGGATTTGGAGTCATCACAAACTGTACCTTCTTCCATCTACTAATGCTCCGTTTGTCTATCGGGTACCGTAGCAGACGTTTCATTTCTCGACACATACTTCAGTACGAGCGAAGGTCCTGGGGCTGGGGCTAACAGGGGGGCGGATCCGTGGAAAGGGGCTGGATGTGCTTCAAAATGGGATTGAGTTCTCTCCATTTTTCCAGAATATGATACCATTTCGGAGTTTGCAACACGTGTGGGTTTAGATAAGTCGACCCTGCTTAGTTATAAAGCGTTGCACACAATGAAACACCCAATTCGGTGGCGAGCTTGACAGTTCTAATTTGCTTGGTGCGGTGATGTGGGAGAAGTGGTCGATGGGTATGTAATGGTGGTGTCGTCGGGGTCGCAGCAACAGGTTGGCGCCCTTGTTACTTATATCACAGTCACAAGAAGTCAGAATGTAAGCTGATCTCACAAGCAGCAGATGCAGCGGAACAGCGCCTTTGCTTTCGACTGACAGCTTGGCACGTCCATGGAGCATCACATGGATTCAATGTGCCTGTTTGGACCATACCCTGGCGTGCCGCAAGTCGACAGGTCCGAAGCTTTTCCTAAGTCAGTGCCGTGTTCTAGACAAGGGTGAGTCAATATGTTGACGCAAAGTTGAATCAGACTCCTACGGCGCGATATTTCAGCCGGCACGTCATGATAGACGAGGGATCACTATTGGTTTGTTCACTGGTTGAGGAGGACTTTTGTCCATAGCTGCGCGTAATCAACGATAACTCCCCTCAGTCTGGGTGGAAACGACGGAATTACCAGATTCATACGACGGGAACGAGCTTATCTCTCTCATTTCGACTGTCATCACACAATGGACAAGCATACCCAGGTCAGTACATCTAGAAGACAGACGCACTGAAAAGAAACCCATCCATTAATACACTGGCCGCCGCGGGCGAGCTATGAAGTGAGCGAAAAGGGTCATGTTCGCACAGGACCACGACAACAAGAACAACCACAACTGCACCGAGACAAATGAAAAGTCAACCGTAAGGATCGAATACGTTTTTTCTTCCAGCCTCCCCTCCCTCTCCCGTCGTCACCTCTTCGACTGTTTGGCGAACCACTGTTCATCTCAAGTGTTGTCCGCCTTTGAAGCTCCCGTGTCTCCACGGAAAATTCAGCCTATGACTCGCCTACCCTACTTTCTCTTCATCCCTTCATCCCTTCTCTTTTCACTTTTTAGTCCTGGGCCGCCTGCTAACAGGCGCAGGCGTGGCGGGCGTGGACACGGACTCGTAGAAGAACTCGCTATCCGTGTCGATGACGGGCGGCCGGCCGCGGACTCCCCGCGTTGTGGGGCCCGCAGCAGCCTCGCTGTCTTCCGAGGGGGACTCGTTGTAGCGCGCCGCGTCCTGGGCCGCGCGCGTCTGTCGGACCGGCCGCCCCGAGCGGGTGACGGTCATCGGCGTTGTCGCGCTCGCGGCACTTGCTGCTGCTGCCTTCTTGCCGGCAGGTCGCCCGGGCGTCTTTGGCGTGGCAGCCGGCGCCGGAGGGGGCGGTGGGGGCATGCTACGCGCCGCTTCTACGGCAGCAGCCGCCGCCGCCTTTGCCGCCAGCGTGGGTCGGCCTAGGCCCTTCGCTTTGCCGCGGGGCGTCGCCTTCGGTTCGGGTTCCCCGGCAGGGCTCGCATCTGCGGCGGCCTTGGTCACGTTCTTCTTCTTGGTGGCACGCTTTTTGGGCGACGGGGGCGCCTCGGGGTCCAGGTTGGCGACGGGGTCGGGCACCGCGCTCGCCTCGGAGTGTTCCTCGTTGGGCTCTACGGTGGTGCCGCTCGGCCGGCGCCAACTCACGTCGGTGTCGCGGTCCGAGTGCCGTTTGCGCTTGCGTTTGGCTCCGACTTGGTCGTGGTCGTGGTCGCCTTCCTCGGTGTCCTCGCCGAACGGCGCCAGGTTTACGGACGGGGGCGGCAGCTTCATCTTGCCCGCAGGGCTCTTCTTCTTGCTGGGACTGTCCTTCTTGGACGCTGTGCCGCTGTCTTTGGCTATGGTCTTGGTGGTTGGTTTCTTAGGGGTTTTGGCACGCTTCTTATCAAAGCTGACCTCGGCTATATGCTCCCCCTCTGAAGTTTGCTCGGAATCCTCCGTTACCATCGGCATGTCCACTCCTCTGCCCGTCAGTTGGTCGATTAAAGCCATAGTCTGATCTGCGCTGGGTGGAGGTAAGGTCGGCTTGAATGGGTTTGGAACAGCGGCACCACCGCTGGAACCAAGCCCGGTGCCATACTTGAATGGCTTCGGGTCACCCACGGGTTCGACTTCGACGAATGGAACAGCGCTATCACCGCTGAAACCAAACCCGGTGCCCGGCACCGGTTCAGGTTCGGGCAATGGATCGGCGTCCTCAGGGCCGCCCTCGGGCGGATCTGTACCCCCGTGCTCGGAGCTGGGTTTGGAGGTAGGTTTGGAGGTAGGTTTGGAGGTAGGTTTGGAGGTAGGTTTGGAGGTAGGTTTGGAGCCAGGTTTGGAGCCAGGTTTGGAGCCAGGTTTGGAACCAGGTTTGGAGCCGGGTTTGGAGCCGGGTGGCGTCTTCTTCTTGACATGGCCCTGGTGCTCGTGGCATTCCCAGTGTGCCTTGTATTGTTGGGCGGTCATGTGCGTGACTACGGCGCCGCACAGATCGAACAACTTGCACTTCTTCTCCTCGCCGCTCGGTCCCGATGTCGTACCACCACAGCAGGCACCGGCCCCTCCAAGAGGCTGAGCCCCTCCTTGCGGCCGCTTCTCGCAGTGCAGGATATGGCTTGTCTTCTCGTTGCAGTCCAGCAGCGCACCCAGCTGGATGGCACAGTAGGGGCAGTAGGAACACTCAGGACCGGCAGGCGGCATGCATGCCTTCTGGTGGATGGCGCGGTACGTAGGATGCATCGAGTCGTCCCACTTGAGCTGACAGAACTGGCAAAAGTTGAGAGGTGTTCCGTTCGGGTTGGCAACGCCGCACTTGCAATCGTCCTCCACGTCGTCTTCGCCTCGAGATGTGCTCCAGACCCTCGGTATGCCGCAGTGCTCGCAGAACCTCGCGCGCGCGCGTTCTTTGCTCGTCGCCGCCGTCTCGGGGTTGGTACACACCCGCGCATGGTGGTCCCGGTCGGCGGCATTGTCCAGCAGGACCTGGTCCCGGCCGCAGCGGTCGCAGTACTTGGACATCTGGCCGCTCCCACATCCGCATCCGCTCCCGCACCCGGCACCCTGGCCGGTGCCGTTACAGTAGAGCCGCTTGAAATCGCCCAGGTGGACTTTGACGAAGTGCTCCTTGATCTGGTCGTGATCGTAGAGTCGAAGGATGGCTTCATCCGAGTGGCAAAAGGGACACATCAGGGTGTTGTGTTCTTTTCTCACGTGTTGGTCGAGTCCCTCCCCGTCGGCGAATTCGAAGTAGCGGTCGCAGTCCACGTAAGGGCACTCTCTGATTCTGTCGAGCAGCTGGTTGCGCAGCGAGTGGACCTCGCGCTGGAGGCGCACCATCTCCGTGGGAGTCGTCATCGCGATGGTCACGCCGGGCATGGCCGGTCCCGTGCTGATAATCGATTCGATGGGCGGCCCGTGGAGGGGCATGACGGGCTTTGTGGGATTCGTGAACAGGCTCTCGGAGTTCCAGAAGAACCTGTTGCGTAGTGTTTGTTCTCTATCGAAGGTGTTTCGCCACCCCGTGGACAATGATGAGTTCTGCGAGCCTCTGCCTCCTCTACCTCCGCTGCCTCCGCTGCCTCCGCTGCCTCCGCTGCCTCCGCTGCCTCCGCTGCCTCCGCTGCCTCCTCTGCCTCCTCCGTTACTAAGTCCGCCCCGGTTTGTACCGCCTGTGGCAGTCTCGCCGGTGGCAGTCTCGCCGGTGGCAGTCTGGCCGGTGGGATAGGCACTAACTATCATACCGTTGGCGTCTACCTTGCGCCCGAGACTTGCCAGTTTCGACAGATACGCCGGATCAGTGCTGGTGGCCTTAAAGCCGATTATTAAATTTGGAGCAGGTTTGCCGGACGATAGGGTCAGCGGCCGTTCAGAGTCGTAGCGCGGTCCCCATACCGTGTTCTTCTCGTCAATGACTGTTCATGCTCAGCTTGGCTCTGTGATCAATCGAGCATGTGGATTAGTTCATGGGGTTAACTTACTCCACTCGTTGTCCTCCTCGGTGCTGAGCTCGACCTTCATGTCAGGCTGTACGATGTTCCGCATGATCCACCGCCATGCGGCCTCATCCGTCTCGTGTCGGACCACAAACTCGTAGAGGCCCTTTTTTGTTGTCCAAGGCCAAGTGATCTGCCTCAAGTTTATGACAGTGTCTCGTTTCTGGCGGTCGTAGCTCGGAATCATCTTCTTCACGGTTTCCTTGAAGTGGTCCAGCGTCATGGTGTCGATGTCCACAACAACCGCATCATCACCAGAAGCGTTGTGTGCCATCGTGTACTTATTGAACCGGGGCCGGCAGACGATGCTCGTCGGTTCCCCCTCCCTATCACTGATAGACGCCGGTATCGCTGCGAGTATGGTTTGCCATTCACTCAAGGAATTCTTCGCCACAACACTGCATCGGGGGCAAGTGACGCGACCCGACTCTTTGTTGAGGTTGAAGAAGTTCGTCCCTGGAATCCAGATCTCAAGGGCGGTGTACCTCTTTTCAGCTAACCCAAGCTGGATTCGGCTGTGAAGTACCTGGTCGGCCAGGAAGATGAGACCGCTCCGGTCAGACTCATTGCCAGTGTGTCTGAAGAAAGCCTTGTCAAAGATCCGGGAACCCGGAGGACTCGGGGGGGCATTGAACCCTGGCACCAGGACCGGCACCTCGTCCCGGACGACCTCTTCCGCTGTTATCTCAATTTTCTTCCTTTCGCCCGGCGAATCGTTCATCAAGCGAGACACCAAGGGCCAAGTGCGGGCTGGGGGGTCGAACAATCCATAAGAAGCCGGGCCCTTAAGGGCGGGGATGTACATGTACGCGTGCGGAGGGTCCTCAGGGTTCGAGAAAAGTGCCCACATTGCTCGAATATACTCGCCACTGAACTGGTGCGCTTTATGCTTGCCCGTGAGCCCCCTCTGTGGCAACCTCATGTATGTTCTTCGAAGACCGTTGTCGATTGTAAGTCCAGTTTGGTCATTCTCCTCCGGCATCAGGAGACTCGGGCAAATTTCGGCCTTGTGATGAACAAAGAAGGCGACTGGCGCTTCCTCAAGCCCGGGTTTATTGAAGTACTTCACGAACGTCTGTTGAAGCTTGTCGCTAGATAGGGGGACCTTGCCATGTCGAAGCGTGTCCTGGACCGTTTCTAGCCGGTCCTGTGCATTTGCATCCCAAACTTCGAAGCAGATCTCGGCGTCGCGCCCATCCTTGATGCCGAGAAGCTCGTCTATGTTCACGCCGACCTCATTCCAGTCCACCCGCGAGGCTCGCGCGCCCTCGTAACCAAAAATACCTGTTTGGAGGCCACTATTCAGCCCATCTTCCGTGGGTCCGGCGGGTTTCCCCTCCTGCTTCTTTGATGGCGACAAGGGGGGGTCATCGGTCTCCGTTATGTCCTTTTCCACTGGCCACGTGCCGTACTTGCTAGCAAGCTCTGCGAAATCGGCCTCTGTCATGACCTCGCCCGTGTCCATCCCGACAAAGTCGTCGTCTTCCAGGGGGTGTTCCGACTCTATCTCGAAATCTTTCTCTCCGTAACCACCTCCACCGCGGAGACCCATGGAAGACGTAACACTGGTAACCGGCCCGTTCCTGGGGGCTCCGTTGCTGAGGGGACCCCTGCTGGAGAATCTGTTGTTGGAGACTAGTATACCACAGTGTCAGCTCTCGCTCCGTCTAGGGGCAGCATGTCCTGCTCAGGTGCCGGGGGTTACTCACGATTCCGGCCCGAGGTCTCGCCGGTCTTTTCGGCAAATTCATCCAGGAATGCGAGGGCTTCTTTCTGGGTGGTCGTGTTATCTACGGGGTCATCGTCGTCGTCCAAGTCGATATCCATAGGCACCGGCAAGTGTCGCCCGCCGGGGCGCATTGGTGCGACTGGCACGCCAAAGTAGAGACAGGCCATCTTGAACTGCAGCGAGGGCGGGTGGCCCTTGAAGCGCGTGTCCAGGAGGTCCTGGAACTCGGCCGTGTCTTGCTTCTGCCACTGGACGACCATGGGTGGCCCAGTCGCGGGCGTGAACTTGCGGATCTCGTGCGAGTCGAAGGCGGATTCGAGGATCTCATCGACGGTCATTTTTGGCTGGCGCAGGCAGCCAAAGAAGTAGCCTACCATCTCCTTGAATCTGGCATCTGTCGGCATGACAGTGGGGTCTACCCGTTCTTCGAAGGGCACCTTTGGTCTTATGGCGAAGGGCCCATGGGGCCGCGGCTCCTGATATTGTGGAATGAGTGGCTGCTTCGTTTGCTGCTGCGTCGAGGCGCCGGTTTGCACTTGCGCGCTCATCTCTTCGGGCTCGCCGGTGGGCGATGGCGGGTTTGGGTCTGCTGGTCCGGGGTACTCTACGGGCTCGCTGGTGGGCGATGGCGCGTTTGGGTCTGCTGGTCTGGTGTTGGTTGTGGTTTGCTTCTTGTTCTGCCGTCGTTGCCAGCGAAGTCTCCTTCTTCTCATAAGCAAAAGCGGCGCGATCATGCCATGTAAGCGCGAGTCAGCAGAAGCTAGATATCTTGCAAGGAACTTTCTTCTAGGCGAATGGCGACGGCATTGCCCAAGGCTATCGTCGTCTTGCGCAGGTGGTTCTGAGATGCTGTGGCACAAGAAGACAAAGAGGAGAGAAAGGAGGGTTGAATCGAGGTTCTGAAAGGGCAGAATCCAAGGGAAACCCTCGGCCCATTTGCCCAAGAGACTGCGAAAGCATTCCTAACCTTGCTAGGGACGGCAGAAATGCATCGGGGAATAGATGGCATTCCATCCCTTTGAACAAGCCCTTGCGTGGGATTCCGCGAGCAGGAACAAAGCCGGAGAGGCCGCACTCTGACTAGCGCTCCAAAGTTTCAAGCAAGACTTGGGATGTTTTCAGACATGACCTCCCGTGCTTTGAGGACGAAGGACCGAAGCCCACGGCGTGGGAGAGGAGGAGACCTGGACGGGGACCCGGGCGCTTGTCAGGTAGGGAGGGAATGCGAGATAGGATATGAGATATTGAAAGCTAGTTGGCAACCATCTCGAAAGTGACGGTTGCGGCTTCGAGCATGGCCGGGATGGAGATGGGACAGGGCCTTGCTGCCGCGCCTAGTCCGGCTGTTGATGAACTCGACAGAACAGTTCTAGGTTAGGGTTCTGCCATTCTGCATTCTGGAATGCGCACCGTGGATTCCGAATCATCTCAATATGAACGCAATCCAAGGCGATATGAGCTGGCGTAGAGTGAATTCCAACGTGTTTGGTATTTGGTGTTTGGTGTTTGGTATCCATCACTGTCTGTTCCCATCTGTTGAACTGTATGTGTTGAACTCGATGAAGCTCAAATTATTATTATCCACGAGGGTGTGCCTTTTGGTAGCTTTCCCAGATGCTGACAAATCACAAGTCTTGTTGTAATCTATCAGTTGTCTGGGTGGTGCTTGATTAAAAGGTCGCATGGAAAGAATTCCATCCGAGATGTATCTAAACACCTAAATTACAGTGGTGAGGTACTTGGGGCAACAAAGGGTTGCCAGGCAGCCTTCATCAGGTAACCACCTCCAAACATATCTGGTGGGGTTACCAGAATACTCAATACGGGTCCATGCACTGTATCCACAAGGGTGGTCATGTATGCCTGTATTAAAGTATATTGCGTTTAACGACATTGCTTGTAACGAATCTGGTGCATCAAACGCGATGATCATCGGACAGGGGCAGCGAAAAGGAGACTCCTATCCTTGGCACGCTGAGAAGTGAAAAGAGAACTCCAAGTTGGAGACCAATTGGGACATGGACAGCCCAGGTCCCGCACGACACATGATACCTTCAGATCTATACCTAGGTACGTCGTCTAGTGCATGTGTATTCACGTGCGTAAGTATCCTCTTGTTAAATGGGTGAATTAGGTAGGGTTTTCCCCGCATCGTTCCGAAATCGCTTCAAAGTTCAAACCTGCTCCATACCAAGGCAAGGTATCAATGGATCTTACCCACTACTGCTATGTTAATTGGTAGCCACGTGACGGTACTATGTCGTAGAATAAGTTTGTCACGTTTGTGTCTGCCTGGAATATTCCTCCATGTGTACATTCAGTGATTAAGAGTTGTGACCTCTTCCCCACGGCATCATCTACCCAGTCCGGATGGCTTCGGACGCTCCAAACACGCTGCTGGACGTGCTGCGCGCGAGCAGCGCTGTAGATTGCGACACACTCGACGACCAAGGTAGGCATCGTTGTGCCCTGCTGCAGAGGGGCATTCCCGCTTACTGGTGCAGTGCCCAAGAGCCTGGGTCCGTTTGTCGACTGCACGTCGAACCAGGTGCGTGTGTCGCCGACAGAGTAGGCCGCAGCAACACGGAAGCTGACTTTCCCTTTGTAGGCCATTGCGTATCATGAGTTGATACGGGTCGAGGCCGACGGCAAGACGCCCGTACATGCGCAGCTTATCGAGTATGCCATTGCCTTTGCCAAATCGAAGACACAGGCGTACCCGGAGGTTGCGCTGGCCGAGCTGGCCGTCGAGGTCATGATGGTCAAGCTGGCCCTTCGAATCGTTCCCTATCTCCAGGCCTTTTCCCATATCCAGACCAACCCGCATTACGCACACGACAAGCAGAAAACCGTCGAGAACGGTCAACGTACGTGGCGAGGCGCCCCGTCTGTCCCACCTTGTCTCACGGCTGCTGACTGAACGCGTACCGAAGGCATTGTGGCCATCTTTAAAGAACTGGAGCCGGCTTACGACTGTCGAAGAGTGTGTATTAAAATCCCTGCTACTTGGGAGGGTATGCAGGCCTGTCGCGAGTTGGAACAGCAGGGCATAGCTACGTTAGCAACCACCATGTTCTGCATGGAGCAGGTCTGTCACCCACCGCTCGAGGATAGTTCCAACGAAACGCATTCGCTGATATCAGGTCAGGCAGCACTCGCCGCCCATGTCGGCTGCACGTACATTGCGCCGTACATCAACGAGCTGCGTGTGCATTTTGACGAAGGGTAAGACCTCGTCATCTGATGCGTATAAACTCGCTGTCCGCTAACGGTCCTGCCAGCTACGTCGATCACCACAAGGCCTTTGACTTCTGCGGCTCCGCTCAGCGGTACTACGGCCAGATTGGGAGCAAGACCCAAGTCCTGCCAGCCAGTCTCACGTCGATCCAAGACGTCATGAAGCTCGCGGGCGCGCATCATATCACGGTGGCTCCCCACCTGTTGACCAAACTGGCAGAGACCCCCGCGAACCCCTGGGAGGGAGAAACTGGCTCTGTGTTCAAGACCAAGCCGGAGGAGGAGTTTGGGAGTTTTGATGGCATCGTGGAGGACGAGAGCAGTTGGAGACAGGCGTTCACGCGCAGTCAGGACGGCAAGGCAGAAGGTAAGATCATCCAGGCGATAAGCATATTCTGCGAGAAACAGCAGGGTCTGGAGGCATTGGCTCGTCAATAGGGGCTCGCCAGGGGCTGGCTGGCCGCATGGCTGGTCACATCGTGCCTTGGAAACGGCAGACACACACCGTTGAGGCTTCAATAGGACTAGGAAATGGACTGCCGACGCACGGCTTGGGGCTGGAGGCCCGACAATGTCTGAACAGCAGGTGTGCTGTCTGAGCCCCCTCGCTTCCGAAGTCGCCCTTGGGGTTGTGCGTTCATTGACCAAATTCTAACTGGTTCGTAATAAGTGATATTGCAATCCGCACAGATGCAATGCCTCTACCGAGCTGAAACGAGAGTATATAAAAGCTGGTTTATGTATCTGAACTCCACGAGTTTGTCGCCGTCCTCCCACATTGGTACACTGAACCTCCAAAAGTCTCCGTACACCCCTCGTCCGCAAACGAAAAGTGCATTGATTATAAATGGAATAAGCACTCTGGAATAAGCATCAAATATGGCTAATCAGATCGAAATCTGCTTATTCCGGGTTGCTTGTTCCATTCATACGAATATGGTATTAATGTCAAAAGGTCAACAGAGGCGTGCCAAACGGAGACTTCTGAGGGTTGAGTGTACCAGAGGGCGCCGTAGGCATATCCAAGCACAAGGACACAACGACGACTCTGGCCTTGCTAGCCTTGCTAGCCTTGCTGACCGTCCCTGAGCTGCTTGTCTCGTCACCCAAAAGAGATTGGGCGCCCATGCTCAAGAGAGAGACACTCACAGGTCCCCTTTCTCATCGTGGAGCTTGGCCTGCTTCTCATCCGAAATTTTGTGGTTGCTGTCGCCACTTCCCATGCCATGGAGCATTGCTGTCAGTCCGATCTCGCGGTTGATTTCTTCCATGCGCTCAAAGTCGGCCTGAGCGGTGCCCTCTGACCCGAAGATGACATCCTGGAATATTATGTTAGCCTTGACTCAGAGCCGATATGAGGTACACTCGTCTTCGTACCATTTCCTCGAGGGTGAGGCGTTTCGTTTCCGGAACCTATGTCAGTCATTGTCAGCCTTTCTGCGTCACGGGCGACTAGGAGCATGCACGCTGATGAGCTGACAGACAGCCTGGAACTGACAACTGCCAAGTCTCATTGGATTTCAGCTGCGCGACGAGGGGTTGCGTACAAAGAACCATATGAAACCAGCCCCCATGAACGTCAAGAGGCCGAACAAGATGTATGTGCCGTAACCGATCTTGTTCAGCATATTCGGGGTCACCTGCCCGACGACTGCGAAGCGTTAGCCGAGGTTCTGCTGCAGTATTATTAATGCCGCGACCTACTGAAGTTGTTCATCCAGTTGCTCGAAGCACCCAGGGCAACCCCATAGGGGCGCGAGCTGAGCGGCCAGATCTCGGCAATGATGATCCAGGAACACGGGCCCCACGAGTAGCCAAAGTGGATGACGAAGAGCCAGACCATGACGACCGCAGCCCAGCCTGCAGCAGCCTGGGACGCCCACTGCGTCGAGTTCTTGGCCACGATGACGGCAATGATGATGTGGCAAGTGGCCATCCCGATGGCACCGATCGTCAGGACGGGTTTGCGGCCCACGCGGTCAATGTAGAGCACAGCCGGGATCGTGGCTAAGAACATGACGATGCCCACGACACCAGTCGCCAACAGGCTGGTGGCAGTGGAGTCCAACCCGAGCTGGGTGAAGATGGTAGGGGCGTAGTACTGTGAGCACGTCACTGATAAGCAATACATCTCTGGGTAATCGAGGGATGGAGGTGGGTAAATCCGGGGCTTACTAGAATGGCATTGATTCCAGTCCACTGCTGGAAGAACATGGTCACTGTTGCAACGATGACTCGCTTGAACATGGCCTTTGTTTGAAAGAGCGACTTGATGGCCACAAACTGCAGCTTAAATGTGTTCCAGTTCGTTTGCTCGTTTAAGTGGGGGAAATGTTCCGCCACTGCATCATGAAGTCAGTTAATACTTCGGCTTGGAGGGTTGGGAGTCGTGGGGGACTCGTAGGCAGTCCAAGTCATGAACCAGTCATGGTTTGGGGGAACTTGTGTATAGGCTACAAAGGCACTTGTCTTCCCATGAAGCGAAATGGCTGTGCTTCTATATGCCCTGCTTCAGGCACGACACCAAATACCAACATATCTGGCTGCTGAAAGCATGGGTAATGGGCGAGGATGGGATGATAAAAGAACAATTACGAAATGCCTACCAGTGCGCTTCTCAAATTGAGATTGGGCTTTGATCTCGAGGAATTCCAACTCGACGAGCTCGTGATCGACAGAGAGCCCGCGTAAACTCGCAAGGATCTTACGCGCCTCGGCCTCACGGTCATGGTGGACTAGCCAACGTGGAGAGAAGGGCACTGTTGCACGAACAATGGTCGGTCAGTTGATTCTCTCGACGCTTGAGCAAGACTCAAAAGCCGACGGCTTTACGCACTGAAGATCATGCCGACAAACAGGACGATGGCCGGAAAGAGCTGGAGGCAGATCGGAACGAGCCACGCAGCATCCTTTTGGCCGCCGAGTTGGGTGCCGCCAATGTAGTTGGTGCCGTAATCTATCCAGAAGGCGACCATGATGCCGAACGTGATGGCCAGCTGCTGCAACGCCACGAGCGCGCCTCGAACCTCGGGCGGTGCGACTTCAGAGTTGTAGATGGGCACAATGGAGGCCAGGGCGCCTACTCCCAACCCGGTGACGAAGCGGCCCCCGAGGATAACGTTGGGCCCGCCCGACTGGGCTGTCGCCTGGATGATGACGCCGATAACAAAGACCGTTACCGATACCAGCACGCCGTACTTTCGAGAGAGGGCCTCGGCGAGAAAGCCGGACAGCAGAGTCCCGATCCAAGCTCCAAGCTCCAGGATAGCAGTCAACCAGCCCTTCTTCGTCTGGTCGGCCGTGTCGTCGAACGGGTCATATTCGCCCATATCTGGCTTGGTCAGCACACTGTCGCCCGGAAATCCAACCGTGCCAGGGCTCTGAGGGGCACTTACGCGACTTGAAGGCCGGCATAGCCAGAAGACCAGAGAACATGCCCTGGTTGTAGCCATACAGAACGCCACCGATGCAGGCGAAGAGGGCGATTCGGAACACCTTGAAGTTCTTGACCAGAGCCATAGGGCCCGACGCGCCCATCATCCCCTGGCGACGCTTCAGGGCCGCATCGTAGATGGCGGCCCCCGCATCAGCACCGGCAACCATGATGTTCGATATGCCTTCTCCGAGGCGAAGCAGCAGCAGGCAGGCTGCTGGGAATTGTGGAACGGCTCTTCTGGAACCGAAACACCGTGACAGTCAACGATAGCTGGCAAGCCAAGTCGATAGCACAGTTTCTGGCGGCAGCGACGGCAAGTGAGTCGAGGGCGCAATGGTCAGAACCTCTTCTGCTATCTCAGAGGTAGATGGCCCGAGATAAATGAGATGACTGCTGAGCATGCCCCCGCTACAGTAGGCTTGCACTCGCGAAGCATCCGCACAAATCATGTGAAGCGTCGTTATGGGGATGACCCGAGGGTCGACAGGGACCCGGGCGTGAGGGACTGGGGTGAACCGGGGTGGGGGATAAATGTGATGTGCGATGATCAGTGTGAGCATCACATCACAGCCGTCCCGGTTGATTGGTAGAAATGGTCTATAGCCTGCCGTCTAACCACCTACAACCTACCGGCCGTGTTAAGGCGAACATCAAGAATCCCAGATGAGAATAGGCCTTTGGTATTCGGAAGGTCCTACCGCACCTATTCGGCCGTTGGTAGACACCAGCACCATGCCTACTCGTGGTGATGTCCTGGTCTGGCGTGCCGGATACTGCTCAGACTGCGTACTGATACAGACCATCAAAGGGAGGCTTATGATGAACTGACGAACTCGTCATCTGGTGCGGAGAAGGTCGCGGGGTAGGCTTTGGGGATATGCACCATGCAGCTGCAGATTTTCCCAATCTCTGTTGAGAATCCGGGGCCAGCTGGGGTCGCATTTAGCCTGAATAGGAACGGGCGGAAGACTATTGGACCATGCCGGCCCTGTCTCGGTTGGATTCAATGGAGGCTGTCATAGATGGACTGGATTGTCGGCACTGCGGGTACGTGTATAGCTTTGGGCAGACTGCTTACATCGTTGATGTTGGCCTGGGCGAGTGTAGTGATCATCTCGCCCCCGCGCAAGCAAGTAGGCACACAACCACATAGAGACACTCACCAAACTCACCCACAGACCAGGATGCAGTATACGGGAGACGAACAAAGCTCGGTTTGCGTCATTTGGAAGCCTTCCAGACCATACACAGACGGCGCCCATAGCCACGTGCTTGACGAAACAAGCACCATACCGTCGTTCATGCAGCCGTCTTGTGGGTGCGCTGGGCTAACGAGCGCATCCTGATAGTCAGATGTCACATAGTGAACCTGGACGAGTACCGAACGTATTGATGGGAGACGGTGGACCAGAGTCGACTTCTTGTACACCGGGTTGGAAGGATCGCAGGCTGTGACAAAGCGAAGTAAGATACCCATCGACTTCACAGTAGCGCACCACCGTATTACGGACCTCAAGTCGATGCTGGGGCGCCGGATCATGGGAGTCGCTGAGTGCAGCGTGGACTCCTATTTAGTAGGTCGTGGTGGGTGGCGCAAGACAAAGTATACTCTCTGAGGCTCTGTTCCGCCGACAGGAGTATATACCGGTACCCCAGTCTGCAGAAATGGAATTCTGTAGGAAGTTGAATTGTCTTGTCGTCTGTCTACACGACGCTTGCCTGGTCTCGACGGCATCCAAGAAGAGAGTTGACAGGAATTATGTGCTGGAGAGCGAGGAGGTCGGACTGATGGATGAAAGACAACATGCAACCTCGGAGGCTTCACGACTTTCGTATAGCACGTGCATTGGACCGCAGGTATTCATACAAGCAGAATACCAGGGACTCGACATGAACTAATCGATCCAGCTCAGCATCTGATTTCGGAATGGGCTGGGAGGACCATCCCCCGGGAGCTGTAAGGCTGTTCCGGCGTGGCGGGACTCGAGCATTGCCATCCAATCGCCGTATACAGGCACTTCCGGCGATAATGATGGTGATGGTCTTCCTAGGTAGGTATGCAGGCGATTTACATGCAGCTCCTGGTGCCAACTGCATCGGCTCAGGAGGGGATCGGCAGTCGTCAAACACGCGGCCTCTATCGCGCTCGATGAAACAAGCAGACGATGGGAAGGATTCGGTTCTCAAGGGAACAAGAGCAGATAGCCGCCTCGAAACGTACGTGGGTGGACTTGTTCAAGTTTCGTTGGCTGCACTTCTTAAGGTATCATCGTCGGCCCCCAATTCTGCCAGTGCGCCGTCGGGTTGCATCGAGTCGGCAATCGCTTTGCCCGACGAAGAAGTGATGACTCATGAGCGGCACATGCACCCGTAACGCACGTGATCTTCCCGCCAGAGTGGGGTCTTCTTCTGCTACCCGCCTAGTCTAACATGAATGAGGCATAGCGGCTGATCTACATATGTAAGGTACCTGATTTAGCGTCATCTTGTAGACGCGCGCCTCCGTCGTCAACTGGATCTTCGAGAGTCAAGACTTCAATGATTTCAATCCCTCCTCTCAACGTTGTCCGCCCCCACCCCCCGTTTCTCCTCCACGTCGATCAGTCCGTCGTCGCATGCGGCATAGTACCGAATTCAGTCATGCTGTTTAGACCTCGATCACACCAGCACATCACATGTCATATGGGAAGGACAGGAATACGGCCCTGCCTTCTGCCCTCCCCTCCCCTTTGACTCTGTCATCTGCGCCCAGACGCTGGCAGATAGGCAGACAGGCAGACAGGCAAACTGGACCAGCAGATGGATGCTGTCACTGTGCCCTCTCTTCTCGGGGTTACATGTAGTCATGTCCTGAAGGCTGGCTGACACAAGGGCACAAGCCGTGATACCTAGGTAGGATGTTGCATTGCTACTATACACACAAGGCGCGCATCATGTATGTCACCCTCTGATGCAAGGTACCGCCATTGTTTTGAGATAGTCGCGCATCCTGCATATGCGACTGCTCACTACCACTCTACCACTCTACCACTGTACCACTGCCGTTCCCCCGTGTACGGTTTTGCAGATCTGCAGCACACGCGCGTTGCCGGTTCATCTTCAGCTGTCTTCAGCTAACTACGGGCAGCTTGCCTCACCCACCTTCCGGCGTGTCTATTCGGCACAAGGCTACCTACGCATGCCTACCGCCTGTCGTGGACCTATCTTCTAGGTAGTTGCTCGGTGTTTGTCTCCCATCTAGAATAGGTATCTACATGGCCTGTCCACGTTCTCACCCTGTCCATGTCCCTGTTCATGTCATCATCCTTGTCCTGATCCCCATCTCCTGGTGGTCGCTGTCGTCTCCCCGTGTACCTCCACAGTCGCGCGCGCATAGCACCAGATATGCCAACTTCCGCCCCGGGCTGGCGCCTACTGATACCTACCCTTCGCTTCTTCTATTCCTGGCCGGATTTCTGGCCCGTCCCGCACTCGCCCTCAACTGTTTCTCTGTCGTCTCTTGCCATGCCCTGCCCCCAGACCCGCCCTACTGCCCTACTGCCCTACTGCCTGGCATTGTCTATGTCTATACCTGCAGATGCCGGCTCTTAAGCGCGGAGGCCACCTCCTCTCTCCTAACCGCCCAACTTCAGACAGACGCCATTGCGAGACCCCTCCAGCCAATATCAACAGCCCGTCGGCAGTCTTCCCACCCTTCCAGACACACAACCCGGGTTTCATGACCGCTGCCTGCATCTTGCCCATCTAGCCCAGCTGTCAGTCGCCCTTGATCTCGCCCCATCTGCTCTCGACCGGCATGGTAGCTCTGTTTCAGATCCCAAGTCTTGGGTCTCTCCGGCTGCTACCGCGGGCCAACATGCCCTCTGGCGCCACCGTCGCCGTCGCTCAAGGCCACCCGCCGCGTTTTATAAGTAGCCGCGCCCATATCGCGACCAGGCCCGTCTTTCTGCCCTTCACCCCAGGACCCTCTCGCTACTACGATATCAACAAGCCTTCAATTTCCTATCGTCGTCGTTTCTTAACTTGACTCATCTCCTTTCCTTGCCCCGTTCGTTTCAGCAGCGTCAGCATCAGCATCAGCATTGCCATTCGTTTGATACGGGTTGGAGCTTCCTATTCACACCTATTCACAAGCTTGCCCTTCACCCCCCTGGCCACTCTTCCACTCTTCCTGGCGAGGCCCGAATTGTACACCACAACTATCAGCGCTGCGAACCTCCTAGCCCGGCAGAGCAGACATCGCTAATCCTAATCGATTTCATTTTCTGGATTCATACCCTGGTCTCTTTCATCTCTTCAAGATACCCACCCTGTTTCCTCGCCTTTCCCATCCACGAGTATGCCGAAACACACGCGCTCGTCCAGCTCGAGTCACAACCGGTATTCGAACCCCCTACCCGTGTCTTTGGCGCCATCTGCCCCGCTGCCCATTTACAACACCCGGCCGTCGGTTTCGTTGAACACGGCCTACTACCATACCACGGTGCCGTCCTCCGCCTCGGCCCAGCCTCCGATGCAGGCACAGGCTTATGATCCGTACCCCGCCGCCGCCGTGACCCAGCCACCGCTTCCCCATCGGGCTTCTTCGGGCGCGTGGACGCCGCAGGATGACCAGACCCTCCTCACGGCGCGCACGCAAGGTTTCAACTGGGCACAGATCCAGAGCAACTACTTTCCGAACAAGACCCCCAATGCCTGCCGCAAGCGCCACGAGCGGCTGCTGGAGCGCAAGGGTGCTGACGACTGGGACAACCGAAAGCTCGAGCGGCTGGCCACGGAGTACATGAGCATGCGCAAGGAGATCTGGCAGCCACTGGCGGCGCGTACGGGCGAGAAGTGGAATGTTGTCGAGGCCAAGGTCAGTCTTGTCGAACCCCCCTGAACCTGCCAGCTGCCCCCTGTCCATTTGAAGTCGTCTTCCCCCTTAACCCCTTTCCCTTTACCCTTTTACCCCTCTACCCCTTTCCTTCTACCCCTTTTCTTTCCCTCTACCCCTTTCCCTTTTCCTTTTACCCTTGCCATTGCTTTTCCGCTGCCAGCGAGCTGACTGACCCGTGGTGCAGTGCATGAACAACGGTCTCAAGAATCTTCAGTCGGCGCATCGGTCGGCGTCGCGTCGCGAGCGCCTTGAGTCTGGTCATCAGATGCATGGGTATGACGACGACAGCGGCATTTCCGGCATTGGTCTGACTCCAATAGATGACCTCGACGCCTCGTACAGCAGTCCCGAGACTACGGCCTCGAGCTCGCACTCGGGCGGCAGCCACTCGGGCTACGGCGGCATGCACCCGATGATGAACAGTCAGCATTATGCGACCAACTACCCCCCCAGTACGGGCGGCATGTCCTCGAGCTACAGCTCCTCGGTCTCCTCGTCGGCGGCCCACGGCTACGGCACAATGCCCGGCCACGCGCATCAACATCACCACTCGCAGGACGGCTCCCCCTACATGAGCAACGGGCAACGGCTGCCCAGCGTCGACATGGGCATCGACGCCATCATCAACCGCCCGGGTCATCACCACAATGGCGGGGCCATGTGAGAAGCACGCACTCACCAACAATCATTCTTCTCTGGTCTTTTATCTTTTTAATTCCTCATCGTTCCGAAGCATGTCACCGGAACCGTGTACTCAATCACTCTCTTGGTCTTGGGGGCCTTGGACATTGCTCACGAAAAGGAGTTTGCATTTCTGGGGCGTTTGTGCGTTTCCGCCTTCTGTGGCTATTTGTCTCTATTCGGTTTATTTGTGTTCATTTAAGCATCGGCGTTTGAGGGCGTCAGCATGCATGGCACAAGATCGGGTTTTTCCCGGGGAGGTCAACGGGCGGGGGCCAGGCGACGAGCGAGGATCCCAGGAGATGAACGATTGCGAATCCCACGAGATGATGACGACGAAAACAACACCCGCGAGAGCGGATGAAGGATGGATCCAAAAGTCAGCATGGCCTTGATCTCTTTCGGGTTGCATGCCACATTCCCTTGCAACACAGCCACGGACACACCCAGAGGAACGGGTTAGAGGTTGGGCACCTACGTAGTGCTGTGGATTTTGGGACAACAAAGTTTTATGGCAAGCCTCCTAATGACAGCACTTTCTGCAACATCATGCGCGCATCAAGGGGTGCGTCGCGTTGTGCACTAGAGCATTCAGATAGATACCACAGGACGTTGAAAATAGGTGGCGGAACCATGAGAATTCAGCCATTCGGAGTAAAAGCATGACGCCGCCGCGATGTAGCCAAGGGCCCGGGTGGAACCCGCACAATAGGAGTCGGGAGAAGAATACATTCATTTACATTGATATGGAAACAACCACTACACGCCGGCACTGTGACCAGCGCGCCAGCTTGACCCAGCACCGCTCTCCTCTGTATGCGTTTTTACCAAAACCACCATGCAAATGCCGGGACCCATGATGTTTGTACAGTTGGCAGACATATGTTACAGATTTTCCGTGCGCACGTACCAGCCAGATTCTTCAGTGGCCCGGCCCGGGACATAATCAAGGTCACCTGGATGCGATGGGAGGCACCCCAGCCCCTGCCCCTACCCTGGCCTGGCCAACAGCAGGTCCAGCTCCAGCGACGGCCTCGTCTATCCAATCGTCGTAGTCCTCATCGTCGAGTTCTGGCTCGCCGACGACGCTGCGCCATACGCGCCCCCACATGCCCCTTTTCTGCACGAGGGCCAAAACCATGACGGCCGGCAGATGCCAGACGCTGGCCCAGAACAAGCCCCGAGCGCTCCCCTTGAAGCCTCCGTGGCGCCAGAAGAGAACGGCCTCGCGCGCAAGCCACAGGTTGACGGGCAGGCTCGTCACGGCGAAACTCCACTCAGTGACGCCCGCGGTGCAGAGCGCGACACACAGCGGGATGAAGACGAGGCTGTACCGCAACGCCACGCGGCCGTTGCGCGCCGAGTTGACCCAGGCCAGCATTTGGTGACCGGCGGCCTTGTACTCGTCGCGGATCGGCCACGATAGTGCCATGAAGTGCGGGAATTGCCAGGCGAACAGGAGTGCGGCGAGCAACCAGCCGCCCACGGCATCCGAGGTGAGGAGCAGCTCACTGAACGAGCCGTTCCCCGTCGCGGACTCACCGGCGGCTGCTGCCCAGCCCATCAGGGGCGGGATCCCACCCACGATGGCGCCGACCCACGTGTTCAGCCACGACACGCGCTTCAGCGGCGTGTAGACCCCGGCGTAGAGCGCGATGTTGACGGCGCCCAGGAAGGCGACGGTCGGGTTCACGCCAAAGTAGAGACTGCCGACCCCCGTCAGCGCGGCGAGTGCGGCGAAAGCGATGGCCTTGCGCTGCGACAACAAGCCCCGAGCGAGCGGGCGGTTCCTCGTCCGCGTCATCATGGCGTCCCAGGCAGGTTCGTATAGCATGTTGAGAGCATTGGCGCTGGCGGAGCAGAGCAGAGTGCCCGTGGAGAGAAAGACCAGCGTCAACGGCGACAGGGAGGGGGTATCGAGGCCGATGGACGGAGACAGGAAGGCCGGGACGGGGTACAGGGCGTAGGGGGCCATGGCGGTGAGGACGACCAGGACGGTGAGGCGGGGTTTCGAGAGGGAGAGGAGCAGCGAGAGCTGTCGGCGTAGGCAGTTGGCAGGATGCCGTGTGGAGGCTGTTGTGAGCAACGAGGAGGCATCTGGAGGCAACGGAGCTTCGGCTGTGGTACCGTTCAACACTGTGCCTCTCGAGCTAGCGATGCGTTTCGCTGCCTGTCGCCGGCGGTGCGGGAGGTCGCGGTTCTCATCGTTGCGGTCGTTGCGATGGTTGGGGGCGGTGGAGGAGCGGGATCGACTGTTGCGGTCGTCGTGCAGGCGCGGCGCAAATGCATTGGATACGAAGTAGTCGGCCTTGAGGCGGGGCGAGCTCGAGGCGAGGGCAGTTCGGGACGAGGTGGTGTGGGAAAAAGAAGCTGTTTTCAGGTAACTGCAGCGGCGGCAGAGGCTATCGCGGGCATAGAAGCGGAAGACGTTGGCGGGCGACCGTAGGCTCATAATGGCGGCAGCTCATGTCGCCAGTTGGCATGTGTCTCTCGCTCGTTTCAATGGTCCAATCGCTCGCTCAACGGGCCGTGAGAGACATCGTGCGTATCACTGATCAATGGCGACGTGGTGCGTGGACAAGACCGGGACCGTTCGATGGGACGATGAACCGGCCCACGCCCGGGATGGAGGCGGACCCGACAAAAATAAAAGGTAGCGCTTGGGCCACTAGACCAACCCCTTCTTTAGCATACCCACTCCCCGCCGGCCCCTTTCGAAGTATAACCCCGGTTGCCCCCTTTCCACGGACTCCAAGTCCAACGCGTCCCCCTTTTTCGATTTGCAACCACACAGATTGATATGCATTAGTACTCAAGCTATACCTGTGGCCCTCGGTAGTTGATCGCCGTGTCTGCTAATGCATCGGAAGGAAGGAAGCAGTTTTCTTTATGCTGACACTCACTTTTCCCGACCTATTGATACACCCTCACCTCGCCAATATGTTCGGGCTTTGGGAGAGCTTCGTTTCGGTGCCTGAGTTACGGACACACGTCTTCCAAGGAAGGTGTTGAATCCAAGATGCCCACATCCATTCCTTCCAGAGAAGCCTGAGACGACGCATCTACATGTGTACATGGTCGTCCTGCTCATGTGTATAGCCATGACACATGTGCTCGTTCATCCTCGCCTCGCCACTGATCTAGATCCATGTGCCACCGAGTGCCCCTCGGACGCTCGGTAGATTCTAAAATAATGTAAATTTTGGACTCACAGTCTGGCTGACCAAGGATTGCCCTTGCTGCTGCCTGTTCTCGGTCGGTATTTGCAATTTGCCTCGCTGCGGAGCCCCTGTCGCTTCACAAGCTATAAAGAGGCATTGCTGTTTCGTATCCGCCAGCGTGGAACTGTCACTTCCTACAGCACCATACTTTACCTGGATTCGGGCACTGCCATATACTGTACGAGTCCGCATTCCATTGTCCCACTAAGAGATTCCCATCCGCTGCTGTGCTTTTTCGTAGCCTGGTCCGTCACCAAGACCCTGGCCTCTCCAGAACATCTTCGAGACCACGCCACCGTATCCAAGGTATGTGCAGAAGCAGCCCCTCTCTCGCTACGGCATTAAAGGGGCGCGCAAAGTAACCCAGTTAACCTGTGACGCGTCTTGGTACAGCGTGAAGGCAAGTCGATCGACGAAGCTCTCAAGCAGTGGAAACCCCAAGAGGGCGACTGGCGGGGAGCCATCAACGGTAAAAACAAATTTTCTGGCTACCACGAGAAAGGGACGAACCCTACGTCACCGGGATCGACGAGGAAGAGGTCGAGCAGCTGACCGAGAATTTCAGGGCTGCCAACGGCGGCACCAAGCATCACAGCCATCGTGCAGTTTACCACAATCGCCGTGCCGCTCTGCAGTCGCCTATGACAGACATAATTGTATACGTGGGACGGACCCGTGCGTGGGACCCAATGATTGACATTTCTTCAACTGCAATCATAGAATTTGTGCACGAGAAGTAGATATTGACACCGGTGTCGTGGCCCACAGTTGTCTATAGGGAAAGGTCATGCCACTTAATCTCGGTACACTAAATCCTCATAAGTCTCTGTACACGACCCTTCCAGCAAGCAACGGTATATCATCAAATCAGAATAAGCATACTGGAATAAGCAGTTTGATCTTTATTGACCATGCTTAACGCTTATTCCAGGGCGCCTATTCCAGTATTTCCAACTATCCCACTGGTGGTCTAGATTCTAGGATATTGCCACATGCGCGTACGGAGACTTATCGGGGCTGAGTGTACATACTGGCCATGTTGGTATCGCACCAGGAAGAAAGCTTGCCACGGATCTTGGTCGCTTTTTTTATTTTTTACAAGCCCGCTTTCGCGGCATCTTTGGTTGCGTGTTGGTCTTGGTATTGTCTTGGTATTGTCCCGAAGTTACTTATTAGAACCGAATAACACGCATCACCCCCCTTTTTACCACATCTCATACGCTGGGGACGACAACGCAGGCCTTGCCAGGCCTTCCATCCCCTTCCGGCTTCGACACAATCAAAAACATTCACTTGAGAACCTCATGCATATACACCAAAGAGAATATCGGGAGACCGAAGTAATTGGACGACTGCACGCATCAGTATATGCAGTAAAATGATCACACTGATAGCGGAAGGTTAGTAGACAACAATTTCGTATTCCCAAATTTGCGTCATGACCGCTGGCTAAAGTTATGCAAGGCGACATGGTTCACGACGTTGAACACCAAAACTGCCATCGGTGTGCGGAACGACTCCTGGAGCAGAACGTCTAGGCATCCATCTTCCGCATGTTATCACCCTTAATTCCGTGACCATCTTCCGCATCGCTCTCTTGTGCAATAGCTTCGATTGCCGTCCCATCGAGATCCCAAACGCTGTCTTTCAGGAGAGTCTCCCTGGCCGGCATCGCGTAGCTAAGCACCGTGTACAGGACGATCGAGGTCACAAAGCCGAACAACCAGTTGAACGTGTATAGGTTCGTCACACCGTCGCTGATATGCACGACGCCGGGCCCGCTGATGCTGAGGGCCAGGCCGGGGAGAAGCGGTGCCACGGGGACCAAGAAGGCCACGGCCGCACGCCAGTTGCACCCGCCGACGTAACGGTACCTGCCGGCCGGGTTGTATAGACCTGGGATGTCGATATGGCGGCTCTTGACCAGCCAGTAGTCCGCGGCGATGATGCCAGCCATGGGGCCCAGGAAGACGGCGTACCCACCGAGGAAGGCGAGCAGAGTCTGCGCCGAACTCAGTATCTTCCACGGCACTAGCACCCAGCCGGCTATGACCGCGGCGATCATGCAGCCCCGTCGGATGTTGACCCAGCGCGGAAACAGCACGGTCAGGTCGTTGGCAGCCGAGATGCTGTTCGCCGTGATATTGGTGCCCACCTGGGCCACGTACCAGGCGAGCGCGGCGAAGAAGGCCGCGCACCGGCCGCCGGACCCGTAGTCAAGCCAGATGGCCACGATGTCCAGCGGGTTCCAGAGGTACTCGCCGCTAAACACCTTGGACGCCGAGGTGGTCACGATCCCGATGACGCCACAGGCCGTGAAGATGAGGGGCATGGCCGGAAGCTGCACGTACTGGCCCCTGGCGCTTTTGGCGTAACGTGTGAAGTCGGGGATGTTGACCGCCAGCGTGCTCCAAGTCCCCGTGACGCTCGACATGCACGACAGCCATAGCCAGGCGTACTGCGGTCCACTGACAGCGGCGCGCAGGGCAAAGATGTCGCCGCCGCCTCCCGCTTCCCGGATGGACCAGCCCATGATGGCGAGCGCCGCGACGGGCGCCGCCGTCAGCTTGACCCAGAAGAGCGGCCGCAGCTTCGTCGGGTGGATCAGGAGGAGCGGCAGCTGGATCACCCAGAAGATAAAGTACGAGATCATGCCCTGGGTGGTGATGCCTGCGGACGCCGGTAGCTGGTTGGGGATGTCGTTGTAAGAAGGCGCCCAGGCACGAAACATGATGGTCACACACTGGGACCCGTTTGCGCTCTAGCATCCAGTCTTTGGTCAGCACCGCCTGGCGAGACAAGGACCAGAATACCCTCGTACCTGTATACCAAGCCAGAACATGGCCAGGATGGCCCTGCTGAAAATACAAAAGTAGCGCAGATAGAACCCGAAGCTGCTGGTGACGATGACGGAGAAGGGGACGTGCAGCTTGGCACCAATTGCTCCGTTGAGTACAAGCGGCACCGCAACGCAAAAGTTTCCCACTACCATGATGGGAATCGCCTCTTGCCATGACAGGCCGACCGCGAGCACTGCCGAGGCCGTCTGCCATGTCGCCAGGTTGATGGTGTCGGTAGCCCAGTAGGCCAGGATACTCCAGGTGTTCCACGTCTGATCCTCAATCGGAGTCGGGTCTAGAGAATGTCTGGTTGTCAGTCCGGACAGTCGTCGGGACACTCGCCGTACCGGAGCAGGGGGCCATACCCATATCACGATTCGTCCAGATGTGAGGCGGAGCAAGCGTCCCGGTCTGCTTGGGCAGCTCCCATGAGTGCAGAGAGGTGAGTCTCCATCTCAGCTGGGTTGCTGACGGTGCCTTCATGGTCATGGACAGCGACTATACGGTTCGAAGGGGCTCAATGTGCGACAAATAAGAGACTTCGCGGCCCTCGATGAATGGTATATGCAGAATGTTGAATGTTGTCAGGACGGCATCTCGCTAGAATGAAGCAACTTGTTTCCCGTCATAGACTTTCTTTGCGTGATATGCATCTCTCACCTACCAGACACTTGATGCTGATGACATGGGGCGGCTTGAAGTCAGCTACCTACCAATGCGACTGTGCCATGACGGCCTGCTATCTCGGGCTGCTGACTGCCGGCAGGGGTGCGATAGGGAGCGCGAACGACCGAGCCAGCAGGCCAGCCAGCTCATGTCATTTGCCTTTCTGTACGAGGGGAGACTCGCGCTTTGTAGCGTCCTCATCCAGTCCAATAAGAGGGAACGTGCTTATCGGTCTTGACGACGACGGGGACCTGGCAGATACCGGAGACACAAGCTCGGTGGCTACGTGAGTACGTACCTAGGTAGAAACACCAATATGGTTTGTATCGGCTGTCTTGACGTCTGTTGCGAGTTGCAAGTGTGATTACTTAGCTAGCAATGTCTAACATGTACAGCAAAGGACGGTGCTTGTCGCTCTTCTCGTCCAGCCCACCACCTGCAGCCAACGCCTAGTACATACATCAGATGGTCGGCAGCTCGACAAAAGACAGCGTCCCTGCGATGGGGGGAGCGAGATCAAAACACAATGCGCCCACGGCAGCATCCCAGGGGTATTTTCTTGCAGCAAACATCAGCGCTTCTCATATACTCACAGGGCTTCGATCGCTCGCACAAGCACGTCGAGGCCCTTCATACCAACCTCCTTGCCCTTCTTCTCATCAAGCAGGGCGGCAACGTCGCTCAACATGCCCAGCGGGATGTAGCATCCCTCTCGCGCACGCTCCAGACTCTCCTTGAGCCTGCTGGTGTGCTCCCACTCCTTGGCGGCAACCGCGGCCCTCTCAATGACGCGGTTGGAAATACCACACATGGCCGCGCAGTGCATGCCAAAACTGCCTTCGGCCACCCCGTCCTCCAGTCTGTAGAGGAACGTCACACGTCTCTGCTCCTCGTCGACGTGGATCTGCATCCGCTTTGCTCTGATCTCGGGGTGGTTGTCGAACTCGGTTGCGAGAGAGTGGTAATGTGTAGCAAAGAAACCCACGCACCCAATGTGCGTGGCGACATGGTGTAGCACGGCCTGAGCCACAGCAACACCATCGTAGCTAGATGTTCCGCGTCCCAGCTCGTCGAGGATCACTAGAGAGCGCGGCGTCGCCTCGGACAGGATCTTCTTGGTCTCCGACAACTCGACGAAGAATGTCGACTGCGCCGCGAAGATGTTGTCATTGGCCCCTAGCCGAGACATGATGCGGTCGCACGGCGTGAGACGCGCAGACCTGGCGGGCACGTGGCAGCCGATCTGGGCCATGATGACGGCCGTGCAGGACTGCGGGACAGGTCAGCATCAAGAAGTAGCCAGTTCGCAAACCCGGCAGCACTTACCATTCGCAGGATCGTAGACTTGCCAGCAGCGTTGGCGCCCGTCAACAGGTTGATCTTGGCCGAGCCGCCGCCGAGTACGATGTCGTTCGGGATGAAGTCGTCCACCGTGCTGAGCATGCACGGGTGTCGCAGCTCGTTGAACTCGACCACGCTCCGCTCCTCGTCGACGAACACCGGCCGGCAACTGGGCTCACCCAGTGACGACGACGCCTTGGCGAGACCGACGAGGCAGTCGAGCTGCGACACGATACGGATGGCCTGCAGCCAGGTATCGTAGTCCACGTCGAAGCGCTTCAACAGACGCAGTGCAGCCTCGCGGACGAGCTGCGAGTGCGTCTCCTCGGCCTCCTGCAGCTGTCGGACAAGGCTGGTCAACTCTTTGAAGTAGTACCTCTTGACGCTGGCAGTGGCCGACATCTGCTGCCAGTCCTTAGGCACCTTGACAGACTTGGGAGCCTCTATCTGGTACACCTCCTTGCCGACGTCGGTAAACTTCAGCGACTTGTTCTTCAGCTCGACCTTCTTCTTGTCGAGCAGTGTCTGGAGATCGTCCTTGATCTCGACGATCCGGTCGTGACTCTGGTCAAAGTCTTCCTCGATGCCCCGCTCTGGGATCAGCATCTTCTCCTCCCGAGCCTTCCTGCGGTCGAAAGCAGACTTCCAGTACGACAGAGGTTCGTTGAGGTCCGGCATGGCTGCGATGAGGCGGTCGACGAGGCCGTTGCCGCCGCCAAAGGCATCGAGCAGGCTCATGGTGTACTCGATCTGCTCGAAACCCTCGAGGACTTTGACAAAGTCTTCGGGCCGGCACGCGCCGGCATGGATCCTCGATATGAGTCGCTCGAGGTCGGGCATCTTGCTCATCTGCGAGGAAAACTGCTCTCGCAGGCTCCGGTCGGCATTGAGCATGTCGACGGCGTCCAACCGTTCGTTGATCTTCTGGATGTTGCAAAGAGGGTGACACACCCACTGGCGGAAGAGCCGCTTGCCAAAGGGCGTGATGCAGCGGTTGAGGAGAGAGAACAGCGTCCCTTCCTGGCCGCCGTTGACCGAGTTGGCAAAGACTTCGAGGTTGATGAGGGTCTGGCCGTCGAGGATCAACGTCCCATTCTTGTGGATTGGGCTGTACCATGTAAAGTTGCCCTGGGACAACAGGTTTCGCTCGATCTTGAGCACACGCAGGTACTGAACCAGAGCGCCCAACGCGGACATCAGGAGATCATTGTCTCTAGCCTTGGCCAGGACCTCCGGCCAGACTTCGTCTTGCCCCTCCTGCCCGGACGCAAAGTAGCCGTTGCAGCCGAGCTCCCGCCGGGTCAGTTCGGCCTCCCAGAATTCGGACCCTGGTTTGAAGTAGTTCCAGATACAAGCAGGCGATGTGTTGTTCTTGAGGATGCGAAGAGCCTTGGGTGAGATGCGAGATTTTTCGAGCAGCAGTTCTCGCGGACTGGTCTGGGCCACGAAGGTCTCGAATTTGGTCAGGTCGACGCCGTCCTCAAACTCGGACACGAAGAATTGGCCCGTAGCAGCGTCGACAAAAGCAATGCCGAATGCTGGGTGGTCGTCAACAACGGATTCCTTGATGGCCACGCAATAGGTCGCCGCGTCATCCTGGAGCATGCTGCCGTCCACCAGGGTGCCGCCGGTCAGAATGCACGCCAGCTCTCGCCGGATGATCTTGTCCTGCTTCTTGGCCTTGGTGTCGACCCTCTCCCGCATCTCCTTGCCCAGCGCCGTCTCCATCTGGTCGACCCGCGCAACCTTGTAGCCCTTGGCGATGAATTGGTTCTGCCACATTTCCAGTGAGCTCTCGGGGACGCCGACCATGCGCATGTTGACGCGGTCAGTGAGTTTTAGATCGAAAAGCTGGTGGCCGATGGTCGCATCGTTTTCATACAGCTCATAGAACTTCCCCTTCTTGAAGAAGACCACCGTATTCCACAGCTTCTGCTTGATCTCCCAGTATTGCTTCTCGAAAGCCGAAAACTTTGCCCAGGCAGCCGGAGGCACGTAGACGGTGGCCGGGTCGTAGTCCGGGTGGCCTGGCGGGTTACGGTTGATGTCGCTGATCTTCCCCAGCCACGTATACCGTTCTTCGGGCTCGCGGGTGTGTGCCTTGACCTTGCCCGTGGAAGCCCTGGGGACCAGCTGAGCGGTAGTCCTCGGTTTCACGGGGTCGACGCTGTCCGGGTCGAATCGCCATTGTTGAGCTGTAGAGGTAGGGAGGTCTTCTATGGTCTCGTCATGCTCCAAGAGCCCGTCCTCGTCCTCGTCCTCGTCTTCTTGTTTATGGACAGGCGGGGATGCGTGCGATCGCTTCCTCGCAGTGGGGGTTTTGGCTGGGCGCTTTCGCTTCTTGGATGGGCCGTCGGAGTCGTCAGAGATGACAAAGTCGGCCATCTCGTCTGTTCCGAGCGTCAATGAAAACCCATCATGGACAGAATCCCGCCTGTGACTAGACATACCATCTTCGTCTTCGCCGACAGCGGCGCCTTTGGTTTCCTCGTAATCGTCCTCGTCGTCCTCGACCACCTTGGACCGTTGTCGACTACGACGTCGGGCCTGGGAGGCCTTCATGGCTTCGAAGACATCTTGGTCGTCGTCATTGTCGGAGGACTCGGCATAACTGACGGACTTCTTCGCCTAGAGAGTAAAGACGGATGTGAGTATTGATCTTGCGAGCCAAGGCCAGGAGCTAAGTGGGATTGAAGGTGGAGGAATGAGAAGGAGAGGCAAGGGAGTGCCCGGGCATTATTCGCAGGCAACCATACCTTTCGCGTAGGACTGCTGGCCATGGCGGCTGTGACCTTGGCGGAGAGAGGCTGCTTGATGACTACCTCAGCAGGCGTCATGGGCGAGGGCAAAGAGTGGCCTGGTACCTTTGGGGTGGCCGAGTCGTGGTTCTCCTGCGAGCTCGAGGGTTCCAGTGCGTCGCTGCTGGGGACGGGGGTGACGTTGGAGGCCTTTTTGGGCTTGGAGAGTTGGAGGGAATTGGACTTTGTGGTCTCCTTAAGGCACGAGGAGTCGGGCGAGTCCTTGGGCGCACTAGGTGTGGTGGCAGGCCTGGAGGCGGAGGAGGCGGAGGAGGCAGCGGGATTCTGGGAAGCTTTGGCGAAGAAGCCGAGAATGCTTTGTTGTTTCCGTGCCGTCGACGTCGAGGAGGAGGCCGAGCTGGGCTTCCTCGACAGCGACGGCGTCTTGGCAGGTGTGCGAGTGTCGCCCATGATTGACCAAGGCAAAGACGAAGCGGAAAAATCAAGAACGAGGCTCTGAAGCAAGATGATGAACTGGATCAATTGATTTTGTACATGTGGTCTGGGAATAGGGAGAGTAATTGGTTCGTAGCTATACAGTGTTCCCCCAGCTCAAGGCAGTATCGAGTGTGAAGATGCTACAGTCAAATCAAGAGTTGCTGGAAAAGAGATTCAGACAGAGGGCGGATGGAGGTGCATACTAAAAGTAATGAATGGAAGCAACCGCGTCAAGCTTTCCGGCCGCACGCCTCTCGCGTCGGGGTCGCGTCGTCCCTTCCCCCCCTGCCAGTCTCCCAGTGCTTTTCTCAATTGACGAGGCCTGATAAGATTAATCTCAGCACAGCTGTTGAATGGGAGCCGGAGATAGACACCGGAAGATCTCCAGTGGGGCAGAGACGCACAGGGCATCTGACCCACCAAGAAGACAGATGATCAATCTCTGCACGCAGAGCAGAATAACATAGAATCAATCAACATCCGTGTATTCAACAACAGCCGATAATATTTTAGATTAAATTTTAGAAGCTTTAATGGGCCGCTAGCGGCCTGATCTACTGTAATTCTATGCATAATACCCTGTAATTCGTTATAATGCCTTATAACGTTTACTAGCGTAATATAAGAAGGAAAAATCAAAATATTATTGTTTAAATATACGACGTAAAGATATAGCCTTTAATATATATTTATTTAAGTTAAAAAAAGCCTTTATTAATTAACTGTTAAAGATTTCAACGACTATTAGTACTATTAGTTATTAAAATATGCTGTAAAGATTATAGATAGTTAGTTTTTCTATTATAATAGTTTCTTCATAAGTTTAATTAATCGTTTTATATGTATTAGTTGCTTAGTCGATTACCTTGATCGAAATATATTTCTATTTTATTAATTAGTACGATTTTTTTAAAGCAGTTTAAATACCTCAATGATAAACTTCGAGCGTTACAAGGTTTATAAATTTACGTTCTTTTTATAATAACATTTATTAGTTATATAACAATTGCTTAAATTATGGAAAAAAGCATTATCAATATTATCGTTAAGATCTCTAATTATTTAACGCTTAGTGTTGGATCCATGCGATTCCAGACTGCAAACCATCTATACCAGGACCCACATGTATGATTAGATAAGATAATATAGTGGATTGAGAGGGCACTTGGCCAGACCTTCGAGTCCAGCTAGATTCCTCTCAATCCAACCATCAGCAACATCATGACCTTGACCCCATACTCGAGTATTATGATTGATCGTTCAAGCCTGTTCCAACACTTAGAAAAAATAGATTATTACCTTTTATTGTTTATTTGTTATCTATAAAGATGTAGCCTTTATAATAGCTATAAGCTATAAAAATATGTATCGGGTTTTATACTATCAAATACCTTACCGGCAAAATTACGGTATAAATCGTGTCTTTTATTAAATTAAGACGTAGTTAATTATAAGATATCGTTAAAAGTGTCTCTAGTTTAAAGCTTATTTAAATAAACCGCAAGGAAATATTAAAGTTATAAAAGTTTCTTTTATATTTTTTAACTGTCAGATGTTGGATCCCAGATATGGTGCCCTTAGGTGCAGTACCCACTATGGGGCTATCAAGAGAACAGTGGATCTACCCTGGCATGGTGCAGTATAGTATTTAGCTGTAGATTAGCCCTGCCGAGCATACTTGAGAATGACAACAACATTTGCAGCGACCGCTCACACCTCAAAGGCTTGTGACCCTTCTGAAATCTCACATAAACTTATAAATTTTCTTTAATAAATTTCATGAAATCGAAATATTTTAAAAGAGAATCAATCTAGCAGCTATTAATCCCGAGTTTAAAAAAGTCTTATAAAACCTTGGCTTTTATCAAAATATAGCTTTATTTACCATTAATAAGATATGTATTATTATAAGTAAAAATATATTTGACTTAAGTTTAATAACTTTTATAACTTCACATCTTTTTTACTGCGTTGTATTTTTAGTTTAAATATACGGTTATGTTAAACTGGTAAAATAAGCATTTATCTTTAAACATATTAGCATTAAACTTTATAAACTAGGAATTATACAGACCTTTATGAACCGTTTTAAAGTTGTTATCGTAATATAACCTTTATTATAAGGATATCTACGTAATTTTAAACGCTTAAAATTCTTAATATACAAAGCTAAGTTTAATAACCTTTAAAACGTTTTAAAAATAATTATTTATATTGATGGTAAGTCTTAGCTTATTGCGGCTTATTGTATCATTACATAATACTTGATTAATTATTACAGATTGAATGAACCTTTATACGTAAAGTTATCAAAAATATAATTTAAACGTTTGTAATATAAATAAAGATATTATTTATGGTGATTTTATTAATTATAATATTTGCCGTATTATCTTTATCAATATCACTTTCAATATAAGTATAAATATATTAATAATTGTTGGAACAGGCTTGAACGATCAATCATAATACTCGAGTATGGTGTCAAGGTCATGATGTTGCTGATGGTTGGATTGAGAGGAATCTAGCTGGACTCGAAGGTCTGGCCAAGTGCCCTCTCAATCCACTATATTATCTTATCTAATCATACATGTGGGTCCTGGTATAGATGGTTTGCAGTCTGGAATCGCATGGATCCAACAATAATTAACATTATAGCTTAGAATAACCTTTTTTCTACTCTTATTACTATAAACTTTATATAACGAGCTAATTAAGCTATACATAACAAGTTTAAAAAGTAGGGTATTAAAATTATTATTATTATTATTATTATTATTATCTTTTTTTTATTTTTATCTTTTTTTATACATTGTAAATTGTCGTAAAGATTATTTATAATATCGTTATTAAAACCTTTTAAATCCAAAAAGGCGCTTATAACGCTTAATATAGTAGTTATATCAATAATCTATAAGCTTTTTGAATTTTATTAAAATTAGCATTATTCGAAAAAAACCAGTGAAGATAATAAAAAGTACGAATTAAATCTTTTAATAAAAGCGTACGCGTTAAAATATTAATGTCAGATTTCAAAAGGTTAATGAGCTTGTGGTCTTGAGCAGTAGCTGCAATCGTTGTTATTATCTCTCAGCTATCCCAATTGGGTGGTATCTACACCTATTTGTACAGTTCTGGAGATGTCGGAGACGATCCTCTGGCGCACCTGTTCCTGAGTCAATGTACAATTCAGGGTGCTAGTCATAACAGCCTCTTTGACTAGCCACCTAGCTAGCCAGCACTCCAATAAGTATAATATTCAAAGTAGTTTACATTATACTTTTTTTAAAATACCTATTTCTTTTTCAATTAGTTAAATCACTAGTTATAGGTGTTATAGGCCACTAATAAGCCTTAAAAGCCATTAAAAATCAGTACGTACCCTTATAATTACAGCGCCAGCTGGTCTAATGCTGAGATTAGATAAGATAAGACCTCTCTACTTGACCTCTGTGGGGTAGCTCAAACGGTTCAAACGGTTGGCTCCATCCCGTGTCCCGACCCGACGTTTCTGGTTCCGTCCCGGTTACGTTTAGCAGTCTGGGGGCTGGGCCCTCGCAGTCCGCGCCAGCTGGCGGCTACCTACGGTGTCTTCGCGCGTCTTCGTGGTAGGAGGCAGGAGGCAGGAGGCAGATTGCTCCGCGCCTAATATGATGCTGAGGAACACGGCCATCCTTCTCTGCTCTTGACAAGGGGCCTGTACACATGCAACATAATTTGAGGCTCGTCGCGAGGAAGCGTCGCTACTCGGCTCATTGGGTTTTACCCTTCGAGTTGCCTATGTCTCCGATGGCACGGTACCGGTCGCTGAACTGTCCACGATCAGGAAAAGCCACTTGAGATGGCGATTTAGGGACTCTCGCGCTGCTCTGTCATATCTCTGACCAACAACTGTCGAACGCAACTGGCTGAATCTTACGAGTATGAACTCCGAAAATGATTCAGGAACTGTGGACGAACGGGCCATTGCCCGACGAAGAGCAATGAGGAGAGACAGCTGGTCTCCAAGCTTCTTCCAGGGCCTGGCCGAGGCGAGCACCTACTGCGGCGCCATCTACGTTACCGGCCTTTGGTACAAGCCCGGCGAGGTCGCCAAATGGAATGCCTTCTTCACCGCTTCGGGGCAGGTTGGCTCGATGCTTGCTGGAGTCACCTTGACCGCCATCTATGAGGGCATGGACGGACATGCAGGTCTGCAAGGCTGGCAATGGGTTTCCAGTATGTCATGGCTCGCTTCCTTCTCCCCAAATCCAATTCCCCCTTCGCATTGATATCTGGGATCCACGGTAATACCAAGGCAACTTCCCCAGCGTCCTCATACAAGTATCGGGTTGACTGGTACCACCCTTCCCCCTTCTTGTCTCGCTAGGCACATCCGAAGCGGGTGGTCACTGTCATACACAGCTGCAATAAGCTCTTGTGCAACAGCCTCCCAGTCTCATGGCTACTGGTCCTGGTTCTGCTGCGATAACCGATGAGCAGGACACAGCGCACGTAGTAACTACTTGGCCCTCCGCAGTAATCCATGGTCTCATCAAATGTTCCATCGCCGTCGTCGGCTTCTTTTACTTCCCCGATTTGCCCGAGATCACGAATGTGAGATGGCCAAATCAGGCGGAACGCGAGCTTGCTCTTGTCTCAACTGCCACCCAAGAAGGAAGACGGCCACAATATGCAGACGGGCCTGGTGTGTTGTGGAAGCAACCATCAAGGCAGTGTGTGCGCCCTTGGCTTGCCCAAGCACTGCTTCCGTGGACGTGCTCGATATCGAACAATGATTGTACGGATGTGGACCTTGGGCTTTGGTCAGGGGTGAGACAGTATAATCCAGAGAAAGCGCAGTCCCCTGGCTGTAACAAAGCTGAGCCGATGCTGTAATGCCTACCTGACACCTGGACAGGCAATCAATGCATGCGGAATTATATTGCCTGCTTGGGCGCTTCCATCGAACAAAGAAGAGTTGTCTTAAAGCGGGCTCAACACTGAAGGTACCCAGCCCGGCAGCCCCTGGAATGTGAGTCATGCCTGAAACCGTCTCTTTGTACCGCATGTTTAAAGCTGGGCGCATATCACCAGCTCTGCAAGCCTATACGTTGGACCGTCTGCATTGCTGTCTTGCTGGCGGGTCCCAATCTATCCTCAAGCTTCGATAACAGCCCATCGCCATTCGACCTCAGACGTCGCCGACCATGTCTGCCAAACAAGACAGCGTGGATGCATATGGACGCGTCCAACCTCACCCCTTGACGCGACTCGATGGCAATCCGGACGGAAAACTTAGTTCCCAAGGGCTGAGTCTCATATTTCAGCTGCTCGACGTGTTGGGAGAGCGAGCGGAGGTGTGCGAGAACATGATCAGAGAGAAGAAAACTGAAATCTCGGACGAGCAGCTGGAGGTCTGGGAGGATTTCATCGAACAGCATCGAACAGTGGCTGTCAACGCAACCAACCAGCTCGATTATGCGAAGTCGTATCTTGGGAAGACAGGACTGCAAGCAGGGGAGAAAGATGCACTGCAATGGTATCAAAGCATGCTCGATGAACATCGAGCAAGAATCAGGGCCTATGAGAGTGGTCGGACGAAGGCCAAGCCCGTCAAGACGAAGCCCACCAAGGGGATCAGCAAGCCGAAGCTCACCAAGGGGACCAGCAAGCCTGAGCCCAGCGAGCCTAACGAACTTCAGCCTTTGCAGAGGCTGGGCCCAAAGGGATGGTCAACCGAGAAAACCAAGGCTGAGGAGTTGCTCGATGCCTTTACGGCGCCTGCGCCTCGGCCCTGGCTTGCCCCGGAGTATGAACTGCACAAGTTGTATGAGAAGGCCGTAGAGCAAAGGAAAAAGGGGATACCACTGGCCGAGGCGGATCGACGCGAATTTGAACGTGTGCTCCTAATGTGGGCCGCCTCGGTCCAAGGAGCACGCTTCACGCTGAATTTAGCAAAAATCGAGCTCGGAAAGCTCAACGCAGAAGAAGAAAACATCACTAAAATGTATGAAGAGAGGCTAGTAACACCTGAGCAGAATTTGCCCAGCTTTTTTGGAATTAAGAAGGACTTCGACACCTGGGTGGCCGAGAGTCAGGCGGCCCTACAGGCGGCCCAAGAGCAGGCGGCCCAAGAGCAGGCGGCCCGGGAGCAGGCGGCGGCCCGGGAAGAAGCGGAGCGAAAGAAGGCAGCCGAGAAGGAGGCCCGTCAGCGAGAGCAGGACCGGAAGCTAAAGGAGCTCCAGGAGGAGTTAGACCGGCAACATGCAGCCGCTGACAAGGAATATGCGGACTGGAAGAAGATACTGCTGGCGGAGGAGAAGAAGAAGGCGGCGGCCGTTGGAGGAGGCCCCGAATTTACCACTCTATCCACTCGCGGCGATGGATATTGTGGTCTACACGCGATCAGACTGAGCATGGAGGCACAACACCCCTCGATATCTCCTCCCACGAGAGACGAACTGCTTGATGTCCTCAAAGACGACAGTGAACGCGCTCGTCTGATTAGAGAAAATCTTCATGCTGCAAAGTGGATTAACGGGAAGCCAGAACCGGATGCTACGTATGACAATCGGTCCTGGTTTCTTCAAGACCATCTCGGGGCCATTTTCAGTATGTGGGCAGACTCAGTCGGGTTTGATGCAATACTTGGCATCGCTACGAAAGGCGGGGGTCGACAAGTTCATGAGTCGGCCATATCTACGCCACAATCAACCATAATCTGGATTCGTCATAATGGCACCGACCATTACGAAGGATTAAGATTGATAAATCAGGACCCTCCTCATGATGACCAAGAATTCCAGAGTGCTTCTGAGATCGACCCCGTTGGAGTAGGCCCCGTTGGAGGAGGCCCTAATGGAGGAGGCCCCGATAATGGAGGCCCAGATGGAGGAGGGCCTAATAATGGAGGCCCCGATGGAGGAGGCCCTGCTAGAGGAGGCCCCAATAATGGAGGCCCAGATGGAGGAGGCCCAAATGGAGGAGGGCCTAATAATGGAGGCCCAAATGGAGGAAACCCCCCTCCCGGTGGAGGACCCGATCCTCTCCCTACAGGGGCGGCGCCGGGGAAGAGACCGTATCATGAGGTGGAGGACTACCAGCTACGTATGGGGCCCGGTTGGACGGTGAATGACGGTACGTTCGATCATGTGCCGGAGAACAAGAGACGCAAGAGGGATGTGCCGTACCCGTTCTTCATCAACCACGCCTATCGCGCAGCGCACGGCTTGTCCACCCTGCAGCTACACCACGATGCCCCCGTCAGCATGTGTGCCATGGATATCGCTACCGACCACACCTGGAAGTCTCTGCCACCGGAGCTGCGCCGCTGTCTACTCATCCCTCCTCCCAACGGGCCTGGTATCTGGGGCGACGATGCCGAGGCCCGCGAGCTGCTGTACGCCAAGATGGCGCTCGCGCCGTACCCGGACGCCACTAGGACCGAGTACAAATTCTACCGGGACCTCAAGAAGAAGCCGTGGGTCATCTGGCCCATCTGGGTCGAGGATCAATGGGGCAAGGATTACGTCCTCATTTTCTGGTATGCCGAGACCTCCGAGGACACCCCCGAGGACACGCCCAACGTATACAATCGCCTCAGTCGTTTTACCATCATAGACCCCCGACGCAATCCCGTGGCCGGTGCGGATGGGAAGCATCAGCCCTTGATGGCTCGTAGGATTCGGATCGTGAACCACCTTCGAGACTTCCTCGCCCGAGCGGGATACGATCGGGCGCACACCGTCGAGCACACCCAAATCCTGAGCATTCCCATGGCCCAGAACGAGGCCTCGTCGGGCGAGCGCTGTTATGCTGCCATCAAGGTCTTGAACGAACGCCTCGTGGACTGGCTCCGCGGCGAACAGACACAGGCTCGCGCCTGGGCCGTCTTCGAGAACCTGCCGCAGTGGGTCAACCCGTACCATCAGAGGGTTGAGATGACCGGCATCAACGCCTGGATGGTGATGGCGAGCTTTGATTTCAACGCTCGCATCGCCATCGAGAATGTTTTGCCCAACGTCCAGACCAAGCTTGCGGTGAACGGCAAGCACAGGATAATCGTTCCGTTTGACCTGGCTGGCACGTTTACGGATACGTCACTCCCCCCTATTGACCTTCTGTCGCTGCCTACACCGCCGCCTGGACCGCAGCAGCAGCCGACGCCGCCGCAGTCGCCAGGCGCAGACGGACCTTTGAGTTGGGTTGCTGGCATCGCTGCCGCCAGCGGTAGTACCTAAAAGACGTAGAGTCTGCTCGTGGGGTACGGATACGTATTCGCGGCGGTGAGCACATGTAGTGACATGGTGCGTGGATTTGATGTAAATTCGTTGGACGTTCTCCGAGTGAAGGATGTTGGGATGGAAGTATGTTTTGAGTATCAATGTAGCTAGTTATACGATCGTCACCTTTTGGCTTTGTGCATCTCGTTGGTGTTGGGAGAATGAGGTTGAAGTTCCAACATGGCGAGATGACTTGGTTGTAGTTCGTTATGGCCACAACCGTGGAGCTTCTAGTAACCTGTGTGCCGTACATAAAGACCATGGCCACGATGAGAAGGCATAATGTATCATTATTCTACATGTCTAGTCATTCCTGGGACACCAATGTGGGACGTGAGGTGAGGTACACTGAACCATCATAAGTCTACGTACATCACCCCTCCTTGCAAACAACGGTAAGGTATTCAGCGAATCGGAATAAGCTTGATGAAACAAGCATGAAAGCCGCGTATTAAACCAAAACTGCTTATTTATATATTGTTATCCCAGTGTTTACAGATTTCTGCGTGTGCACTGTATCCTAGGTACCAACATGCGCGTACGGAAAATTTCGAAGGCCGAGTGTATTCTCCAGTCGTCACCCAAGGGAGTAAATGCGAGGGTATTTCCCACAGACTGTGCCGATAAGGGGTCATGGAATGGTTGAAGATCTCGGCTCGCTGAATTTCTAGAAACTCCTCTTTCTGGAAGAAGCGGCGCACGGGTATGTGCTTGCGGGACCTAGAAGTCATTTTGCACGCTCTAAAGCAGACCACAAGTGAGCAACGCGATCCAGGCAAAGGGGCGGGTTTTTCTTACAACGGCAAACGAGCTCCTGCGCCGGATACTCTCTCCAAAAAACACCAAAACCCAAGGGACAACAGTCAGGCAGGTGGCAATGCCGCCGAGCAGCCCGCCGGCCGCGTCTTCACCGAGGTTGTGGATCAGAGCTCCGGTGACTAGCGGGAATATGCCGCCGAGCACATTACGACAAAACGACTGCGCTGCGAGCGCCGAGGATGCATAGATCTGGTACGTGTCGGCGAGATAGTTAAACGTGGCCAGGTAAATGTAATAGATGCCCATCGTGGAGACCCCGATCGCGACGGTGGGAACAAGCCAATGGATCGACGGCTGTGCCGTGAAGAAGAACAAATAGAGGCCGGCGGGAAGAAGCACCGACGTGAGACACGTAAAGTACAACCTCGACTCGGGCGACTCGGCTGGAAACCTGCGGCGAACAAACGCCCAGAGCCGGCTGGACTCGATGATTTTGGTGCTGTCGTTGCCAGAGCCGGCCGACTTGGCCTGCCATCCAGGATGCTTGAGCATGCTCTCCTGATAGATGCCGATAACGGTGGCGAGAATGGCGCCCGCGATCATGGCGATGAATACGAGGCCCGCCTGGACAGTGTTGAAATCGTACTGTCGTCGAAAGATGAGCGGGATGGACCCGAAAGTCAGGTAAAGAACCGCCCACGCAAAGGAGACCCAGAGTGAAAAGAAGAATACGATCGGTTCGGTGAAGAGGAGGTGAAACGGACGCAGTAGAGACACACGAATCATGGTGCTGATGGACCCGCGCTGCTCGTCTTCCCGGACCAGCCATCGCATGCGCCTCAGCCTCAGACCTTCGGACGGCGACTTCTCCCATTCCCGCGCCTCCTCGTCAGAGTGTGGTTGTGTCGTAGCAGAGGTGGGCTGCGGCCTGGTCCCAGAAGTCAGACGTTCTCGTCGAATCCACACCCCATAGAAGCCATGACGTTCCAGCTCCTCGTACCACTGGTTTAACTTCTTGGCCTTCCTCGAGAGCAGTACCGAGCCCCGGCTCTCCTTGAACAGGGCAACGACGGTGACCATCAGTACGAAGTCGACGATGACCTGATGCCAGAATATCCACTTCCACTTCTGTCTCTCCTCTCCCCAGTTCTGAACCACTGCAGTGCCAGGTCAGTTTTGGTCTAGCTCCTCAGCGACAGAGTCTGATGGGGGTACACTCAGCCCTCATAAGTCTCCGTACGCGCCATATTAATAAGACTCCAGATTACCCGTGAAAATTTTCGAAATACTGGGATAAGCTTGCAGGGATAAGCAGCTCTGCTCTGGTTTGATACGCGACTCCCAATGCCTATTCCACGGTGCTTTATACCGATTCAATAATTTATCCTTCTTTGATGGACGAGTGGTGTACGGAGACTTATGCGGGCTCAGTGTAAAAAGAACGAAATGACGAGAACGTCCACAGATTACTTACTGACGGCCGCCACCAGTGGGCCCAGCCCTGTCCCGATGAGCACGGCGCCGCTAAAGAGAGCCATTGGCGTATTGCGTTCCTCCTTGTCGTACATGTCAGCGATGACGCCGCCCACCACTGCAACGGTTGGGTCAGCAATACTCTTGCTGAGACGTCTAGACCAACGCTTCGGGATACAGGATCATGTTTCTGGAGCCAAACGTCCATGAACAGGGACGTAGCCCGAGACATGCTATGAGGGCAGGCAGTAGCACTAGATGTTACGTACTGGTACTGAAAACGCTGCCTCCAACGCCCTTGATGAAGCGGGCGATCAGCATGCCGGGAAGGTTGGTGACCACACCGCACACGGCTTGAAAGACGGTAAAAACCACGCCGGCCACGGCGAAAATGGGATAGCGTCCGTTGATCTCGGAGAAGGGTGCGAGAACCATCGGGGCCAGCGCAAAGCCCATGCAGAAGGTGGTGACTCCGGCCAGGGCGCCTTCGCGCGTGGTGCCCAGCTCGGCGGCTATCAGGTCCGCAGGCTGCGAGTAGGCGCCCGCCGTGTAGGCTGTGCAGCAGGTCGCCATGCAGGATATGAAGACCATGACGTTTTTCCTCGCCTTGGGCCAGGTCAGCGGGTCGGTGTACCGGGACAGGTCCGGACATGGCGGCAGCCTTTCCTCGTGCGGCGACGAATCGACCGTCGTGTTCGGGAGTGGGATGGGGATGGGGATCGGGAGCGGAGTGTCAAAAGTCAGATAGAGGTAGGACATGGGAGTGCAGGCGTCTAGCGGTGCGTCCATTGCCATGTCTTGGACGGTGCCGTTGCGGACTTCAGGAGAGGCCGATGTAGGTCCTGCCGGAGCACATTGTGGTGTCTGCGCAGACTCGCCACCGGACGTTGGCCGGCTCGCTCCATGAACGCTTCCCCTCTTCCTTTTGTTCAGACTTGAGGGCCTGCTTTCGATATATATCGGCCTGGTCCCTGAATCGTGAGGCGGCACTGCGCCAGTTCGACATGGCCGTGATCTATGCATCGAGATACGATCAGATGAGGCGGAACACGATGAGATCAGATCAGATCCCGTCTCATGGTATCACCCTAGTGAAAACCGAGCGAGCAGGACAGTCAGAGCAAGAGACAGGCCAGGGAATGAGTTGCTTCCATGGAGGGGAAAACGACGGGTACTAGGTAGGTAGCCAGTCAGCCCGTTACGATATTTGCCGGTCTTGTCAATCTCACGATATCCGCCCGGAAATGCGGACGCGGTTAACAAAGGCCGGGCACCCCTTTGGTTCTATACACATACACTCGGGCATAGGGTTAGGAGTGTCTTTCCAGTTGTCGGTCATCACACATCATGTGAGTCACGAGGCTATCCAACCAAGTCATGGTGATTCGAAATGGGAACGGACAAGTCAAGAGAACATTGAAAGCTTCCGGCGGCGAGTGTGATATTCCCGACTATATCCGTTCAATCCATGTATCCAGTCATATTGCCGGAACGATACCCGCCCAGACTCATGAGAGTGATGCCCATGGCGTCGATTCACAATGACTCAGGCACTCAGGAGGAGTCAGAGTGCAGACGACCATATTGCTGTTGCTGAGCTAGACCAGCGGTGCCGTGGCCAGCTGCCATAACCCATCGCTTGATGCAGGTGTTGATTGCAGGTGTTGATTGCAGGTCGGGAGTCGTTCGGTTGACTGCTCAAGGTATTGAGGCAGAGACAAATGCGGTGCTACTGTATGAACTCCAGATGTCCCTTTTTACGCGCCGTTCTGGTCCACACCTGTTGCGAAACCAAGTTACTATTGATGTTCTTGATGAGTCGGCCGAGTCTGCGTGTTTTATATTAATGTTGCGCATGCGCGTAATGCGATGCTCCGTACCTACCTACGTAATGAGGGCTGAGAAGTTACCTTAGAACTCGGAGTCTGCCCAGCTGAGAACCTACAATGCGCGACAGTGTGTGAATATCAAAGCCTACAGTGCCTGGTGTGGATACATGCAGCCTGAGCCCTCGTTGACACATTGGATGGCGCGCCTTGTCCAATGTACGGCTTCACACTGTGCTCTCGTGGCGGCTGCCCCTCCGCCCCTCCAACAAATGACGATTCTTCGACATGGGGCAGAAATTCCCAAAGTCCATACAACAACATCCGCCCAGGTCATCTCGTCGCAATCGCAATACCTAGGAATTCACCGTCAAGTTCTGCAGTCATCCGCCAAGATGGAGGAGATCATGAAAATGTCCGCGCCGGTTCCCAACAACTTTGACGCCGAGAACGCGGACAACCTCGAAGATGTAACCAACCGAGCCCCGTCTACTGTGCGCCTGGCTACTGGCTGACCGCCCTCCACCAGATCGAGAAGCAGTTCGCCGTCAAAGGTGCGCATGAGTCGAACACTACCAGCCTCGATGTTGACGTGTTGACATGATCACATAGCCGTCCAGCACCTGGAGACCTACTGGGCCATTCTTCAAAAGGTCAAAGGCTCGCTGTTGCGCCTGACGCGCATGGACAACGACATCTACGAGCACCTCAAGACCGAATTCCCCGACTTCGACCCCGCCGCCACTATCAACGAGAACGAGATGAAGAGCAAGGCCGGTAAGGACCGGTGGCGCAAGTTCATGATGGCCTACGAGAAGAAGGTCGACGACTACAATTACGGCACCATGCTGCGGACGAGTCCCAAGGCCGAATACGAACAAGACACCACCATCTTTGGTATTACAACTTAATGAATATCATCTGCACTCGCTGACCCGTATTAGTACCCAGGATGCAATTCTACGCCGTCGAGATCGCGAGGAATCGCGCCGGACTGAACGACTGGATCTACGAAAAGGCACAGGCAGGGAAGAAGGCGTCCAGCACATGATGGGGGCGAACGGCACACTGCTAGATACCGTATCGACGAACCGATGACAGACGAGCTTTGGGGGTAACACGTCAACGCGCGCGCCTTTTGGGGTGACGGGAGCGAATGGGTAGGGGAGGATGGAGAAGGGAGGAGGGAGGCCGACTTATCTCCCTTCTCCACGAGGTAGCTGTGAAATGACGTTGCGACACCGTAGCCAACTTGCCCTCGACATCGAAACAGCTGGTGACGGCACTCGTTCAACCAAGTCTCGAAGCTTCTGGATCTACGCCTCAGACCTGATACCTCGGAGTCTATTCGCATGGCCGATGGGGCCAAAGTGGTAGCTGTAGTCGAGGTCAGTGTGAAGATCTAGGGGCCCATCTGCGCTTCTCATCGTTCCCATCTGCTCTTCTCCTTGTTCTCTGCACGTCTAATAAATTCCACGTGCACTGGCGCCCCGTCTTGTCGCTTGAAAGCGGCCAAAGGGAAGACAAAGGTCCTTTGCCGGAAACCCGACGACGCATTCGCCCCCGAGACGCTGTCTGTGTCCCGCAATTTGAATTTCGTATGGGCACAAATTTTTGAGTCTTGTCGGCGGACGACGGTATGTGTAATGATAAATGCTCATGACTTGACTCTAGAGTGCTGCGGAAGACCAAAACCAGCAAGCAATTGAAGTAGACACCTACGGCAGGTAAACAGACAGCACAAACACTACTGATCAAAACACCAAATACAGGTAACCTCCTGCAACCCGCCAGAAGTCATGTCGTGATGGGCATACTTCTCAACAACACGCAAACGCACCTCGAGTCCATGACACGGCGTCAATCCCGTCGCCGTCATGCCTCGTCCGGACCCAAAACCTGACGAGTCCAAAGATACCAATGTGTCTCACTCGGCGCCATCGCGCGCCCAGCAGCAGAAGCAGAAGCAGAAGCAGAAGCAGAAGCAGAAGCAGAAGCAGAAGCAGAAGCAGCAGCAGCAGCAGCAACAGGACCAACAGCAGCGACCTTCTTCCCGACACCTGTTTACATTCACCACCTGGCGCCATTCCGGCCTCTTGGTAGCTGGCCTGATCGCGGCCTTGTTCGTCGGCGCCCTGAAGACATCATTGGCCGTTCTCCTGGGCAAGATATTTGCTGTCATTGCGGCCTTTGGATCAGGGCAGGTGACAGGCCAGGATACACTCTCCCAGGTGTCGTCATGGTGCGTACTGCTAGTGGTTGTCGGCGGTGCAGGGTGGCTCGTCAACTTTGCCTTTATGTTCTCGTGGGTTGCCTTTAGCGAGCTGCAGGCTCGAACCATCCGCGGTCGCATGTTTCGTGGCTTGTTGAGGAAAGAGATGGAGTGGTTTGATGGCCAGCAAGACGGCGTTGCCAGTTTATTGGTGCGGGTGCAGACGTACGATCATCCCCAGAGTCTCATATCCCTCCCTGATCTTCAGCGGCTGACGTACCGGCGCAATAGGCAGACCAGAGAGTTGCAGATAGCCTCTTCGATGGCCCTAGGCTCACTCGCGGCGAATGTCGCCACCTCGATCGCAAATCTTATCGTCGCCTTCTACACATCCTGGAAGCTGACCCTCATGCTTCTCGCAACCATTCCCGTGTCCGTCTTCATCCTGAGCCTCCTAAGCCGCCCGCTCAAGCCAGCAATCCAGGCCCAGAAGCAACTACTCGCGGAAGCCTCAAAGTACGCCATATCGGCCATCTCTGCCATTGACCTTGTCAAGGTCTTTAACGGGGTCGATCACGAGACATGGCAGTACTTCGGCGCCGTCCGACGGGCCACGCAGAAGTATATCATCCAGGCCAGAGCTAGCGCCTACCAGTTTGGCTACGTCAAATTCTGGATGGAGAGCATGTTCGTCGTCGGCTTCTACTTTGGAGTCGTGCTCGTCAGTCAGGGCATGAGCCCCGGCAACGTCATGACCACGTTCTACGCAGCCCTGACGGCACTTCAGGCAATCGAGTCTTTCGTACCCATGTATATGATCCTGGCAAAGGGTATGTCTGCTGGGCTGGCGCTTGACCAGATCGCGAACGATGTCGAGGGCGGGCGCAAGGTACATCGCATGATGGGGGGCTACACCTCGGACGCGTGCACAGGTAACGTTGAAATCCGGAACGTGAGTGACCCCGTGGCATCGTATATGACTACAGCAGCCATGGCAGTGTCGACTAACAGCCGCCTAGGTTAGCTTCGCTTACCCGTCGAACACTTCCAATATTGTCCTGAAGGACTCGTCGTTCGTCTTCCGACCTAGCGAACTGTGCTTCATCGTCGGAAGGAGTGGCTCTGGGAAGAGCACACTGGGAAACCTACTGTTGAAGTTCTACGAGCCCCTCGGCGGCGAAATCCTCATCGACGGCCATGCGCTCCGGACTTTAGATGTCGACTGGCTGCGGACGAACGTCACCCTGATTCAGCAGACGAGTGTGCTCTTCAACGACAGCTTCTTCATGAATGTTGCCTTTGGCCACAGAAAGCCAACGCGGGTGTCCAAGGAAGAAGTCAAGGCTGCGTGTGAAACGGCACTGCTCCAGTCGACCATGTCCAGCCTTCCCAATGGGCTCGACACACATGTTGGCAATGGCGGACACAACCTCAGTGGAGGTCAGAAGCAACGGCTGGCCATCGCCAGAGCCAGGCTACGAGATCCTCCCGTACTCATTCTCGATGAAGTCACCAGTGGACTCGACCCCGTCAGCCGAAGTCTCGTCATGGAAGCCATCAGGAAATGGCGTCGCGGCAAGACCACCATCATCATCACCCACGAGGTTGCGCAGATCAAGGATCAAGATTTCGTGTACGTCATGGACGACGGTGCCATTGTGCAAGAAGGTTTCGGTCGAGATCTGCAGCAGCAATCAGATGGGCTGTTTGCGCAGCTCGTCGAGTCTTCTACAACGCAGCCGGTTATGGTTGACGATGCTGAAGACCAAGCCCAGCCTCGATCGAGGAGTACTGCCACAACCAACTTTTCTCGACCTCTCAGTGATGCTTCACAAAACGTACCCCGGCTATCAGGCTACATGTGGCCTGAGAAAGCTGGGGGAGACGATGAATCCCTGCCTCGTGCGACCAACAGAGCTACGAGAACCACTATGGGAATGGGATTCTCGCAGCAGTGGACCGGGAACGGACGTGCTCAGAGACAGACACAGGCGGGCGAGCCGAAGGCAGGAAATGGCCTGTCACGTATGATGCAGGCGATCAGCAGGCGGTTCTCCACGGCCCGAGTGGCCCCGCATTACCGGCTGCCATCTCTCGAGATTCCGGATGGTCGGGCCCCTCACGAGGCGACACATAGGCAAGGGAGTTTCGTGAGGCTCCAGGAGCTAGGTGATACGGTGCGGAACAACCGTCGCGGCTCTTTGTCTGGCGAGCGCAGACACGTGCGTGCAACTAGTAGTGCAATGGCTGGCCCCTTTTCCAAGGTCGAAGACACTCAGGGCCGTGACGCACAACCACAAAAGAAATCGGAACTATCTCTGTGGTCAATCTACAAGACCGTCTGGCCGTGCCTCGGATTCAAGGAGAGGGTCTTTATCGTCATCGGACTCGTCATGTCCATAGCTGTGGCCGGCTCTGTCCCAGCCTTCTCCATCGTATTTGCGAACCTACTCGCCGCTCTCTACAAGACTGAAGACCGGTTGGCGGCGGGCCAGAAATGGGCCTTGATCCTGTTGGCCATCGCCGTCTCTGGGGCCATCGCGACCTTCCTGAGTCATTACCTCTTGGAGTGGGCAGGGCAGGCCTGGGTCAACGAGCTGCGCATGCAAGCCTTCAACCGGATCCTGCGCCAGCCAAAGCCCTGGTTCGACAAGCCCAAGCACTCGTCCAGCCGTATCAACGAATGCCTGGACCGCAACGCAGAGGAGATGAGGAACCTCGTCGGTCGGTTTGCGCCGCTGCTTCTCGTTGTCGTCTTTATGATTCTCAGCTCTGTCGTCTGGGCGTTGGTCATCTCCTGGAAGCTCACCCTCGTGAGCCTCGGGAGCGGGCCCTTCCTCATCGCGGCGACCAAGGGATACTCTGTCGTGTCGCACAGGTGGGAATTGCGATGCAACAAGGCTGCCGATGCGACCAGCGCCATCGTCCACGAAACATTCACCAACATTCGCGTCGTGCGTGCTCTCACACTCGAGAGATTCTTCACCAAGAAGCACGCCGCGTCGGCGCAGAACACGTTCAAGCTCGGCGTGAGGAAGGCCTCCTACACCGCCGCCCTCTATGCGTGCTGGCAGTCCATGTTTTCGTTCATGATGGCTCTCATCTTCTGGTATGCGACCGTCCTCCTCGCTATCAACAAGGAGATCACCGTCCAGGCCATTCTGCAGGTGGTCAATCTGCTCGTCCTGGGCCTCACCACCGCTTCGAACGTCCTGAACTCGGTGCCTGGCATAGCTGCGGCCCAGGCAACGGCGGCCCAGCTCTTGTACTACGCCAACCTGCCCACGCACGCGTCGCACGAGATCAAAGGCAGGAAGATGCTCATGAACCCGTTCCCGATCCGCATGAATCAGCTCTCATTCACCTACCCTTCCGAGCAGAACCATCCCGTGCTGCGCAATCTCACACTGCAGTTTGAAGCAGGCACATCGACCGCAGTAGTCGGACCTTCGGGCTGTGGCAAGAGCACAATCGCCTCTGTCATTCTTGGTCTGCACATGCCTGATCCTGCTAGCCAGCAGCCAACGGGTTGGGATGGAACTGCGGGTGAAGCAACGGGCGAGTCGTTGACATTTGGAACAGTTCCCGTTCAGGAGATCGACATGGCGAGCCTGCGACGCCACATCGGCTACGTCCCACAGGCACCCTTTCTCTTTCCCGCCTCGATCGCAGAAAACATCGCCTATGGGCTGCCCGAGGACTCGCCTCTTCGCAGTTCAGGGAATCTCGAGCTGGCGGCTCGGGAGGCAGGCATCCACGATTTTATCTATAGCCTGGCTGATGGCTATGATACCGTGGTTGGCGACGGGGGGCAGACACTCAGCGGTGGCCAAGCCCAAAGAGTCTGCATTGCCCGGGCGTTGGCGCGGCGCCCAGAGATCCTCGTGCTGGATGAACCCACAAGCGCGCTGGATGCCGAGAGCGCGGAGGGTGTTAGGCGCACCATCCAAGCTCTGATGGACGCCGCCAGGGGAAGCGTCGCTCGCCTCGGGGGCAGTTTTGGTATTGCCGACGTGCACAGTCGAACGCGACAGCAGCTCTGTGTCATCATGGTCACTCACAGCCAGGAGATGATGCGCATGGCCGACCGAATCCTTGTCGTAGACCATGGCAATGTCGTGGAGACGGGGGTCTATGACGAGCTCTACGAGAGAAAGGGCAAGTTTGCAGAGCTCGTCAGCGGCGGTATATGGATGGGCAATAATGACATGAATAGCCATACGGCACGGCAAATGGCCAAGGGGAATACGGAGGAGACTGGTGGCGGGGTGGATCGCGGTGAGAGAAGCAGTCATCGAGACCCGACAGATCTGCCCCTGAGAACACCGAGCGTGCTGGACGGACAAGAGTTTCCGGTGAGGGCCAGGTGGGTTGGCGCTCGGGATATAGATTGGAGCCCCGGCTCTGGACCGGCTTCGGGTATCCTGAGTCCGCTGGCGAGTCCGTTTAGCCGGCCGTCTCGAAGGAGGGAACGGAGGGCAGACGAGGGTGCGTGATGTATACCTATGGGGGTTGTGCGAGTGGTCTGTTAGGTGGCCTTGCTAGTCGTACATGGTTCTCTCTAAGCAGGAGTGTACATATATACATTACATGCATATGACCGAGATCTCTGTGGCCTTACTCCCTGCGTGAATGTACTGACTGTATAGCCGTCCACGTCTGCCAATACCAATACGATGCATTGTGCGTGGGTAGCTGGGTTTCGCAATGCGGCCACTACATATACGCTTGCACAGGATCTGGCTAATAATGAATTGGACTCCTCTGGCGTGCACTCATAAGCTGTATTTCGTATGGTTGATAGTGCTTTGTTCATGTGACTTCCCATGATCTGACTATGTGACAGTGGAATAAGCACCCTAGAATAAGCATTCATACAACAAGAAGCCATCCTCGATGCTTATTCCAGGCCGTTTATCCCATGCACCATTCAGGGCTGGTCTTGCTGCTCTACAAACAGCTCATGCGGATCAAGCCTACAGTGGACGCAAAATTGGCGACACGCAGGTCGGTGATGGTCTCCTTGGGGGAAAATACTTGTCCTTTATACCAAGCAACTTATCATCAACCGTACAGTTAACAAGCCCACCGTAGCCAGCGGCTAAAACGACCAGCAGAAGCAAGGTCATCTACACTGCGGTCTTGTCATAAATTTATAATGCAGGTGTTCGGGGCCTGCGAGTATCTGCACCGAAATGTGGACAGCAGGTCCAAGAGAACGGTAAATACTACAGCTCACTCGCCTTGACAGCATCGATGTCCAATATTGGCAACTAGAAGGTGTCGCCATGTATTGGCCATGGCAGTCCGATGTAACCTACCATGTCGGCTATTTGCCCTCACTGTGGATTCAGTCCTGTGGGATTGAGTATACCCTTGTTGTGCTAAGCTTCTAGGTATTGGCTTGGCTGGCGAGGTTGCCATGTGGTGAGCCGGCTAATACAGTACTCAGGGATCGGCATTTTGCCGCGCGAGACATGTCGAGTTCGATATGAGGAGGTTAATTCAACGTCAACACAAGCCTCCACAACTTGCGTCGTGGTAGGCCGTTCCTGGTAAGACCTCTCTTCCCCGCGTGCAATGTTGCCGAATCCTATGGGGTCGCATATCCATAGTGCCAGGGTGATCTCGGCCTGAGGTTACCGGTAACACATGCCACGCGCCCAAGACCTCGACACGCCATTAGTCACGACACGAAAAAGAAGCCACCCGAGTGGTCTACTGCCCTGGCTGGAGAGGGGGTCGCATCTTCATGTGTCGTTCTCGGAGCTGGGCCGGAGCTCAACTTGGCCCCTCCAGTGCGCCTACGTGACATCTACCCGGGTGGTCGAGGCTTGGTAGTCAGTCCCCCGCACGATGATATCAACCGGACTATACTCACTGGCGACTGGGCTAATATTGTCATTCTCTCGTGGCAACAGGCATACATATATCAGCCCTGGGACTACCTCGAGGCTGCCGCCTTGGTCACCAAAGTGCAACTCCCCAGGAAATATCCCCTGCCACCATAGATGACAAGACTTGCGTTCAAGATGGTGCGTGGTCTGACTACCGCCCTCCTGATGGGCTCCTCGGCCCTGGCCCTGCCCTTCGTCGACATCCACGAGCGCCAGAATACCACCGACTGCGCCGTACAGGACACCTACCCTGCCGTCGACTACGCCCAGCTCCCGGATCCCTTTACCTTCTCCGACGGGACCAAGGTCGCCACCAAGGCTGACTGGGCCTGTCGCCAGGCCGAGATCAGCAAGCTGCTGCAGCAGTACGAGCTGGGCGACTACCCACCCCCCCCCCGACAAGGTCGAGGCTTCGCTCTCGGGAAGCACCATGTCCGTCAAGGTCACCGTCGGGTCCAAATCCGTCACCATTAACACCGCGATCAAGAAGCCCAGTACTAGCCCTGGGCCAGCCATTATCACCATCGGGGGTTCCTCCCTGCCCGTTCCGGCCACCGTCGGCACTGTCGCGTTCGGGAACGACGCCTTTGCCGCACAGGCGTCGGGCAGCTCGCGCGGCCAGGGCGATTTCTACACTCTCTTCGGTAACACGCACTCGGCCGGTGCCCTGACCGCATGGGCCTGGGGTGTCGACCGTGTCGTCGACGGTCTCGTGCAGCTGGGTGCCGCAACGACAGGTATCGACCCCGAGCGCCTCGGGACCACAGGCTGCTCGCGAAACGGGAAGGGGGCGTTAATCGCCGGTGCCCTCGTCGACCGCATCGCCCTCACCCTACCGCAGGAGTCTGGTTCCGGTGGCGCCGCCTGCTGGCGTATCTCGGACGCACAGCACGATGCCGGCGCCAACATCCAGACCGCCGGCGAGATCGTCGGGGAGAACGTGTGGTTCAGCACGAACCTCGACGCCTACGCCACCAAGACCACGACCATGCCCGAGGACCACCACATGCTGGCGGCTCTGACCGCGCCCCGCGGGCTGTTCGTCATCGAGAACGACATTGACTGGCTCGGCCCCGTCAGCACGACCGGCTGTATGAAGGCCGGTCGTCTTATCTACCAGGGCGCCGGCGTTCCCACCAACATGGGCTTCTCACTCGTCGGAGGCCACGGCCATTGCCAGTTCCCCTCAGCACAACAGACCGATCTCACGACCTACATCAACTATTTCCTTCTCGACGGAGCCACACCTCCCGGAGTTGTCGAGGTGTCCAGCGCCGACGTGGACATGGCGGATTGGGCGCCATGGATGGTCCCAACCCTCATCTAAGAGGTCCATCAAAACAGTATTACGTGACGGACGCTGAAGGAGAATCGTCTGTAATAGTCCGATGCTGCTGTTGGGGATTCAAGTTGACTGCATGTACACTGGCAGAGAACAGTCGTGTCATTCCCCTTTCATCTTCGTATGTAGCTACATATAAGAGATGTTAACTAAAACCGCTCACAACCCTGCTTGCCGGCTGCCAGCAAAACTCCGTCAATGATCATCACCCTGTGCTTAGTCCATCATCGAGACCACACTACCTAGTGAACTACCCGCCGAGCCACGCCTTCACAGCAGCTTCCAGGTCCTCTTCATCTTCGAGGCCCAGCAGAGAATTCGCACTATCTGCCCCTTTCACGGCCAACCCAGCACCGTCCTCGTAAATACGCTTTCGCAGCAGGTTCGAGAATGCACTGTAATCCCCCCTGCCCAGCTTCTCAAGCCCGAACTTCTCCTGTTCCGCCGTGGTGACGTGGTTGACATTCCATTTCTCGCCCGTCTCTCTCTCCACAATCTCCAGGAGCTCGGCCTGGGATGGGTTGAAGGAGGCAATTGTGATGTATCTGTTGACGGTCTTGCTCGGGTCGGACAGGATGGCCGCGATAGCTCTGCCAATGAAGCCGAGGTTGGAAGTCTGAACAGCCTCGCTTCCGGAGTCGTAGATGGTCGCTGTCTTTGTGCTCTTGTCGAGACCGAGAGACCCATGCTCGAGCCCTTAATGACGGGCACCTAGTCAGCACGCGCAAAGTTGGACTGTTGCCTCTGGTAGTGTACCATGGATGCTTACCCAGTCGAAGAAGAGCCCAGTTGAGATGCCTGTCCATGTGAACGATGGGTTCTCCTTGGATTTTTGGTTGATATAGTCCAGCGTCTGTACCTTGCCCTGTAGGATCTTCCCAATTGCCGAAGTGCCCAAGATCCTCGAGTTGATACCGAACTCGGAGGGAATGAACCGGGACACCTTTCCAGCCACGGCAGCATCTACCAGTGGGTGCTGTCCTCTGACTGCAGCGGTGGCGATGGTCGACACGACTGCGTGCTGACCTTGGAGAGCTGGTGTCAAGGAATCGACCGACTCGTAGTCTACCTCTCTAGAGGCCACGCCCGGCGGCAGAGTGGATGGAGAGCCCTTGCGCGTCAAGACCGTCACGTTGAAGCCCGCTTTGGTCAGTTCCTGGACGACCGCTGTTCCTAGGTTTCCTGATCCCTTTGATGAGAGCACCTGTCAGCGCGCTGACGAGCACCTGAAGCCACAAAGAGGCCTCCGAGACCATCAACTCACCCCGACGACGGCGACGTTCTTGATAGTGTCGGACATGCTGGATATAGTACGCTCTATAATGCGAGGCTTCAAAGTTCAGTCGTCTGCGGTGGTGTTGGCCTTCGGGGGCTTGTGGGGGATATGTGTAGAGCAGTGAGGGTGATGATAAATGTAGCATTGAACCGCCGTCAACTGGTCCTGGTGGTCGCCGAGCGTTGTGGTGGTGCGGGTGGCCGGTCTTTATGTTACGTCTACGTCATTTCGATTGTGCCATCAACACGGCATATTTGCAATCTCGACGTCTTCTTGTCGACGGTGGGAACCTGAGCTGCAGAGATCTCCAAATCTCCACATGGCACCTCACCCAGGTGGAGGACTTGGGCGTCGCCACGACTTTACACACACTATGGATCAACATAGGAGTTGGATGTGTGAAAGGAAGGGGAAGAAGTCGACACTGGTCAGACTCGATCGGGGCTGGGTAGTCCGGGAAACCAAGTGGCGCAGGCAACCAGGCGACCAGAATTGACCTGAGACCAAATACACTCAGCCCCCATAAGTCTCGAAATACTGGAATAAGCATACAGGAATAAGCAGTTCCATCTAACAAGTCACATTTGATGCGTGCTTATCCCATTTATACTAAACGCACCTGACCACGAATCACAGCTGTCCAGAGGTCAGACGCCCGCAATGGAACGGTTCTACCATGAGAATGCTGCTCTGTACCAGACCATGGTCGCTAGACTGAAGCCTCCGCCTCCATCTCGGGCGGTCAAGGTAGCAACAGAGACGCCCAGTCCAGATATCATTGTCAGCGCGAGGATTCGGCCTCTCCTGAATGAGGACGTCGACGCCGGTTTCCCCTGTGCCGTCTTCCCGCGCGCGGCCGAGACCGGTCGGGTAGATGTCCACGATCTCTACAACCACCCAAAGGGGCGGCCTATACTCAAGGTAGGCCCCATTCTGTCCCACTGCTGGCTGCTGCCTAATCGCGGCCTCTGTCAGTCGGTCGCCTACCAGGTAGACAGACTCTTCAACGCCGAGGCAACTACCGAAGAGGTTTACGAGGGCCTCGTCGAGGACCTGCTTCCCACCGCGTGGCATGGCGGCTTCGGAACGCTGTTCGCCTACGGCCAGACCGGCTCCGGCAAGACGACTACTGTCAGCGGGCTTGAGCAGCTCATAGCTGAGAAGCTGATGGACCAGAGTTCCGACGGTCAGAGGCAGCTCTACATGACCATCATCGACCTTGCCGGGAACTCGGCCTACGACCTGCTCAACTCGCGCGAGCCCATTTCAATCCTGCAGGATTCATTCGGGGACACCCAACTCGCCGGGGTGACCGAACACCCGGTGCAGGACAGAGACGAGGTCACGGGCCTGATTGAGCGTGCAGCGTCCTTTAGACGTACAGCACCCACCTTCAAGAACGACGCCTCGTCGCGGTCGCATGGCATATGTCGCATCCGCATGAAGAACCCTACCACCGACACAGACGGGCTTCTGTACCTGGTTGACCTGGCGGGTTCCGAAGCTGCTCGCGATGTCGCCGTGCACGGAGCCGACCGCATGCGCGAGACGCGCGAGATCAATATGAGCCTGTCGGTGCTGAAGGACTGCATCCGCGGCAAGGCTAAGTCGGCCGCCCTCGCACTCTCGGACGGCTCAAAATCGAAGCAGAGGAAACCACACATACCCTTCCGCCAGAGCGCATTGACGCGGGTCTTGAAACACGTCTTTGACACTGCTGGTGGCCGAGCCTGCAAGACGGTCGTTGTGGCCTGCATTAATCCCAGCCTTGCTGATGTAGGACCGAGCAAGAACACGCTGCGATACGCCGAGATGCTGCGTGTTCTGGTGCCCATGCCGAAGAACAAGGACACAAAGGCCGTCAGTATCCCTGAAACACTTTCGTCGTCTGCTGGTGACTCGGTGGACACTGACACCGTTCCGCGCCGCTTGGGACTCCCTGGCAACCCGTCCAGCCGGGACTTGGATCCTACGAGGACCTCGGTGTCATTCAAAGAGCGCATCCGGCCGGGTATGGTGGTCAGCTGGAAGCAATCCACCGGTCGTGACTTGGCTCTCGACACCCCGGACGAACCCAACTTGGCAGCGGTACTCTGCCCTGCCGAGATGGCGCGAGATACTACCCTAGGCGTCATTCCCAAATCAACTCTAGTAGAGTTGATTTGCGCACGGACCCGCACGTGGCGGGAGCTGGCGCGTGCACGGTGACAAGGGGGGTAGAGTTGATTTGAAGATGAGGAGGGTAGAGTTGATTTGGTTTCCGGGCGAAAATCCGGTCGGCGTCGACGGGTATATAGAGAAGACGAGACGGCGAATCCGGCCGTGCTGTCTGCATATCGCCGCGACCGTTGGAAGGGGACCTTTTTTGTCAGTCAGGGTTAGGAGGAAGTCTGGCTGGGGGGTGGGAAGCGGGCGGGATACCGGGCTAGCGGGGGCTCGACAAGGGGTCGGACGGCAGGTTAGGGTTAGACACGACTCGTTATCCGTCTTCTCTCTCCTTATCTCTTCTTCTCCCACGTATACGACGACTTTACTATGACTCTGTTTATCTATATCTCACAAACAGCGAGACGTGGCAGCTCATGCTAGCGGCATACGACGCCAAACTGGCAGCAGAAGATGAGGAGCGGCGACGGAAGGCGGACGGGCCCGGCGGAATCGACGCGGACTCGACGTGGGTTCGGGAGATGGGCTGGGCCAGGCATCTCGAAGGCAAGGATCTGGTGGTATTGCACGACGCCAGCTTGGGCCCGCTGTCGAGGGCCGTGCTGGAGAGGCTGCGTGACGCGGCATCAAAGGACGAGCAGCAGCAGCTGACACGGCTCGCCGAGAGCTTCGACAAAATAAGGCATAAAATAAAGTACACATAATAAAAATCAATAGCAGTAAGTATAGATTAGTATAAAAATGTTGATATAATAATTTAAAAAACAAAAGATAAATAATAATACTCATAGTTTTAAAATATGAAATTATAAAACAGGTACTAGAATAAGATAATATATATCAATATAGGAATAAAGGAAGTTAACGGTCAAATAAATAAAGGCTTATATAAAATACTTCATTTGTTATATAAATACTATTATATTATTTAAAACTTTATATAAAGTATAGGACAAGTAAGTTAATAAAGATTATTACACGGTTATCAGGATGAGTTCCTAGTGTTAATAAAATGAAATGCTTTTTAACATATAATATTTTCTTGAATTGGTTTAGATTTAAAATAAATAATTACAAGTATAGGATTATAAAGAAAAGAAGAAGAAAAACTTGATTATAATTGTGTGTATTAAAACAGTGAGCATATATTTAAATTCATTTTCGTTTACTTTTTATAAGGGGTTAAAGCCGCAAGTAGAAGCGCGTGCAAATAGTTATATTTATATATATTGTTGGATCTATGTGATTCCACAGTCAAACCATCTATACAGAACCCATATGTATGATTAGATAAGAGATTAGATACCGGATTGTGAGGTCACTTAGCCAGACCTGCAGGTCCAGCTAGACTTCCCAATCCAACCATCAGTAATATCATGACCTTGATCCCATACTCGAGTATTATGATTGTGTTGGATCCATGCGATTCCAGACTGCAAACCATCTATACCAGGACCCACATGTATGATTAGATAAGATAAGATAGTGGATTGAGAGGGCACTTGGCCAGACCTTCAAGTCCAGCTAGATTCCTCTCAATCCAACCATCAGCAACATCATGACCTTGACCCTATACTCGAGTATTATGATTGATCGTTCAAGCCTGTTCCAACAGATTGATTGTTCAAGCCTGTTCCAATATATGTTGTATTAGTTTCAGTTTTAAGGTATATTTTAAACGTATAATGTATATTGAGGTATTTTATACGAGAAGTTATAATAAATAAATAAATGCTGATATAAGCTCAATAATAGTAACAATAGAAGGATCAAAAATAAAAAATAAAAAAGCCGGGACTTAAAGTATGAAAAAAAAATAGGCAACATGTTATTTTTTATTTAAAACACAGCGCTACTACAAAAAAAAAGAAAAGTAAAAAAAAGAAATAATTATATTACAAAGAACAATAATGAAAAGGAAAAAAAAATACAATAAAACGTAATTATGGAAAAGATCGGTTCAGTGGTTCAGGTCATCATGTTGCTTACATTCTGGGTGCAGATCTACCCTTGGGTTTTGGGACCTGTTCAGGTACTAAATACACATACCAACTTCAAAGCAATGCCCAGCCTTTGATCCGGAGGGTAAAGATCCCTTGTCCCAGATACACTAAAGCTCAAAGCCCGCTTCTAGGCTGTTCCTTCCTTTCAGTGCTGCTGTCAGCCTTGTGAGCCTTGTCACCCCTAGAAGCGTGCTACAGCACACCTGTGAACCACCCGACTGCTTACAGTAATAAGTAAAATAGGAAGTAAGTACTAAAGGTTTAAATGTTATGATTAGAAGTAAAACAGAAATGGAAGATTAAAAGCGATACAGTGTATCAACAAAGTCCAAACGAAAAGGTTCAATACAATAAAGTATATAAGAATATTATAAAAGAAGTGATTATTACTTTTAAAAATAAGAAAAAAGTAAGATATATATAGGATAATATACATACTTGTTACACTCCCCGACCAGAAGTCTCTGAGCCCACTTTTTGAGCAGCCCTACACGCCTATACCCTCCAACTTTCAGCATTCACCACGCACCTATCTCTCACTGTAATAATATGAAAAAAACTGTATTGTATAGCGTAGCTGACAAGCGAGTTGACATTACAAGCGAGTTGGCACTCGTCATGAACTTTCCAACCAATACGATTCAAACCATTATATCTCCACCAACAACAATGGCACCGCGTTATAACGAATCAGACTTGCAGCTAGCTGTTCAAGCTAAACGACGTGACCCTCATATTCCTATATTTCAGCTTGCGAAACTCTTCAACGTCCCTCGTTCCACTTTGAGCAATAGAGTCAAAGGAATGCCATCACAACGCGACAGCATGCCCAATACTTTGAAACTTATGGTTTCCGAAGAGAATGCCATTTGTTCCTTCATTCTCGACCTGGATGCGCGAACATTTCCGCCCCGGTACAGTTATGTTGAAGATATGGCGAATCAATTGTTGGCGGCGCGTGGGCTAGACGCGTTGTGGAAAGAACTGGACGCGGAACTTCATCAAACGTACATCAGGCCTCCGGACGCGTTTTCATCGGAAGATAGACTACCAGAGGGTCTTGAACGAGGATCCAGACGCGTATTGCGCGTGGTTTTGCCAAGTTGCAACGGCAGTCGCGAAACATGGTATCCAAGACGCGGATATTTACAACTTCGACGAGACTGGGTTTATGATGGGCATTATTGGGTCCGGCATGGTTGTTACAAGCGCCGAAAGACGTGGCAGGCCTAGACAAGCTCAGCAAGGCAACAGGGAATGGTCTACAGCAATCTCTGCTGTTAATGCTGATGGTTGGGTGGTCCCGCCGTTCATCATTCTACAGGGCAAAACCCACCTCGCGTCATGGTATCGCGACACAATATTACCACGCGATTAGAAAGTGGCCGTGTCCAACAACGGGTGGACCACGAATGAGATTGGTTTGGAATGGATTCAGCATTTCGACAAGTATACCAGACCGCGTATGACTGCCGGTAAACGCCTCCTCATCCTAGATGGTCACGAAAGCCACCATTCCCAGGTCTTTGAGGATTATTGTCAGAACAATGGCATTATCACCCTTTGTATGCCTGCCCACTCGTCACACAGGCTCCAGCCTCTAGATGTTGGCTGTTTTAGCCCGCTCAAACGAGCTTACGGTCGCATGATTGAGGATCTCATCCAGCGTCATATAACCCACGTTTCGAAGGAGGACTTCCTTGCAGCATTTTGTGAAGCACACAACGCTGCTATGACGCCAGGAAACATTCGAGCAGGTTTCAGTGCCACTGGGCTTGTTCCTTTTGACCCAGAAAGTGTCATTTCAAAGCTGGATGCTGTCGCTGTCATACGAACACCGTCGCCAGACCCCAATCTGCCACCCACTACTTGGACTTCAAAGACGCCTACCACCATTAACGAAGCGGTAAACCAATCAGTTTATATCCGAAACCGAGTCAGAAACCACCAGGGAAGCTCACCTACATCAATAGTTGATGCGTTGAGCTCGTTTTCGAAGGCTACATACGGTCTTATGCATAAGGTCGCTTTGGTTGATTCCCGGGTCCGCGAACTAGAAGAGGCCAATCACTTACTAAGTAAACGCCAGAGAACAAAAAACAAACGTCTAGTAAAAGGAGGAGTACTTTCTGTTGAAGATGCAATAGATCTTCAGGCTACAAAGGATGGTGCTGAGCTGGCAAAACAGGAAATGGGTGAAGGTAGTCGTCGTCCGAGGCGGGCGGCAGCGCGTAGGCGACGGTGTGGCGTTTGCGGCAATACTGGCCATAATGCGCGAACTTGTACAATAGAGATAGAAACCTCTGAGGAAGAGGAATCTGATTGATTGAATTGAACTGAATGCGTTGTGGTGAAGTTATTTGACATGGCAGTTGGAGAGTTCATGACGAGTGCCAACTCGCTTGTAATGTCAACTCGCTTGTCAGCTACGTTAAGCCATTCAATAGTGTGTGTACCAACCACCTGCCCTTTTTACTGCGGCGATTCGGTTGCTGAGAGATTCGACGAGAACACGTACATCCTCAGGATCGATCTTTGACTACGCCCTTTTGATTAATTGTCTGGCATATGCCTCATGGGCAATATTAGCCTTCAAATCAGCGAAACTAGGCTCGATTCTCCGTATCTGCTTATTTAAAAGTGCCCAAACGTGCTCGATCGGGTTCAAATTAGGGCTGTGAGCAGGCCAGTCGATCGTCCAGATGCCGTGCTCCTCTAACCACTCTGGAGTGCCTCCAAATCGATGGATGCGAGCGTTATCTTGCATAAAAGGATCCCCAGCCTCGTAGAACGGAAGGAGCCCTTCCTCAAAGACGTCTTGATATGAAGCTGAAGATACTCCTCCGCAAGGAGCATCCTCATCGGGCTCAAAGAAGATGATTTTGCCTAGGCTACCTTCTCTACCCTGTAACCAGATCAAGGCCCAACACATAATGGAGATACGGGGTCTCGCATGGCTCCGAGGGTTCACGAGATCCTACCTGTAACGTTAAAAGAGAGGCGGATGACCCAATCGCCCGGATTATCGGATGAATTCTGGACCGTGACTTTGTCTAAGAAGAGCGTTTGCATCAGCTCCTCCAGAGCCTCTTAGGAGTCGTATTTATTGCAAAAAACGAGCCTCTCTTATGTGTCATCTTCCGTAAGCTCAATCCGCTTCACCGCCTTCCACTTGCGAAGCCCATAAGCGCAAAGAATACGCTTGATAGTGGTATGGGAGCTTAGGGCCCTGCTCTCCTTCTTGAGCTCTCTGTAGGTGGCCCTGGGGTACTTTTATGCCGTTTTAATTAGCTGAGCTTCTTCGCGCTTGTTTAAAGTCCTTGTGGCTCCCTTTCGAGGTCTGTGACGGCCTGCACAGACCTTTTCACATGACAAGTGGATACTTCCTAATAGGGGAAGGATCTGACCAAAGGATCCTTTTAAAGGGCAACCTCCTACTGTACCTATTTCTCTCTCTCTTCCTTTCCTCTCTAGTCTTGATATTCTCGTTAATAAAGTAATAGCTGCTTGCTGCCGGCCATGTCCCAGCTCTTTAGTACGCTCGCCGTGACATAATATCAAGACTCCTCTATACCAGATTAGAAGCCTTGTCTTCAGATCACCGCTGTAAGAAGTTTTGCCTCTAGCAGTGACAGGTGCAGTGTCTTTGAACACCCACCTATCCCAAGACTTTATTACCCCTTTATTATCCCATCTATCAT